TTTTATTGCTTTAATGATCATATGGAATGGATAATAGAAAGGAGGATGGACAATTTTTATTTATTCCAGAATATTCTTTCTAAAGAGTTTTACCATAAAAACAAGTAATGTGACAAAAATGTAAAATTAGACTCCGGTAAAAACACTTTAGACTCTTACTGTTTACTGTATTTGAGGAAAACAAAGATTTTACAATGCATTCATTTTTCTATAAATATGATTACAACATATATTATTTTTCAGAATTTAAGTATTTTTTCTCTATTTTACACATTGAAAGTTTAACAACTTCACCCATTGATAACATATTGTGTATCTTTTGGGAGATTGTAAGGAATACAAACATATATATTGCTTGCAGTTTTGCCACTCTATAGATCTGACTCTGCCTTTACAAAAGAACAAATGTTTATAATTATAATCTTCTACTCATCTACAGATGGCACATGTCATTAATGATTTAAAAAGTAATTGTTAGCAAGTTTGGAAATACATGTAATGTACTTCTATTTAAAAAGTTTGAACTTACATTTTTATGTCTGAATCCAATGGGAAATACCTGCACACTAACTATGTATTGTGAATGTGATGAGACAATATTTATTATCTGTATCCAATCAGATTTGAATATTAATTTTTTAACCATAACATAAAGTGTTATGGATTAAGTCATTTGCAATTAAAATAATGTGGTAATTTTATCCAAACAATGCTCTATTTTGCCACATAATAGGTCATGTTCATTTTGAATCATTTGAATGAGCCAAATCTTAGTCGAAAAATACAAAACATTTACCTTTTTATATTTCAAGTAATATAATACATTTCAAGTACAAGCTTCCAAGCTTCATATAATTATCCCATCGAACAAAGTTCGGAGGGATATAAGGAACGCCTCCGTCCGTCCGTCCGTCCGTCCGTCCGTCCGTCCGTCCGTCCGTACATACATACGTCCATCCGTCCGTCCGTCCGGCCGTCTGTCCGTCCGTCCGGGCAATAACTCAAATACCGTTGGCCCGATTTTGTTCATATTTTGTACACATATACCCTATGGGAGTAGAAGTTCTGCTCGAAAGCTGATTTTCAAAATGGCCGCTCAATTCAAAATGGTGGCCATTTTAGTGCCGATTTTACAGTAATTTAAGTGCAATATGTAAAACTGTAATAGCAATATGTTTTAAATGTAAAAAAATTATGAAGGGCTAATAAAACTAAAAATGTAGACATTAAAGAAGCACATGGCAGCCATCTTGAAAAATGGCGGCCTTTACTCGTTATTTTATGATTGCACACTGTCTAAAGACACTTTTGGTAGAAGGCGGCCATTTTAACGTATTTTACTATAACTCGAACTGTAGTGGAGCGATTTTGTTCATATTTAGTATGTGAATACTATAAGCATGGCACACCGTCCTTTGACACTTTTGGTAGAATGCGGCCATTTTGAAATTTTTTTTGAAAAATGGCCGCCATTTTAACGTATTTTACTTTAACTCGAAAAGTAGTGGAGCGATTTTGTTCATATTTAGTATGTGAATACTATAAGCATGGCACACCGTCCTATGACACTTTTGGTAGAATGCGGCCATTTTGAATTGTGATTTTGTCCATATTTGGTATGTTTCATATTTCATATGTGAATACTATAAACATGGCACACTGTCTAATGACACTTTGGGTAGTAGGTGGCCATTTTGAAAAATGGCCACCATTTTTATGTTTTTTACTATAACTTGAAAAGTAGTGAAGCTATTTTGTTCATATTTGATATGTGAATACTCATGAGCCTTGCACACTGTCTCATGACACTTCAGATAGTAGGTGGCCATTTTATAAAAATGGCTGTCATTTTTACATTTTTTACTATAACTCGAAAAGTAGTGGAGCGATTTTGTTCATATTTGATATGTGAATACTTTAAGCATGGCACATTGTCTAATAAAAATTTAGGGAGTAGTCAGCCATTTTGAAAAATGGCCACAATTTTTATGTGTGTTATTTTTTTACAAGTACATGTATGCGATTTTTCAAAGATTTTATAGGTGGCTACTTAAAAGCATATTATTTCTTCTGATGACAACTTGGCTAGTGAGCAACCATTTTGAAAATGGTGGCCTTTCTGGTGTGTTGTTTTATGATGTTTGCTATATATTTCGTTTGTAAAAATGCCAGCCATTTCTGTTCGATGGGATTCGCTACGCTTTGGCGTTGCCGTTGTTCTGGTTCAAATAGTCATTTCATATAGATATACATGTATGTAGTTTATATATTTAGTTTATGCCATTCATTTATATTCTCGTGCAATTAATAAATTTGAAAAAGTAAGGTATATTGTTTTCTAAAAAAGATTTGTATATATGGTATATTTCAAAATTATTATACAAAGATTTAGTTCTGTTATTTTTTCTGTATTCCCTATTATAGCTAATAAGATGTTATTTTCAGTCAGGTTTAATTCTTTATTCAGTTTTTGTTTTCACCTTTCAAAAGACTGCTTCTGGATATCTTTTCTTAAGGATTTAAGCCCTGGACAAGGTATGTTTTCAAATCTTTGCATGACTATGCCCTGACTGAGTGGAATGAATCGACCACAATGCATCAAGTCTTGGGCTTAAATTCTTTTCACTCATTGCAAAAAATTTACTACGAAATCACCTGAAAGATACGAAATCACTAAAAGAACATATTTTCAACGAAACCTTTTGCAAGGGTCAAGTTGGCAAAGCATCACTTTCAATCTGTAGAGATTGAGTTGTCACTTTGCCAACCATTGAGACCTTGGGCATGTTGGGTGCAGTGAGTGGTTATATAATGCACTGCCAATATTTGAAATACTATGTTTTGATTGAAAAAACTACTGTTTTATTTACAAATAAAGTGTCCTGTATTGTAAAAGCCTATATCACTGTTAAGGTGCTATGGAAATTAACAGGAAATGACAAAACAGGAAGTGACAATTTTTTTGCATTTTTAGACATTTTTTGAACAAAGATAACAGAGCTCTGTTTTGACCTCCAGTCAATTCAACTAGTTCCAAATACCATTTACAGGTCCAGAATCACAATGTTCATGGTCAGAAGGGCTAAAAAGGTTATTTCATTATGTTTACGGTCATTCTGACCATGCACATTGTGATCCTGGTCATGTAAATGATATGTGGAAATAGTTAAACTGACTGGAGGGCAAACCAGAACTCTGTTATCTTTGTTCAAAAAATGTCTAAAAATGCAAAAGATGTTGTCACTTCCTGTTTTGTCATTTCCTGTTAACTTCCATAGCACCTTAACAGTAGTTGTATCTTGTATGCGATAATTTTTTTCAAAAAATCAGCAAAAACTATCTGTTTTTGTCAGCCATTTTTATATTTCCATCGTAATATGTTATCTGTAAAGTCTTGTCTACATGTTTCAAGGTGAACTGTTTGATAAATCGATTAAAAAATTTCAGGGGTGATTCTTTATATGCTTATCTGGAACTGATTAGTTTTTGGGCACTCTGGGTAAATGTTAAGGCAGCCAATTTAGATTTTTTGTCCTAAAATATTTTCTCTACAGTCTTGACCCACGTCTGGTGATTGGAAAAAATGAATTGAGGGGGATAGTTGATTTCTGGGAGTAAATTCAACAAATCTGGAAGATTTAGTTTTTCAAGAGAAAGTTTACTATTGAATTGCTAAATGAATAGGGGCACGGCATGATGAAGATATGGGATCTATTTAAAAAGGCGTAGCATCACCATCGTGCAAAAGTCATATTTTTGGGGTTTAATTGTCGTAATTGATTCTACTAAAAATAATTTGAATAAAAGGGTGATTCAGAATTATAAACCTTTTAGCACAACATTTACATATTATCTTGATAAAAGGTTTTAGACAGGCATAGATATTCAAAAAGATAATGTGAAATGTTATGAACAAACTTATTTTATCAGAACATAAAAATCATTATTTAGGTCTTGTGCAACATAAAGGACCATGTGAGGTATGGCAATGGCAAGTGATTTAGACGGTGAGTACTTTCTGGCCATAAATACAGTGATTTTTATTAAAACAATATGTTTTCTTTCAAGTGATTATTTTCTGCATTTTCTGTCTAAAACGTTTTTACTAAGATAATATAATGTAAATGTTGTGCTAAAAGGTTAACAATTCCAAATCGTCCTTTTAATTCAAATGATTAAAACATATCGTGCTGTACTATGTCTCTCTAGCTACCGGGTATATATACAGATCATAGAATAAGATGCACTTACATCCCAAAGCTTCACCTACTTTAAATGGGGTGATCCCAATGAATGACAGTTCGTTATGTTCAGACAATCACTTAATAATATCTAATTTTTCACTTAGTGAAAATTATTGCTGATTATTTTATTGCTCTTAGATTGATGTTTATAAAGATATGCATTCCATTAGTGCTATGATGAGATAATAACCAGGTGTGTGATTAAATTGTATATTTCTCTCTTTAACCTGGAGCTAAAGGCTGTGTTTTGTTGAAATTTACAATTCAAAATAAATATTCTACTTCCACTGCTTATGAAGCTAGCATTGAATCATTTATTAATGATTATGAGTATTTTATGTAGGATAATATGGAACGGTATGACCCACGTATGGAATATGATTTTATTTCCTCTGCCATTAAGAGAAAACAACTGAACTAAAGAAACAAAGCTGACAGAAACTATTATAATGAGTTTTTGAACTCTAATGTAATTTACACATACTTTATCATAATGAAATACGTTCTCTCACAAAACATATTTATCTTTGAATTTTGATGTATTCCCTCTCTCGGTATCCACTGTTTTTTGTCAAACATGAAACAATCTGGAGTTTCATTTGAAAATATTTCTGAAATTTTTTGAAGGATATTTGAAAAAAATTGAAGAAGACATTGAAAATTAGAATTTGACACATAAGATGATGGTCTATTCCATTGTTGATATTTATTCTTTATATACTGTATGATTGATATACTGTATTATTTTGCTTTTAGAGGTGACAGAAAGTGTGGAGTCAATGTCGGTTCTAGCAACATCAACTAAAGGCGGGGATCTTGGAAGGTAAGGATCAATTAATAATGGAGATTTAGGGGTAGCGATTTAGGAAGGTAATCTTACAATATAAATATGTTATATAGCCTTTATATTGACAAGATCCTAACAATGAGAATTAGTGAAGATTGTGGATTCGATCCAGTCTCTTGTATGTATATGTCGGACAGATGTCATTAACAAATATTTGCTTCTTCCAGCACATATGTAGGCCTCAGATGCAAGCATTGTAAAGAAAACCTGGGAAGAATCTACAAGACTACACCACGTAACCTGGATGACATCAGAGATCACTTTACTCTAAGCATACCAAAGATTAACAGGTACTCTAACCATATCTAAGATTAACTGGTACTCTAAGCATATTAAAGATTAACAGGTACTCTAACCATACATAAGATTAACTGGTACTCTAAGCATACTAAAGATTAACAGGTATTCTAAGTATACCAAAGATTAACAGGTACTCTAAGCACACCAAAGATTAACAGGTACTCTAAGCACACCAAAGATTAACAGGTACTCTAAGCACACCAAAGGGTTGGCTTTATTGTTGTGACATATTAACCTTATCACTTTACACAGCAATACTCTATTTTTGGTTACCATAGCAATATACAGGGTGTCAAATAAGTCCCGTCCCCCCTGCTACAACTAAAACCTTAACAGACGGTACCTAGTGTGATATACCATTGGAAAGATCATCCAAAGTTATGTTAACTCACCAATTCTCAAGTATTTTGGATGAAATTTACCTTTATTTTTATTATGTCTTTTATAATTAATGTGCCCTCCTTTAAGGAGCTTTTTTTGCGTCAAAATGACAAGGATATGACCTCAGAAATATGTCAAAAAGTTAATCTTTTTCGCATTCCACCTGTTACAAAAAGGTTTTCACCACTTTCCTAGCACCATTATTTTCTACACATCTAACCCTATCCAGAAATTGGTTAAATTCATGGCCATAAACATATTTAGTCATCTTATGGTCCCTTGACCTTTCTTATACCCGATTCTTAAAATCCTGCCAAATATGCCAAATTGCCATGTTTCTAGGCATATGGTCACCTCGATTGAAACAATGTAAAATTTTGTGCGATTGATTGACATGTGTCAGATATATGCCAATCAACGTAACTTTGGAAGACCTTTCCAATGATATATCAATGATAGTATATGTGCGATCTGTACAATCCTCCATTGTTGTAGTTACCAAGTGGGGAGTGGCGTTACCAACAACAACAATGTTGACCTCTTAGATATTCCAGACCAACGCTATCTTCTACTTCAAGTTAGAAAGGTAAGAACCATTGAAAATCACTTTTAACACAAACTAGTAACATTTAAGGTAAGTGGAGTACATTAAGTAATCCTTTACATGTCTATATTGTAGGCATAAATGCTGGCCATATAGGTTCCATAAGTTATTCACCTAGACTTACCTTGTACCTTACTTAGTTCTGGAATGAATGCATAAAAGGAGTTTCACCATGATTTATAATCAGCATGATTCCAATCTTCTCTTGTATTAACATGAAAATAATGATCACCACAGTACTTTTGTCTGTCTCTAGCTCGTATACTTTCATAGTAATGCTGTCCCTAGCTCCGATTTCGGTGATCGGCTAGTAAAAAAGGTTTGAGGGTGTCATTTTGTTCCGGACACTCTCTAGAGTAAATTATCTTAACTTGAGTAAAAATGTGTGGTAAGTAAATTCGCTATGGGCAGTTAAAGTGATGCCATCTATTCATTTTCAAACATGGGGGTAGGGGTATAAAATATTTTTTTAATGTAGGTAAATGAAAAATGTAAGCAAAATACCATGAATATCTTATGGCAAACATAAAAGGGAATGAGCAAAAATTATTTGAGGTGGATCAGGTCAGGAATTAGGTCAAAATTTGTTCACTATTCACCTTTCCACAAAGTAAAGAAAATCGATAATTTCCGGCGCGCTGATTGGTTGTATGCAAATGAGTTAAATCAATGACGTCAATGATGGAAAGTTTTGAAGAATTAGTACATCCAGCATAGGAATATTTGGAATAAACTACAATAAAAAGGATTCTATTTGCCCAATACACTAATTATTTTTAATCAAATATGAAATATGGACGGGGCACTTTGATTCCGAGCCTTATGTAATTTAAATTAATCATTTTTTGACAGAACTATTGTTCTTCTGAGATCAGCTTCAGATACCCGGGCTCACATATCTGATAGTCCAGTGGTTTCAGTAACTTTGTGTACAAGGGGCAGATGAAAAATACAAGAGGCGGCATTCAAAATAACCAATTTTACGCTCCCGACAATGCAAATTCTTGTTATTTTAGAGTCCATGGACTGAAAGAAAGATGTCCAAGGTTTGTCAAAGTCATTTCACGTGTGATGTGGCAAGACATGGGCTCCACAAAATAACACCTGGAACTGTGTGGAATGACTAGGGCAACTTATATAGAATGTCATTTACCTTTTATAAGATAACTTACCCTTACACAGGTTACACTTCACAAATCCAAATGCACCTGTTGAATTGAACACTTTTGATAAAAATCAAAATCTAGAATTGTCATTATTAAAATGAGAGTGATGTATTAATAGATGATTCACTTGTGATTATGTGTATATCAGATTCATTTTAGTTTTTACTACCTCCAGACATTGCCAGAAATGGTGACATACAGGGTGTTCCAAAAGTAACAGGACTGGTGCTGGTATTTTTTTTGTTAAATATGCACCAATTTTCTCTAAAATTTTACATAATGTACCTTCATGTTTTTTAACTAAAATTGCCGAATTACATAATTTTGTTGAAACTGATTTAGAAATCGGCCGATGACTACTCATTGGTGCCCGGTTCATATGTGGCCTAGGCATTAGAGAGAGACCGAGGTGGGAGGTATTCCCCTCCCCTCTACACCAAACTTGTTCTCACTACGTTTTCGAAAATTGCCTGAAAGGCCTCCTCACATATTATTAAGGAAAACATATCTACACATTTTGCGCATTTAACCATTTGATAACATATTGTGGATCTTATCTTAATTTGTTATTGTGAATTCGCACCTTCATTTGCATGGAAGACTTTGATAAAATCCTTTTTTGATGATTTTTGTTAGAAAGCTGATGTTTGGCTAAGCTTCGAAATTCCAAATTGAACAGTCTACTAAGAATACCATGTTGTAAATATTGTTTTCTTTATAATATGTCGAGCTAGGACTGCTCAAACAAATTCGCTTTTTGTAGCTACAAGTATTTAATTTCAATAGATGATAAACTTCTCAATATAAGAAATTACCCTCATAAGACATTGTTGCAAGGTGTGTTGCAATGAATGTGGCACCCCGCATTCCCGGGCCCGCATTATGTATTCTGGAAGAAAGCCATCATGATAAACCATGACATCTCATTTCTTCTCAGCCCTGTGTTTCAGGTGAAACAGAAAGATGCTATGAGTATCAGAATGGAAGAAAGCATATATTTGCATTGATGGTGTATAGATAGTTATTTTATATAGTGTTTTAGTTGTACGTGGAAACCTATTCTAACCAGGAAGGATATTGCAACTTTTTTCAAGATCCTAAAGTTGCAATTCTCGTTATTGTGTTTCATTAACGTGTAGAATTATGGACCTGGTGGATTTTTCTCCCTTTTGTACTGTTAATACTTGGGCGGTTGAGTATATAAAGGTATGCATGTCCCAGCTTTTGGTAAGTGGGGGGTCAAACCTCCCCCCCATCCACACATACACTTTTTATCATGCTTAAGTAACTTCGCATTGTAATTACAAGGGTGTTATAAACGAGACACCAGGATGATAAAGTAGGTGTACAATATATTTCCTTGTTTGCGCGGAAGAAAATTAGGGCCCAAATCTTAAGAAAGAGTCGGAGGAATGCGAGGCCAATCCTGGAAACTCGGGTTCGGGAAAGCAGGGTTCACTGTTTGGTTCCGTTGACACCTGTGTGAAACTACATTCATAATTTATCTGACAGTCGCTTTGATAATGTTTCTTTATCTCGTCTGCTACTCGATAAAGAAGAATTATCAAAGCTCATCAAGAATGGACGATCTTGCACAGGTACTCATATAAGAACCTCTATATCTTTTTAACACCAATATATTACGGACACACTATGTTAAAAATAAAATGTTATATCTAATGTGCCAATTCAATGATTTAGCATATCGAAAATATTTTCAACCTAAGTGACCACATCGTGACATCACTAAGGTGGTAACATTTTTCAATGTTAATCTTTTCTAAATATGCTAAACTTAAAAAATAAAACAATTTTGACTGTCTAACCAGGTTAAAAGGTAATATGCGACAAATAAATTACATTATATTAAGTCATTAGTCAAGTTATTTCAGTCGGGTCCCTGGCTCAGATTTCGAAACGGGATTTTTCTCGCTGATTGTCCTAAATAATGCAATGAAATAGTGAGCATATTCGCATATCTGCGACCATTCATCTTGCAAGTTGCTACTTTCTATTTTATCTTCCTTTTAAATCAGATAAAACACAACGACAAGCGATAATCTTTGCACAGTTAACGATCAAACGTTGGGCTTCTTCATAACTTCTGTTTTCTGACACGCCGCCTAATCTCTTCACTTACACGATTTTTATACATGTTCCCGGGCCTGTGGGAACGATCATTCTGAACAGAGCATTAGTGCGCTAGCGCGTAGCGCCTGTTTTCATTATAACCCAACCATGACCAAATATCAATGAATGATATATCACTTTAAAGAGGAGACACATGGCTTTATGGTGCATTGAATGAAATCAATGCTGTTATCACTTGTTTTGTAGTGTCTCAACATAGATTTATGTTGTAAACACATAAATGAATTATTTTAAAATGGCTAAAAAGAGGCAATTGAAACAGCTATTTTTAATCTAAATGTCACATTTCTTAAAAAGAACATCCTGAAACTCAAGAACATGATAAAACTATATACCAGTGATACATTTCATGATTATTATACCAACAATATGCATGTATGTTGCAGATAATGTATGTATTTTTGGAAAGTTATAACAAAATCTGATAAAACGTCATTTATCCCATACTTGGACGTGTTACGGGTACATAAAGCCGGTTTGTAAAAACTTATATTTTCATCAGCGGGCAGATATAGCTTTACGTCCCGCTCCGAGCGGGCAGATATAGTATATCTTCCCGCTACGTCATAATCGCTGTTCCCGTATTGGTTCTTTTTTTGTAACGTTCGCATACTGTAAACGACAATGGAGAAAAACGCAGACAATCTCGACCTGTTTGATGCTTTAAAGAAGGGAAGGAGCAGTGTACCGGCGTTAATAATCAAAGATTTGAACAGGAAAAGAAACAGGAATACAAAACTGGACATGAATATTTTAAGAATATTCCACGGTTGGTTGCAAAGTTTCTGAACTTTGGCAAATTGAACAATGTGATTGGTATGGGATAAACAGATCATCCTATAGTCGGTTCAGGATATTTGGATTATCCCTTGGCCAATATAATATATCTACCCTCGGGACCTACGGCCCTCGGGCAGATATATTATATTGGCCTCGGGATAATCCCAATATCCTGAACCTCATATAGGATAATCTCTATTTATTACTTATCTGTTTTTTTTACTTCATAGAAATATTTTAGAAATATAACTCCCCATGCATAATATGTCCCCTACCTCCCCTTATAATATTCATAGTAAGTAAAAAATATAAGACCCTTAATAAAGCTAAAATAAATTATTCTTTGTGGTAAAAGTGCGAAAATAGGTGGCGCCACTATAGTGAACTTCGAATTTTGACTGAATTCCCAGCCCAATCCACCTCAAATAATTTTTGCTCATTCCCTTTTACGTTTGCCATAAGATATTCATGGTATTTTGCTTACATTTTTCATTTACCTACATTAAAAAAATATTTTATACCCCTACCCCCATGTTTGAAAATGAATAGATGGCGTCACTTTAACTGCCCATAGCGAATTCACTTACCTCACATTTTTACTCAAGTTAAGATAATTTACTCTAGAGAGTGTCTGGAACAAAATGACGCCCTCAAACCTTTTTTACTAGCCGATCACCGAAATCGGAGCTGGGGACAGCATTATAGAGCTTTTAAAGCTCTTGTAATTTCTTAGCTCTTGTTTTAAGAGAGCCTTATACAGTGAGTTATAAGATCAAAATGGCTTTCAGTCCAGTAAAACCTGACTAAGTGAAACACCTTTGGTATCTCTAAAGAGTGTTCCACTTGGGAGGTGTTCCACTTATAGAGGTTCATTTATCAGTTATGTTCATTAAGTCAGTTGGTCTTGTTCCACTTTCACTTAATTTTATAGCACGTTATGGTTTTGAAAATATATGGCTGATTCAAAAGTTGATTCCATCTTATTTCAGATCCAAGCTCTTGTGATAGCATTCAACTCTAGGATACAAGAACTGGAACATGCGATTGGAATCACTCAAAATGACGGCACACAAGACAATGGTCCAGAGCATCAACAACAAGACACTAACACTCAAGATGTCAATCTGAAACATTCAGACTTCGTAAACCAGTTGCCAAATGAGCATAACAATGCCAGACCAAACCCAATGGGGAGATCTAGAAAAATTCCAGATGAAAATCAAAATACAAATAAACAGTTGAACTCTGACATGGAAGCTGGAAATAAACCAAAGAGAAAGCGGATTAAATGAATCTATTCCATATATACTACAACATGAGTCACCATGCTGTGTTTGACACAGTGAAAGCCTTTATGAAATGATCATTAGTGGGTTGAAATATGGATTGTGGCAAGACAAAAGTTTGAGCTGACTAAGTCATTATTTGTTGCTAAATCTGAAATCCTGGAAAATAATATTGAGCTGCAAGATATTACGAGGGGGGAGATGACCAAATCAAAACAAAACCATGGGAAGCAAACGATAGCATATAAAGAGATATATACATATATATAACAGAGACCAATGCCATAGATATATCTTTGTGGCAACATCAGTTCATTAATAAGAAGAGACCTCATTTAGAGTTATGCATTTAGTTTAATACTTACCTTCAATCAATTTTGTTCTTGTTGTAAATGTGTAAATTCATATTTGTATTTTGATTCAGTATCTGAAATCCAACATTTTGCACTTCATTATCATGTTGGTTTTAGCTTTTTATTTGTATAATTTTTCTATTGAAATAAGTAATAGTAGAGGATGGATATTATTTTGCAAAGAGCAGCTTATTACAATATGTTTCAAGTTCAACAATATGTTAAATATGTTATTTGTATAAACATATTGTGATATTATCATCACCACTCCGATAAAGGACTGGTTTTGAACATCATTGTATATGAGCTAGGCCACAGGAAAAGGGGTCGTATTACAGATTTCTTCAATGTTTTGATTTCCTGTTTTTCTTAAGAAGCGCAAAGAGACCTTTCAAATGAGCCATGGCTTGTGTCTTAACAATTTTTCCTTGCAGATATAGAACAAAAACACGGATTTGAATTTAGCACAATTTTCTCTTAATCTCAGGCACATTTTTGGCTCTGTAGCACAATTAACATTTTTCTGATAAGACCGGTATGGATAACACGATATGGATAGAAATCTACCAAGTTGAACTGATTAGTGTTTATATATTGAATGAGACTCCATCAGCATTTTACCATATGAGGAACTGTCCTGGTATTGTTCAGTGAAATATTTGACTAAAAATGAATTTTCATTCTATTGGAAAGTTTATATTCTAAATGTTGAAATCTTGTTATGAATCAGAATGACTTTAATCTTCTTAAACTTGAGTGACAAACTTTGTTTGACACTGATGCTTCTCCTGGATATCAACATGCACTTCAAACATTATCCTTAATTGACAGACTTAAACATTGATTTGTTTGTAAAACTAATTCTTTGATGGTTAAAACAGATTATTTGATGTTGTAAATGACAACATAGATAAATACTTTAGTGTCAATTAATGTATTATCTGTACGAGTACACTCTTAACCCTTTGCAAAATTTTGACTGCATCTCTAATTAAGGCATTAACATTTCTTAGCATCTCTAAAAGACGTTTGAATATTTCTTGGCTAATTTAGCAAATAACCATTTGAATCCAAATGAAAAAATGAGCTAAATTCCATTTCCACAATTCATAATTTTCTATTTGATTTTCAAGCCTTTGGTCATTTTCTTTTAAGAGCATGTGTGCTTTTAGATATATATTTTTTTTTTATGTTATTTTGGTTGAAGGGAGTTGTTGGGATGAAGAAAATTGAATTATGAAATAAATCTTAACCCTAAAACCTTCAAATATTGACTGATAATTTTTATTAAAATTCCATATTTCTTACATATAATTAATATGGCACTTCCCCATATATGGTAGATATGGCTTGTTGCTTATCATTTGATATTTCAGACTCTCTGAAACAATGATTTGAGTAATAATAAAGACAAGGCATTAATTTGCAAAATGTCACAACCTACCATTTGTTACAGACATAGAACACCAAACACAATGCTGAACACCATGCACAAAAAAGTTGGAGACTATGATAATATGTCATCACTTCTTGTGGTGACATAAATATCATACTTATAACTTATAAAAACCCAGTTTCGTAAGCACATCGTTAATTCCATATTTTACATAATATTCCAAAATTCCTTAACATTGTAATTATGCAAGATAAAAATGTTACTTTACTTTAAACCATCAAAGAATGTTTACCTGTCAACATGACAGAAGTTACCATCCAATGTTTACAAACATATTAAGCTGTATTTACCCAAACAACTTCAATGCCAAAATGATAATAAACAAAGAGATTACCACAACACCATCAGAAAATTATAATCCTTTGATGGAGAAAAACATCATCTTTACTGTTAAAAACACTGCAACATCAGTGGCAGCCACCAAACTAAGGTGGCAAAGTCCAAAATGTCAAACTCCTGGCTTATGTACAGGAAATATATAAAAAGGGTCAGTAGCCAAGAGGACATCATCAGTTTACTGAAGTATCTCAACAATACACATCCTGTTTTGAAGAGAGAAACTTGAACAGTCATCAAAGCTGAAATAATATATATTCACCTGATAACAGATTGACAACCACAGAAAGCATTATGGTAAGTAAAATACAGCATTATTTTTTGGATTATAATTGCTGGAAATTGGGATGCATGTTTCATATACATAAATATACATGCATGTTCAAGCAAGTTTTCATGCAAGTTTCATGCAAGTTCTCACAATATTTTCAACTGAGTTTGAAATTGGGAAGCAAGTTTAATATGCATGCATGTTCCAAGTTTTAATAATATTTTCTGAGTTTGAAATCTTTATTATTCAGATTTGAATAGCTTTCTACAAGCAACAAACTTTTGAAAAAGACAAAGTGAAATCAAAGATTCTTAGAAAAAACCTCACATCTTTAATATAAATGATTGATCATTAATACAATTATTTTTGTGTTTTTTCAGAAGCTCCCAGTTGTAACAAGAAAGAAGATCAACTTTCACAGCATCGCAGACTTGGCTGGTAGTCATGACAATACTATAAATACACAGAATCACTACGACAACCCACAACCAAAGGTCAACGAAAGTGTGTACAACCCATATGCCACAGTCCATAGTGATAAAAGTAGCAACCAAAGCCGAGTGAGTGGTTACCATAGTGACTTTAGTAATAATGGAACACCTGGTAACCATAGGAATGACAGTGGAAGTAGTGAGGGCACTTTGAGCTCAGGTAACTGTAGCGGTGGAACTGACAATAGCGACCACACAATCAGCTCTGGTAACACCAGTTCCCATAGCAACCAAGCAGACAATGGTAACATTGGTACCAATGGAGAAGATATCCACACAAACAATAGCGATGAATCTGATGGTAATGTTGATATTGAAACTGTATCACCAAGAAAGGATGTCCAACATTATATGATGAACAATCACCTTTCTCCTGTCCAGGAGACAAATGAGAAACTGCAACGAAAGTTTGAGCTGAGGAAACCAGTTCCCCAACTGTCTATTCCAGTATCTCCACAAGTCATCAGGACAACTCTACCACTGTCAGTTTCTGCATCTCCACAGGTCTCAGGGTTAGTACTGCCATTCTACAACCAAGGGTTTACCCCATCGTTCATGCTCACTCCCTCACCTTCCACCCCTGGCTCTGTATTCTCAACCCCTACCCCCAAGCTGTGTCACAATAGTGAAAGCAGGTTTGTCTACCCACCCATTTCCAGCCCAATCAGTACTTCAACACCAAAAGACAAGGTCATGTTAGGGTCAAGGGCACATAGTAGTTCATCATCTGACACTTTAGATGGAGCCACAATGCCAGGTAGCAAGAAACGTTTACACTCAACAACAGAGGAAGTGACGTGTCCACCAAGTAAAAGGCGATGCCGTCAACCACACTCAGCCAGTCAAGTTGCCCAAATGGAGGCTGAATTTACCAAGAAAATGTACCCTGACCCTTTGGACCTTGAGAGGATTTCAAAAGAAATCGGGATCGCTGAAGAGAAAATCAAAATCTGGTTTCAAAACAAGCGCAGAAGGTGGCATCAGAACCGCATCAGCAGCTACAAAGCTAATGCTACAAGTGATAACAAGCGTAGTCTCAGTACTTCAGCTGTTACAAATGAACAATACAAAACTCATCAGAGCATAAACAGACTTTCCATGGGTCATAATGGACTCCCAATGAGCCTGAATAAGTCAAAAGAACTCCCTTATAGGAAATCTGAGTCTGACCAATACTCAGCATTCTCTACCGTGTCACAATCTAATCAGCACAGTATCCGTTTACCATCTACCGCTAGGTCTGTTTTACCTGGTACCCCAAGTTCTAGTTCCACCAAAGTGATGCCCATGTATCCAGTGCCATCATATCTTTATTTTCCACAATTCCAATAGATTTGGATTCAATTACGGGAAATTGTCAAATATTGTGCCAAGGAACTACAGTAAAACCTGTCTAATCAGAATGCTACTGGGACCTACCTAAAGTGAATCGAAGGTTTTCCCATTTCAAGGTTGTTTTAATATGGAAGTCAATGTGAACAGGTGTTTAGAGTATAGAGGTGTTCTAATATACAGGTTTTACTGTAATTTAAATGTAAATAATGTAACTACTGTAGTATAAGAGCTGATGCTGCCAAAACATAAGTACATGTACATGTACATTTTGGAAATTACTTATGATAACAGATAAATGTCCAAATGGATTACTGTATAAAACTGTACATAGCTGTAATATAGTGTAAAGGAGAACTCTGTAATAAACTATCATAAACATACTAGTGTTTTTATGTTGTATCTTTTCATTTCCGAAATAGGTAAGGAATATTAATTGCTATATAGTTGTTCTAAGGTTGTCCTAAAATCATTCATACCGGAAAACAGTGTCATTTCTGTGTGTGTGTGTGGGGGGGGGGGGGGGGTCCTTGTGTAGGTTTATCAAAAGAAAACATGGACAAACAAGTGAATTCATCCACCATCAATCTACAGAAATGCACTCTGAATTATATCTTATACAAGACAATATAATATCATATTATTTATATTGCTATATATATAAATATTTATTAATATCCTAAGACTGACATTCCATTAAAAATGCAAATATTAGTTCACAACTAAGTAGTCCTTTTCTTTTTTAGTTTCTTATTTGGTTTAAATTCATCAATTTTGCGTTTTCTCGCTTCTTTCTTCTGTTCATTCTTCCTAATTTTCTTCCTAGCGGCAATCTCAGGCTTGGCGATTACCTGAAATACAATGTAAAATGGTGAATAAAGAAGATATTCCAAATGAGCCAATCATCAGGCTTTATTGCAACATATAAAGCAATGAATATGCCAATGTTGACTTGTCAAGTCATGGCTACCATATAAGGTTTATGCTATTTATTTGACCCCTTAATCCCAGCATTATCTGCACTCATAGTGTCTATAAACATAAACTACACGGTTTTAGATATTGAACTGCCACTGTTCTTCCATTACATTTTATGACAATACATTTATCTCTCAACAAACCTCCATCGCCTGGTGACGTTTCCTCTCCTCTTTCTTCAAACTGCGGTCTTTTTGTACATTAGCATATGCTTGGGTGAACACCTCCACTCCCACAATGCCTTTAAACAGTTCCAGCACCTCATTGGCTAATGACTTCAAATCAGCATCTTAAGAATAGAAAAAATTAAATGTAATTCTTTTTGTGATGTATAATATGGAATATGGATTGAGCATCAAGATTCTCTTTTCACTTCCCTTTCTAGGTGAATGGGCAACAGAAAATTTTGTAACATCTTTGGATCTAAAATTATATTTTTTCATATGGTTAGGTAAACAGCATTGACTCAATACTACCAACAGTATTGATGCCCATTGGCCATGGCCACTGTAAAACTCTATTTATCTTACACATCAGTTAATATTTTAGCTCATATATTTTGTCACACTTTAAAAAAGTGCTATATTTTCGTCTTGTGTTTCATTTACACCCAAAGACAATTAGACACATAAAAACACACCTGACACATAAAAAGTATAATGGACACACACACATATACACAATACAAAACAATGAAATCATATATACCTGATGTAGTGGAATTATCTCCCACCTCTCGCTGTAATGCAGGGAGCATAAGATGAAGGCAAGGTGGTAAATGTATGCTCCCTAGCTCAAGACCAACTGCAGCAGTCCATTTAAACACGCTACTTCTCTGAAATAAGAAAATTGTTTAACATGTGCATTAAACTTTATCAAAATGACTGACCAAATGCGTATGAAAAAGAGTAATAAAATACAGTATTTTGTGATAGTTTAATTCAACTAAGTTATATAATATTTACCTTTAAAGTAGATTTCTGATCTGTAGCAGCTTCAAATTTTGCCTCCCTGTTTAACCGTCTAATCAACCAATGAATGTTCAATGTTGCCTTTGTGGCATCACTACCATTTTCCTTTGTGACATCATCAATGTCCTTTACGTTATCTGTTTTTTCACTGGGAGGCACTAGTTTGATGATCACTTTAGCGAGGAAAACTAAGTTCTTGACAATCTGAAATAAATTACATAAAATGTTTTTACTGCAGAAATCTTCCATTGATAGACAATATCCTGAATTACAGGCTCAAGAATATTTCAAAATGCTACAACCATACAGACATTCTAGGCAATATATTTTTTCTATGTAATGATTGTGTTCTCTTTAATATGCCTTGATAAGCTGCATTAAATCTCACAATTAAAATGAATTTTTGACCTCTCATACGAAGCCTTTATATTTTTTATTCGGAAGAAACAGATCTTCCGTACAATCAGAAGTATATAAATACCCATTTTAACTAGATAACGGCAACTCCGCGGAGTAGCAAATCCCAACGAACAAAATATCAATTACCGAATTCCAATCAATTATACTCATTACTTTGGTTGAAAATGAAAAAATTAGATTTTAGAATTGCGAATTCCTGCAAAGCAGCCATTTTGAATTTTCTGAGGTACAAATCTGAAAAATAATACCATAATTGTGATCTACTCCAAAATTCCTTCAATTTGAGTATAATATAGCCATTCTTTGAAGGGATCGAAAAATTATTGCGAAATCGTACATTAGACGGCCATTTTGAATTTTACGAGGCTCGAATCAGAAAAAAGATACAATATTTGCAATCTACTCTTAATTGCCTTTCATTTGAGTATAATAAAGCTATACTTCAGAAAGATCTAAAAATAAGCGAAAATTTCTGTTTTCCTGTCCCCCCATACATGGCCCCTGGGGGTCAGGATGAAAAACACGGAATATATGTGAAATAGATAAATGTTGTGAATACACTACCAAAATTTCAAACAATAATATTAATTACTTTGGTTTAGAATGAAAAATTTATGATTTTTGCGAAAAAGTCCCGTCATTTTTTAAGCGGCGGCCATCTTGAAAAAATTTTTTTTTGCGTAAAACTATTCACCAATATACATCTTTCCACTAAATATGAAGAAAATCTGTCAACTAGTATTTGAGTTATCTTCCGGACAGACGGACGGACGGACTGACTGACTGACTGACGGACTGACGGACAGACGGACGGACGGAGGGCTTCACTATATCCCTAACGAACTTCGTTCGTTGGGATAATTAAGATAGCTGGTATGATATTTTGTCTATATTTCTATAAATTGCTCATCACCTGTTCAGCAAGATCACTTTCAAGGTTCTCAGTGGTCAACTGGCTACAGAAGTCCCTGCTAAGGCTCCTTAACTGAAACACATGAGAGTCAATTATATATGGGCAATAGGCAGATAGGGTACTGTTTAAACTGGGTCTTCAGTTATATTATTAGAAGGAAGGGGTCTAATCATCATTTTCCTTTCAAATGAGCCATAAATTATGTCTTAGCAAGTTTTCCTTGCAGATAACCAAAAAGACAGATTTGAATTTTGAACATATTTCTCTTAATCTTCGGAACATTTTTGGCTTTGTAGCACAATTTTAATTTTTGTTATAAGACCCTTTTCCTGTGTTGAGGCTCATATGTATACTTATTATGGTTGCAATTATGGACAATTTTTTGTTGTGCTCCTTCATGGTCCATATTGTGGTCATGGCAACTCTTGTCAACATGTGTAGCATCTACCATATTCTTTGATATGTTTATGGCTTCTACTGGAGTGACAGACCAAGTTGGATCTCTAATATCCTAGTTTCTTTTTTTCAAATGTTTTCAATGTATAAAAAGTCTCAATAGTCAAAACACAATACTGGTAGAGAAATCCAAGATAACAACCCAGACAGTGAATCAGAGAAAGTACAATGGACACGCATACTAGTATATACAATACAAAACGTGAAAAATAAATACATATATGTTACCTTGCCAACTGTATCCATCTCAAGGTATTCCTGCGTCATCTTCATTTTGTTTTTACCAGGTGTCACCTTGGCAACCTTACTGTTTTTTGGCTTTGCCATGGCAACCACATCATCAATACTATAGGCAGAGAACAGCATACCATACAACTGAGCTGTACGCAATCTAACCCAGGTATGAGCGTACAATATGTGGGACTCTAGGCTCTCTGGAATAATAGAAAATCTCACAAATCAGTAGAAAACAAGACAGTAACTTGTTAAAGAACCCCCTTTCATTGTGAACACTTTTTCAGTCCCATTTTTAACTTACCACAGACTTCTTTGTTTCAAAACCTTGAAATGTGAACACCTGCCAATCTGAACACTTTTGGCAGGTACCCGTGTGTTAAGATTAGACAGGTTTTACTGTATGTTACTCAATATAAAATTGGACTTCTAGGTTCAACATCTACGCACCATTGTGACGTGACTAAATTGTGCATTTAATGTACTAAAGTATTTAACTGATTGCAACCTACGTATTTTGTTGATTAGCTAATCACTAAATTAACCTACCCCATATATGGTTGAGTAGTTCAGTCCACCTGGGCTCAGTGATAATATGGGGCAATTGTTGCAGGATCTTAGATATTGTGTTCAACACACTGAACAGCAAATGGTCCAGGTCTCTTTGTTCAGCCTCACTGCAGGTATCCTGGTAAAAACGGAGAAATACTAGTAGAGTGAAGTGACATCGCAACAGTGATATGCTATACTGACATCACTAAAATGCTTAAGATACAAAATAATCTGTGAGATGTTTTTCAGGATTTTTCTTGTTTAACAAGCTTCTTAATCTCCAGAAATAGGTAGTTGAGTGGTCATATTTTTAGAAATATATATTGAGCACAGTTACTTACAATGTTTGCAAAGCGTGTAGGGTCAATCTGAGACTGCATTATGGGTAAGATATTTTCTAGATGGCGCTCAAATCCTCCTGATTCAACTTCCACAAATAATCCACAAGCCACACACCCGAGTCTCCGGTGCATCACTTTGTCATCTTTAAGCCACACGACAACCAATGAGAAGAGCTCATCTCTAGTATTGCTTTCCAACTGGAATAACAGCAAACAGGCAAATATGTAATTGCAAAATCAATATTCAAATTACAAAGTAATGATTTAAACAAATTCACTCTGTATGAATCAGAGGTACTAACAGCTTGAAGGTATTAGTCACATTTTGCTTTTAGGCAATGTTCTTCCTCGTTGCATGTCACCATTAACAAACAAACTTTAATTGAGTTCAACCCACTATCAACTTCCCCATGCAGGGTTTGTTTGACAGATATTATACAAGAGGCAGGGCAGGGGCAACCAGGGTATGGTGAACGACTATAGATTTCATACCAAGTAACATTAGCTCAAACTTACCTTATCGAGCAACGACTTGATGGCCAGTGATACAAGTTTCCGACATTTTGCTGAGTCATCATTTATCATTCTGGTTACCATAGGAACAAAGAAGTAACCACCATACTGGGTGATTAGTTGCTACAAACAAAAAGACAATTGATAAGATTAAATAACAATTAATAATAAATTAATTGGTTTTATGTGTTTTTTATGGGAGTTAGTCAATTATAACATTTCAATTCTGAAGTTTGCATGTAAACAAAACTGGTTGCCAGGAAAAACAGTTCAATGTAGGTCAGCGCGCATAAGCAGAAAATCATCAATTTCCTTCCATTTTTTATTGAGGCTGGAGGTAGCTCTTGATATCTGAGTATATACCCGCCAACCCTCCCCCAAAAAGACCACCCATGAATTATCCCCCAACTAAGGTGAGATCAAGAAAATGGTAAAAGAGATATGGTTAGTAGTAAATGAAGGTAAGCAACTAAAGTAATCACTATTATATTGCTCAAATGTATATCTTTAATGACTACTCCCTAAAAAAACCACATAGACCAAAAATACAAATAAAATTAACTTAACTGACAGAAAATGTAGAAAATGGGAACAATTTCACAATTCCTAGACAAAGTCAGTTCTACAAGGAGTTCTAAGGAGTTCGAAAATCACACACAAATAAGATCAAAAACTGTCCACAAATAGTTGGACTATAACAATATGTTACCACTTCTGGTGGTGACATTAAGAATGTAACAAAATTGTTACAGCTACTGATGCAGATATCTCATATGCTGGTCACAATAAAATAGTGGCTATAACAATGTCACAATTTCTCAGTAGTGATTAAATGATCATTTCAAACAGACAATTACAATAGAAGCAATTTGATATGTACCTGTGGGAAGCTTGAGAATATAGTGGCCAACATCTCGAGAATGCTCTCTCTTCCAGCCTCATGTCTGTAGTTCATCTGAGCCATGTAGAAGTCGAGGTGATACTTCAGTTCCTTCCCTAGGGGGTAGTCCAGTAAGTACTGCAAGGCAACCTGGAATAGAGACAAGTATCTAAACTAAATTTTCAGTGATTTTCTCCCCTCAATTTCTTTTCAGCAGATGACTGGTTCTGTCAGTGATCGGCTTCTTTATTTGTCACCTTTCCATCGATTTAGATTTCTTTTTCACATAAATCAACATGTGGAGGGCAAAATGGCTGCCATGTAATTTCCCCAGCATGTTCAAAACCTAATCAGATTTTGCTGCTAACCTGCTCATGCTTCTTTTTAAATTTCAAGTTCAACAGGTAAGAACATTTTCTGGAATTTGATGACAAATTTCATGTGGCATCCACCTACTCGACACACAGATGACTAAAATATTGCATTTTTTCAAGGAGGAATATTGAAAAGTTCAACCAGTTCATGCACATACCTGTCTACATTGTAGCCTGATATGAGAAAAATCGGACTGGACTGACAACTCCTGAACTTTACTGATAACCTCCTTCATTTCAGGTACTTGTAGTTTCCTTGCCAAAACAGCCTAAAAAAGAATAAACAAACATTCAATTCTACTGTATATACTGACAACTCAGGAATCTACAACACTAAAACAAGAAGAGTGTTTCCAAATAATAACTTCTTTCTAATCAATAATTTTTGATCACTTTTTGAAACCATCAAAAATGCTCCATTGAATACATTTGTTGAATGTCCCTCTTGATAAAGCCTTACCTTCAATAGTCCAAATGCTGTTGCCTGGCGCTGATGGTCCCTAATATCCTCTTCTATGTATCCCAGAAGTACATGCAATTGTTTCTCAGTGATTGAGTGGTATTTGATATCTCGCACAACTATTGTCAACGCCTGGAACAAAGCAACAGGAGATGAAAATTGTGCAGTCTATGTACATAAAAACCCCTATTAAGTGTCACACTTTTGTTAGTGAAACACCTCTATTCATGAAATACTTTCTGTTACCCATTAAGTTAATGTATAATAAAATGAACCTCTGTGGGTGGAATGCCTCCATTAGTGGAATACTTCTAAGTTTGGTTACCCATTAAATTGATGTTAAAAAGCCATGCCAAACAAATCGTTACACAATTAAAAACTAATTAGAAACATTTTAAAAAGTAAAGAAAACATTAGGATAGCAGTACCTTAAAGCAAACTACGATGAGTTCGGCATTGTCTCCATGTGCCGACCCAGCAAATGTATAGTTATGTAGAATTAGGAACATTCCATTTGTTACTCTCTCTATGTGGTCTTTCATGGCAGGGAGGGGGAACTTTGCGACCCAACTGAGACATCGCAAGGCTGTGGATGCTGTCTACAATAGAGAAAAATATGAATGATGATACTTTGTTCAATTCAATCAGAAAAAAAGAATCCATCTTATCAGTGTAATGAGATTACCAGACGGTTTAGTGCTGCCGCCTTTTCAATGATGATTTTTTAAAAATCTAAGTTTGTATTCGCGAATGCAACTTTCGGCTGTTGGCTACCGGATCAACCTTCTATTTTATGGGCAACACATTCAAATATGAATAGTAATGTCACTATTCCATTCATATTTAAATGAGTTGGTCATAAAACAGTAGGTTAATCCAGTAGCCAACAGCCAAATGTTGCATTTTGCGAATACAAGCTTCTGATACCAGCAATTCATTTTCCACTTTGTAATACAGTACCAGAAAACCCACCCTGTCAACCATTTTGTGGCCTATCTGATATGTGGGGATCCTATTTAGTCATATGCAGTCATAAGCTAATTGACCTCCAGTATATTCCACTGTACCATAGCTATACATTTATCGATGATTTTCTTACCTTGACATGTTTGGAATGCAAGCAGTCAGCCAGTATAGGAACAAAAGGGTCCAACAGTTGGAGATGTTCAACATTGGTACTTAGCAACTTAGCTCTCTTCAGTAGTAAGTGGAGCAACTGGAAAATAACAAATTGGTACTCCCATAAAGTAATTCAGCGCTGCGGGGTGATTTACAACACGTCATAGCAATAAGGATACCCCTAAATACTATGATCTAATCGTTAAGACATACAGTGATAAATATCACTCTTTTTATCATAAAATTCAAAATGAACACCAAGTTATTTACCAGACATGTCTAAAACAGAATCAGATCCTGGCACTAAGCTCTCGCATCTGTATAATTTTCAAGTTGAACGGCAATATTCCAGGAATTTTAATGACAACATTTAGGCTGTATGGTACCTGTATGCCCAGATGTGCCATGTATGACCATCAGCACAAGGCAATGCCAAAACAGCACTTTTAAAAAGTGTTTTAAAAACATTAATTTTCTTAAGCCCTTACCTGCAGGGCAAACTCTACCAGGATATGTGCATTCGTGGTTGTGTTAGTGGGGGGCTTGACACCACCACGAGTGGGCAAGGCCTGCACAATGTAGGTGTTTGTAGGCTTGAATCGAGGATCAGCAGCTGGTTTAGCATTTCCCTTAGACCTGGAAATAGTGAACAATATACAGGTAAACAAACATTGTGTAAGTGGAACACCAAGTGGTAGTTCAAAATAGTGTTCCATTTGGGAGGTGTTTCACTTAAAGATGTTATTTTATATTGGAAGAATGGATAATAAAACTTTGAAGTGTTCCACTTAAGGGGGTGTTCCACTTACAGAGTAATTCCAATTTACAGGCTTAAGGGTTATGTACTGGAAGATATACATTGTGGGTAAATGGCGAACAAATGTTACTGTATGTAGCCCAATCACTGTCAATTTGCCCAGTTTGACATTTAACAAGCAGTTGACAGAACACAACACAGCCCATTTTTATGGTTTTTCTCATTTTCAAGTGGGTGCAAATGGATTTTCAGGTGGGCGCAAGGTTATTTTCAAAATCCCAAGTGGGTGTTGCGCCCACTTGCTTTAATGCTGGGGAGATCACTGCTAGTCACTAAAACTCACTTCTGTTTCTCAGTGATAATGGGCAGAGCATCCTGTGTCAGTCCATGTGAAAAGATGAGCATCTTCTCTATAGTAAGACCTGTGTTCTCTACAAGCCCTATGGACACTCTGCGTAACACCTCAATCAGCTTCTTCGTGTTCTTGTGACTCATACTGGACTCCAATATCTAACACAAAATTTGATATACTCGAACATGTACATGAATTTTAGAGACAATATATTTTGTTTTGTACTTTATCAAAAAAATGTCCACAATTTCAATATGTACCCATATGTTTTATCAAACCCCGAGTAATCTCAGATCACTTTATACTCTTTATTCTCTTTTTGTTTTTTTTACATCTTTATCAAATTCAACTTTAATACCTTAATATTGATTGCAAAGAAGCAGTCAATAGCTGTTACTCTAGCTAAGGTTACATTAGAATGTTAAAATAAAATTTCTCAAGTTGAAAACCTTACCTCCTTCAAAGGCAGTATCAACTGGCCTAGTGACTCAGCACCAACAAAGCGAGCTATGATCTCATATGAGTCGTAACTCTTACTAGTCTTGGCTTCAAACAGTTTGCCAGTGATACCAGCAACTTCTTTTTCTTCAGCAACCTCTCCAAATAACTCCTCATTGAATACCTGCAACATGGAAGACAAGAATATTTTAATCCTTTTTAAATGAAACTATTTTTCACACATTTGTCAAGATAAGTAAATGATTCCAGTTCAGAATCATAATTCTTGACAGGTAGGGTCATTTTATACAATAGCTCACCATGTGAGCTAAAAAGGAGTCATTCAGTGACTTTTCATGGTGAAAATTCATGCTTTCAAAAATGTAATATTTTGACAAGAAGCAGATTTCTTCAAAACAAGACAAAAACAGGAGCAGTAATGTTATAAATTACCAGTATGGACCCCATATCACAGAGCACTGGTTCAGATGAAAAGTAGTTTTCATTTGTCTGAAAATTGTTCATGTATGGATAGATGGAAGGACGGACAGATGGAAGGACAATGGGCAGATTGACAAGTGGGTGATTCCACAAGCTCGTGAAAGCCAAAAATTGAAACCAAATTTATTAATGGAAAATTATAAGATATTATCCTTACCTTCACAAGAGGTCCTAAACAGGAATCAAAGTCTCCAGGACTAACTACACTGGTGAGACTATGTAAGAGGGAGTTCACAGTAAAACACAACACATGAAGCTGGAATATGAATATATCAAAACATTTATGGATAGAAATACATGTAGATAAATTATATACATTGTACAATGATACAAGATACAAATACATCAATATGTAGAACCATCCAAGAAACAATTCAGAACCTTAAGATTAAACTATACATTGAGCTAGAATTGTGCACTCATCATATCGTATGAAGCCTATTTTAACTAAAATGCAGAGCACCTCAATAATGAGCATATAATTAACAAATATAGTGCACTATAGAATTATAAATCAAACTTCAATGTATGCAAGATTTGAATTATGTGTTACTATTGTTATATTACCTGGTACCCCCTGGTCAATGTGCCTCTCATCTCATGTAAGACATACCCCAAATACCTGGGCCCTACACTCTCCATTATCTTGATGAGCGTATCCCGGGCAGAGACACGGATATCTTTAGCCCGAGATTTCAGGAATTGACATACTTTGAGGATAACCCTGTAAAGATACAATTCAAATTTTATCACATGTTGTGGTTTTGACTCTCTTGAAATGAAGATTCTCTTTCAATTTGTAATATCATCTATCAATCCTAATAGTTGTCTTTTTCATAAGGGTAATTATAACAGATATCTGAATTTATGCTGGATTTATATTGGCATCGTTAAAATATGTTTCCATTATCATTTTCTACTCACCCTGGTAGGTTATTCTCTAAGCTTGCCTTAGGAAGATGCTGCATCAGTTTTACCATAGCCAGAGCTATGGGAACACGTAGGATCTCTTCATCCTCAGCATATTTAGAACCCCCAGACATCTTATGTTCGCCATCAGTCTTAGCCTAAATGGAGACAATTAAAAGATCAAAAGGTATTCTAACACCTCACTAAAAAGCTATGACTTAATTTCAAGTTTTTAGATGCAAGAGCAGGCAGATCTGACAAGGTTCTTGGCATGCTGGGTAAATTACAAGGCAGCCATTTTGAAAATTGAAATTCAAAAACTTCACAATATTTTCACCTTTTTCACGAGCACTTTGTGTAGTTGTGGTAGGGTAATCTTCACAATCATCCTGTGTATTCTGGTTGCTAACCCACTGGGGCATTTCACTTTCTCAATCTTACACTCTGTGTCTTCACTCTCAGTGACTTTCTCATCTTCTGCTGTCTCCATAGCAACTGGATCAGTGTCAGTTTCTATAGTAGCATCTTCTTCCATTTCGTCCAGTTTTGTATCATCATTTTTGTTGTCACTATCTTTTGTAGCTGTTTTCTTTTTAATAGGATGACTGTCATATAAACCTTTAGATGCACTGAGATCAAAATGGAAGGAATCCAAGATGGCCACCAACAATCTTACAGTCACTTTCTGGTTAGTAAGCGAAACCTTTGTCAATGAGCCTAAATGCTGCCGTAGCAACAACAGATAATGTGGCCATGGTAACCGTTTACTAATAGCACCAATGGTGTCAATTGTGGCATCAATCAAGTTTGTCTGCTTCAGATACTCTTCACCAAGAAAACTAGTTACCAATGGCAACAAGTATGATGTCAGAGATTCAGTTTTTAATGATTTAGTTCCGAGATATCGGACTAGTTTCCTGAGTGCTTTTGCCCGTCTGTGAACCTGGATGTGTTTGATGTTCTCGAAGAAATCTGCCTCTGGGTCAGGGTCTGATAACTGGTCAAGGTCTTGAAATACTGCGGGGGTGGTGTAGTGCTTTATCAGAACATTGAGTACGGAGATAAACTCATGTCTCTGAACCTGTAAGAATACAAACAGAAATGAATTGACATTTAAAGAAACATTGTAAACTTGTATGAATGTTGGAAAACTTGTAGAACAAAAATTGATTGTTCAAGCCATAGTCTAAATTACTTAAAAACAATCAAAACCTATTGAAAACCTCAAAATTAATTTACCTCTGTTTTGAGGCGCATGCCAGACTTGACTAGAGGTACAAGTGTCTCCACTATGAGAAGTCTCTGTGTATCCTGTGTCATCTCTAGACCTGCCAATCTCTTAGTTAGTTCTGTGATACAATAGGTGGCACTCTCTCGCAGTGACATGTCATTCATCTGTGTTGGAAGAAAATAAACATATTTTGTAAAGAATAAATTACCTGGATTAAAAAAAATTTTAAACAATTTTTATGAGTAAAAATTGTAAAATACTGAATAAATTAAACTACTGAGCTAGCTCCATATTCCTACCTTAGATATGACATGGCAGCAATTATGGTATAGAGCTAGCACCATATTCTCATCCACCATTTTCATGTTAGCGATAATTGAGTTAATTTCCCTGAAAGCATCCAGTCTCTGGTTATAGTCAGGTTCCTCCATTCTGCGCTTGTCCCAGGAGTTCAACTGCAACAAAAAGTTAACATTCAAAAAGAAATGTCAAAAGGGACAATTTCCAATATCTTTATCCTATTAAATTGTTTAAAATAGTTTGAAAAAATTACAAATTGTCAAATGAATTGAATTAGTCGCAAGGTTTGATCAACCTTTCATAAATGTGCAGAAAGAATAAATGCTGGATTTTAAGTCATCTTCAAGTGACTTACTTTACATAGCAAATCGGCAAGTTTTTTCAGGGACTCGTTTTTGTCTCCAATGACACGTATGACATCACAGAGAGCATTACGTGCCATCCTATCGTCAATTGCACTAAATAATCTACAGATAGGTCTGAAATAAAATGTACTTACATATGAATTAATATATTTATTTTAAAACTGTCAAAAATGCTTGGTTGAAGGAAGCTTATTACAGTAAAGCCTGCGAACAAGGAAAGCTCTCAAGACTGGCCAAAACTGTTCCTTGTAAACAGGTATTCTCTACAGAGAGGATTTAGTAACATGTAAGTCAATGGAAAATATCTAATACTTTTCAGAAAGGTGTTCAATTAGACAGGTTTTACTGTAAGATACAAACCTTTTCATTTTCCCATTGTTTGGCATTTCATTAGAAAACTCAAGAATTCCATTCTTATTAATCCGTTCTAAAATTGTTTCAACATGATATATGCTCTATGTTCTGAAAAAATACCAGTTATGTCTTACCGTATAAACTGGCCAGGGTTATGCACCAGCCTTATGAGGTTACAGACTGTTTTGAGTATACTGAGCCCAGTCTCTTGATTTAGACTGACATTTGCAGCCAGGAATGGAATCAACAGGCCAATCACAACAGCACTCTGTTCTGGCTCCGTCACAAATATGCTCAATCTGAAAATATGTTTAGCAAACACAAATAATCAACTTAATTAGACAAATATTATATTAATTTACTACATGTGTATAAAGAGAAGTTTAAGTTTTACAGTATACATGTTGGTTTGAAGCACAAAAACAAAAATATACAGAGATAAACTGCAGAGAAAAAAGCAACACAAGATGTTATGTGAATAAGGTTGGAATTATAATAGATGGCATCCAGTGTACTTTTAGGAGAGGCATGTGTATTGCAATCATTACTCTTGTATCAATCCCTCATAAATTGTACACCCCGATGTATTATAACAGATGGCATCCAGTGTACTTTAAGGAGAGGCATGTGTACTGCAATCATTTCTCATGTATCAATCCCTCATAAACTGCACATTTCCATGTGCAAATGTTAGGAAACAAGGTCTGGCAGAAAGGACCAAAGACTTGATGCAGGACTATCATCAATATTCTCAAAATAACTTGGTAATTACCTCAAACATATTAGAAATATTAGAAAAAAAGTTTATTGTACATTTGCATTGTTTAAATGCATGTAATAACAATAAAAAGTAATAAAGCAATAAAGATTCTATGCGACTATTTATTCAAGCTCTGTTCATATTCACGATAAAAGGATATTGAGGTAATTTATAAAACCAAATTGTGCATAAAACTGATCGATCTCGGTTATCTACAAATGATGCCACTGGATTGTTGGGTTGTTGGATTGTTAGAGGGTAAAAGTGATCTATTAGCTCTGGTCTTTGCATTGTTCCAACATATCAGCTCTATGACGTGTATTGCCACCAATGTTGCCCTTTGTGTTTGTTCTTGTGTAATTCAAATTGCTACTTTTCATGAGCGGAAAATTTTTTGAGACTTTGACATTGATTGATGTTGTGAATATACTACCAAAATGTCAATTAATACATATAATATTAATAACTTTGGTTTAAAATAAATAAAAAAAATTTTGTGAGGTTATTAAAAACTTGAATAAGGCTGATTATTTCCATTTATTTCTGTGGTTAAGTATAATGAAATGTCAGTGCTCAGAAAGTCGTTTTAACTCAATATTGTGGGACACCAGAATGTGTTGTTTTCTATCATATGAATCATGTTCTAAAATATCTCTTTCATTTTTGCCTTTTAAACAATCTTTTTCTTTATCTGTTATAACGATTGTTCCATTTTTCTGGTCTACCTACAAAAATGTTGTCTATACTGTGTATGATAACACATAGAAATCCCTCCATGATCTTTACCTGTTTAATTCTACATCACATTCTAAATATTTTATTTGGGGGATGTTTGCACAGTTGACGGAACCTCACATCACACCACAGAATACGAACAACCACAAATGCTTTTTATGCTGATATCAAATAAGTTTAGTTTGAATATCGCAACTGAAGAAGACAATTCAATCATCCAGCAAACAAGAATAAGCAAATATGAGGCTCGCTAAGGTGACTATCGTGTGTTTTCTTGCTACTTTGATTCTGGTAACATCGACCGAAGGGAAGGGGAAGAAACCATGCGTTTCGCACCCAACTGCAACATGTAATAGAAACACATGGCCTAAATGGAGTTGCCCAAACACGTACAGGTGTAATAAAATGGATGGGGTGTGCTGCAGAGAGAAGAGCTTTCCAGAAAGTTGCATTCCTTTTATTGACAAAGCGACGAATGCTCCATATAAATGTAGAGGAGGACATAGCATAAGTTGTAACACATTACCAGGGCCAGAAAAATATATTTGTGTCACAGATCCTTCTGGAAAGAATCTTTACTCCATGTGCTGTGTGGATTCAGCGTGCTATGATAATTCTGGGAACATCCACAGAAACTCTGAAGGTGAATGGACTGAACTGGATGGTTGTACAAAATGTACATGTGAATCGAACAACATTCGCAATTGTGATAGCACAGCATGTGAAAACAAATGTGGTATGTAATTTTGGTGTAGATTTAATAACAATACAATGTTTGAAGTGAAATAAGGTGATGATAGTCCTAATTGCAAATAAAGTAATCAATAACAATTGTTTTCAACAGTCATACTTCTTTGAAGTTCAGTGGAATAATGAAGTCCCAGTTACCTCCTGACCTTGACATCAGTCATGTGATCTTTGTCCAGGGGATGGATCATTCTTACTTCATTTATTATATACTTTCATATGTACTTCTCCCCTCAACAAACTGTTTATAATTTCATAAATCCAATTATTGCATAATTATTATCTATCCAATGTAGGTGAATACTCAGAGTTTTCTCCATGCCCAGTTAACTCATGTGGAAAAAAGATCAAGATAAGAAAATGTGAAGAATCACAGCGTAACACTGAACTGAGCATGGATATATGTCTTCCCCAGCCCCCAGCACAATGTCCACAACCAGGGATTGCTTTAACTGAAGCAATTCCAATCATCCCAGGGGGAAATGAGGTGTCTCCTAGATTCAATTACAGATGGGCGGTTGCTATATATTATGCAGGTAGTATTCGCTGTGGTGGCACAATTCTCAGTCCAAATCACATTCTAACAGCTGCTCATTGTTTTTATATGATGGTTGAACCTCCATATAAAAATAGCAAAGCTTGGATTCAAAGGTCTTACGAAGTTAAAACAGGCAAACATCAATTATCTTCATCAGAACCTAATGAACAAAGTAAATCGATTAAAGATGTTTTCATTCATGAGGAGTTTGATATAAACACATTTAATAATGACATTGCTATCGCTGTACTTGATTCACCCATTCAGTTTAACAATCATACACATCCAATTAAGCTTCCAGTTCACAACATATTTAATCAACGTATCAAAAAGAAATTAAGAAAAGGTCTATGTAAAGTTATAGGATGGGGAGCTACTGATAGTAGGGACATACATAATTCTAAGTCTGATGTTTTATTGGAGGCAGCAATTAATCTTGAAGAATACTGTACTCTTACAAACCCAAATGATACAGCAAAGGTGACTGACAAGATGTTCTGTGCAACTGCTATTAACCCTGAAAATGTACCCATAAGACTGGATGCATGTCAATATGATTCAGGGGGTCCTTTAATGTGCCGTGAAGGGAAAGAATGGTATCAGTATGGTATAGTAAGTTGGGGACCTAGTGATAAATCATGTGGGGCCCAAGCTGGGGTATACACTGCCGTATCTAACTATGTAAATTGGGTCAAAAAAACAATCTCAACTCCTGGGGGCTGGGGGGAGTTCAGTGGATATTCACCTTGCTCAGAATCGTGCGGAGGGGGAACCAGGTCCAGAGTGAAGGCATGTACGAACCCACGACCCATTGGCAATGGAAAATGTCGTGGCTTTTACTTCAAGACCACTGATGGTGAAATGGTGGACATAGAAGATGAGGAATGCAATACGGAACCATGTTAATCTCAAGACTATGAACTGTTGCATGAACTTAACATGGACAATTGAAATTAACATGTATATGAAAAAAGTGAATTTTCGCTCAAATAAATTATTGGATGCATATGATGATATAATATAAGAAATGTTTGTCATGTTGTTGGTTTGAGAGATGCAGATTATTGACTAAAAAATAGAGACACATAACCCTAGACATAAATTGTTACTTAGCAAAAGAACATCTGAAAGCACCCCTCTGAAATTAAACTTAAATGTATATGAAAACCTTCCAAAACCCTAATATATTGAATGCCAACTGAAGATTTGTCCCCTATTGAAGAGCTTAGAGAGTTATTTTTCTTAGATATAGAAAAACTGATTTTTCTGCAAATTTAGAAAAACTTTGGGTCACCCATGTCAGCTTTTAACTGGTCTGAGTTGGACCAGTTTGTCTGAAATCCAATTAAGAAGCCTCGATTTCAATTTTTTTATTTTAAAGTTTAAGTTTATTGATCCATTCTATTTATATACATACATATTATAACAATGTGACACGGAGCGTATATTGTGTTTTTTATAAAAGATAAAGGTCATATAAGAGTAAAATAATTATCTTGATCGACATTCTTTGGTGAACATTACCTGGACAGTATCGCCAATTCTTTAGCAGGTACAGTTTGTTTTCCAGTACGTTTCTCCGCCATCTTTGCAACAACACGACTGAGATGTGCAAACACCAGGGGGACATGTGGAAACAGCAGCTTGACGCCATAACTTGGTGCCTCTGAAATATGAAGAAGGTAGCGTGAGATAACAGAAATACCAGGGGAACCTGTGGGAAAAATAGCTTGATATAATTAGCTTGTGGCCTCTATTACATGTTTATACATTTTTAGTGTATTAGGTATGTGGGGAAGCAAGAACTCCCAAAATCATTAAGATCGATGCATATACCCAAAGCTGGGATAAAAGCTCCATTAGTGATCTTGTGCTAGGGGGCGCTGTTCTGCAAAACAATACTTCATGCAAGGTATAGAAACTGTATCGAGCTGACATAGAATTACAACAAATATGTGGTTTTTAATCATGTTCGAGATGAAATTGCTATTCACGCAGGTGTTTTTAATCATTCAATCTATAATGATTTACATTGCTATATAGTCATAATGCATGATCATTTGTATATTTTAATGCTGCTTATTTCGATTTGATAGGTCCAACATTAGTAAAGCTACAACTGTTCAGGGGCCATTTCTTTGTAATCTAAAATTAGCAAAATCAGCAGAAATGTAAAAATAGCTGACCAGTTCATCAGTAGTAGCAATGATTTTTGGAAAAATAAGAAGTAATTCATTTCAGTTATGTAAGAAAACAAAGTGTTTAAACTGCAAAGGGTAAAATACTAAAATATGTCAAAAAATAAATATTAGCTTTACAAACCATTACATATGTTAAAGGGCATTATCAAAAATAAGAAAACTGAGTGAAGTCGCACAATATTTGACCATCAAAATGCATTATTTTTATTGAATGTTGCAGCGTCTCTTGCAGAAGAGCTCTACTGGTGCTTTTATCGCAGATAGCCTGTTTACAACAAAGCGGCATACATTTAAAGGGGAAAACTGAGTACAAAAGGAAAATCGAACAGCCTACAGAACAGCAATTTAACTGTTGAAAATATTTGATTCATTGAAACCAGTAACGATTTCTAGAAAGTGCCAGATAACCCAATTAATAACAGTATGAAACCCTGAAGAAGATGACTGTGATATCAGATCTAAGCATCATATATTATATTTTAAGCAATCTCATATTTTCTCCTCTGTATTACACTTAATATTACATAATACACCCGGGTGCTTCAATTAAATTAATTTCCTCGTTAATAGCATCTTTGTTTTGTATAAGGTCTAACCTTCAAACGATTTTTCCAAGTCTTTGACCTGGACACAATGTTCCACATGTAGCATGACCTCCCCTTCCTGTAGGTCCTCATCTCTGGTTGTCAACAGATTCTCAACAATCTCCATCACCATGGTAACAACATTGGGACGTACATGTGGCGATGCTAGGAGCGCAAGGATGTTGGGTAATGGTGAAATGTCATCGCTGTCTTCTTTCAGCTTTGAGAACAATGTAAAATACCTAAAAATATACAATATACAAATACTGAATTCTAATGAGGCGAATAATTGTGCATTTTACTTCACAAGCAATATTCCCTGAAGCTAGAAGTGCTAGGGGAAAATTCATATTGAACCAAAATGGAATTGAATATTTGTTTTATTATTCACTGTTAATATTCCTCATGCTCAATAATGGAAAAATAGCAAACTAATAAAACTTGATGTTTTATGTCTGATCAGATTACATTTAGCCTATTTCATAATGGGATATATTTGGGCATAATACAAATAATTCTCTCATCACGAAGTATATATTTACCTTGGATTCTGGCTCCACATTCTGAAAACCTTCAACAGTGGAGTTGGACTGTGTACACCTTCAATTGGAAGGTGTTTCAGTTGGTCCAAAACGACAGCGTGGAATACAGCACTGATCTCATTGGCTGAGAATGGGTAGCTATCAAAGTGGCTAAAATACTGCAATCGAAGTAAAATTCACAATTTAATTTTGGATTTTATTTAAATCCTTCATGTTTCTATTGTACACAATTTTAATCAAAAATAAAAACTACATGTAAACAATTAAGCATAAAACATTTCACACAGCACCATACTTGCCAGCCTACACCGAGGGCATTTCATTGTAATCTCAAGAAAGCCTATGCTAAAGCAGGTTTCCTACAACCTTTTTAGAAAGAAATTCTCTGACATTTCATACCTATTTTGCCAAATTCTAAAAATCCTGAATATGACAACACGTCCAAGGGTGTTTGAAAATATACATTCATTTCACTGACATGTCCAGGTCTGTATGAACCCTGCACATTAATTTACCTGGTTGATTCTGTCAATTGTGAGATGTCTAAGAGTCTTGAGTGTGTTGATGGCTTTAGGGTTGACACGCTCCCTCCTCTCTAGAATCCGAGTACAGTCAGCAGCCACTCCTAGCATGATTCGCAATATAGATGGTAGGTAGGAGTCCAATAGGTGGCCTAGCTTGTTGAATATGACCTCTAGAGTACCCAGTACACTACAATGGTAACAACTCTGAGATTAAACATGGACTAGTCTATTTGGTATAAATCTGAGAAGTCTTAAATTACTCAAAAATACAAAATCTACAGTAAAAGCAATGAGGATTGGCTCCCAGGGTAGGGGTCCCGACTCGATATTCGACCTTGACCTTGATCAATGACAACATTGAAAATGTCATTATTCTCTGATATTATAACTGACTATTAATTAATATTCAACAGTCCAAAAGACTCAAACCAATATATCATAATTAATAATTATAGGACGAAGGGCTATTATTGTCTTTCTATGTTATAACAAGTTGTAAAGTAATGAAATTAAATAAACAAAAAAGTTGTTTGGTTGTTTACCTTTGTTGTCTTCTCAAAGGTATGACTTTACTTATGTTGTCATTCTGCAGTATATCACACACAGTTTTATTGATGTCATCAGCTGGAATGAAACAAACACATCACTGGATTACAATTCCTTACGGCTCCTATCTCAATGTGCTAAAAATCATCAATATTTTAGAATTTTATTAAGTTTTATAGAATTTAGTATTTCATTTCAAATTGAAATATTATTTAGCTAGAATCAAAAAATCCTTTTGGGAGAACTTATTTGAGTTGAATGAACTTCTGTTCACACATAGCAAGGTGTGATATATCTCATTCCCGCCAATCAGAAAACATTCATGTAAGGCTATAACCACCCACATTCAGTCTTGATACAAGACATTCATGCTTGAAACCATCCACAATTCATTCAACCCTGGGCTTATATCCTTGACTGACGCATATAAAATACATGTAAACCAAAAATACTCACATTCAATTAAATGCTTGAATGGCTTGAATATGAGATCCACGAACACTTTCAGTTCATGTTGCTTGCAGCCTGCTAGGAACCTGAAGATTATTCCTCTACGTACACCAGCCTGGGCTTTCCCTTGGGTATCATTCCCCGTCTTGGTGTACATCTTACCATAAAGGAGCCTACAATTACAGAGAAATTATGAAATATCTCAGATTATTTCATAATTCCAAGTATACAATAGATGGCTTGCCAAACACTCAAAGCCATTATAGGGCAAGCTTGCCTATAAATATCTCAGATCAAAATGTAAAAGTTCTACAAACAAACTCATTACCTAATATCATCATATACAATTTCTACTTTTTTCCACTTTATTTGTATAATATAACATGACCTATGTGTTATTTCATCTGACAGGATATGCCTCCTAATTCATAAGTAGAAGTTGTCTCTGAACAACAATAACATACCTCATAAATTGAGGTTGTCTCTGAACAACAATAACATACCTCATAAATTGAGGTTGTCTCTGAACAACAATAACATATCTCATAAATTGAGACTGTCTCTGAACAACAATAACATACCTCATAAATTGAGGTTGTCTCTGAACAATTTCATAGCTCATAAGTACATGTAGAAGTCTTCTCTGAACAACAATAACATACCTCATAAGTTAAAGTTGTCTGAACAATTTCATACCTCATAAGTTGAGGTTCCCTCTGAACAAGAATTGCATAGCTCATAAGTTGAGGTTGTCTCTGAACAATTTCATACCTCATACGTTGAGGTTCCCTCTGAACAAGAATTCCATACCTCATTGTTTATCTCAACAACAATTACATACCTCTTAAGTAGAGGTTATCTCTGAATAACAATAACATACCTCATTAGTAAAGGCAATAGGTTATCTCTGTGTTTAGCATCCACTACTCCAGTTTCAGAATCTATACTGAACAGAACAATCTCATCCTTAAATGTCTTGTCATCCAACAGACGCTCAAAGTTAGCCCTGCAACAAAAATATTTTAGATTACATATTCCCTCCGAAAAAGATTATGAGGGATGTAGCCCAGTTTTATCACAAAACTTCTATGGAACCACTTTTTTTCCTACATTACTGTATAAGTGGTAATTTTGCCTAATCATTTAATTTGCCTATTTCCTAATTTTTTCCAGGTTCGGAAAATTAAATGTCGGAAATATTATCTTTATAATGTTATCCAATGGGAGGTTTCTTGTCATTAGGAAAATTAAAATTAGGAAAATTATGAAATTTGACCATTCGGAAAATAAACCACTGGATTAAATACCACTTATACAGTATCTTGTATTATGCTTGTTACCTGAAAGTATTCAGAATGATTAACAGAACAAACTGAGAACTTTTTACCCCTCTCGCAAAACAGATTTGTCTGCTATGGGAGAGTTCAAATATATGTCAGATGATATAAAAGGGGTGTTAACTTACTTGTAAGGCCTGAGGTACTTGTGTTTGTATGCCCATATACAGTCATAGGCCACCCTTTGTACATCATGGTCTCTATGTAGCAATAACTCATTATAGAGATCTGTCAATTGGGGCTCCATGTAGATATTCTTAGGATTAGAGAACTTGGCAAACACTCCAAGGTGGATCACAAGGGATCTGGAATGACATTTTTAATTCAAATTTAAATATCAACTTTACAGACTAATTTTCTACAAAATAAGAAGGGTACACGTAGAATATTGAAATTGAAAATGATTGTATATAACAGACATAATATTGTATGATATACTCAATCAACTTTTGATGTTGTTTGTTATTCAAGAGAAAAAGTTATTGCAAGTATTCAACAAGGCAACATGCAAAATGTTACCACCTGCCATTTGTTACAGATGCTGAACTCCAAAGGCTAACTACCAACCTACAAAAATGTCCACAAAAAGGTTGAAGACTGTAACAATGTGGTAACACAAAAATGAATCTTACTTGCTAGTTGCACGTCTCCTCTTCATTGAGTATTTGTCCTCTTTGGTATGATCTTTCTGATTGGCTACATCAGTGTCTTCTCCATCTGCTTGTAATATGGAATCTGATTGGCCTGTTTGATCTAAGGTTTCTGATTGGTCAGTTTCCATGCTTTCTGATTTCCTCTCAAGATCTTGATAAGGAGCAGTGTCAAGATCTTCAGGATAAAACTCATTTCTGGAGAACAAAAAGAAAACTTGTAATATAATTAATTAAAAGAAAAATATGAATTCATGAGTTCTTTCAGAAATAATAAGTTTTGCTATCTTAACAAATGTTTTATAATTTGAAAGCTCAGTGAAGGATCATCATTACAATTTACTAAGTTAATTGTTTGTACACCAAGATGAATTTCTTATTACTCCATACTGAAGGTCTTGCTTGATAAAATATATCCTGTCTTATTAGTAATGACCCAAATCTTGTGATTGAAATGAGAAAAAGTAAGCCGATTTGTAACACTTACTTAAGGAATGAAAACAGCATAGGAGCAAGATCTCTAGAACGAGGCTCACATTTATCTGGGAATTGAGCCATGGACTTCCACAATAGATGGCGAAAGTTAACATGGTCAGCCCGGTCTTTGACCCGCAAAGACATTAGTTCCTGTTGCTGACAGTAGAGGGCCTCTAGATCAGTGGGTTGTTCATTTTCAGCTGAAGGTTTACGAACTCCCTGCTCTTTATGTAATTCTTTTTCTGAAATATGTGAGAGAAGCTAAAGAGCTGTAGACAACAGTATTTTCATCACATATAGTTTCATAATACAGCAACATAACAATTACGTACCGTATGTTGCAATAAACATTTTCTCGAAATTGGTGGTTAAACACATGTAATGTAGTTTCAGGCATCTTTTGAATAGAGCACAATAGTGAATAGAAAAGGATTTACAAATGTGTCATGAAGAACGTAGCGCCAATCATAGTGGGATTTAGTTTTGTGAGGACTCTTATGTCATACCATTACATAAGACACCTTTGATATATCAACTGAGTCAACAAAATATGGATATAATACCTGCTAAGCTGGCAGAGCTCTGTAGGAAGGGTAGCCATGTACCCCAGAACTCCATCCTATCAAGGCCATCGGCGTGGGACTTAATGAGCTGTATGACAGGGTCCCACATCATGGTAAAGTTAACATATAACATACCGATGAGGTATCTAAGGGGCACCTGGAACAATCAATGTTAAAAGAAATAGCACAAATTATCAAAACCCTTGAATAAAGCATCAGTCACATTTGCTCAAAAATGTGTCAAATATGAAGATAGATGCACTTATTGAACATATTGTATATTTAATACAGATTTGTGGTTTAAGCCTCAGTCACATTTGATCTACTGCAACCGTGCGGAGGCCGTAGCTTCACAAAAATTGATATAAAAAATCTGTAATGCAAATTCCCTATATTTTATGCTGCATATTTCTCTCGATTTTGGGAAGCTACGGCTGCCATACGGATGCCATACAGATGCCATAGATCAAAGTAAATAAGACATTATCAAGAATCGAGCAAATTATACTTGATATGGAGAGAAAATTTATTTCTAATTTGCCTGAATTTAAACAGCTTATCAGTTGCAGAGGAGTATAAAACAAGTCACATGAGATAAATATTTATTTACCAGTTTATATGGTCCTTTGGGTAAAATATTAGTTACAATCCCATGTTCCAGTTTGCGTAGATATTTCAATTTGTCTCTGTAGGTGTGTATGTTTGCTATAGTCAGTTCAGCAGAGAGACAGATTTGGAAGACATTTTGTGTTGCTATAGGAACATCTTCAGAATGAGGCATGTCATATTCAAAATGGCTGAAAATCCTGAGGGTCAGCAATCGATTCTGGAAAAAATGTAATTTAAAACTGGTTAAACTTCATTTACTATAAATACATGTACTAAGTAAATTAAGAAGTTTTGAGAAAAAGGTTCTTAAATTTTTTTGGTACAAGCACTTTACAAAATTTAAAAAATCCAAACAGACCTCTAAATTTGCATAAATCAGAAAACTAAATACAGTCTTTAAGAGATGTCACTGAGATACAAATAACTATGTCTAACCTGCTGATAACAAGAACTGATATTATTTTGTAACAATGGGAACAGTTCACTGGCAATAGCAGGTGTTAACAGTTTTGACTCCCCCTCCAGGCTGGCTATGGTGAAGTAGAAGTCAGCAGACCTCAAGACGCTCACATCATCAGGGTGGTGTCTGAAATGTGAAACATCAAGGTGAATTGTGAAAAAATGTGAAAACAGTATAAGATGTGAAAAAGTATAATCATTCAAATTTTATTGGGTGAACATTTTTCAAATTTGTTCATTTTGCAGATTGAAAGAAGTCAACAAAGTACGAGTATACACATGTCGAAAATACTGGCCATGAAAATCATGCATGGAACTGAAATATACCGTATGTAAAGTTAGGCATAACAAAGATGGAATCCCATGGTTGATCTAATAATATTTACGAATGTACATACTCCAGAATGTATTTCACTGTATCAAATGGCAAAGCTTGTAGGAACTCTTTGCCTTCCATAAGGGATGCCATGGTTATGACTAGTTGTCCTATGAGAGGTAAAAGGTCTGCAGTCCAGTCCTCTGATGTAAAATCTGTTGCCATGGTAAACAAAGTAACAACCTTCTTCTTGCACGCTTCACTATCAACAGGCCTTCAAGCATATCAAATCAAACTATGTTAATTGCAAAAGATAGGAGTGTAATATGTTGGACTCTGTTATCAATTTGTCAATATGTATTTCCTTTATAATCCTAATTTTATCATCTGGAAACAAAAGAATAGTGATACAAAAGTAATTGAAGATCAAAATGCAGAAATGTTCAAATTGAAAAGTGAATGTCTTTAAAATTTATTGCCATAATCTTAAAAAATAATTCATGAATTAAGTCAGAAATCATGGATTTCTAGCAAGAAACACTGTACTGAGGAAGATTAATGGAATTCATAAGGTACGAATCATTGTATAAGTCAATAGGGTCCATCTCAACAAATCTTATTCTGGTATGGAGACCAATTACATAACTTAATTACTTTTTAACTGTTCCATTCTATTAACATTTCATTCTGAGAATGGTTTGCACAAAAATGCAAACTGAGACACTGAGGTCAAACACTTACCTAATATGCGGAAGGCATACAAGGGCAGCCCATATTTTACTGCACATAGATGGCTCCACCAGGTCCTTCAAACTAATTTCCTTTAGCAACCCTGTGATATAGTCAGCTACAGTGCCCACTTTTGATCTTAAATAAATGAATAACAGTGATATTTTTAACTTATGATTTTGAAACCTAAGACAATGCTTAACTCAATTTTTAATTCCTTGCATTTAAATAAAGATCTTATGACAAATCTCATGAAATGAACAATTTTCTTTCAACATACTTTCTTGTTTTAGCACTCCCAAAGTCCAGTAAATAGTTTGTGTAGGAGTTGACCTGGGATGCATCTGTTGCTAGGGGTGATTTAAACAACAAAAGTTCAGTGATAAACATCAATGTATCCAGCTTGCTTTCTGGAGTTGTTATACATTTCTGACAAAATGCGAGGAGTTTAGGCAGGACATCTTTCTCAAAATGCATCATGGGAAATAATTTGCGGGAGAAACTGTATATGATGGAATGGTCGTAACTTGAAGAATATACCTGAAATTGAAACGAAAGGAAGATCATTAATATTTTCACGACATTTGCATGTATGACTTAACATAGAAAGTTTGCATTGAAATATGGGGTTAGGTCAAAATGCCCCAGTTAAATGATATTGAACACTGAAGTTGAATTATCTTTCACTCAATATTTGATGTCTGGTAGATTTAATTCCAAGTGTTAGTTACTGACAAAATGAAACATTTATATTAAGAATAAAAAGAATGCAACAAAGCACATAAAAAATTAATATAATCTCCTTTGTAGGATGTTTTAAATAAGAGGTCACTGTAACATACCAGTTGCATTAACTTTGAGATGGCTTCAAATTGTGCCCCAGCACTATTGTTTAACAATAGACTAGCAGCGCCATCTAACAGTTGTGTAAGACATTGTCGTTTGAATGTACCAGCCTTCAACATTGCAGAAAAAAGCTGAAATATAGAGAATATGTGTAAAAAACTTAAACTTTAAAAACAAGTAAAACACATGTATTCTACTGAATATATAAATCTAACTTTGTAAAGAGATGGGGTGACCATTTAAAAATCTGAAAATAGGTATCTTCTATAAATAAAAAAAGAAAGATTTTGTAACAATTTGAAAAGAATCGATAATAAAATATGAAATATAATATCACAAAATGTCACAAAGTGGTAAGTTTTTGAAAATGATTACGTGAAAATATTCATTAGATGCAGACTCAGACACAGAATGGTCACAAAATGGTGGCGCTTAACTACATCAAACTTCTTTGAGATGTCATAAAATTGTCAAATGAATTTAGTAAACACACTCAGGAAAAATGAAGTTTTTCTAACCTGCATGGTTGCAGATGCGTCTGTTACTAACGCACCGCTCCTGTACTCCACTATTACATGATGCACCTTCAGGAGACAGTAGAGATAGTGCTCAACCTGTGAAATATTCTTCCCCTTTGCCTTGTCATATATAGCAGTCACCTCAGTTAGGTGTTTCTGTATAGTAAGAAAAACTTGTCAAGGCATAAGTCGAGTCAAACAGTTATTTGGACAAGTGCTACAATAGTGAATGATATTTTTAATAGACCAACACACAGAATCATAAGAGGCATATTTTAATAGCATGATCGATGACCATAGCCTCAAGCAGAATCTTTTTGAGATTTCCATTTTTCACATTAATCATTGATGTATTTTTGACAAGTGTTTGTTAATCCAATTAGATTGAACTCTTTATAGAAAAGTACATTTGATTTGACACAATGAGCTTATGTTGGTTATTTGTTGCTTGTCTTATCATGACTAACAAAACAAGAGAATTTAAGTGGTTACCTGGACAACGGTCCATATAGTAGATACAGCCTCCTTGCTAGTGTGTAGGGTAATTGCTCCCATGGTGACCACCAATGCTTCAGCAATCAGCTCACAGTCATCTTCTGATTTATCTGGTGTTTGGCGTAGTTTACCAAGCAGACAAGGCAGCACCTATGGGTTGGGTGGATAAATGGTGGTGATTATTTTTTTAGAAATTACAAGGTTGATTATTTTTTTGAAATTAGAAAAAGGTCGAAGGAGTAAAGAACAGGCTGACTGTATCAATTTTCAACAATTTACTGTATCAACATCAGCTACTGTACAGTTATGAGATATCATGACTTAATTTTTTTAAATATTTGGAATTGTCTCATAAATTGGATTTTGAATATTTTTATGGTAAATGCCTATTAATTTTTTGTAATCAGATTTACTGTTTGTGTAGAAATACTACAAAATATAACCAAGTTCAAATGCACATGACACATTTCACAAGGGTGATTGTTCAACCACAAAATTAGTACCATAACCTACCTGTAGGTGGCAGCTGTGGAACTGTCGACTGACATTCTTCATCATTTCAAACAACAAACGACCCAAGCCTGGTATCAACTGTAATAAAAACATTCTTGCTTAAAAATACACATTAACAAATATAATTCACACTTTCCTAAATACTTTCAAAATTGCAATTTTACTAATTCTAACATCAACTAAATATCCAAAATCAACATACTCTCAGATTCTCCAAATTCTTCATATTTCTCAAATACTAATTTTACAAAATAACACTTACTTTTGGGTTTTCCACCAATTTTTTAAACATGAAATCAAATAGAGCATCTCTATCCTTGACCTTACGCATCAAAAAGGCAAAACTCTCAGCAGCAAAATTCCTGATATATTCTTTATAGCTCTCATCCAGAAGAGGGCAGAACAACCTGCAATATCAAATGATAATTCACTTTGAGTGAGATTAATAGCACTATTTTGAAGAATGTGGATGTGAAACGTGTAAAATTATGGTCCCCTATGGACTATTTTCACCTCACTTGCATTTACTTTCACGATTGAGTATGGAGGTGTGATGATGGAGGTCATATTATGTTGAATGATGTTTACATTCAAGTTCTCCAAAATGCGTTTAACTTAAACTCTCTAATGTTGTGCACATTCTCGTAATATTCTATTGTAATCATAAACTTGTAAATTGCAAAACTATACCTCTCCTATAGAGTTTGTACATACATGTACATTTTTATATTTTACAATTGATCCTTTGGCTAGTTCAACCCCTTTATACATAACATGCAAAGTCAAACTAAGGAAAGGATATCTGTAAGAGACTTACGTGAAAACATTCTCGATATCTTTTAACAGATGGCGCCACAGGAACTTAAATATGTATGAGAGACACACAAAGATTTTCTCTAGAGTCTCAGTGTCATGGTGATACACTGAAAGGAGTTTCACTAAAATGCGGAAGAATGCAGGAAAGAGTGGATAGAAATCACTCTGCAAGTCTCTGGCCAGCTGGACCACCAGGCTGAAAAAGAAAATGGCAACATAAAAATGGCAATTTCATGGATGAACATCCGAATGATCACATAAAATATGTTTTATCAAATCATTATGAGAAATTCTGTGGAATATCTTTATGAGCTTATAAAACATTGATGCTATACAGGAATGACAAAGCATTTGAGGCAATCTTTAAAACCAAGTGTAATTCCAATTTTATCTGAAGGAAAAAGAAATGCAACTCAATGAGCAGGTTATAATGGTACATGAGATCTACTTACTCCAGCAATGGCTCTAGTGCAAGGCTATCATGTATCTGAAGATGCTTCTCCAAAAGTCCAACAACTATTTCCTGTAATATAACAATTCAATAAATTGTTAAATTTTCCAATGTTTCCAATAGTTACCTAATATATATATAAATGAATTAGAGCAAATCCTACAAATCAAAATATTGCCAAAATGGTAAAATAGCATCATGGGGGAGAAAGAGGATATGCCATAACTCAAGAGAATCTTATCTTTAATTGTTAGATAAATTAACACTTCTAAATAATTCAGACAAAGCTGTGTAAAAGGTATAGTCCAATGAAACTGAAATATTACAATTGGACATGGAAAGAAGTCATGTTAGTGCTATACATTACCTTATTGTGAAGTAACTGGGCAAATGTGTGAACTTTATCACGAATCTCTCTCTGAAAGTTTGCTGAAAGTGAAATACATAAGAGTATATTACTTAAGAAGTATGTATGCTTTCAGTCTTCACATATCAGTCAAAATCAAGCATGGATATGAATCATTTGCAGTTGCCTTAAAACTCTAAATGATAAAACGTCTACATCAATGTTCACATCTTCGATATCATGACTCATGTTCTGTTACGACAATAAATATATAAGACACATAAATCAAACTCTTGAAACTTACTGAAATGTTGAGTACAATTGAGTTCCTGCCATTTCTGTAAACCTTCATAAAAGAATGTATCCTCATCTTCAGGGGTCTCTGTGTGCTTTAGGTTCTTCCTCACGACATCAATGTTCACATTAGAGATGCGGTCAGCAAAGTTTCGAAACTGGCAAAGAATATGGAAGCACAGATTTTAGTTAAGCCCTATCCATCAGCATATAAAATTTGAACCAAATCTGTGAAAAAGTATATGAGTTATCAAAGATTACATTTCTTACGAAAAATGACTGCCATTTTGAATTGAGTGGCCATATAGGATATTTATCCTCAAACAGAGGTCCTACACCCATAAGGCATAAGCCTGTAAAATTTTAATCAAATCCATCCACTGGTATTTGAGTTACCACCCAGAGAGAAGAGCGAATGAACTATAGCATTTTTCATGTTGATTTACCTTATTGTGCTGCCATATTTCAATGGGTTTCTTATAGGTTTTGTAGGGTAAGGGATTGCCTTTCATTTCCTATAACTTGGGGGTATTTAAGAGAAATTTTGGGCTTCATTCAGGAGAGAGTTAGATCGGGGGGAACATCACACATCATTTCTTTTCATCTCATTAATCTCATTTTCATTCTTTCTTTATCGTTGAACAGTTTTATTTTATACTGAAGAGTGTAATTGTACATGTTTAGTCTTTTACTTGGAATAAAGTATAGTTTTATGAGTATATTAATTCTGTGTTAATCTTGTCTTTTTACATTACAAGACCAATCCATATTATTTTATGAAGAACCCACAGAGCTATTTAAACAACAAAGCTCGAAGCTTCATTGGTGGCAGCGGTGGGATTGGTCTTTGTCTTGTAAAGAGATTCTTTTCGCAGTTTTAGTGTCTTTATTTTCATTAAAGAGTGGAGATTAGTTCTCTTAACATCTTTAAATTTGATTAACTTTTACTGAAGAGTGGAGATTAGTTCTCTTCGCATCTTCAATTTAGCTTTACTCTTACAAAAGAGCGGAGATTAGTTCTCTTTGTTTCTCTCTTTTAAGTTAGGTTCATTCTATACTGAAGAGTGAAGATTAGTTCTCTTCAACTCTTTCTTTAGGATTTTGTCTTCATATCAGTTTACTTTGAATGAAGAGTATTTGTGTTCACTGTACTATTAGATATTAACTTTGTCTTCATGCACAATGTTTGTTTATGCGTGCATTTAAGTTGACGGTCTTCACTTTTACTGAAAATGATCTTGCCTTTGTGTACGCTCAGTTAATTTATGCGTAACTTTACCTTGATCTTGTGAACAAAAAGAAGACAAAGAGTCAAGAATATTTGATGTTTACACGTGCTATTGTTAAGGGAATCATCATTTAGTAATGAAGACGGGCTCCCGTTGTAGTTACTTTTAAAATTGAAATACGAAAACGCTTGCATTTCAGCGTTGTACTAATTTCTGTATTTGCTATCAACAAGAAGCTCATGTAACAGGCTCCTGTTTTAGTTACTTCAAAAACACTTTCTTTTACTTTCTTTCTATCCTTTATTTCTACAATTGTGCATGCTAAGACGCATTGCTTTAAAATTGGCAAAATCGAGCGCGTATCTATTTGTTTGGCTGTGGCTATAGTGTTAAGATTGTCCCGAATTGGTGTTAGACGAAATTATGAATTGAGAATATTTGATTTGAATGTTCGAGATCTAGTTTTTGGTCTTTGTATTTTGTAAAAATCCCTGTATTGATGATAAAAGCGTACCAGATTCTGTTTGTGTTTTGATATTACGTATAGATTATAGCTCATTCATTAAATAGAAGTTGATACCTTGTGAATATGGAGGGGAAGGATCAATGTGAAAATGGGTGTTCTGTCGTGTTAGGTTCCGTCGGGGAAAATGAAGATGAGAAAGACGAAAATAATGAAAACTTTGATTTGATTTGGTCAGATAAAAATGTAAGTCTCCATGACGAGAAAGACACAGATGGCAAAATCACGGTTTCACCTGAAAATCAAAATGAAGAAAAGAAATCGTCGGATGGTTTATTAAGGCGTAGTCTTGCTTCAATATTGAAATGCAAGAAATAGAAGAGCGCGTACAAGATATGGATGGGATTAATTGATTGTTTAGTCAAAGAATGTATATAGTGTGTATAAGCAGAGGCCTATAAAACATTTTTATATGTCTCTGGTATAAGTAAATATAAAGGGAACATAGTAGCCCGGACAGAATTGTTCAATGGTCACTTTTTCTTTAATAACTTTTTTAATTTTCAGTATTATCAAAATTTGATTACATATTTGAAAACTAGAGTAAAATTCTGACATACAAAAAAAATATTTAAGGAACATCTCTTAATTAATTGATATTATAGGCGTTCATAGTATGAGTGACGCAAATACATAATTCACCATTTTGTCTCATATTTGTTCAAAATGGCGGCATATTTTGTAGTTTGAATGTTCAGTTTAAAGTTAATATTTAAGAAATGTCATAGGCCTACGAAATCATGTAGACTGCTGCTTTGGTATGAGGTAATGACTGCATTTATAACTTTTTGTTTTAAATTGAGTTGTATGTGCATGTATACCAGTACTTAAAAAGGTTTGTACATTGTATATACAGCATATTGGTAAGGTCGCAGGACTTAAAGTTTTTTGGCCATTCCATTGTTACTCTAAGTGGATTAGCAACCCTAGTTCGTTTAACCTGTGCAACAATAGGGTCATACTGCCACAGTTTGTAATGTCTTTCCCAGTCACACGCCTCTTAACCCATCCTTGGTATGCATGTGAATTGTTCTTCAGCTTTTCAATGGAGCTGTTTGGAGCTCTTGAAAAGATTGAGGACCTACTCTCGTCACACCCCACACATTGCGGCGCCGCCTTTTCACGTCCTCTTGAACACAGCCCCGAACATTTCAATAGAGTTGATTTCATATACCCTTGGAGGGAGTTAATGACTTCTTGTATTTGATGACTCAGTTGCTGCGTTACATTAGGATTGTAACAATGGCAGCATGGCCCTATAGTCCTGTGACAATCTTTAAATATTAACTTTCAACTGAACATTCAAATTCACAAAATATGCCGCCATTTTGAACAAATATGAGACAAAATGGTGAATTATGTATTTGCGTCATTCATACTATGAACGCCTATTATATCAATAAATTAAGAGGTGTTCCTTAAAATTTTTTTTGTATGTCAGAATTTTACTCTAGTTTTCAAATATATAATCAGATTTTGATAATACTGAAAATTAAAAAAGTTATTAAAGAAAAAGTGACCATTGAACAATTCTGTCCGGGCTACTATTTAGTTAGCTAGTTGGTTAGTTTATAGATAGTTAGGTAGATAGTCCGTTAGTAGTAAGTTAGTTAAATGTGTGCTGCATGGGCATTGTTTATCTCGTGATTATTTAAAAGGGAAAAACTACATAATACAGAGTTAAGTAAAAGTCATCAATGCATACCTTAAAAGATCTTTTATTTCAAACTCTCCATGGAATTGCATATAGGTATATTTTAATGGCTAGTGGATGAAAACATAACTTGCAAGAGGAATTGTTAAGGGGAGGTACAGCCTTTTAAGTATGAAAACAGGACCATTTTGTAGTATTGAAGAACATTTTTCTTTATTAATTATGCATAGAAAGAGTCAAACATCCGTATTTGGCAAGAATGCATGTTTGTTTTGTGTCGCTGAATGGATGAATGAGATTTGTCATTTTTGTAATATGTGGTTGCCCGGGCAATTAGAAGTAGCAATTAGAAGTAACAATAAGAAGTAAGCATTTAAGATAATGAGAAGATTGAAAAAGTAACTTTTAAAATGAGATTTCTGAAGACAATTTATGTTTTACAGTAATTAAACGTGTGCTTGTCGAAAATACACATAGGGATCGTTTTATCTGGTTTTATTAAGAGATATGAAATTCCATGAAAATGGAGGGGGTAGTTTGCAATGCGAAATTATGATGGAATTTCATATTCCATTCGTGTAGTAAGGCCTGGCAGTTATATGGTACTTAAATGATGAAAAGTGAAGTCGGTTTCTTGTCATGTGTTCTTGGATATTGCATCTAAGTTGATAAGTTAGCTAGAAGAAAAGTTCAATGTTGTTTTAGATGAGGTTGTGTGGTTGTTACTTATTCTTGGATATTGCATCTAAGTTGAATCATAGGTAACAAATGATCCACATGTAAAGCAGTGGGGTAGAATGACTGATATTTATCCTTGGATATCGCATCTAAGTTGAATCATAGGTATCAGTTAGCCCACGTGCACTGACAGTAACAGTAGTTGGAATTACTCGGTATTATGTAGAATTAGTGCAGTTTTGTTTTAAGACTCGGCCTCATGAACCAGGGTTTGAGAATAATTTTGCTATGACTTAAAGAGGAATCAAATGGCTAATAATTTTAAATATTACTTACAGTGAGCAAGTTGTATCTTTTGAGGATGCGAAAAGCATAAAAGTATATCGCATGTTTTTCTGTTTGTGTATTGTGCAAATTACATCGTAAGATTATGATGATTTTAGTCTATCAAGAACCATATTCCTGCTGGACGGGATAATGTTATCTTTGGGATATCTTGTCTTTAAGTTTCTGATTTTGCATTTTATTGTTTTATTCCACACTATTTGTTATGAGATTTTGCCATGTACATGCTCGAAATAAATGGTTATTTCCCGAGCGGCAACTGGATAATGTTATGATGACGATCATAAATTGTCAAATTTGGGGTTCAATGGAGAATTGAATTGAAGCCCAGGCAAGTGGTTTTCTCAGTTTTGTAAGAAAGTACAAACTGTGGATCCTACAACGAGATTTTGTTATGACAGCCATCAATCATCAGGTTTAGTGAAATGAATACATGAGAGATTAGTCATTTATATTTGAATATAGCAATTTGTTTGTATTTGCATTGTGCAATACATAGCGCTAAGTATGAAAATATAGAATTCTTTGGCAAATTCAAAGTAAAATGCTATTGTGCACTGAGGTGTTACTGATTTACTTTCGGAAACAAAGTCCTAGCAAGAGGGGGCGACCTGATGAAAAGGTTTTAGTAATCTTGGCAGAGTCTGAAACCCATGTTGCATTATTGATGTTAATGTTAAATCGCTAGATATGTATAATTGTGTTATTACTTTTTGGAATTTGTCCTGCCTATTATGGAAAACATGTTAAGCCATATTTATATTATTTCGTACTGTTCGTAAGCAATTTGCATCTTTTATTTTAAAAGACTAACCACTCAGTGCATCTTAAAGATAAAGACAAGTTTCACAAGTAACAATCAGAGATCATTTTGAAGAATAGAGAGAAAATGTAAATAATTTCATGAAGAGTTGAAGTTGAAGAGTTGCTAGAAGAGTTGAAGAGTTGAAAAACGCTCAGTCATGAAAGACAAGTCAAGTGAAAAGTTTGTATGTTGAAGAGATAGAAAGACTAGTTACTTGTCAATGAAGAGAAATTGATGTCTTGAAGAAAATTAAATTTATGAAGAGTTTAGAACACGAAGAAGACTTGTTTATGTCACATAGAAAAGCAAGTTAAAGACATGTTAATAAAAAATGTTTCTTTAAGACACTTTTGGAGAACTTTTTGAGAATTAAAAAATTAATTGCCCGGGATCCCAGTAAGCAATTTCCTATGACGACCTGAAGTAGATGACGACTACCTAACCGTGAAGAAGCGATGAAGATGACCTGTGAAGGCGATGCCTATGTCTTATGGAGATGCAGACGACGCGGATTTCGGATGGAGTGGAGCCACAGAGGATTTCGACAACTGATGAAGGAGCTGAAGATGTACGATCTCCTGTTATTATAAACAATTCTTTTCTCCAACGAAAACGTTTATTATGAACACTGCTACAAGGAAATGGATATTTTATTATGGATTCTTCAGCGAGGATACGGACATATTCGATAATGGACACGATGCGGACGTGCATGTGATATACGGATTATGGATATTATTTCGACTACTAAGACGGTGCATATTTTGGATTCGAAAATATTACATCGTGGACTAGATGCACGTATTACAGCATGGCATTGGATCCAGGACTAGATACGCGGATTATAAAATCGGAACTTATTATGGTTTATTATAACTACGTTTATCAACAGGAACTACGTATGAAGCAAGGATATTTGCACGAACTCTGCGTGGATATTTCATATGGATATTGGATATGGATATGGATTATACACGAACTATGTATGCGGCACTGTGTTAATAAACATTCATATAGGACATTGTTAAAATATCATATACATTTATTTAGATTTTGCATATTTTCAGTTTTTTTAGTACGTACAATATCAGGAGAATTGTCATTTTATTTGGATGGGGGTTGTATAGCATTTTTCATGTTGATTTACCTTATTGTGCTGCCATCTTTCAATGGGTTTCTTATAGGTTTTGTAGGGTAAGGGATTGCCTTTCATTTCCTATAACTTGGGGGTATTTAAGAGAAATTTTGGGCTTCATTCAGGAGAGAGTTAGATCGGGGGGAACATCACACATCATTTCTTTTCATCTCATTAATCTCATTTTCATTCTTTCTTTATCTTTGAACAGTTTTATTTTATACTGAAGAGTGTAATTGTACATGTTTAGTCTTTTACTTGGAATAAAGTATAGTTTTATGAGTATATTAATTCTGTGTTAATCTTGTCTTTTTACATTACAAGACCAATCCATATTATTTTATGAAGAACCCACAGAGCTATTTAAACATGTAAAGCTCGAAGCTTCAGAACAAACAGAGGGCTTTTCTACATCCCCTATTGAACTTCGGTGGGATAATTACTAAATTTTGTAGATCTACACACTTTCAACATAGGGCCACATCCTTACATCACTTCATCTAAATTTACACTATAATAGAAACCTATGTAAATGGTTCTCTGTAATAATTTTTCAGTTATGAGTTTCAGGCTAAAAACTTAGAAAAGTAAAAGCTGAATTTATTCAGCTTTCAAAAACTGAAATGATCTTCAGAAAAGCGATGCATACCTTGAACTTATTCTCCGCCTTGTGATGGTGTGACTTACTCATGATTCTAGTTCACAATGTATCAATATAACTGAACAGAATTCTTTAAAAATGACAAAATCAAGAGCATTTTAGAAGATTTGTTATCAACCGGAAGCACGTTGAGAGAATGACCTTGACCTCCATTAGCACTTCCGGGTTTTGTAACAAGTAAGTTTTGTTTTTCGTTGATACATTTGCTTATAACTCGGGTAATCATACATAGATCAATAATATATGTTCATAAACTTTGAGCTTAATGAATTTTCTTTTAATTGATATCAAATATATAAAAATTCTAATCTGAATTATTGACAAAATCAACGAATAAGATTAAGAAATTTTGAATTTTTTCAATAAAAATCTGCCCGGGCTTGGGACTTGGCAACAATCCACAAATTGATATTTAGCCAAAATAGCATTGAACAAACCTCATTAGCAATCTGTTAATTTTTTGTCTGGGCTCTAGAATAAGTCTAGGCAAGTATGTGAGATGATTTAATCACCTGATGTTATGTTGGCAATATTTCCAACAGAGAGAAAATTGATTTTGAACAGAGAAGTCCAGGAAATAATTACAAGATGCAATATGTTTGATTTGGATTGCATTCAAGATAACAGTAAGTAATTGAATTAGACCAAAAAGTACAAAAGGTACAAACATTTTCGAAAGAAATGCGTGACATCAACACATATTTCAAACCAACATTTTATCGTACATCCAAAATTAATTTTCCAGCTAATGCGTGGCGATCAAGTCTAATGCATGAGGGTTGACAGGGCAGAATACGATATAAAAACGATGATTTGGGGAGACATGAGCGCAATTGATAAGCTACAGTATGGATTTTCTCTTCTTAATAATATATAATTGTATGTTCCAGATAACAAGGAGGTTGTGATGTCTCACAAGAGACTGATGAAGCAGTGCAATGCACTGGAACTGCAGGTACAGTACTTTCGAAGTCTTTATAGATTGTATTTATTTCAACATTGTCTATCATTCATGCATTCTCCCAATGTGGGCCAGTTGAATGTTTACCATGGATTTATAAGAAAAAAACAAGTGCTTGGCCTTGGCAAACAAAGCCATTTTCAACATGTCTCGTATAAGTAATAAACACATGTTTAATACATGTGTGTCAAATATTTCACATCACAAATCAATTAGGTATTTATCTTTATTTTATAGGTTGGTTCCAAAGATGAGGTTAGTGTTTGTGTAACCATGGCAACCTCCATTGTTGGCATGACATCAGTGACACCTAGTGATAGTCACAATGAGCAGCTGTATTTGCCATCTGCTAACCTCCTTTGTGTACTCAGAGAAAGTGGAGCACAGGGTGATATATTCACCAAAGCAGAGGTATGTATAAATGTTAAACTGTAGCAATTATAAATAAGGCGCAGGGGAGGGGGTTCCCTAAAACCCCAAACACCTCTCCCCCTGGTCAAAAATTCTTTCAAAATCATGTAATTTTTCCACCATTCTGATTACTTTTAGGTGGTTCTACCTGGTTTTTGGGCCAAAGTTGTCAATGATGAATCTTACCTCCCTGGAATTTTTTGACAAGTGACAGTGATGAAAATGAAAACAACATGGTGACTAAATGGGTCAATATTCCACCAGTGTCTGTATTGAAAGGAATTCTGTGTGATGAATGTTTGTCAAACTCCCCTAAAATGGTAGAGATTAAAAGGTGGATTGGATCGAGTGGATTGGATTCATGTAAAAGGTGGATTGGATCGGGAATCTTCAAAATATGGATGTTTTCAGTTGATCTCCCTCTAAGCAATTTCCTTTGGCCTTAAGTATTTTGTGATTACTTTTGTGATTTATCTGTGGAATTGTCCCTATTAGTTGATAGATTCTCTAAAGTATTTAACTGCTCTCCCTTGTAAATCAACATTTATAAGACGATAAACATAGTTCTGTAGATATAAGTTGTCATTCAAATTGATGTGTGGGTGTTCCCAAGACATTTCTGCCATGTTCTGTTTGAATTGAAAACAGATGATATGGATCTTCGACTTCAAAAGTCTGTCTTGTGATTTATGAAATGTCTAAAATTACCCTTGGAATGAATACGTTTGTGTGTCAGGTCACCCTTCTAGCCCACCCAAGCAAAATGATATAACATTATTTGACATTGTGGAAGTGGAAGTGAGGAGAGCATTATTCTTCTGATGAGAGATCAATATAAATTTTTAAGGAAAATCTATATTTTGAAGAATCCCAATCCAATCCACCGTTTACATGAATCCAATCCATTCGATCCAATCCACCTTTTAATCTTTACCCCTAAAATTGAATTGTGAAATCCTTATATCCATCGATTATTTACATACATTTATGATTGTTTCAACATTTATGTTACAGATGGCATACTTTATCAAAGAGTACATTTATAGCAAAGAATTGCTTAGCAACCAGAACAAGATGGTGGTCCATTGCGATAATGATGCTCTCGAAAAAGTCTTCAGTGTGAAAACATTTCCAAAAGACAATATATTGTAAGTAAACAAGTTTATCCCATACTTAGTAGTGTTATAGGTAAATAACATGCAGGAATATAATCGATATCTGTGGTGAGCGGGTGATATATATATCTCCCGCTGAGGTGAGGGAATTTCTTTCAGTGCTTTTTTGAATTCCTGGGATATACTTTGGCTCTATATGTATTATATAAGAATACTTCTTGAATACTGACGACATCCATATTGACTGACAAAGGGTGCTTTGTAGTTTGCAGTGTTTTATCACGTTATTGAATAAATCTCAATGAGGAAAAACTAAATTAATTTAAGACAAGTTTTATAGTTCTGTCTTATGTTTACTAGGCAAATGCTTGAGAAGGTGATAACCCCTATTACCAATGCCCAGGTGAAAGGTTCCATTCACAAGCCCAGTATACAGCAGCAGCACAGGCAGGCCAAGTTTGCAGCCCAGCAGAAATTCTGGGTTCAGAAACAGGGCAATAGGGTAGGTATTCAGGAACAGGGCAATACAGTATGTATTCAGAAATAGAGTAAGAGGCTTATCTAGATACAGGGCAATAGGGTATTTATACACAGAAATAGGGTATGTATACACAGAAACAGGGCTATAATAGGATATGCATTCAAATACAGGGCATTAGGACATGTATTTCGAAACAGGAGAATATTTTTCTGGGATCTCTCCCAGCATCTTCTATTGTGGCACAAGTGAAAACTATCAGATTGTACTTTGATGTGACAATAGTTCCTTTGATATACATGTACTGTACTATGAATTTCAGGCACTGATGATTTCTCCTTTTATTTTTAGTCAAAAGTTGACAGTGAAAGTTTGACAGCTGAAGATCTTGTGACAGAGGATCATCTTGTGTTGATTATAGAAGAGACTGCAGAGACACCTGGTGGTGACCTCCAGAATACTGGCAGGAAAAGGCGAGCAGGTTGGTGTAGATATTCGATGAGATTGTCATTGGGTCACATAATGAGTCTATGAAATTGCCTTTTTGTCTATACAGCTATTCTACAAAACATATGACCAATGAAATGTCACTTGTCTTAACCAATGTTCGGATCTGTGGTGGCAATTTACACGATTGGCCTCAGCTCATATACTTTTGCCTCATGTTAGAGAAATCAGTTTTTTTGTTGCCAAAAGAACAGTGCACATCATATAGTAGATGCCTCTACAGGGGTCTAACAGTAAAAATGTGAGGTAATTTCTCATGGTTAGTGTGGGTTATTTGGTGTCTGTTAATTTTTGAAGGACTAAATACATTGTACTTCTTGTTTTCCAGAGAAGTCATCAAGTGAGTCTACCAATGACAGTAGAGCAGGTAGGAAACGTAGGTCCCCATCAATCAGCATTGTATATAGTGACTTTGAGATACCCCTGGAACTATCACAGATCTCAGATGAGAGTGAGGCTCTAAGTATACAAGTAAGTAATTCTGACTCCTACCATATTTTGTGCAATCATCTATTTGTGGAATTGTGGTGTTCATAAAGTTACTCCTTGCTGGGATGACAGTGTTTTTATGTCACCACCAGAAGTGTTGACACATTTTTAAAGTCTCCAACATTTTTGATGGCAGTGTACATTTTCTCTGATGATACAATTACTACACACATTCTGGCTATATCATTGTTCAATCAATTCTGTAGGGATTCCACCACTTTCCCCTGTATTTTGCATTTTACATTTTAGATATTTTCATGATAGAGTTGAAATGATTAAGCCTAAGCCAAGATGATTATTTTCTTTCTTATATTCCAGAGTAAAGAGACAGTTTGGGTGAAGGACTCCTCTGACGACGCCTGGTTCTTGGACGATAATGACGATGACAGTTTCTCAATGGAGTATGAGCCAGACTCGGAGCAGAGTGACCCTTACAGCGATACCGACTCAAGCTCGGGAGATTCAACCTCTGAGGTTCGTCAAGATTTTATATTTCAAAACGCAAAGGAAATTAATGTCAAGGAGCAGTATTGAGGAGAAAAATTTAAGGATTAAATAATTCAAATCATTTCAACTTAAACTTTACCTGTGTTAATTTTAGCTTCAAATCTTTAACATGTCCAGGGGAATATTTACCTGTAATGTGTTTGTTATAGCTTGTTCACCTCTCTTGTAATACAACAGATATTTCCAGTAAATCCTGCAACCTTTTGATATATCAGAGAAACTTGGATTATTATTGGATTATTTGGCTAGCTTGATGGTGTCATTATTTGTATTTTCTAAAATTAGCAGTAAGTTGTTATAATCTTGTTATTGGATGGTCAGATTTCTATCTACTATACAACCAATGACATCATCAATTCAGCCAGTATATCATACTTTTTCTAATAAAATATCAAAAGATGGCAGGATTTATCGAAACGATCTATTCATATTACATGGATTTCGGAAGACATCTCTGGGATTTCTAGTGCCAAGAGCTGTCAAGTTCACTTCACTGCTTGATAAAAAACTACAAGGAACATAATCAGTGAAATACACACAACAATTGACAGATTTGTATATTTAATCCAAACATCTGATCTCTGTGATTGACAATATTTATTTCAGGACATAGTTCTCTACTACAAAGATGAAAGTGATGTCGGCTTCTTGGCAGACTTCAGTTCTAGCGAGTCAGATTCTGATGATATTTCTGACCTTGAAATCTCCCCAGAGGTATGTATTATTATGCAGGTCTAGAAATTACGCTAGTCCTGGAATAATAAAATGTAGAACCAAAACTGTCAAACTGGACACTTATTTTAATTAATCACTATTAAAATGCTATATGATATATGAACTCTAATCAAACAGATCGGTTATATCTTGGTATTATATAGGATACAGGTAGATTTAGATCTTATTGCATTGCCTGTTGGGATAACAGTGTGCCTTGATAGATGTAATTTAATGGAAAACAGTAACATCTATAAAACTTAAATGAATAGAGCTCAGTGGCTGGATTGTATTATGTATTATATAACTTTTATTGACATATTGTATCATAACATGATTACATTAGTCATAAACTACTCACTAAAACTACTATCTACTACTAAACTACTTACTAAAACTACATCTTTATAAAAATATACATGATTTGATATATTTTTTACAGAAAGCATACAAGAAAGGCAAAATATTTTAAAGTGTGATGCACAAATTTTGCTGATTATTCTAAATTGTTAAATGAATTGTATATAAATTTACCAAGATGTCGTTGGAAGATGATATTATCATTAGAAATTATATTTATAAATAAATCGTTACTATTCAAGTCAAATGTTGGTAATATTTCAGGAATTTTACTGAAAAATATTTGCCTGTGTTGAGAATGCTTTGTACAATTTATGATAAAATGAAATTCATCCTCCACACATTTACATATATTACACAACCTTTCATTAACTGGTTTAGGTTTGGGTTTTATGTGTCTTCCAGATTCTATTTTTAGCCAATGTGAACTTAACCTAAATCTACCTATTGCTAATCTATATTTTTTATTATCTAGTTTCAAATATGGTTCTAATTCAAAAACTTTCTTAAATAGCTTATATGTTCTTAATATAGGATATTGTAAAATATCATTTCTCCAATTATTTATAAATGCATTCTTTAGTTTCTTGTCAACCAAGTTTACTAAGTTGTCTGTATTTTGACTTTGGTCATCCCAATACTCTGTTACACTTTGTTTTCTTCAGGATAACTGGGCATGCTCAGAGTGTGACTACCTTAACGCTCCATTCAGTAGATACTGCGACAGATGCTGGGAGACCCGTCCTGGCTGGGTCCCAGAGACCAGTGTCAGGTCACCACGGTTGTCACGGTCACCAAGACGCAAGACTTATCGCCAACTAAGACGATCTCTCTCTGCTCCCGTTCATTCTCCTACAACCAATAGTGAATCAGATCGAGAATCTATTCCCAGTAGGGCACCACTAGTGAAACGTAACTCAAAACGAGTTCCAGAAAGTAGTCATAGTCGTACATTTGTTGGCACTTCTAACAGTGCAAGACATGATATGAAAACTGCAGTAGATAGCTCCCTCCATTCTGCAAATAATGCATCAACAGTAACATCAGTGATAACTCCAGAGCAGGATGACCTTGACCTCATTGCACCAATGAGAATGTTTACAAGAATGACGTCAAAGGCAGACTCTGGGTACAGTGAACCCCCTTCTAGTCAAGAACCTCATAACAGTCAAACTGGATCTGCTTTTAGTCAACAAAATCTTAGTCAACAAAACTATGATGATAACTCTGGTAAAGTTGACAGTATTTTTGACTCCAGCTTAAACTCTAATCATTCAATGATTCTTTCCACAAAAGAGCTTGGATTTGTTGATATAGGTTATGATGAGCCTGATGGTTTTAATGACCCTCCTGTGTCTACTCACTCTAACCCTCTCCCTGGGGGTCCTTCTGTGTCCAACTCTATCCCTCTTTCTGATGGTCTTAATAATCCTCCTATGTCAACTCAGTCTAACCCCCTCCCTCCAGCAATGGAACATCATACACTAAGCACAACGGCATCTATTGAAGGATTGCCACATCCCCCTGTCTTAGCACAAACGGCCCATGTACCATCACTTGGTATCAAAACAGCCAATGTAGTGTCAGACACCACCATTACAACAGCAGCAGGTGGCAAAACCTCTGTTGGAAGACCCCCAACCATGAACCTAGTACCAACAAGTAAGGTTGATCCTCTATCACTCAGTAGACCCCTCTCTGCTGTAATTCCCCCTAAAAATGCAACAACACTTACTCGAACACTCATGGATCCTTTGCCTTCTGCTGCCATTCATGAACCACCACAACAAAGTCATGACCCACCCCAGCTCAAGAGACAGCATCATGAAAATTGGGCGAGATCAAGACACAAACATAAACGTAACAGATCAAGTCCTTTTCCTATGTATGTTCACTACCCTAGGGACTCAGATAGTGATAAAAGTCAGGATAAACCTGCAGAACAACTTGGGGGGTCAAAACAGAATGAAGAGGGTGGTGCATGTAGTGGTCCTGGACCTCCTAAACCCACAACATCACGACAGGAGGGGGAACTACAACCACCCTCTGGAAGCAACCGGTCCTCATTTGTTGATGTCTGTGCCATATGTCTCACGAAACCTAAAGACGCTAGTATTATCCATGGCAAGACTGGGCACCAAGTGTGCTGTTATAAATGTGCTAAGAAGCTTCTAAAGCGTAGAAAGCCATGTCCTGTATGTAGAAGACCAATTGAGAATGTCATTAAGAATTTCCTGGCTTGATGCCATTGTACAATGTACTATACTCTTGTACCAGATCTCAATCAAATAATTAAAGGATGGGTAAATCTTGTAATTTCATGTAGTTAGGGACTAGGCCTATTCATCGATTTCAGATATCAGTGTCAGTCTCTGCAGAGAAGATTTTAAAGACCCATATGAAGTTTAAACCCCTTTTTGCTTGAAGTCATACCCAATATTATCATAATGTGATATGTGAACCTTTTTTTTTATTTAAGATTGTGATTGTTCTCACAATTACAATCTTAGCATAGGATTTGATCTTACAACATCAACAATGTCAAGCAATGGTAGATGTAACATTATGCTACTCTGGATGGGCTAGTAGGGTGACCTGTTAAATCATAAATCATAAGGCAGACTCCTTTGAAAATCCTTCCAATTTGTTTTCAATCCAAACAGAACATTGCAGAACTGTTTTGCAAACATTGACACATCAATTTGAATGACAGCCTTTATATACAGAATGGATAGGGATGAACCATGTTTGATAACAATTTGGCAATTTAATACTACAAAATAGTTGTTTCACAACTAAATGTTATGAAACAAACGGCAACAATTTTTCCTACATGTTCTTTTAAATCATATAAAGCCATTTTCAATGTTTTTTCACCACTCTGACTTCCTACCTCAAACATCGAAAAACTTTGCACGTTTTACAAGATTAATATGATTTACAGTCTACCCTTAGTAAGGCATGAACATAGATCTGTAGATAAAATCTGTCAGTCAAATTGATGTATGGATGTTCCCAAAACATTTCTGCTATGTTCTGTTTGGATTGATATGATATGTCTTACAGTCTTATGATCTATGAATTGCCTAAAATTGCCCTAAGAATGTATTGTGTATCGAAAAGCAGGTAGCCGGTCACCCTTCTACCCCACCCAGGGCAAAATAATATTACATATGTTATTTGACATTGTGGATGTGAGCAACAATCTTCTTAGAGGGAGATCAACAGAAAAAAGAAAATCTATATTTTGAAGATTCCCAATCCAGTCCACCTTTTACGTGAATCAAATCCACTGGATCCAATCCACATTTTAATCTTTTCCGGCCAGAATCATATCCATATCATGTCTGTATATAGTGTCGCTCAAATCTTTAATTTTATATGAGCCGAGATCTCCTATCAGTACAAGGGTCAATCAAAATGTTTCTCACCCTTTACTATAGATTTTATAATGAGTTTGATGCTCATACTTTAACATGAGACAGGGCCGATAGTTTGCCTGAACCCGGAATGAAACTCATACATTTTCATGCAAACCATCTTCGAGTTGAGTTACTGAGCAGTCTGTAACAAACAGTATTTGTAACAAATGGTAGGTGGTGATATTTTGTATGTTAATGCCTTGTTATGTGACTTGTGGTAGTTGATGTAAGCATATGCATCATTTGTTACACTTTTGTAGTTACCAGATTTTTGAAGAAATGCTATATTTTTGAAGAATCCAACCGCTGAATGGTATCAGAAAAGGGGAGTTCAAAAAAGTATGTTCCATAATATCTTGTCAACCAACTTCAAATTGATCATTGCTTGGAATTGTATCACATGAATTCCATTGATATTTTTTATGTCACCACCAGAAATGGTGACATATTGTTATAGTCTCTATTTTGTGGATGGTGGGTGGCGCCTGTAACAAATGGCAGGAGTGATATTTTGCATATTTATGCATTGTATTGAAAATTTATTGTAGTAATCTTGCATCAAATGTTCTATCAAGTGCTGCTTGGAGAAATAAATAGCTTTATGGAGAACTATAAAGACTTGATGCAAGATGTAAAACTGTGAGTTTGTGTGTACCATACATGTACAGTATATGTATTATAAGTTTTTTTTTATTTATTGTGCATAAGATGCAGTCTTAATATATTTCTTATTTAGTGGCAATAAATTATTTAAAAAGATAAGTTATATTTTAGTAGTGCTAGGTTTATTATAGACATTATAAATAAATTATTTATAAAAATCTGATAATCTAAAATGTTTAGTTTGTTATTATTCCAAGACTGAAGCAAACTGTCATTTAAAGGATTGAGGTTCTAAAATTTCTAAATCCATCATGTCCTTTTAATGTCAATGTCATTAGCAATCAAAGGTCAAGTATGACTTACTTGAAATTCCCAAAACACCTATTTGTCCTCGAATTGCAATTTCTCATGTTTTTGAAAAGATTTCTTCCAAAATTTTACAACTTCTTCACTGGTCCCTGCACCTGGTAATAAAGACGTTATGTCTATAACAAAATGGATGAACTTCCGTAGTAGGAAAATTTTATCTTCCTGGATGTTACTATTAACATAAGGGTAAAATATTTGGCTACAAATCAACCTCCTTGAAGAAAATAAAATGTCCTCTTGATGGAAGTTCATCCATTTTGTTATAAGTACGTAAGGTCTTTATAACGAGGTGGGGACCAGTGTTCTTGCAGCCACTCAAAACATGTTAAACACTTTGGCTTGAAGTGCTCATTAACAACCAATAACCCTTCCTAGTAAAAATTGTGAATCGTTGGGATCTTGGGTCTAGAAGTACAGTACATCAAACATATTTGATAAACACAACTGAATTACAGTTACATTTGGTGAAAGGAGTAAGTGAAAATAATAAAAAGGACACCCAATTTAAGCAACACTTCAATTCTTGTTAGATGGGATGGAGTTGACATTACTAATAATGATTTTGGGCAACATTTAAATATTGGCATGGTCCCTTAAACACCACCAGAGTTTCTTGCTTATAGGCCCATGGGTGTTTATTTTAACAAGGTGTGTATAAAGATATTTTCCTTTAAAGGCCCATGGGCATTCTTTTAAGTGCTTCTAAATAAAGGCCCAGTGGGGGAATCATTTGAGAAAAGGAATCTTATGCATTGAAAATTCCACTGAATGAACACCTACTGTTACCTGTATTGGAAATCAATTTTCCCTCTTAATAAATGCCCATTCCCTCGGAAAATCAGTACTTCTCTCTTTAAAAGGCCCATGGGGACTTTTTGAGGGATTTCAAATAAAAACCATGTGAAATAAATGCCCAAAGGGCGAATTAGCAAGAAACTCCTGTATTAAATATGCAAGCAACATTATCCATTATATATTTCTCTTTTATCTCTGCTTTATTTTAAGCAAATAAATTACCATAGGCTAAATATACAAATAAGATAAGTTATAAAAATTACAATTTTTGTGATTTTGACATTGTTTGGTCATGACTTTCACTATGTTTACGCTTCTTTGTTTTCTTAATAGTATTTTGTTTCAACTTCTCATTTGTATCTTTTGTGTCTTTCTTACTGGATGAAGTAAGCTTTTCATTAGATTTGTCATCTTTTCCTCCTGACTTCAGACCAATACTTTCAACATCTTTCACATTTTTCTCTCTGATCTTTAACTGTAAATCTTTTTCATTCAATTTTTTATCTTTCGGATTTTGTTTCACATTCCTAACCGCATTAGAATTTTCATTGTTTCCACAATATTTTTCACTACTACTGCTTGATTTACGCTTCCCTATTTCATTTACACTTGACTTTGAATGACTAGATTTTTCTTTCACATTTTTCTCTTTCAAGCCTGATTCATTACTTTTGTCATTTCTGGATTGTTCATCTCTTTTTGTTGATTTCAAATCTACATTTTTTACCTTTGCATTGTCATCATGTTTCAAATCCTTTTTCCTTGATTTTTTCTCTTTTTCAGAAGAGCCTGATTTCTTAAAACTAGTAGTAGCTGTATCTTTTTGTGTTATCTCCTCTTGTTCTTTTGATTCTTTATAGAGCTTTTGTTTGTACTTTTTGCTGTCCTTTATTTCTGAAACATCAGCTGTATTTCCCTTATCCCTTTTAATTGATTTTTTCAATTTTTCGGAAGTATCTTTTCTTGTAATCTCTTGATGTTCTTTTGATTCTTTTATTGTTTCCTTTGACTTTTTGCTATCCTTTATTTCAGAAACATCAGTCGTAATCCCATTTGCCTTAATTTCACCTTCAGATATATCTTTTCCACCAGATTTGCTGAATAAATCCAACTTGACATTGTTGGCCTCATCATCTGCTTTTCTCTTTGCATAGCTGACACTGAACTTGGTTGGGGTCTTTAGAGGAGTTATACGTTTCAATGGAGAACTAAAAGTCAGTGATCCACGTCTATTCTCACTGGGATCAAACACAGCGGGATCAGACGCATTCTCATCAATAAACAATGTATGACTGTCATTACTCTGGGACAGATCATCACCATTTAATGGTGAAGATGACGAGTCGAAATTTGGATTCTTTAAAGGTGTATTTGTCGTAGATCCATACAGCTCATCGAGTTTCTCAATCCTGAATGCTAGATCCATTGTGTTATCATTGTCATCACAGAATTCACCTTTTACCTTAAGGACTGGGGTTTTATTGTTAGCACCTCCGCATGATATCAATGTTTCCCCAAATGTATGCTCTGTGACTGTACTGTTCATTGCTTTCTCTGTTCTATCTGCATTAAGATGGTGTTCATTTGTTTGCTTAGCTTCAGTAAGGCTATCAACTCCTTTAGTTATGGGTTTGGATTTCTCTTTGACCTGTTTAAGAGATCCACTGGATTCTTTCTTTGAAGTTTTTGTCTTTGGGTTAATACTTTTCTTTCCATGTTTTTCATGAGTAAGAACTTTGTCTTTTTTAGATGTATCCTCAGTTTTATGGTTGGACTCTACTGGTACAGATGTATCACTTTTCTTGGCTAATGTATTTGCCTCGGTTAGAGAAATTGTTGGTTTATCATGTTTTACACTATTTTTCATTTTCTTGGATCTGTGAGTTCCAGATGTAGATATAGTATTTGGTTTGGTATGTTTAGATTTGTCTTTGTTGTTTCTTTCTGTATCAAGGAACGTGAGAACTTTAGCTTCCAGGCTTGTATCTTCATCTTTAGATGGAGTAACTTCTTTTCTCACTTGGGTTTTATTCTTTATTTTAATACCTGGGATCTTTTCCAAAGTTTCCCTTGATTTCTTTTTCATTTGAGCCTCTTGTGGTAACGTGTATGTGTCTATAAATGACACATCTGATTCGCTCTTTGAAGATTTCTTTTTTGGAATCGTAAAACCTCCTAGTTTTGTAGTTACTGATCCCAGTCCAGCCAGTGGCTTTGGTTTTTCCAACATTTTTGTGACGTTAAACAACTCAGTGCTTGACATATCTTTTGTTTGGCCTGCTTTGTGCTTTTGCGTGTCCAATTTCATAGAATGAGAAGACCCTTGCTGTACCACAGTGGTACGGGATTCAGTGGACCACTTCAGTACAATAAGGTCAATTCCAGGTCTAGTGTTATCCACGACTGCTTCCTGTTTAGATTCTGCCCCCAGACTTTTAGAACGGGCAATTCTAAGTTTCAGTGGAGGGGTGTTATGTGCAAGTCTAGGATCTGTAGTCTCTGAGGTTGGATCAACCTGAATGACAGGAATAAGTATAGGGGTTTTCCTTAGCTTGGCAAAGGGAATCTTTTGCCTGGAAGCTGGTTTTAAAGGTTTACTTGTCTGTACTTTGTCTTGGATGGTTGTATTACATACTGGATTTGAGGCACTTTCCTTGTTTAGCCTAGGATCCTTCTGGGTTTTTGACCGTTTTACGAGACTTTCCCCTTTGTGATGTTTCTGTGCCACTGACTGGCTTGGCAACATGCCAAGTGGCTGTTGTCCCTGTGTTTGGAGTAACATATGTTGTAAGACTGCAACTAGGTTGGCTTGAACCGGGGCAGGTCTAGGGATAGGTCTGCAAAGACCAACACCACTACCCACTGGGGTAATCATATTAGGATTGAAGGATGGGGGTGGGAATTCCATATTTGGTGTGGCTTGAAACATCTGTGGGGACATTCTACGTGCAGTCATCCTGGGAGGTTCATTATCTTGAGGCCTTTTCTGAACATAACTGGGCTGTTGTTTTGGAGTGTCAGATTTGTCAACATGGTGAAGCTGATTCTCCATCCTCATAAGTGGGCTATCTCTGCCTTGTGCTGCCTCAAAGGCTTCCATGAAGGCCTGTAAATCAGGAGGCAGACTCTTCAGTGCCTTGAGTCTAGCCTTTGGGGGTATACTAGCCACTGACTTAACCAAAGTGACCAATTCAGGGGGAAGATTATTAAAATCAAGTTGAGGCTTTCTTGCTTTCTTTTCAAAGTTTCCCTCACTTTGTATAATTCCTATTGATGCTGGCTCATCTTGAGGGGGATATTGCAGGATATTTGATTCAATTTCTTGCATGTTGGTCATTTGACTTGGATCGATGTTTTGCTGATTGTTGGCCTCATGCTCCCTAACTGTTCTCAACCCAGCAGCACAGTCATTTAATATCCTATCAAGAAAGGAAGGAAATTTCTCACCCTGTTCTTTATTCACTTCAGCTACGTTATCATCAATGGGTGCTTTTTCATTTCTAGGCTCAATGATGGTTTGTTCACTTTTTGATTCCATGTGTTTATCCTCTGGTTTAATTGATTGCCGTTTCTCTGTATTGGATGTAGCCGTACTAGATTTAGATGTAGGTGCCTTACACCTGTCCATCCACATGTTCATGAAACTGGATAGAGGATTCTTGCTATCTTTTGTACCCGACACCCCTCCAGTATCGTCTGATTCACATTTGGACTCTTCTGTATTGCTTGAATGGACTAGTTTATTTTGTTCCTGAGGGGTGTTAATGATATGAACTTCTGAATCAACTTCTGGAAGTGGCTTTGTGTCTGGTTCTATATCATTAGCAATATCAAATAAACTTTCATCCTGGGCTGCATCCACTTCAGGGTTTTCTCCATCATCTCTTCCACTAAAAAACTCACCATATAGGTCATCATCACCTTCCTCATGAGCATCTTCAATATCATTGTCTTCCTGTTCACTCAAGGTCGTTATATTTGAGATTTCTAAATCTGCAGCAAGATCTACATGACTGGACTGGGCACTTAAGTGAAAGGCAACTTCTTCATTATCATTCCTATAGAGCATCTCAACAGGGGCATCTGTGTTATCTACTAGAGTATGCTCATGTTTATATTCTAATTCATTGTTTGTTGTGATATTATGACTGTGCTCATCAGTAATTTCATTTGGTTGATTATCATCAGCACCATCTTGTTTAGGGTTATTTGGGGTTTTAAATAAACTTTTAAAATTGAGCTCACGGAACTGTGTGCTTGGAGCATGTGTCTCTAGTGTTTTATGGTCTGAAGCACCTTGTAATTCATTCAACATATCAGATGCACTTTTCTCTTTCTTTGTTAAATGAATATTGGGTGGTTCATTGCTCACACAATCAGCCTTAGATCCATCCACATGTGGTGGCTCATTTAGTTTATGATTATCTAATACATCATTACCAATATCAATATTTTTATCGCTAACACCACTTCTTTGTTCATTTATGATATTTGCATTATTTTCAGTTTCAAGCTCCACATTTGATCGCTTATCTGCTTCTAGCTTTGAGTCAAAAGAGTCATGCAGTTTATGCTTGGTGCGTCGGCGCCTCTGGTGTTTTTCCCGATGCTGGTGACGCCTAAAGTCATACTCGTCTCGATATCGTTGCTCGGCAACCATCCCGTACTGGAAGACTTTTGACATAGACAAAATCAGGAGTTCCTGGAAATAGAAGATTTATTTAAACTAAATGGAATAGAAAATCTACATTCAAATCTTGTGAAAATATTGATGGTACAACATCTTGAGTCCATTTAAGGTACCTGCTAGTGTATAATTTTTTCAATGTTACATTTGATTTTTGAATAATAGGGTATGTTTCAAAGTATACTGATGCAAGTTACAGGTCGCTTTTATTTTTTAATAAATATTGAGAAAAATAAATACAAACTTTTCTCTTTTTTCTTTCTTCCTCGTCTTTAAGTCTCAAATCCCTGAGATTAACTCTGCTAGGCTCTTGCTTATCAGCACTTCCTCTAAGATCGCTTATACTTGATCTTGAAATATCTCTTCGGTTTTCTTGATAATCTCTTTGTCGTTTCCTTGGAGTGATATCAAGTTTAGTTCCAGTTTTACTTCGATTTCCTGATATGTTTTTGTGTCTGTATTTATTTTTTATATCACTCGCACATTTAGCTGTCCTACTTTTTTCACCATGACGATGATGGTCTCGTTCTGACCTTGAGTGTATAGAGATACTCCTACGACTGCTCTGATCGTACTTGGAGTCTTTTAGGGTTTCTTCTTTTGATATACTCAATCGTGCTTTCTTGGCTTTATTATTTTCTTCAGCATCAGTTCGTCGCTTCCTATCTGATCTCACATTATCTATTTCACCCATCGTGTCTCCATTTGTTATTGTTGTTAGTGGTGAATCGGATTCACGATCTGAGCTTCTAGATTTTGATTTTGATTTTCTGTCTTTATGTGAGCGTAATAAACCATCAGAATGTCCTGGGGACCCAAGCAGACGATCTGAACTTCTAGATTTTGTGTCTCTGTCTCTATGTGAGCGTGATGGACCAGAACTTTGGATATCTCTAATGTCTACATTAGGTTTCACTTGATTACGTTTTGCTTCAAAATAGCTCCTGAAACAAATATGGATTATTGTCAGATGTCAGATCATTTTCTTTCATTAATCTATGCCATGTGTTTCAGTGAATTAATGTTACTCTGTAAGGTCAAGGACATTGGGCAATGTTTAAGAGTTCTTCCAGAGATTTTATCTTCACTAGGTACAAAATTCTTGTTTTATGTTTGTATTTTATATTATTTTTAAAATATTCAGAATGTTACTCTGTAAGGTCAAGGACATTGGGCAATGTTTAAGAGTTCTTTCAGAGATTTTATCTTCACTAGGTACAAAATTCTTGTTTTATGTTTGTATTTTATATTATTCTTAAAATATTCAGAATTTCAATGTTGTCATGGAAATGTCTTCAGTTGGAAGCAAGGTACGTGTAATTCCAATTTTGGTTCAGTGCTCATTTTTCCTCTTATTTTAGACCTTTGGAGGTTATTCAATACAATGTCTGTGTAAAGTATAAAGAGACTACTGTAAAATAAAGAAACACAAAAACTGAACAATTCTTCAAGCAAAAATTGGTTAGAAAATAGGTTTGTAAATGTGTATGTATAATTGTGCACTCATCCCGGATTAGCCTGACAACGGTAAAGTCAGATACCGTTGTCACAAATGGCGGACATAACCGTCGCTTCAATTAGATTACCATGAATAGTATGTTTAATAGAGCACCTAGACTAAATTCCTTTGGAACAACAACCCATCAAAGTGTCTTACTGTTCTACCATCGAAATAAAGTCTGTAATTTAACCGATCAAAATGAGATACGGGACAATGGACACTGTAATTACCATATGCCATTGTCTTTCTAAATTACTCAAATTCAGATTCCGTTGTCATTGACGATATCGAAGACACTATATTGTGGCGATTCACAACCCAATTTGTTCGAAAATGGGATTTCATATGATAAACTAGAAAAACAGCAACTCCACGGAGTAGCAAATCCCACCGAACAAAACATGTTTTGGTAAATAGCGGCCATATAAAATTTGAGCCAAATCCATCCACTGGTATTTGAATTATCAAAGATTGTGATTTTATGAAACATGGTTGCCATTTTGAAATTCAGCTGTCATCTTTAGATTTCTCCTTTAGCAGAGATCCTATGTCCAAAGGCATCAGCATATATATTTAATCCAAATCCGTCAAATGGTACTTTAGTTATCAAAGGTTACATTCTTTTATGAAAAATTGCGGCCATTTTGAAATTTAGCTGCCATCTTGAAAATCCCTTCTCGAACAGAGCTCCAATGTCCCTAGGCATCAGCATGTAAAATTTGAACCAAATCCATTCAATGGTATTTGAGCTATCAAAGATAACGTTTTTTTACGAAAAATGGCCGCCATTTTGAAATATGGTGGCCATCTTGAAAATGTCTTCTGAGCAAGGCTCCTTTGTACCCAGGCAACAGCATATAAAATTTGATCCAAATCCATTCTATGATACTTGAGTTATGAAAGATAACATTTTTTTTACAAAAAATGGCTGCCATTTTGAAATATGGTGGCCATCTTGAAAATGTCTTCTTCAGCAATGCTCCTTTGTACCTGGACAACAGCATATAAATTTGAACCAAATCCATCCACTAGTATTTGAGTAATCAAAGATTTTTTTTTCCCGAAAAATGGCCGCCATTTTGAATTGAGTGGCCATATTGAATATTCCTTCTCGAGCAGAGGTCCTACACCCATAAGGCATAAGCCTATGAAATTTAAATGAAATCCGTCAACCAGTATTTGAGTTATTGCCCGGACACACGAACGGACGGACGAACGAATGGACAGACGGCTTTTCTATATCCCCCTCGAACTTTGTTCGGTGGGATAATTATCACAAGAGCTTACTGCATGCACAGAATTAGCGACGGTGAAATCCCATGAAATGAGGACCAAGTGATTAACCAGTTGAAGCGACGGTAATGTCCGCCATTTGTGACAACGGTATCTGACTTTATCGTAGTCAGGCTATTCCGGTGTGACTATGTTATCTTTGAAATATACATACACAATAACTGACCTTTTCTTTAATCTAGCCACTTCAGCTTTAAGTTCTTTTATTTCATCATTCTTTCGTGATAATTCATCTTTTGCGGTCTGCAACAATGAGGACATGTTCTTGATGATGCTCTCTGCCTCAGTGTTCAGTTTGGTGCTCATCTCATTCAACAATTCATTCTCTTTTCTAAGGAATTCAACCTCCTTTTCCAGAGAGGCATGTTTAGTCTAAAAGAAAAATTGGATTGGTTACAATGGACATACACTACACTCCCCTCCACAAGTTTGGCAGGGGTTTCATTAGCAGCAGGCAACAGGCAATTTTCACAGGTTGTTTTCACAAAATCGCCTGTTGATTTTAGGGACTTTTCCATGTTAAATTTATGATTTACATTAATTTTGCCTGTTGTTTTCATTTATTTAGCCTGTTGTGAGAAATTCTAGTGAAACCCCTGTTTGGCAATCAAAACTTCTCATCGGACAGCATATCAAAGCATCTGAAGCTTCTTCTAATTCACCAAACATATATAAGCTCTGATAAATGATCTCAAAGGGAACTTCTTGTTGAGTGTATGCATTTTATGTATTGGAAAATAACATGCAGTTTCTTGATAGTATAATATGTATTCTGAAATCAACAAAGGCTTCTTCCTTCTCAATATGTACACTGTATATGATGTTGAAAAATGTAAATGATGATATCAAGTAGTTACCTCTCTTGTCTCAACAGAAGCTGTTAAGAGATCATCATAGAGGTCGCCAGTCATGCTGTTTTCATCTGCAGCCATGGTGACAACAACCTGGATAAAAAATAAATATTTAGCCCAATATCATGTGTCACTGTTTATACTTCTGCTGTTGTAGATATTTGCTATCCAGGGGTCCGTTGTTAGAACCGTTGGAACTTACAATTTGGTTGCAAGTCATCGTTTGTCAGAAAATAGACAATGATTTTCTTAGAATCGTAAGTTACACCATACCAAAAATTAACATAACATACACCTATGGTACATGATGGGACATCAAGGGAATTATTGAGTAAAATATTTTCATGGGACATGAAGGGACAAGTTCGGACATTCCCATGGGACATCAGGGGACAATGCCCTAAGTTGTCTCTTTTTGTCCCTTTAAGTTATCCCCGGGACATTGTCCCAAGTTGTCCCATTTTGTACCTTTTTGTCCCTAAGAAATAATGAACATGTTGATTCTTTTCTTGGGACATTACCAGACAAATGAGGGGCATTTCAGCATGTGATGATCATATGACCATTTTCTGATAAAATAGAGCTATATTCCAGACATCATTGGACAAAATGGGACAACGTGAGACATTGTCCCATGATCCTATGATGTCTGCGGGAGAGGGCAAGTTGGGACATTGTCCCATTGGTGTACAGCTAGCTTTACACTATGATATCCCCTCTTTTTCTTCTCTCATAAAGATTTTCCAAACAAACGTGAATGCAAACGATTACTATAATCCCACTGCTGCCACCAATGCAATGACCCAAGGGCATCTCACACCGAAATAATAATAAAAATATTTTCTCAAATGGGATCAGACACTTAGAGAATGAGTACTTGAAAAAACTTGTAAAATATGACATGCATTTTTGAAATTAAAAATGTTAATTTTTCATCTGAATATATCGCCTATGTGTATGGCTTACAGGATGAGCTGGTTCATTCACTAATGTTATAGCTGTTGCTATTTATATCAGTTTTGATGTGAATGTCACTAAATTTGCTCTCAACAAAAACAAATTTAGATTTCACCAGTAGGGACCATGTTGCATATAGGGACAACTGCATGCGGTTGTTATAATATATGTATATGGAAAAACATATTCATACTGCACATGAATAACATTTGTATTTGTATATCAGATTATTAAATGTTTAGTGCAATAAGCCTGTGGCTATTGAATTTATTTTGTATCAAAATTGGTCAATCCATGTGAAAAGTGGAACCATATGATGCGACACTCAAACTATATTATTCGAAACTCGCATCATGATATGCAAAATTTGCATCATCATATGTGTAACTCACATCATCATATGCAATTTCCAATCTTTCTTATACCAACAGTTGATTTTTTCATAACTCAATCAATTGTCACACAAAGAGTTACACTAACTCGAATCACTTTGCAAACATACAAAGCAATGTTGAAATGTCACATGGATTGTGTTATAAGTAGCATAGAATACTGAATGAATTACACACGGATCAAAGTAAATTTCGAATGAACATGTCAATTTTACACACGCATTGAGTTCAAACTCGCATAGGATGGTTCCCGCTCAAATAGGACGTCACAAACAATGTGTACCTCAAACAGGGTAGAAGATTTGAAGTCACGTAACATTAACATCCTTGTTTCTAAAATACGCGCCCCATATATCCACATAAACTTCACAATGGTCTTTAGATTTCTTATTTTTTAGATTCAACTGGTGATTATGAAGTAAATTTGACAGACTGTACATTGTAACTTCAGCGATCATTTATTTGAATTAAGATGTTAAGGTGATTGTCACGCGGTAGTATCTCTTCGGGACGTATCGAAACCACTCCGTCCCGAAAAACCGTTAATTTGAATTTAAAACCTACCCCAGTGTTTGAAAATCAAGGATTGTGAGTCTCACACTTCACCGTTTTTCTTCAAACTTGTTCCGTACAAAGCTTCACAGAAATACCTTTCAGTCGATACATTGTTTTCGTATACAAAGTACCTCGTTTTAGCAGCGTTTTGGTCCCCAGCTGCGAGATAAAGCAAATTTTCATAACTTTCAACTGTAAGTCAAGTTATCTCGCCAGTCTTTTACCCATGCTCGCTCATAATTTCAGAATGGACTCCCATTACAACCTTCCATCGCTACGTTTTGATTTTTGGGCATCAAACGCAGCAGTTTCTAAATCATCCACACATCTCTTAAAATTTGACTAATACGTCCCGTCACCTTCCACTACGCCCTGCCGAGTCTATGACTACAAACGCGGAGTTGTATTCTAAAACATTTTGTTCATCGTTGTGTAATTTTACATAGGTTTGCCTTGGTTGATTCTTAACACCAGTCTTAAGTTTAGCATACATACGGAGTATAACTATAACTGATTGCATGAAATTGATAATTTAAATGTTTGTGAAGATGTTGCTTTTTAACTTTAATTATATGTAATTGTCCTGTATTTGATTTTGTGAGGAAACCAAGTGTCTGGTTTGAAACACAATAAAATCTGGAATCTTGTTTTGCAACAATAAATGGTCTAACCATCAATACAGTGCTGAATATAGGTCAACAGGATACTAGTGTACACATAAATGTTATAATTAAACCTGTACATTGATTTTGAAATATCAGATGAATTTATATTTTTTCATGGGGAGGCGGTAATAGAATCTGAAACAGGTCCTTTACCGGGATAATAGTTTCAATAATGCAGTAGCAGGTTTTGTGTAATTGGTGACAAAATATACTTTTACATGATACTGTCCCCTCCATAAGTTTGGCAACCTTAGCTCCCCATTGAACTACGTGTTAAAGCCTATTTATGTTTGAATTTTTATCTACATAACCTGCGGGGGAAATACTTATAAAATTGACGGAAATATAACTTGACTTTATTCCCAATACCTCCAAATTTTCTTGATGTTTTTCTCAATTACAATAGATCGGAAATGGATGATAAATCTGATGAATTTTTGAAAATCGACATTCCCATGTAAACCCATGAGAATTGATATGTTTGTCGCATGTCATACGACAGAATATCCATCAATCTGAGTACAAGCAAAAAGTACAAGTTAGGTACAGTAGACAGCTGAATTTGCTATCTTTATTTAACAAAAAGTTGATACGTTTCTTCAGGTTTAACAAAGTTATAGGTTAGGGTTGTCCAAATCTGCAAAAATTTCCAAAAAATCTGTCATCTGATAGATTCTAGTTACAAATTGACTCTTGGTACAAATATTTCCACTCTAGACCCCTGGGAAATTTTGCCACGCGTCTCACTTGAAGTTTTGGTAATTTTGAAAAATATGCCGTTTTCATAAATGGTTTATAACTCAAAATTAAACTGTTGTATTTCAGGAATATGTATTTTTTCTTCATCATGTATGATTTTCAATAACCCTACAGGCACCACTTTTTTTAGCTAAATCCATCGGGAAATTTTGCCACGCTTAATTTCAAAATTACGGAGATGTTATCAAAATTGAGCAATATTGGCACAAAAACGTTTCTAGATTCATGTAAAGAATACATCATCATACAACACTAATTGGTATATAAACAACATCTACTGACTTGGTCTGATAATGTAATATAAAGATTTTAACTGTTGTGTGTCAACCTTTCTTCTGTATGATTCCATTGGATTACATTATGAAACGTGTACCATATAAAAAAAATGATACATGTTTCTAACGTTATGCTGAAAATAATTTAATTGACATCACCCATCCTTTCGCATTTTAACATTTTTTCAAGGATGGGCACTTTAAACGTTTCTTAAAAATATTTTCAATTGTTCAGTAATTAAAATCTTTATATTGCAATATCGGGAAATCTAAATTTTAGGGAGATTTTGGACCACCCTATTATAGGTATATTGAAAATGGACAAGAATGGGTAAATCTTAAAACACAATCCGATTAGTATTTAGAATCGACAATGGCAACCTACAAACGGACACATCGATGGACAAATTGTTTTAGAATGCAACTCTATGTGTATAGTGATAGACTCGACGGGGCGTAGTGGAAGATGACGGGACGTATTGGTCAAATTTGAAGAGATGTGTGGATGATTTAGAAACTGCTGCGTTTGATGCCCAAAAATCAAGACGTAGCGATGGAAGGTTGTAATGGGAGTCCATTCTGAAATTATGGGCGAGAATGGGTAAAAGACTGGCGAGATAAGTTGACTTACAGTTGAAAGTTATGAAAATTTGCTTTATCTCACAGCTGGGGACCAAAACGCCGCTAAAACGAGGTACTATGTACATGAAAACAATGTATCGACTGAAAGGTATTTCTGTGAAGCTTTGTATGGAACAAGTTTGAAGAAAAACGGTGAAGTGTGAGACTCACAATCCTTGATTTTCAAACACTGGGGTAGGTTTTAAATTCAAATTAACGGTTTTTCGGGACGGAGTGGTTTCGATACGTCCCGAAGAGATACTACCGCGTGATTGTAGTCCTTCTCCTGTAGCCCTATCATAAGCTTACTCAAGTCACTGACTGACATAGTCCAACAACATTAGACCTAGCCTGGGCCTCGTTTCTTATCTGACATGTCTTATGGCCCCGGCTAGGTCTAACCTCCATGATCATTTTGCCCTTGATGCGTTAATTTAATCGTTCCGCAGGTTTCGACAAGCGGAACTAATTAAACCCTGAAACCATGGTAATACTACACAAAGAATGTGATTCAAGCATGCATACATACCTTATGAATACATACACACCATCCCGTATCCCCCTTAGACCCCGTTGATGCATAATTACGAAAATATTGGAGACAGGTTTGGAATATAGCGAAAATGTCGGTCAGTTTCGGTAACATCGAAATTGCAAATCGTATCAGAAATTGACCGTCATCGCGGCACTGCACTTACAAACAGTAGATTTGCAATTAATAACTATTGTGCGTGTATACACGCGCTATATAAATCAATCAAAGATACCTGTTATCCTCAAAATTTATCTTTTAATGCGAGTAATCGCGATAATAATTATCAATCTATTTGACAACAATTTCGTTTCGCCATGGGCTTTCAACTAGAAGGGTAGGCAACTTCCCATATTTCATACATAAGCATTGCCTTTTGGGTTTTCAGAATTGGAGAATGTACACATTCCAAGAAAATCTTATTTTTTACTTTTTAGGGAGGATTTAAAGAAATAACTCAAATATAAAAACATGATCACCTACATACATGTCGATAATTTAATAAAAAATGGAATTCATCATAATTATGACAATACAGAGAGTGAACATTCTCCCACAAATTATGTTTTTATTGGAATGTGTTCTTGAATAATTACCCACAATGCAATACTCAAAGAGAACATCTTGGTAGTTTATTGGTCTTTTTGTTTACTTTTCAGGGCTCTCACCAGAAAAAAATTAGGGTGTGGTGCTTGTTACTGCGAATACGCGATTTGAAGCGTGAGTAAAGCGAACGCGCGAGCGGAGCGAGCCTAAGCTATTAAAAATATTTTGTAACTATATTCACTTGCAAAAGTTCTTAATTTATCCATAATTTGTGTACAATATTAGAAATATACATTATACCTTCTTCTATTGAATCACTGCAAACTTTCTGATTCTGAATTATAACCTGCTGGATTGGCAGGCCATACATTTTGACTTCCTGTTTACTTGCTGAATTATAATATGCTGGATTGGCAGGCCATACTTTTTGACTTCCTGTTTACCGGCAAGTATAATTCACTCAGTATTTCTCAAATACTGATGATTATCTGTCAATTTCACTTAAGATTTGTCTTCTCTAAGGTAGGTGGGTTCTTGTTCTTTTATTCTGATTACGTTTTGAGTAGAATTTACAATTAGTTTTATAGAAGAGATAGGTTGAATTTTTTTCAATTTTTTTTTGATCTTGGCCTTGGGCCGTGATCTGCCGTGGGAAAAGTGCGTCCAAGTGACTCTGAAGCTCCTTGCGCAATTATTTTGGCGCAGAAGCAGTACCTCACGTTCAATACAAATATGGCTGTCAGGTAAAAGAAATTTGTTTATAAATCGTGATTTAACACGATATTAGCATGAATTTTCAACAATTTAGGCTGTGGTTACTACAGTTTAGACTGTGGTTACTACCTTCTATTTTGGATAGGTTGTGGCGGCACTCAATTAGAGTGTGGCGGGGCGCCACAGTCTAAAAGCGTAGCGAGAGCCCTGCTTTTACATGAGACTGAACATATTTTATGCTTTAATCATATTGAAAATTGATTTTTATTCAAAATAATACTAAAACATACACATTTATCTAATACTTTTTGAAATATTACCAAAAAAATGAAGCATGGCATTGCTCATTTTGAAGGTCCCATGTTATTACACAGAGTTGCATACCCTTCTAATTGAAAGCCCATGGTTTCGCTAGTAGTTTAATTTTACGATCCGGGACACTCGGACGAACAGACACCAATGACGGACATGCGGAAATGTCATTTTAGAGATTGGTAAGTGTAGCCTCATTTTACGAGTATAAATGAACATTTAACACAATAATATTGTGTTGAATCGCTTGATGTTATGTGTTTTTATATTATTGTCAAGTATCAATTGCATGTTATCGCGGCTATTGGTTTCGATGGATCCAGAACTTGCATCAAAGGAAAGAATAGTAAAGACGTTAAACTCAATAACGGCCCCAAGAAAATTCCTAATAGTAAAGAACGCCGTTATTGAGTTTAACGACGTTGAACTAGCCTATGACTGACAGTGACAATGAAAAACACAAAAACAAGAAAAGTGGAAACAAAAAAATATGGTGTTTTAGTGTAATTTGATTTATATCCCCTATTCAGAATGTACATTTAATAATAATTGGAAGTCGGAGAATCATATGTGTAAATTATACTTACGGAAACGATGTAGGTAATGAGATATTCGATATATTCACACCAAATTTAAAGAAATGAAAATAATTTTTGCCGCCATTTAATTTTGACCCACCCCAGACAGATTTTCATTGAAGGTTATCTTTACGCAAATCAATGATATTTTGACAATGGAATATTTTTATTTCTGTGAGAAAACAAACAAAAGCTGTATGGGGTGCTTTCAATATCAATAAATATTGTTTTATTTATAATTTATTTAGAAGGGTTGTTCATGAATCATTCAGTCCGTAAAGCAGGTGATCGCTAGAGAAGCCATTTTTGACAAGTTGCAGAAATGTCAAGTTATATTGATGATGATTTTGTTGTACATGGACGAACGACACCGATGTGGTATGTGACATGCGATTTATCAATGTTTGGTCAATCATAATAAAGATTAAAAATAAATGTATTCATCGCAAAAAGTATTCATATATTGATTTCTATTTGTGTTGTCATAGACGCCGCATAAGTTTTTTAGCCCACAGATCTTTAGACTATTATCTAATCTAACACTTCATCATCAAATTATACGATGCAATCAGTAACTGATTACAATGGTTAATTTATTTTCTCATTACACTTACAGGGAGAAGCCTGGACATCTATCTAATTCCCAGCTCACCACAACAACTCGAAGATTGACTCAGAATACACTGTACAGTCCAGACAACAAACGTGATATGAGACGCAGCTTTGATGAGAAACACCTGAGTGATGTTGCAAACCAATTGAACAATATGAGCGATAGTATGAGAAAAAGTGTGAGCTTTAGTCGTAATTCAACCCGTCGATCATATGACAATGATAAATCTGTTTGGTCAGACAATGACAGCATTGATGAAGAACTTGTAAGACTAATCGATAGAGATAATGCAGAAGCTGATGTCAAACCTCGTAACAGAGCAATGAAACAGTTGCAATCTTTGAAAACAAAGCAATCAGAACAATTGATCAATCGATCTGTGTCTCCATATGGGTCTCAATGGTATACAAAACCAATGCATTTAACCCCCGAGAAATTTGCCTATCATGACACCTCTCTATCACCACAGAGGAGTGTTAGCTCACCAGCGTTTCATAGACCCACAGGATCACTTGGAGCATCATTAGCAATAGCTGAGTTAGCAAAAGAAAATGCTACAGAGTATGACCTTCAGGATATGAATGATCAGTTCGAAGCCTATCCAGTAGATATGATGGAGAAGGCATTTTTCCCAGTCACCCTTGGAGCATCTAAGGTTGTTAGAACTAAACTTGAAGCTAATGGTGATATTGACCACTCTCCATCAAGGTCAATGACATTCTCTCCCGCTCCTAAAAGACGACCAAAATCTGCAGGATCAAGGCCACCAACAGGGTCAAGGTCACAGTCTACAAGGTCACGGATGACACCAGTAGATAAAATGTTCCTAATGAATGCCAACACACCAACTATAAGTGAGTTGTACTCGATATTTATGAAAATTGGCTTATGTAAATCCATCTATGTTCTACACCCTATGCAGACAGAGCCTGTGGGAAATATTGGGTGCGGAGCAAATGAGCGGAGGGTGCGGAGCTAACGGTTATTTTTGAATTTAAATTTGGGATATTTCTGAAACTAAGCCGTTTTGGGACTTCAAATATACCAAGATATGTGTATTTGACACCAAATATCAATACAATTGTGAAAATAGTAGCGCAATTCATTCTATAGCGACGCAGTGTGCCTTAAACCTTTCCCAAACCTATATATTTTGAAATTATCCTTTTAATACTGAGTCCCCAGCATTCATAAAAAATGGTGTTCAAGGTGCACTATCTATACAAATTATTTTTGCATCTTGGAAGCCAGGCAGTATCTGTGTGATTTTATAAAAATTCGGAAATTTTTTCAGATATGAGCCCCCTCTAAATATTGGGTGCGGAGCAGCTCCATAAACGTAGCTCCGCACCCAATATTTAGAGGGGCTCATATCTGAAGAACATTTCCGAATTTTTATAAAATCACACAGATACTACCTGGCTTCCAAGATGCAAAAATAATTTGCATGGGTAGTGTATCTTGAACACCATTTTTTATGAATGCTGGGGACGCAGTATTAAAAGGATAATCTCAAAATATATAGGTCTGGGAAATGTTTAAGGCATACTGCGTCGCTATAAAATGAATTGCAAGTACTATTTTCACAATTTTATTGATATTTGGTGTCAAATACACATATCTTGGTATATTTGAAGTCCCAAAACGGCTTAGTTTCAGAAATATCCCAATTTTAAATTCAAAAATGACCGTTAGCTCCGCACCCTCCGCTCATTTGCGCCGCACCCAATATTTCCCACAGGCTCTGTCTGCATAGGGTGTTCTAGTGCCAACATACAAATTGCTCAACCTTTTCTAAGCAGTTGGGTTTGAGATTAAAGGGAATGCGAAGTTTCGTGTTCTAATTTACACGCTGGCTACTTATAACCATCATCTATCACTTCAGCTCACTCATGGGACATATCGTGTTTGAACTAACATATAATTCAAGTTCAAAGTACCCATATCTGGATCGCTGCGGATGCCGCCATTGTTATGTATCAATGACGTCATTGATGCCTTAAAATTGATGCCTGGGAAATGTCGCTATATAATCACGTCATACTCGGATCGCAGAAATAGAACACATTTCACTGATATTTTATAACTATTTCTGTCCGCTTAACATCGTTGCTGCATGTTCATGTCCATATCATCATATATTTGGAAAAGTTGTTTCAATATATTCTTCATAGAAATTGAATTGTTGCAATGTATTTTTTGAAATGTTTGTATTTATTTTCTCCAATGTGATATAGTATAGGCTAGGTAGAAAAAGCACTAAACTTATCGGCTGCGCGATTCGGAAGTCATCGCAATATTCCACTTGAAAAATATCCACTAGAATTATTTTATATAATGATAACACAGGGTCAAAAAGGATAAATCTGTTCAAATCCTGTAAATGCTTTCTTGTATATTTAACCAATAAATGAGATAAATGCATTAAAATATGGCCGTGCCTGGAGAGCCTTAAAATTTAAGGCTCTCTAGCCAAATGGGTTACCAAAATGCTAAAGAGCCTTAAATTTTAAGGTTCTTTAGCATTTGGGCTAAAGAGCCTTAAATTTTAAGGCTCTTTAGCATTTTGATAGCCAATTCTGCTAGAGAGCCTTAAAGGAATTCTAGGCGACAGAAATGACGAAATATTGCTTCTGGGACAAGATCAAACGACTTAACACATTTTATACCCCACCTATTTTGTAATTTAACAATCCACACAAATATACATACCATATTAGCAGATATCGGACAAATTCAAAAATAAATATTTTTTGATCGATAAAATCACTGATTATTAAACCGGAAGTGTCTTCTCTGAGGTCCGCGAAGAAGATGAAGAAGAAAACCTATAAAGATTTCAGTCAATTCAATTTTGCCGTCGATTTAATTTTAAATGGTTCTAAATAATCTCCGAATGCTTACTTTGACTTCTATTAGTGCTGTTTTGACTTCTCCACTTCATAAAAAGAACATTATCACTTTTTACTCGACTCATAAATTTACTTCCGGTCTACCGAGGAAAATAAAAGTTCTTAAAACCTTTTCAATCCTCAGTCTAAATTTGGCTTTTTAAAGGGTTCAAACGTCGACTTGGAATGGACCTCCATGCATATATTGAAAATAGGTTCACCAGAGAAGGTGTAAGACCAAGCACCCGTGGGTTCACTCGAATATTCTTCTTAATACCTATGTGCCGCCCAAAATACCCCCATTTTGAGCATTTTTTCCGTGTATATTTCCTCTTAAGATTGAAGGTTTTCATGTTAAATTTCTCTGAGACTATAATAAATGACTAAAAATTCAACTTTTCAGTGCATTTGTTCCAGGCCTCAGCAGCTGATTTAACAAATTTAATAAAATTTTCTGTAGAAAAACTGAATTTTGACTTAAAAAGAGTACTTTCTTCGATAATTTTCAGTATTTTTTTCCTCTCAGATTGGCCAAGTTCCATGTTTTATGCTCAAAGCCAAAATTGCCCGTGCTCCATATACCTACCCAAATTATTTGAAGTGAACCCCCGGGACCAGACAATCACGTAAAATGTCTGAGAGTCACATTTATTGATGAATTTGATGCTAGCCTAAAATTGTTGATACACATACTGTACAAATGAAGGACTTTTGAGCGGAAGTTTTTGCAAAAAGTTTTGAAAAAATATCTTGTCAGCTGATGGAAAATCCTAAAAAACAACATTGAAATCTAAAAGGCAATAGATTTTGAAGTGTATTCTGTGTATTCACGATAAACTGCGTCAAGATGGAGCAAGCCCAAAAATTCTAGGAAAAATTGTGTATATAATTACCGGACCTCAGAGAACAAACTTCCAGCTTGTTTTTCATAACAAAAAAGGTGCTCCAATGTGGAATCGAACCCACGCCGCTGATGTGCAAAGCGAACACTCTAACCACTACACCAGAATGGCTTTTACATAACCATGTTAAAATTTTCGAAACTTAATGGCGATATACATGTGTGATATTTTTAAGTGGCATTCTGGGTTGAAAAACTTTCGAGACTGTTGGTTTTTTGTTTAGATTTAGAAAACATCAATAAAAAACAAAATTAACACGGATTATAAATACAAAGGCTCTCTAACCAAAATACTATTTTCACGGCTAAATAGCCTTAAATTTTAAGGCTCTTTAGCAATTTGGCTAAAGAGCCTTAAATTTTAAGGTACTCCAGACACTTCGTTAAAATATACAGAATGGCATTTACACATAAATGCATTACTGTGCATCAATGGTGATTTATTTAACTAAGATTAACGTGGCTAATGTGTTGGCGTATTTGTGGTGAAAATAAGTAAGTTATATCATCGGCTGAACGCATCTAACAAATAGTTGCATTTACCATATTTATGTAAATACACGACATACAATTTCAAATATCAAAATCTATGCTAATGTTCATTAATGCGCTGATGAGCAGTTACGGCACATCATTATTAACCTTAAGGTATACGTCGGCAAATAGGCATACTGCCGCAATTGCTTTCTTACCTAATCATAAATGGTAGATTTCTTCAATCTGTAGTATTCTATTCAAATATGTATAGGTGCATGAATAGGTGCATATTGGAGAATGAGAGAAATAAAACAAAAAGTAGTAATCCAATGAAACAGTAACTCCCTAAAGTGTTTAGCCATTTAAATTCTGATGAAAACGCAAACAAAAAAACGAAAAATCGATGTCATCTAAATGATACGTATGTAAATGTCAATCTCCTAAATATTAAGATTGGCATGCGCAATAGTTTTACAAGGACATGCCACTGTCATATTTTCAAAGAATAATACGTAATATCTAATTTTTCTCAGTTGTTAAACGACCAATTCCAATCATCATATCACCGTAGCGACATTCGATATGACAAAAAAGCTTTTCAAAATTCAATGGATGCGGGGAGACGATGGGGTCGATTGTAGTATGATATTTCATTTCAACGACGATAAGGGCAATTGCCGTATTGATAACTTTTTGTTAAAAACAATTCCTGATTTCGAGCTCGAATTTAATTATATAACAAACGTGGTAAGTACAGTTCTACAGTATTTTCGAAATAATGATTTTCAATTTAATGGCATACAACCCTTTGTTTTTCTATATCGGAAAATAAGTGGAACTTCAAAATCTTCAGTCACATTTGTTCAATGCGACCACACGTCGATCGAATTTCCCTGAAATCAGTAAATTTCTGCGGCAAACATAAGAAAACTACAGTCGACTTAAGGTCACCTTGCTGTCTACGTACACGACATATCCAGTACAAAACGTAGAGTCGGAACTTTTCTTTCCTGTGGTCTCCATAGATATCAACAAGCAGCAGCCAAACCGTAGGTCTCACGACGACCGTTCGTCGGGTTCACGGTCGACTTGCGGCTGCGCAAGTTGGATTTCATAGGTTACAATCAAGGAGGATTGGCTCCCAGAGTGCAACATCGATATTCTGTCCCATATATGGGCATGTCGTGCTACAAAATTTGAATTCCAACAGCCGCCATTTTGTTCACTTCAACATTTGAATCGTGAATTTTGGTCTTATTTCCTAACGAAAAATTCTAAAACTCACAGGAAATGATCGAGATATTGGTTCGAATCTTTTGAACTGTTTATTTTGAATTTATAATCGGTTATAATTTCAGAAAATAACGACATCTCGGCGTTTTCATTGTTGGAAAATATCGACTTCGATTCTGGGAGCCAATCCTCCTTGGGTTACAATTGACCTTTCCGAACCATAGAACCCCTTCTGGATGCCTTCAAGAAAAGCTACGCACGTCGTAGGGCCGCCCTACGCTGATCGTGCGTCATCATTTATCAGGCGTACGGGAATCGTAGTTTTTCCTCATAATCAAGATACGCCGTACGGCTATCTTAGCAAATGTGACTGCTAAATTATCTGACTGCAGAAATACTTAGGCAACCGTAGAAATCCTACTTACCACAGAAATGATAGACCGTACGGTGACGTGAGGCTAAGAATCCATGATGTAATTGAATACGGTTTTAAAATTTAATTTTAAAATTTTAATTTCTTTGAATACCTGTGTTAAAGATAAAACATAAATGCAATGAATATTAAAGTACGAACACGTATTTTTGTAATGAGACCGTAGCAAATTAAACCATTGCATTCTTGGAAATTCAAGATGGGTTGCTTGAATTAATTTTATTATGTTTTATTCAAATAGTTTGCATTCGCCTGATAGAATTAGCATTCTCTGTTCGCATTTAGCGCTAGACCTAATAAAAGTTAAAAAGTCACGAATCCCAGATTGTTTCAAGTGTAAATAAAGAATAAATCTAACCTGCATTCCATGTCTAGATAGGTAAAAAGCAATTCCGAAAATGCCGGTGTTAGGTGTTAATATTCTATTAAAATCGTTCTTTATTATGGGTTGTATATACGTATTCTTTTAGTTCATTTGAAATGATTTCTTTGGTTTTGGAATGGCAACAACTCGGCATTCGTTTTTTGATTCAAAAATGGCGCCACAAAACTTTTGGAATGCCAAGGCATCAATCTGGCATCAATGACGTCATAACAATGTCGTAAAGAACCACTTTACGGTTGAAATGGCAGCTCCGTGGTCCAGTTCATATGCAAACCCCGGGGCTCAATAACAATTAAAAGGATAATGATAGAACAATAAAACTAAGTTGGATTGATAGATATATCTTTATTCTAACTTATTATCAAGTTTAAGGGACAAAACTTCGCATTCCCTTTAAGTCTATACCCTTTTAAGTCATGAAACAGAACTAAAGCTTCAATATATTTTTTGAAGTTTATATTTTCTTAATTGCAAATTAGTAAGATTATTGAAAAATGACAGCCTACACCAAACATCATTAACCCTGTGAGAATACTATTATAAAAAATGTAGATTGCAAAACATAGATAAGCATAAATAAGAGGAACAGGTCAACAGTCAGCAAAGGTTCATGAACAACTAAACAAGTCTTGATTTTTAAAAAAATGAAATAGTTTTTCCTTAAGTTTTGAGCCATTGCACATTGATTTCAGAAACTGTTAGTAAATCCCCATCTATTTTAATTATAAGTATTCCTGACTCCGACACTAATTTATTGCAATGTGTATAGCACTGATGATCCTAATGGTCTAATTACAGAAGACGCTGGTGTTATCCCCTCTTCACCATATGAGTATGAGCTGGCTAAGCTGAGAATGGACAGACTAAGGCTAGAAGAGGACCATTTACTGGAGTTAAAACGCCAGGCAGAACTTGAGCGTATCAGGGGACCAAAACCCAAATGGTAAATACACAATTAAAAAAAACACTCCTGACCTAACATGGATTTTTTATTACGTGACTACCACATGTGGTGACAAATTGTCATAGTCTCCAACTTTTTTTGGAGTCCGTTTATGTTTTGCATTCATCATCTGTAACAAATGGCAGGTGGTGACATTTTTTTGTTTAAAAGAAGAATATGTGGTATAAGTCATATAACAAAATTACAACTCACATGTACTGTACTTGTACTATTTGCCAACCTTTACCATTACAAATATGAAATATCTAGCAGTTACACTAAACTATTGCAAGATGTGTATCTTATCAAATGGTGAATTGCCTCAAAGCAAGTAGTTACTTGGTCCAATTGCTTGAACCTTGGTTCAAATTTGCCTCATAGTACCTGTCCTACAAAGTGCCTTTTTGCCTCACCAAAAATATCTTAGACATAACTATTTTAGTGTTTAATGTTTCAGGTATGAGATGAAGACGCCCCAGTTTCACTACGAGGCTAACAAAAACAATACATTGATCAAGAGCAAGAGTGATTGGCAGGCCCTCTATGATTACAGACAAGAACTAAGCAGAGCATCTCAAAATTTTGATAAATCTTACAATAAAAGTTTATATGAAGACTACTAGAATATTGTACCTATACCTCTGTAGAATGCTCAATGAAAGATTGCAGAACTCTTATTAATGATTTAGATCTGGGGGCGCCATGTTAATCTATAGACAATAAAGTCTATATTATTAAGAAATCTGTGTATTAAAAACACTGAAAAACTGATCATGAACATTATTATTTTTGCCTTATAATCGTAACAATATTTGGAATATAATGTAATCTCAGTTCATCAATAGTTCAATGTTTAAGAAACTTAACTAAGTTATGCCTTTAGCCAATCGGAAAAACCTCAAAATTTTATTAGCAATAATTCTCCTTAGCTAATCATACACATAACACTGAATATAGAGCTTTATAATGATTATGTACAATGGAATTTCTTTTTTATGATCATTATTTTATGACAGATTGTTTGCATGATGCAAAAACGAGATTTAAGGTTAATGTAGAATGTTGAACTTTGTTAGTTGGAATCGATAAATGTTTTGTAATTGTAGAATTTATTTTTATTATTGTAGAACTTATTTTTAAATAAATAGCAAAACAATGTCAAGAAAGCACGCAATGAATTATGTTACTAACTTGATATAGACTTATATATCTAGGATTGATAAGACTGATATTTTAATTTGGGTTCATTGTTGATTTTCAATTAAAGGTGCAACAATTAGTGCAGGGATCAACGATCATGGACCAATGTCAAAATATATTTAATTTTGGATATTTCATCAAGACTATCATATATTTTTATTATCTCCAAAGAAACCCGTTGGATGAACATTATTTCAGCTAATATTCCTCTTGAAACGTGGTGGATCTTAAAAATCTATGAGTGGGACTCCCTGTATAGAAGCTTTGAACTGAATTTACACTTCTTAATGCTGAAATTGATAGTTTATCTATAGATTTTAAGGATATAGGTATGTCAAAGAAGATGTCAAGCCAAATGTTGCCCTGATAGCTCAGAAAAAGTAAAAGGACGATTCTCGGTTTGGAGAACGAAGTTCATCAATCTAAATGAGTATTATCCCTGCTTCGGACAAATTTGATTTTTTTACATAATATAGATTTGAATGTCCTCTTTTGAATAGTCATACTTTAATTTGGGTAATATTTCTAGATTTTTCGCAAAAAAATATTAGCGAAGTACACTGATGAACTTATTTCCCCAAATCGAGACTTGTATTTTATTGAATCGGTCTAATTGAGCGTTATCCCTGCTTCAGACCAATTTGTTATTTTTACATCTTGTAGATTTAAATGTCCTCTTTTGAATATTCATAGTTTAATTTGGGTAATATTTCTATATTTTTCATGAAAAAAATTATTAGCCCAGGAGACTGTTCTCCAAACCGAGAATCGTCCTTTGTTCAAATTTTCTCTCTACAGGCCTTGTTGTCCCTTTAATTTTGGTTTATAAAATTGAGACATTTTTCATGAAATAAAGACAGAACTCCTGGACTTTTTCCAGATTTTTTGTTGATTGTCATTGTCAATGTTAATGCTTCTGTAACTCCAGTTGATTGTCAATGTTATTGTTTCTAAAATTTTGGTCGATCGTCAGTGTTATTGGTTCTATAATTTTGGTTAATTAAATTAAAATCAATTGTGCTGATTCTATTATTTTAGTTGATTGTCAGTGTTTTTGCTTCTATAATTTTAGTTGATTGTCAATATTGTTGCTTCTTTAATTTAGTTGATTGTCAATATTGTTTCATCTATAATTTTGGTTGACTACCAGTGGACAAAGTTTCATTCATTATACATTAACATTTATATTATAGCCTATTCAACTTAATTCATCTCTCTACCAGGTTATTTTTCAGTTCTTTTGTTAAAAAACATTGTTGAATCCAACTGTTGAATATAAACTTTCAGTTGTAAAATAGATGGCAACTTAAACATTCATTAAATTACTCAATGACTACATTTTGTCGTTCTAATCCCCAAGGAGGATTGGCTCCCAGAATCGAAGTCGATATTTTCCAACAATGAAAACGCCGAGATGTCGTTATTTTCTGAAATTATAACCGATTATAAATTCAAAATAAACAGTTCAAAAGATTCGAACCATTATCTCGATCATTTCCTGTGAGTTTTGGAATTTTTCGTAAGGAAATAAGACCAAAATTCACGATTCAAATGTTGAAGTGAACAAAATGGCAGCTGTTGGAATTCAAATTTTGTAGCACGACATGCCCATATATGGGACAGAATATCGATGTTGCACTCTGGGAGCCAATCCTCCTTGTCTAATCCCTGAATCCTAATTTTATGTATGGAGATTTCTTAAATATATTTTTCACAGTCTGGTCAGGAAATCAACGTTTTTTAAGAAATAGCTTAGTCATTTACCCAGCACTACAGTAATATAATCCGAAAGTTTTGGGGATATTCTTTTGAAAAGTTAAGGTTGAAAATAACGGCTAATAACGTATTCCAGAGACTAATTAAAGAGTTTCCAAGAATGTTGAGAAACATTCCTTTTTTGCATATTACTTGAATGCGACTGGAACTTTTTGTGAAGTGGCCAATTATTCCAGTCTGCAACAGTGTATATTTATTAAAAATCCAGTTTTGGGAAAACGCCAATCCATTGAATTGGATAATCTAGTTTTTGTAGTTTACCAGGTGATACTGTGGTCAATAATTCAGCATTTCCGATGAAACAATCGTGAAAACATTATTCACTAAAATACAGAGCGCATGGCCTATCTACTACACATTCAGCCCTTACTCTGTTTAAAATTGACAACTTTTGTTCACAGCTGTAAACATGGCCAATCATATTTCAAACAGGCCCTGAATGTGTATATTGAGTTGGAAGTGATCGGCTATTGTTGACACACGAACTCAGCTGCCATTCTCAAAATTCATTTCGTTCGTTGCGTACCTTCACTACCTCTCTGACGTTGTTTAAATAGTTCTAAAATTCCCGGGGCACGATCTTAGAAAGCTTCAGAAATTAGTACTTTCTTTATTACGAAATCAACAACGCCAAAACTTTGACATTTCATAAATCATAACGTTTACAAATGATTTTACCATCGAAATTGGTAATCAATGTTGTATTTGATGTGTTTTTAGGTAAAAATCTCCGCGGAGCAACAAATTGTAAAATGTCAAGGTCGATAATCACTGGGTTCAAACATTATTACGCGATTTCAAGATGGCGGTGTCAAAATTTTCTAAAAACGCTTCAAATAATATTATGTTAATTTCTGGCGAGTTCATCAATATCATAACTTGTTATCTAGTAACAGGATAGAGAAACATGTAAGAAATTCAATTTTATAGATTAAAACATCACACCGACATGTTGTATTCGTTTATTAGACGATTAAAATTACGAATATGGGGATGACGTCACTTCAAAACGAACTGCATAGCAACGGTGTTAATAAACAATTTCTGTCCTTGCAAATTCCTAAGTATTCGTTTTTAACAGTTTGTTACGAATTACTTAATATTTTTCTTACGAATGAATTCTAACTACATTAGAAATAAACATTTTATAAAATATAACGAATAAAATCAGCAGCAAACGCAAAGAAATATATTTTTTGAAGCAGGTCAAAATATTTAGAAGGGTAAATTTCGCGGGAAATTAAAGAACTGCATGAGGTAAGGCACAGGAGGTACGGATGGCACTGGACGAAAGGCTCGGAGACTGCTCAGCTGCCTGACTCACAAAGACGTCGTGACATTGGAAAGTTGGATGAAGAGTACCCTTCCACCGAAAGAATTTCGATTTAGGAATGCATTCCACTTTCAGGAATTTAAAATAGTTGACAACAACCTCCGAGGAATTACGATTTACAGGTGTAATAACACAGGTAGGCTGATGTTTACAGTGGAAAACAGCTTTTTTTAGACAAACAAATATCAATTTCAATTGATATTTTTAATTTGTTTGATTTTGAAATTTTTTATTTGTATATTGCACAGATGCACTGACAGTCTATAATTTTATTCTTGTTCGTGATCAATTAAGAATTTAATGTTTGACATGTTATTGTTATGACTAATGACTAATCGTTATGACTAATGACTAAAGGAGTATTCTTATCGATATGCCACACCTCTGAAGAAAAAATAGTTTTTTGTATATAGTAGTACTGGTATATTTTGTATGGAGAGTGGGAAGTTCTTCATTATACTCTATTGAAATAAATAGAGAATGAGGACTTCCCACTATCCTAGGGTGTATTGAGGAAATAATGGAACATTTTGACTATTCAATACACAAAAAGTTCAAATTTATTACCATTGTATATGACACACCAAACAAATTATAATACATGTACTCCATTAAAAGAACATTTCTTGAGACAGATTGTCAAAAACTGGATGTTAATATATTTCACTGCAATGAAAATGCGGTTCTTTTCAGCTGACAGATGGTAGATGATGGTAGACTTTTGACTGGCTATACTGCTAAATATTTTATGTAAAACTGAATTTAAGCAAAATTCCAATCTTAGTCAACCTCCAATGTCATTTCTGATTTGTTCTAGATTTTCCTGTTTCAATATGAGATACAATGATTAACAGATGATGAAACTGAAATGAAAACCTGGAGCTTAAAGGGGCAATAAGGACTGTAGAGAAAATAAGATTTTTTTTTCATTTTTTCTGAGCTATCAAGGCAACATTTGGTTTAACATCTTCTTTGACATACCTATTTTCTTAAAATGTATGGATAAATTATCAATTTCAGCATTAAGAAGTGTAAATTCAGTTCAAAGCTTCAAAAAGGGGACTTCCACTTTTATATTTTTAAGATCCACCATGTTTCAAGAGGAATATCAGCTAAAATAATGTTTATCTAGGGGGTTTCTTTGTAGATAATAAAAATAGATGTTAGTCTTGATGAAATATCCAAACTTAAATATATTTTGACACTGGTCCATGATCGTTGAATGACCCCTCTGCACTAATTATTGCACCTTTAAATAAAAAAAATTACCCTGGACTTTTAAAATTTTGAAGTTGAGAAGTACAGTATACCATCATCCCATATTTGGCTTCATCCAAATGTTTACCAAATAGTTATTCTGAGTTTAGAGATGTTGGCATATTTTAGGAACATGGTTTAAGTGTTTGAAGAAAATAATCCACAAATAAATACGTACATCCATGAATTTGCCAATGTTATCACAACCTTGGTGTAAATATCATGTTCAACATTTGAAAAGAAACTTAATCCGTTCTGTCTGATAAAACTAACTGTCACCTATGATAAAAAACTTAAATATTTTATAAAGTATTTTTGCGTCATTTAGCTGAATAATGATTCAATTTTTTCTATTTTCAGCTCACATTGCAGCATTGCTTGAAGAAGAAAAAAAAGTGAAAAACAAAACAATAAAAATAACTTCTGAAGGACATTGAGATAGTGAAGCCTTGGATCTAAAAGGTGGAGTGAAAGCCCTAGCTGACCTCTACTATTAGACTCTCATTCAATTCAAGGAAACAAGTCTTTACACCAACAATTGTATACCTTCCTATTCACCAATCCAATTTACTGACCATTGAGGCTCTGTATTGGTCCATTTAGCTTGTTTATATGGCCATATATGAAATCGAATGCCTACCTTTATAGGATATATGACTCAGAAAGCAAATCGTGGTTTATCCAATATAGCACAGGGAACACAGTGGATACATTGAATATTGGATTTATTTAAGCCTAAACCTAGCTGAAGCTACTTGATAAATTTAAGATCAACAAACTGACAATTTCATAAAGTTATAGAAATTATGTCATCAAGATAAAGTTTTAAATCAATACTGCTTTATTAGCATGAAGTTTGGATTACGGGTTTAATTATTTCATAAGCTGTTTAATCGGGATAATATCAAACAGCCGTTCTATAAATAAATTACACAAGCTAATAGGAGAATGAACTGAACCATATCACGCCTGTACATGTTATTTAAACTTTGAAATATTAAGGCAGTTAGAGTCCATAGTAAGATGAGAAACGAGAAAATATAAATAACAACATTCAAACAGTACATAAATGTCATACATCAATAAATAAAATGAACAGCGTTTAGAAGACCAATGGAGTCCTGTATTCAAAGTCGTGATGAAAGGGCTTGGGGAGTAATTGAAGAATAAAGAGGAGCGTGATCAGAGAACAACACAAAGATTGTTTAGTAACTAAATAGAGGCACTAGTTATTAAGCACAAAAAGGAGTAAAAACTCAAAGGATCTTTTTGCAGTACCGTTACAACCCATGTTACCAATTTGAAAAAAAATTTGGTAAAAATCATGAAAACTTAAGTTTAACAGGTTTAAATGATAAACAGTTGTAAAACTCAGAGATTTAAAAATACAAAGGATTCAACATACTGGAAAACAATTTAATACAAAAAGCAATTCATTTATTATAAGGAATAGCCATTAAGAGAAATCAGAGAAATCGTTCATTCAGCTTAAGTGAAGCATCTTTGATCTATTGTTATCACTTAAATAGAGAGGAATGTGGCCGTCATTCACCCTGGCCCTGGTGGCTTGTCTTCTGCGATGTATAAGCCAGGTTCTCACAGCCCAAGATGATGTATTTTTGGATGATGCTGTTGGTCATGTAAGCACGACTATTCCCTCTAGAGGAGTACCAGATATCACTTTGGGACCAATTATAGGTGTCACTACTGTACCTTCTACGAGTGGCACAATACCTGGTCCGGCTGAAGGAGGTATGACTTACCGTTTCATTCAGTGCTCTTGTATTGATTTAATTATCTGACCACCACCAGGGGTTTCACTAGAATTTCTCACAGCAGACTAAATAAATGAAAATAACAGGCAAAATCAATGCATGGAAAAGTGGAAAAGTCCCTCAAAACAACAGGCGATTTTGTTAAAACAACTGGTGAAAATCGCCTGTTGCCTGCTGCTAATGAAACCCCTGAGGTCCATAGTATTTACATACCTGATGTTTTTAATTACTCAAACACATGACATGATGATATATTGATAAATGGATAAAATAATATGATTTGTTTCCTTGGTTTTTGGTATTAGGTTACAATATGAAACAAATTACTTCACCAAAGCTTAAAACTCAAGTTCTTGTATCTGCACATGTAGAGCCTGTAGCTAGCTGGATGAGATTTCTTAGAAATTCCCTGAAATGAAGTATAGAATGAGTAAATGGTCTAAGGAATGATTTCTACGTTATGAGTCAATCTATTCTAAAATCTGTGACAATTTTTCAAAATGTTGCTCTTATACGAACATGATTTTTTCTCTAAAGGTAAATGTTACAATGTATTTCAAATCCATCTCACAAAATAGAGCCAATATTTATATAAAGTACATGAACATTATTATACCAGCACCATAAAAAGATAGAATTTAATTATTAGAAAAAACAATTATAGAAAACACAATTATACAGACAATGTTTGTTGCTATAGATACTATTCTTGTCAAAATATCTCAATATTTCAACATTTTGATAGGGATGCAAACATTTTGGACAGAGTTGCATTTAATTTTCTGACAGGGCGCAACACCCAGTTGAGGAGATTGCCGAGCAAATTGCATACATGGTACATGTACATTAATCAGTATGAAATAAGATGCAGTTCATGAGAAAAATGTCATAATGGTCAAAATTCCCAACTACATGCTAAACGTGTATTTTCATCGAAATTAAAAAAAATGATCACACATTAGTTAACACTAAAAAAGAAATGCTAGAAAATCAGGTATTATTCAAAAATAGGCATGACATGAATGATTTTCCTTCATGGGGAATAACACATGTGATCTGTTTAAGGTAGTTCAACACTTTCAGTATTTCTTTTGAATTAATTGGGGAATGTCTTTTCAACATATTTGTAACAATATATTTATATTTTGATCATGTATTCTACACCTGGTAAGTGTAAATATCAACATTTAAAAGGTTAAAAAATATTGCACATTGTATAATTATTGCTAAACTGTGATATGAAAATTACATAGAAATTCCCATCATGTAGATTTACCTTAAGATTCATTTTCTCCTCCTGGACCAATATTAATATACAGTAAGAGATTCTGACATGTAATATTGTAGATAGTGCTAATTTATTGGTTTTGACTGGTGATTACATATCTTGGTATGATATATCACCTGTTTAATAATTATATCTAGAGGTCTTAAATTATTGTTAAGATTAAATCATGATTGAATTGGTAATTGTATATGTGTGTTGAATAATAGATTAGCAAAGGGAGTGGTCAATGAGTAGTTGGCAAGGTCATTTGGATAGTCTTATATGACTTGCAATATACATGTTACATGTACTTGTATATATATATACACATTGCACTTGTATGTGACCCAGTGTACTTGAATATACCAGCATTGTTCTTGTATGTTCAAACATTTTACTTTTATAATTTAGATACAATATACTTGCATTTGAAAACATTGTACTTGTATGCGAACACATTGTACTTGTATTTGAACACATTATACTTGTGTGGATATATTGTACTCATATGTGAACAAATACTTGTATCTGAACATATTCTACATGTATGTAACATTGTAGAACATTTTACGTGTGAGTGAGCATATGGTACTTGCATGTGAACACATTATACACATGTTACTTGTATTTAAACACATTTTTACTTACATTGATTTGAATATATTGTACTTGTATACGAGTATATAAACTTGTGTATATCTATGTTTACAGAATATGTGACAGGGACATGTATAGTTGCTGACACTACCAGTGTGTATCTTGAGTGTAAAGGTCCAGATGCCCTTAACAAAATGATGTACATTACTGATGCCTACTATGGGGTTTCCTCTACGGGGTGTCATCTGTCGACACTTGATGAAAATACGGAATGTGCAACAGATCTGACAGATGATGTTGTCTTCCGTTGTCAAGGAAACCATGAGTGTCATTTTCAACTACGGAGGACTTATTCATTCCAGTGTAGTGCATATCCAACATTTGTGGCGGTTCACTTCAAGTGTGTTGACAGTAAGTTGATATACACATTATTAACTCAGTGATATCTGATTTCAATGAGGATTGGCTCCCAGGATCAAAACATACAATGAAAACGTTGAAATGTCGTTATTTTCTAAAATTATAACCGATGATGAATTCCAAATGAACAGTCCCAAAAGATTCGAACCAATATCTCGATCATTTTTTGTTAAGAGTTTAAATTGAAAAGTTCTATAAATGGCAATTTTTAAATAAATTATTCTCGTAGATTTGTTACATTTTTGGAATACAGTAAAACCTTTATATCCGAACACCTCTCAATGTGAACACTTGTTACCTCCATTTGACTGACATGTTAAAAAACCTTTGTTAAAAAACCTTTAATGCTTGTGTTATATGCTAATCTGAACACAACTGGCCAGCCCCAGTGGTGTTCAGATTAGACAGGTTTTACTGTACAGTCTTTTGAGTGGTTTGTCCATGCAGTGTGTAATCATGCACTGAGCAGGGTATAACTATTTACTCAATTATCTTATTGATATTGAATAATTCAGGAAGGTATTATCATTCTCATAGAATGTTTTGTACTTGAGTGATTGAATGGTTAAGTACTCCAATTAGCTAGATCAGTGATATTAACCTCTTGACTACCCAGAGTGACGAGATTTCTCGTCACCTCAGAAATGACCTTGAAACCCAGAGTGACGAGAAAATCCGTCACAAAATTGTTTGCTAAAATTGCTCTTATTTGAACAATTTTTATCCAATTTACACAAAAATTGTTTTAAAATGTCTAGAAATCATATGTAGTAAAATGTCAAAAGCTGTCAAAAATGAAAAATGATCTGGTTTCAACCTATTTTAGAAACTGGGATTCAAGAGGTTAATTGAAAAATGTATCATCATCAACACCATGGTCAGAATTTGTAACATCTTAAAACGATTGTACTTTTGGTTAGAGATTATGTTCATCTTAGGCCATCCTCTGAATACAGGAGTCCTTACATCTTCCAAATGGAGGATAATTTTAACCTCTCAACTGTTTCAAATTGTAAGTCAATTGGTTCTGCTTTAAAACCCCAAAATATATTATAAGATTAGGGTTAGCCCTTCGGTATTAATGCCTTTTGCGCCTATATGCTCTCGATATGATGTGTCCATAAAGGCAATCAGGTGGCATATGAAAATGAAGCTGTTAGAATATAATTGATTTTACACTTGCATTGCTGACACCTCAGAGTATTATTCTTCCTCTTATTAAAATGTTATCCTAATTATTTAATCCTTCATTGCAGAAAGTATGAGATTAGACATCTGTAACGCATACTCAGGGAGTATACTCGCTGACCAGAACAGCCAATTCTTTATAACCACCCCCGACTACCCAAGTGCGTATAAGAACAAAATCACATGTAAGTGTGACATCATAGCCCAAGATCCCGCAGCAAAGATACGACTGGAGGTTGTCGATTTTTACTTAGAAGACCATCATTCTTGTGAATACGACTACTTAGAGGTTTATGAGGGCTTTGAACTGATTGATTATTACTGTGGTCAAGACCTGAGAGGGGAAATTTACAAAACAAAAGGGGACAATGTCACAATGTATTTCCATAGTGATGATTCCCAGACTGACAACGGCTTCTGGATCTCATTTGATGGTGAGTAAGGATACTGGTGTCTGTCCACACTAGACTGACATACTTGTATTTGACTGAAAAAATTAATACAAGGAACTTTTCTAGCCCAAGTCTGAATTGCTGTTGTAGAACATTGTTGCCATCATTATTTCATCATCATTATAGCTACATTTATAGTGTAACATTTTTGCTACTATTACAATCCAATGTAGCATTTTTGCCACTAATGCTCAGTTTACAATTTTATAAAAAATTCATATTTAATACAGTGTGTCAATTTTTTGATATGTGCTTTTTGTTGCATTTTCCTCCCAATTTTGTATCAAAGAAACTGTTAACACCTAATTTTGAACCGAACACTGTAAAGTAAAAAAACAGGAAGACAAAGAGATAAATTGTTATTTGCAGTGGTCCCTCACAGAACAACAACTAACAAAATGGTGAACGTTACATGTGGAGATAGCGATCCTCCTCCTCCAAACTGGAGAGATGAAGATCACTCGGGAGATGGATCTGGAGATTGTAAGTATATTTATTAATATATTTTAATTTTACTTGGGGCTGTTCTATTGCAGAGTGAAACCTGTAAAGTGGAACACCTCTGGAAGTGGAACACCTGCGAGTGGAACATTTTTGGAGGTGTAAGACCAAGACCAAAAGTGGAACACCTCTAGAAGTGGAGCACCTCTGTTAATGGAACATTTTTCAGAGACCCAAGACCAACTGACTTAATGTTGAATTAACCTCGATAAGTGGAACACCTCCCAAGTGGAACACTTTTTAGAGTTACCAAATGTGCTCCACTTGGACAGGTTTTACTGTATTATACTCTCTGTATATTATTTTTATCACTTTATTTTTCACATTATTTTTATGTCACCACCAAGAAGTTGTTTTTGTGACATGCAAAGTTACACCGATTTGCAATAACTTACCAGGTGGTGACAGCTCGTCATGCTAATGCCTTATTTTAGTATTTGTAACTAGTATAATGATTTGTAGATTTGTATATAGCTATAGCTTAGTTATAATCCATTTATATTTATTTATGTTATTTTTTCCTAGTGATTTCTTATACTGTAATTATAATTTAACCTTTCATTTATAATAATATATTTCCATTCTGGTAACACCCTATCAACGCACTAACAAAAGTTAGCCTGACCCAAGATCTTGTCCATGCTTCATGTCGTACTAAACTTATCTAACAACATCTTCATTCAATTCCTACTAATTTATCTAGCAAGATCAAGGAGAGGTTACCATCCAGATACAACCTTCCCCTTCAATCTCACCATGTTTTGTAAACTCTCCGTTACGGGGGAGGAATACACTGGTCACATGAGCGAGACACGTGGGGGTCACAAATGTATGCAATGGAGCAAACAGCGACCCCATGAACACACCCTAGGCTCAACAGATAGAGAATTCATAGATGGTTCCGTCAAGGCTGCCAAGAATTACTGCCGGAATGTCAATAGTGACCCTTTAGGACCTTGGTGCTATACGACCAATAAGAGAGTAGAATTTGACTACTGCGATGTTCCTGTATGTAGTGAGCAAGAGTGTAAGAGAAGATTTGAAATGACTTACTTTGATGTGACAGCACAAGAATTGTCTCACAGTTTGAGTTTTTTCATTATATGTATCACATATGTTCATTGTACATTGTGGCACAGTGTTCATTGTTCATTGGAGTGCATATGTCTTCATTGTAGCAATAAGTGTTCATTGTTGCAAATATGTTGTCATTGTCGCAATAAGTGTTCATTGTTGCAAATATGTGTTCATTGTAGCAATAGGTTGTTATTTTAGCAAATATGTGTTCATTGTAGTACTGGGTTAATGTTGTTATTGTAGGAAATGTATTTTTATAGCACATAGGTGTTCATTTCAGCGCATAGGTGTTCCTTGTTGCACTGTGTACTATGTGAGCCATTTCTACAAATAGTGCTCATTGGAGCTTGAATGTACAATGACATCTCACTATACATGTTATAAAGTGACGTTATTATGCCTAACAATGGATCATTCAAAATGCACCTGTGTTTCATAACAGCACAAGTTCGATGACTTTTGGCATAATGTGCATTGTAAGGTAAATATTCTGATATCTGCTCATATGACAACGAAAATGACTTAGCTGCAGTATGTGTATGTAATGTGTTTTTTGTGTCTTGTGTGTCATACTAAATTTGTGTGTTTGTCATTTTGGGTTACTTGATTTGTGTTGTTCTGATTTTATAGTCAATGTCCATACATTTTACAAAGCATTTATACAGTCACTAAATGAATTATATATTTCAAACTCTATCTTTCTTTGGAGGTGAAACAACTCAAGACTGGTTAACTTTGAAACCACAAATTGTTCAAAGTTGTTATAAAATTCAGTAACAACAAAGCTAGATTATAAAACCATTATAAACCATAAAACCAACAAAGAAATGTTGTGTTATATATAGCATTGTTAAACATAAGTTAAAGGTTATATTTATTCAGCATTTTACATAGACCCTATAACACACATCAGAGGGATTAATAGAGGCCTTACATGTGCAGATACATTAACATGTGTATGCACTGGATCAATTTTTGCATCAATATGGACCCATGGTGTTCTTGAATCAAATTATATTACAATCTTGGCTAATAACCAATGTTGTCCTGTCAACTAAGAACATGTCAGTTAGTCTAAGTGGTCATGCACAGATTCACAATTTACTTCACCAAGTTCACTTTTTTTTAAAATTTAAATTACCAAAATTTATTCATCATAACTGGACCACCAATGGCATTACATCTACCCATTTATAAATATTTACAATACAAAGAAAGCATTTTAAGGTAAAGTCTAAGTTGCTCTCATACACGACCCTGAATCGCCCTCTGGCTCTTGGTTTATCGTCATATTTTCATTATTGATATGTAAACATGCCAAAACGTTATATAAAGTCTGCAATGATGTTGCATGTTTTCAATTTGTTTTGGCTCGTACCTACATGAAGTTACATAATGTAATTAGTTTTGTCAGGACACTGTTTTACTTTTTGAAACTCGTAATAACGTAAGAATTGATTACTGAATTAGGCATTATACTCGTATTACTGAATATATTTGATTTTATGTGGATTTATTAAACAGGTATGGTTGCATGACTGTCTGGCCTCAATATTCTGTCCATTGAGATCAGGTTAAGTCCAGAGATGAACATATACCATCCTCGTATCTTATTGTATACCTGTACATTTATAATTATGTTGCACTTGATATCAAACCGTTACATACTTGTGACATCACTAAGTTATTGTGACTTCACTGTATTACAGATAACCATGGCACCCAGCATACTGCCAGCTTATGTATCACAACGGCAAGTACAAACTACCTCAACTTTGGTTGCTATGATGATGATGGTAACCCAGATGGCTCTATGATTAACATTCACGAAGCATACATGGCGGGCACAATCAACAATGAGTGTACCCTCGCAGCACTTTCGGATGACATGTGCAAGGACCCTATAGAAGATACTAAGATCAACAGCTGTGTGGGACATAAAGAGTGCTATATCATGGTGAAAAGACAGTATAGTGAAACGTGTGATGAGACAACCAACTATGCTCATATAGATTATGAGTGTATTCCCAGTAAGTTTGAGAAAACATGAGTATTCTTCTTGATTTCTTAATTTCATTTAGGATGATTTTACTTTTCTCAATGTTAAAATCTGTTCTATCTATGCAGTGGTTCTATCTTATGAGGCCAAATTGTGCACAATATATTTGATTGAATTTCAATGAGTTTCAGAATTTATACCTTGGTTTTAAAGTTGTCCATTGTACATCTTTATGTTTCAATTATTTTCTTTCAGATGCCAATGTAGTTGACATCTGTAGGCGTGACTCCTATGTGTGGCACCCAGATTCTAATTGGGGAGCGATCATCTCTCCCAACTACCCAAACTCCTATCTTGACCAGGTTGCGTGCCAGTGCAATTTGAGCACAGACCAACATTCACGAATATTTGTCCATAATCTCGACTTCCATTTGGAAGAGTCAGATGCTTGCCAGTACGACTACGTGGAGTTCATAGAGGGCGCTGTACAAGAGGATGCCTGGTGCGACACAATTGAAAGTGGAACTGAGTACAAATCAAGTCAGAATCACCTCAGCCTCGTTTTCAAGACAGATGCTAATATTCCTAACAAGGGATTCTGGTTTCAAATCGAAGGTATGAACACCTCCTTGATTGATGATCATATTTAAGAAATAGTAGAATATTTCCAGTAATTAGCTTTTATAGTAAAAGTCAAGCATTTATCTCGGTTCTTTTATTTGAGTGAGGTAATCCCATTTTCTCCTAAAGGAGAAACCTATTTACTGACAATTCTTTATGTTATATGCCCTTGTCCATTTCTCTCTCAAAAGGTGCTTTACTTTGAATATATAGACACACTGAAATATCAAGGATTGAATAAAAATAAACCTATAATAAGCTTCTAACTGATTATTTATAATGTTTTAATTGCAGCATTTAACAGCATTGACAACACAGAGAGTGTAATTTATGCTGACTGTGGGCAGTACCAACCACCAGTTAGGCCTCCAATCACTAACCCTCCTCCAACAACTACCAGTGCTACCAGCACAACCACTTCTACTACAGCTACCTGGCTTCCACCTATACCTGTTGTTACAGACAGTCCCACAGCTCCCCCTAGTGGGGCCCCAGCAAGTCTCCCTTATTCCAGCACTAGGGCTACACCTGTAGCAACAGGGAGACCCCTTGTAAACACTACAACTCCTAACAACCAGGGTACCATGGGAGCACAACAGGATAACCTGTCAAGTCAGCTTCGTAAGTCTCAGGAAAATTATTTCCTTGATTTGTTACTAATGCAAGTAGCCTCGATTAGGCAAGTTTTATAGTGTCAGAATCATATTTAGAAAGCATTTGGAACAGATTTAATAAGTGGGCCAATTTAATAATTTGTAATTGTTATAGGGATCGTCAATCTAATTTTTGTCATTTCTGATGTTCTTTTGCTGACAAGCTGGCGAAAACCTATTTTCAATACAGAGTAAAACCTGTTAAGTGGACAACTCTATAAGTGGAATGCTTTTTAAAGTCCTGCAACCTATTGACTCACATGTATTGTTAATTGAACCTCTGTAAGTGGAACACCTCTCAGTGTTGAGATTCACCAAAGGTGTTCCACTAACACAGATTTACTGTACATTTTTAATGTGAAAGTATAATTTTGTTTGTGATTTTTCAGCATTGATTATTGGTGCTGCAGCAGGGGGGACACTGCTCATACTCATCATAGTAATACTCAGTGTCTGCATGTGTAGAAGGTAAGTTATTCATTATAGTCCTCATTTTACAGTAGAGGGTGAAATACAATTTATATATTATAACAAGTCCTATTTATTGACAAATGCTGTGATCAAATTGCATGTTGCAGATGTTGATTTATGTGTAATATCTCTGATTGAATGAAACCTTAACATCGCTAAAACTTAATAAGACATTTCTTTGCAATATGTTCTGTTATTCTGATTTTTTATCAATAGAGGACTTAATTGTTATATCAATACATAAATAGATGGCATTAGTAGTTTTGTTGGGCTAGTATATACCATTCTCTATGGAGATATTTTTTGCAATAACCAATGATTTGTTCTGATCAGTCTGATTTACCATAACCTATGAGGCGCTTACATTTGCTGAAGAAGGTGGGGTATACCACAATACTTTTGAATAGGATATTTAGGTTAACATTTTATGTTGTCGTTTCAGGAAGCAGCCCAGTAGCAAGCCACCCCCTGGGCTGGACCCCGGGACTGGTGGAGCAGGAGGGTCAGGTCCTTACAGAGTCATGAGGAATCGAGATTCTGTTGCGTTTGATAATGATGCAATGAAGTACGGCTACGCAGATATCCCAGCTAATGGTGCTGTAGGAGCTGAGCATGAGCATATATATGAGTCAATCCCATATGACAATCTCCCAGGTCCACCTGCACCCCCAAGGCCTAATTCCATCAAGGGGCCAGGGGTACCACCCTACCCTGCAGGAAGAATGTCTCATCCTGGACAGGGACCTGGTATAAATGCTAAACATTCCAAATTTTCTAATCCTCTATACACTAAGGATAATTACTTAGATCCTATTGAAATCCAGACTATTGCCAATGATGCTGGGGCATCTGGACCATACCTTGGGTTATCCCCGCACACCAGGCAAGTTAATGAACCATCATATACAGGGCTTACTGAGACCAGCCCAAGAGAGCCTAACTATACAGGCCTCGAGATTACACAAGAACTGAATACACCTGACTCACCCTATACAGGCCTGCAGCAACATAGTAATCACGTATAAGAATTCTCTACGTTAAAGTATGTAGGGCTTTCGTATAGAAAGATACAAGCCACTACAAAAGGACTAAGGACTAGAAACAAGCCAGCAAGTAATCAGAGCAAGTTGCAAGACAGGAATCATGCTGGAAATGTTTCAACTTGGCCATTGAAAACCTTCAGAGGTTGCAGAGTCAATTACAGCAAACCATCAAAGAGCAAGATGATAAACAGTAATCAGACTTGACTAATATGACGAAATTGCAAACCATTGATTTAATTTATAGCGTTTGTGTATGTATAGAACAAGCTGGAAGCCACAATTGACAATCAACTGTAAAACGGAATATGCTATTTTTGTATTGAACAGTATGAATGAAATAAGGATAAGCCAGAAATATATATGAGTGAAATGAGAGAACACATGGATACAACACACAAACACACATCTGCAATAAAGGTTGCCAGCTTGTCTGAAAAAGTCCAAGATCCTGAAGTTTCTATAAATACGATATCATACTGGACTGAACTGAACTGAACTAGAAGTCATTTTGCCAAAATACCAAAGTTGTGTAAACTTACAGATAGGCATACCTGGATATTGTATTTGCCTTTCTGTATTTCTTCCTAACTTGGTGCCCACTTTAATTTGACAGATTTGAAAAACTTGCCTAATTGAATTTTAGTCAAAATCCAAAGAAACAAAAGATTATGATAGTCATTTACAGTCCATTGTGCCCGGAATATCTGTCATAGGCCCCCTTTGTGTACTTTGTACTTTGATACTGATGACCTCAAAGTTATGGTTAGTAATTCAGTAAATCAGTAAAATCTGCCATATTAAATAGAGTCAAATTAATAACAAATACAGAACAGTAGAACCTGTCCAATTCAAACACCACTGAAACTGGCCAAAAGTGTTAATTAGCATGTGTTCCCATTTTACATTTTTTAAATGGTAGCCAATGGGTGAATGAAAAATTGGGACAGAAGTGTTCATACTGAGGGATTTCCAGTTAAGAGGTATTTGGATATACAGGTTTGACTGTATAATAATAATTAATAGCAAGCAATTTTAGACTCAAGTAAATTAAAATGATAAGTACATGTAATCGAATTTTCAGTCTGCATATATTGTACAAACTTTTTGTTAATTGTATATTGTACAAACTTTTTAATTTTATTAATTGTAGTTTAATGACAAAATAATCTTAATAAATCTTTGATTTAATAATTTTAAAGTTATTATAACACGTTCATCTGATAAAGCAGAGAATATGTGGACAAATTGACATATTTAGAAATTGTAAATAAGATATATGTTATACATGGTAACATTATAAGATATTACGTACATGTGCTATATTTACAATCTAATACTCATTAATACAGCATTAATACATACTACATATGTATAGCACATAAGGGTTGTGTACTTGGAATTTCTAAATATAGGGTTTATACCAAGGGAGGTGCACATATTTCCTGAAGGATCTAAAAATGACCACATAATAGATACAATGGTTCTAGATAGATGTGCACTTAAGTATGTTAATTAAATGGAGGTTATGACTTGGACATATATTTTGTATACATTTCACTCCCTAGATACTATTGGTACATTCCACTCCCTAGATACTATTGTTACATTCCACTCCCTAGATACTATTGTACCATTCCACTCCCTAGATACTATTGTAACATTCCACTCCCTAGATACTATTGTTTTCTATCTAGAACCTTGCACAGTGATCTCCACAGCATTTTTTCTCAAGTGGGTGAAGTTCTCATTTTTACAATTCAGACCAAAATTGGTCAGAATATGCCATTTTTCATGATTTTTCTTATTTTCAAGTGGGGGCAAATATATTTTCAGATGGGTGCAAGCCTATTTTCAAAATCTCAGGTGGGTGCTGCACCCACTTGCTTTAATGCTGGGGAGATCACTTTTACATTTTACTGGATTGAGATTGGAAACAAAGCATACATTGGAGAGATGAATACTCAAACTTTTAATATTATATTTTATTTATTTTAGAATATACAGTGTATATTGTATAATGTATGCATATCATGTGAACATTCCTGGTGTGAAATAAGATGTTTATATGGTGGTTATTTTCTTACATTGCATGTACATTATTGGACATGTAGGTGTAGTCTCACCATAGAAACAAACAAACAAGCATAACTCGCTAAAGTGGGTGAAAATGGCTTTTTTTTAAATTATTTACAGTTGACTACGCAAGAATGATTTTTTAACTGACTACTTTCAAGCCTTTCAAATACATACACTAGATATATAATGTAGGCTGAATTGTAATGTACATGATGGAGTATATTTTGTTATAATAAAGCAGTGCTGAATGCATTTAAAAACAAATATCTTGACATGTGTGTATATGTTATTTAACTTTTAGTAAACTACCTTGAAACAATGCAGTGCTGTACCATAATCTCTGACCTTGTCTTAGAGACAATGATGCTAAAATTTGATTGATCAGTCCACACAAGTAAACAACTGTTTTACATATTCTGCCATCTTTTGTTATATCATAGAAACTATGTTATTTGGCTCGATTAATGATGTCATTGGTTGTACTTTTTCAAGTTAATCTCATTTTTGCTTGGACAGATTGCTATCTAAAACATACGACATCTTTGATTTAGGCAATATCCATCCTAGCTTCTTCGATATACCAAAGGGTGGCAGGGTTGTTTATACGCCCTTGTTCAAAACAAACGTCCAAGAGGCCTATAGTTTTGGTTATGTGAACTGTTTACTTAGACTTCAATAGTAGACCTCTGAAGATCAACTGTTAAAATTCTATATCAAGAATATAAATCTTGAATGGACTTATTCCATCATCCGTATGCAGGATCCTGGACACCTGCTTAGGAGGATGGCTTTATTATTCACACTTTTGAAGAAAACAGTTGAAGAGTTATATAATATATTAACAGAAAGGTCAAGATCTGATAACCAGTTGTTTGATAAGCAATTCTAATCTAGTACATAAGTCTAGTGATACCAAAGAAAGTAATTCGATTATACCTCTTTTGAAAATAAAGGTGCATCAATCAATGATACCTGCTTGTAGACATTTCTCCTCCCCGGGGATATAACCAGGAGGAAAGTTTTCGTTTTATGTACTCTTCAAAAAGGAGAAAATAAAGTTTTCAGAAAAAGGTTCTTGTGCCATGCTCACCTACACGGGAATTTTAAAAATGCAAATACAAGTGTATCATTCGTATCACCCACACGGGAAATTTGAAATGTAATTTACGAGTGCATTATCCGTATCACCCAAATGCCATTCTCACAAACAGTGATATTTAAATGTAAGGTCTTGATGAATTCTTGATGAATTCTGATCTTACTCCATTTCAATGCTATGCACAGATGAAGATGCATCCATATAACATGAGCACAGGTTGTCATTTCATCAAAATACATGTAGTACATGAAGGTAACAGTGTGTATGTATACCTACGGTGGATCCTATGGTGTGTATGTATACCTATAGACTCATGTTTTGATGTAGCAAGCGTAGTTGGCGTAGTCAACATACTATCATGTAGTTAGTTCAATAAAATACCCGTAGCAGACGTAGATGTACATACGGTGGACCCTACAGTGTGTATGTATACCTATAGACTCATGTTTTGATGTAGCAAGCGTAGTAGGCGTAGTAAACATACTATGATGTGGTTATTTTCAATAAAAATACCCGTAGCAGACGTACAGATGTACCTAGGGTGGACCCTACAGTGTGTATGTATACCTATAGACTTATGTTTTGATGTAGCAAGCGTAGTTGGCGTAGTAAACATACTAGCAGACGTAGACATACCTAGGGCGGGCCCTACAGTGTGCATGCATACCTATAGACCCCTGTTTTGGTGTAGCAAGCGTAGTTGGCGTAGTCAACATACTATCATGTGGTTATTTGCAATAAAATACCCGTAGCAGACGTAGCTATACCTAGGGTGGACCATGACAGTGTGTATGTATACCTAGAGACCAATGTTTTGGTGTAGCAAGCGTAGTTGGCGTAGTCAACATACTATCATGTGGTTATTTGCAATAAAATACCCGTAGCAGACGTAGCTATACCTAGGGTGGACCATGACAGTGTGTATGTATACCTATAGACCAATGTTTTGGTGTAGCAAGCGTAGTTGGCGTAGTCAACACACTATTATGTGGTTATTTGCAATAAAATACCCGTAGCAGACGTAGCTATACCTAGGGTGAACCATGACAGAGTGTATGTATACCTATAGACCAATATTTTGGTGTAGCAAGCGTAGTTGGCGTATTCAACACACTATCATGTGGTTATTTGCAATAAAATACCCGTAGCAGACGTAGCTATACCTAGGGTGGACCATAACAGTGTGTATGTATACCTATAGACCAATGTTTTGGTGTAGCAAGCGTAGTTGGCGTAGTCAACATACTATCATGTGGTTATTTGCAATAAAATACCCGTAGCAGACGCAGCTATACCTAGGGTGGACCATGACAGAGTGTATGTATACCTATAGACCAATGTTTTGGTGTAGCAAGCGTAGTTGGCGTAGTCAACATACTATCATGTGGTTATTTGCAATAAAATACCCGTAGCAGACGTAGCTATACGTAGGGTGGACCATGACAGTGTGTATGTATACCTATAGACCACTGATTTGGTGTAGCAAGCGTAGTTGGCATAGTCAACATACTATCATGTGGTTATTTGCAATAAAATACCCGTAGCAGACGTAGCTATACCTAGGGTGGACCATGACAGTGTGTATGTATACCTAGAGACCAATGTTTTGGTGTAGCAAGCGTAGTTGGCGTAGTCAACATACTATCATGTGGTTATTTTCAATAAAATACCCGTAGCAGACGTAGCTATACCTAGGGTGGAGCATGACAGTGTGTATGTATACCTATAGACCAATGTTTTGGTGTAGCAAGCGTAGTTGGCGTTGTCAACATACTATCATGTGGTTATTTGCATATAAAATACCCGTAGCAGACGTAGCTATACCTACCTGTAGGGTGGAGCATGACAGTGAGTATGTATACCTATAGACCAATGTTTTGGTGTAGCAAGCGTAGTTGGCGTAGTCAACATACTATCATGTGGTTATTTTCAATAAAATACCCGTAGCAGACGTAGCTATACGTAGGGTGGACCATGACAGTGTGTATGTATACCTATAGACCACTGATTTGGTGTAGCAAGCGTAGTTGGCGTATTCAACACACTATCATGTGGTTATTTGCAATAAAATACCCGTAGCAGACGTAGCTATACCTAGGGTGGACCATGACAGTGTGTATGTATACCTAGAGACCAATGTTTTGGTGTAGCAAGCGTAGTTGGCGTAGTCAACATACTATCATGTGGTTATTTTCAATAAAATACCCGTAGCAGACGTAGCTATACCTACCTGTAGGGTGGAGCATGACAGTGAGTATGTATACCTATAGACCAATGTTTTGGTGTAGCAAGCGTAGTTGGCGTTGTCAACATACTATGATGTGGTTATGTTCAAAAAATACCCGTAGCAGACGTAGTTATACCTAGTGTGGACCCTACAGGGTGTATGCTTGTTTTGGTATAGCAAGCGTAGTTTGCGTAGTCAACATACTATGATCTGGGTTTTTTCAATAAAATACCCGTAGCAGACGTAGGTACACCTAGGGTGGGCCCTACAGTGTGTATGCATACCTATAGACTCATGTTTTGGTGTAGTTGGCGTAGTCAACATACCATACTATACTGGGCTTATTTTCAATAAAATACCCGTAGCAGACGTAGCTATACCAAGCATGGACCATGACATACCTGTATACTCCTTCTTATGTGTAGCAAGCGTAGTTGTATTTTGTACATAATGTACGTTGTCAATTCTAATGTACGTTGTCTCAATGCCCGTACCTCAATTCACAGTTAACCCTAATGCAGGCAAAGTATTTTTCATCACGATAACTTGGAAATTAGAGCGGGGGGTGTCAGATGCATGTCATATTGAAACTTAACAATTACAGTCAGTTTACACTTGACACAAGTTGCCGCTACCTCATCGTCAGGTTATAATTATTGTGATTTGCACCTAGAACGCATCCGACACCTTATAATTCAGTTATATTGCAAGTACGAAGCACGAATGTGGTATTTTTCTTGTACGATAAATAAAATTCCTCGCAAAAAGTCTGTAATAACTGCGGGTCATTTTTAAACGTTATTTCTAGAGTTGATTATGAAACCAAGTGGCTCGATGCAGTAATCGCTAGCACTGATATTGGATTGAATAGTGTATTAAAATGCTAGTCAACGTGTTTGATAACTTTGATTGGACACTTTAGATATTTAGCTTATTAATTTTGTATATATATAGTGTTCACGGTCCATCCATTGAGACACAAGACAGTCAATTTTGAGTACATAACGAATCCATTCTTAACAAAGCGTTCTCAAAATAAGTATTCGAAATGTTTGAGTTCGGGATGATAAAAGTACGTTAACATATACCGCTCCTTAACAAACTCCTTTGGGAACAAGATATAGAATCAAATGCATATTCTTCTTATTTACTTCCTGACACATGCCAATGAATGTTACATAAGTAAATATCTCCGTTTTAAATAATTTTGTAAACGTTGTTCTCTACAGGTGCGATTTCGTATAATTGAAAAACAAAATTGAACATTTTGCATTTCTAAATTAATAAGTTTCTTGGAATACAACTTAACCGTTAACGATTTAAGTCATTGATAATATTTCCCTTAGTGATCCCATGCCAAATAGACAGTAACTGGGTCAATGTTTTGTGTTCAACCTTGTTTTCATGACTTTTTAACATGAGTCGGCAATTATGTAGGAAATTTCATTTCCAAATGTAAGCGTGTCAACTCCTGTTTTTGCACAATATTTAGCCTTTTATAATGATAGATCGCCAAAATCTGCATGTACCTCTCAATGAGGCGATATGTTTTTGAATTTATAGATGTAAGCTGTAAACTCAAACAAAAATTCAAACCACCCGCTATTATTTTGATTACACAAGACGAGTTGTAGACAGATTCACTTGCAACCAATTTAATTACGTTAAAATAAATCATGAAATTTCGTGACAATTGCAAGTGTTTAGCATGGAAGTCTATGGCTATGTGGCCCAACCAAAACAATGACCCTAAGATGAATGCTTCTATGAAAGTATTATATTCAATTCTTAAAGCCTGAAAGCTAATTAAATCAATTAGTTGAATTTTGATAGATGTCTCTGCAATTACAATGGTAATATGGCAAAAATAAAGATGTCACTATATGATTAAAGTAACACATAGACGATACATCTATAATCTAAAACCCCAAAAAGTAATAGATATGACTATATGTTATGTAAAAAGAGATTTAAAAAACATTGGGGGCCAGAGATAAATAACTTTCCCACGACCGAGATTTAAACCACCAAATATGGGGTTGGAAGACCATAGCCTTAATCATAATCCACTAGATCAAGTTGAGATGAACTGGTAATTTCTAAGCTATCTCACCTTCCGGATTACGCCAACTACGCTTGCTACACCAAAACATGAGTCTATAGGTATACACACACAGTGCCATGGTTCACCCTGGGTATAGCTACGTCTGCTACGGGTATTTTATTGAAACTAACCACATCATAGTATGTACTGTGTTGACTACGCCAACTACGCTTGCTACACCAAAATATGAGTGTATAGGTATACACACACACTGCCATGGTTCACTGTGGGTATAGCTACGTCTGCTACGGGTATTTTATTGGAAATAACCACATCATAGTATGTTGACTTCGCCAACTACGGTTGCTACACCAAAACATTGGTCTATAGGTATACATACACACTGTCATGGTCCTACCTAGGTATAGCTACGTCTGCTACGGGTATTTTATATGCAAATAACCACATGATAGTATGTTGACTACGCCAACTACGCTTGCTACTCCAAAACATTGGTCTATTGGTATACATACACACTGGCATGGTCCACCCTAGGTATAGCTTCGTCTGCTACGGGTATTTTATTGAAAATAACCACATGATAGTATGTTGACTACGCCAACTACGCTTGCTACACCAAAACATTGGTCTATAGGTATACATACACACTGTCATGGTCCACCCTAGGTATAGCTACGTCTGCTACGGGTATTTATATGCAAATAATCACATGATAGTATGTTGACTACGCCAGCTACGCTTGCTACACCAAAACATTGGTCTATAGGTATACATACACACTGGCATGGTCCACCCTAGGTATAGCTACGTCTGCTACGGGTATTTTATTGCAAATAACCACATGATAGTATGTTGACTACCCCAACTACGCTTGCTACACCAAATCATTGGTCTATTGGTATACATACACACTGCCATGGTGTACCCTGGGTATAGCTACGTCTGTTACGAGTATTTTATTGAAAATGACCACTTCATAGTATGTACTGTGTTGACTACGCCAACTACGCCTGCTACACCAAAACATGAGTCTATAGGTATACATATACACTGTAGGGTCACCCTATGTACAACTACGTCTGCTACGGGTATTTAATTAAACAAAAACAGTATGAGTATGTTTACTACGCCAACTACGCTTGCTACACCTAAACATGAGTCTATAGGTATACACACGCACTGCCATGGTGTACCCCGGGTACAGATACGTCTGCTCAGGTACAGCTATATATACTGCTACGAGTATTTTATTGAAAATAACCACATCATAGTATGTACTTTGTTGACTACGCCTGCTACACCAAAACATTGGTCTATAGGTATACACACACACTGCCATGATGTACCCTGGGTATAGCTACGTCTGCTACGAGTATTTTATTGAAAATGACCACTTCATAGTATGTACTGTGTTGACTTCGCCAACTACGCCTGCTACACCAAAACATGAGTCTACAGGTATACATACATACACACTGTAGGGTCACCCTTATGTACTACTACGTCTGCTACGGGCATTTATTTGAAGGAAAACAGTATGGTATGTTTACTACGCCAGCTACACTTGCTACACGGAAACATGAGTCTGTAGGTATACTCACACACTGTCATGGTTCACCCTAGGCCTACGCCAACTACGCTTGCTACACCAAAACATGATCAGGGTACATTACGTATGTACGCGTGATTGTACATGTTGGTTGCGCTTTCTACACATGTGCGAGCCTACCAAAGCCACATTTGTCTGCATGTTACAGAAATCATCACGAAATATGTTCACCTATCTATGGGGTTATAACATGGGCATGTTATATTGATACATGTCAAGTAGGTGATCACCGCACACGTGCCCAGAAAAAACGTCCGGAGACGTAAATTTCCACAAAAACGCCTAACAATGTCTGAAAGAAAGGTTTTAAATGTAAGTATATATAACATTTATAGACATAAATATGTAGTCCACTTTAAAAGATCGATCTTATATCTCAAAATGCTTCGAATAGAGAAAAGTTGACCTATAAAAATTATGATAGACTAGATCTACTTTCACTTGAATTGAAAAAAGTATTCATCAATCCAAAACTTAGACACAGTCTTATTTATAGCCTGTGTTGTCTTGTGGGTGACATGGTGAACTCTTAGGATGAATTGACCAGTCAGATTTACTGAACACACCTGTCGTGCACTTTGGATTCCTTTTACAATTTTGAAAAGTAAACCACTGAATATTCTAGTTATTCAAACATTCTGAATTATCAACCCTCAATTAATAGTCTTGGTACACTAATGCATCTTTTGTGCAAGAATGAAAGATGTAGATGATGTGTGGAATGAGTTATGTTTATCTGAAAATAGAGTCAATACGTCCAAATCCAAACAGGGGGGTAAACACGAACGGGTTCCAAATAATGGCAAGCAGATCATTGAATTGAATAATAGTACCTCTACTACCTCTACATAATATTTATAGCCTGAAAGATACAATATAATGATGTATACCAACAATCTTACAATAAAATAATCAATTATGATGATTTAGGTGTTCGGAATTACCCCCATGCTAGTGTTTGGAATTACCCCCACAAACTCTGTGCGTTTAATTAAATAGATGTCAGTAATAAATGATTTAAATTTGGGTTTCTTGATATGCAGGGGTGACAGGATCCATTATCATAAGTTAAGGGTATCATATAATGATATACCATCGATCTAATAATTAAAACAATTAAGTTTAAGTTAAGTGTTTGGAATTACCCCCATGCAAGTGTTCGGATTTACCCCCCAAAAAAACACCTGTTCGGAATTACCCCCCTGAAATACCTTGTAGTAAAAATGGAATAACCCAGATATTTTTTACAATTTTTCGTAATTTTTTCTGCAAATACATTCTACAGTGGATAATACACATAATATATATAGAATCATAGCATAGATGTGCAATACAGCCAAGCTAACTACATTTTTTGATGGGGGTGTTTGGAAATAGACGTACTGACTCTAGCGCATGGTCATGAAATTTCATCAAAGTGCACCCTGACCTTAATGTCTACAGACAACTTTAGGTACAGTTTGGGCCATGAAGAAATGAGTAATCAATTTTCTATCACCATTTGCAAACCATGGTGGTTTGAAAGTCCATAATTTCCAATATTATCAAGATACATATCCCCTAAAATTTGTATAATCTACTATATTTTATATATACTTCATCTTGTGGTGGGACCATAGGCCTTCAAAGCCCATCGTTGGACTTGCCTAAATTTTCAGACTTGATTATCGGGAGCAAATTGATGACGATAAATCAAATAAATTTGAATATTGTAAAAGAAACATAAGCTTATAAAATCAATATATGCTATTTTGTGTCTCGGTATTTGTCAGGCTGCATTTTTGTACATATTTTTTATAGGATTAAAAATTAATAAATAATAAAACGTACCATTCAATGCATTATTATGCTCCAAAATGCGAAAATTGTACAAATTGATTGAAAAATTGATTTTCACACTATTTAGTCCAAACGAATGATTATTCTAGTAGCCTATTTATCGTAATCACCACTACTCTCATTCACCAATGTATAGCTTCTTGAAAGGAAATCCTCACTTCAGAAAATCCATGTCTAATTATTTATGGCCCAAACTGCAGTAATTATTATCCATTCCAATTGAGATGGGGTTATTAAAAATGGTGTTCTAGTGCAGTAGAGTAAGATATACAAAACATCAGATCATTTTGAGTAACACGACTGAACAAAGCAAATGAGTGTGATATTTGATATCTAAAGGGCGATAAAATGATATCACTAGAAGTTATCTGATATTGCATTAAGCCCATGGTTACATTCAAAATTGAAAAAAATCAAATTTGTTTATCATCTGGATATGCAGCTGATAAACAATATCAGCTGTATATGGGGCTGATAAATGATTTTCTTAAAAACATCACACGGATCTGCATAACATCACTGGCACAATATAATATGGCTGTTAATGTACAGATAAGTTCTAGTATTATTCATTATTTTTATTATTTCAGAAATATTATCCACCAGATTTTGATCCAGCTAAGGTCCCCCGTTTGAAGCAAGCAAAGAATCGACAGTTCACAATCCGAACTATGGCACCCTTTAACATGAGGTAACATTAGTTAGGCCTATAATCAGGGAGTTCGGCCAAAAAATCATAAAAATTAGGAGTTTTCCACCATTTTAGGAACTTTCGAGTGATTTTTCTCTAAATTAATCTCCCTTAAGCAAAAGCTGGCTACGGGCCTCTTAATATATGTCATCATCAGACATTACATCATTTTTAATGTTATGTCCCTCCCCTCCCGAAAGTACCGTGTCCCGAGACCATTTGTACCGTTCCGTACCGTACAGAAATTCTTTTGGACCGTGACACCTCTAGTAATTAACTTGGGATGTGGAATGTACAGTATTTGCATGTGTGGTTCCCGATTCATGACATACTTTGGTGCCTGCTTCTGTGTCGCTTCACAATAAAAAATATTCAAGAGCTGTTTTTCGGTACTGATGTATAAATTGTTGTTATAAATTCCCGGCAATTCATGGCTACTCAATGATTAATATAAAACCTTGTATTACGTTGGCTGCAGGTGCTCTACGTGTGGGGAATATATCTACAAGGGAAAGAAGTTCAACTCTCGAAGTGAGCGGGTCCTGGATGAAGACTACTTGGGGTTACATATACACAGATTCTACATACGCTGTCCAAAATGTGTCTCGGAGATTACATTTAAGGTAAACTGTCTATATAAGAACTACGTCCTAGGAATATTCTGATTTTTTTCATGTGTCCCTTTTTCATTGTAGTTGAATTGTACATTTGACAGTAAATTACAACTGTCTACCAAAAAATCACCACATATTTTTACATAATTTATGCATTTTTGATCTACTTATCCCATAACATGGATTTTTGCGAAAAAATTGAGTTGATTTTAAAAACTCTGTTATTTTTGCAAACTCTGTCCATTGTCTACCATTGTTTGGTTTTTTAGACTGACCCAGAGAACTGTGACTACAAACTTGAGAATGGGGCGATCAGGAATTTTGAGGCTTTTACAACTGCCCAGAAACTTGAAGAGAAGAAAATTCAGGAAGCTAAAGATGAGGAGGCAAATAACCCAATGTTGGTGAGTCATAAAAAGAATATACTGCATTGTATTATGAAGTTTACGCTGTCAAATGCTCCAAGTTGAAACTAACATTATTTAAACATTAACAACATGTGCATTGTTAATATCAGTTTATTGGTAAAAAGATGCTATTATGTAATGTGTTTATACCATCGTGATCATTTTCTGTGAAGATTTCAATAATATATGTTTATATAGTTACATACCACGAACATTGTGGACCAAAATGTCTATTATCTTTTATTAGTGTGAGTTTTCCTATTGAAGAATTAGATTGTTAGAATATTTTCATATTGGTTTGTTAACATTTTTTCAGGCATTGGAAAATCGTACGAAGGCATCAAGAAATGAAATTGAAGCACTGGAAAATCTTGGTGAGCTACGCGATCAAAATTCCCGTCATGCTAAAGTTGATTTAAATGAGTTATTGGAGAAGAAGAGGCTCTATGAGGAGCACCTGCAGAAACTCCAAGATGATGAAGATGAAAAGTTTGTCAAGTAGGTTACATTTTAAATCTCTCATGTATCTATGCGTCAGATGATGTATTTTACATCAGAGATCAGTAAGTTTTCCTCTAAATGATGGTTATTTTCAACGCTTTTAAGGCAAAAAGCTTGTCCACTGATTAGAATTACGAGGTGACTTTTTGATGCAAATCAGATTGTATTTTTTCATAACATTTGGAAAATAACAAATACATTTGGTTAGGTCTCAGATCCTAGAGCTCTGGTTACTTTAGTTGCATTTCCAAAAAGCATAGTATTGTTCAATACATTGAGATATGAAATATTTGTTGAAAATCGTCTTATATAAAAATGTATATACAATGTATTTATTTTGAGAATTTTTCTGTGAACTATAGTTGTGTCCATGAATTTTTAGCTCTGTATTTGGAAGAAATGGAAACGATTCTCTCAAACGTCTCCATGATGATAGCTCTTCAGATGAGGAGGAGAAAAAGTCCAGTTCAAAGGTTAAGAAGATCACAAATGTTGAGAAGCCTACTGACTTTCTCTCAGAGGTGAGGTTATAACAAGTTTGACTACATATTCATTTTCAGTTTAAAAGTAGAATATAGAATTTTGGTTATTTTTGTGTATTACTATTATGCCAGGTTTCTCTGTATAAAAGGACTAACTCTCATTCATTTCATGTGTTTCTTTTAAACAACTGTTTTCTGAAAACTGGGGTTCCGACTTATTAATTTCATGTTTAAATATCTGCTGATGAAACAAATTGAAGTCTATAGACCTATTCAAAAATCTGGAGTTTCTTTTAAGAAAATGTTTCTCAAACTGGCATTCTGACTAATAAGGGATTTCTACAAATTTAAATCAAGACTTTTTATTATTTAGTATATTCGAATTGAGTAAGGTATGTTTGTTAAGAAAATATTCAATATTTTCCAGAAAAAGACTGAGCAGAAAACTGAAAGTTGGCAAAAAAGTGTTGGATCCTTAAAAAAGTCCTCTCTAAGTGGACTTGTAAAAAAGAAAAAAACTGTAGCAGCATCAGCTACTAGTGCCACTGCAGCATCGGACACCAGCAACACTGTAGCAGATAGTGACACTAACTCTACCACACAAAGTAATTCTGACAATAGAGGTGACCAAAATCAAATAAATAATGAACTCAAATCTGGTACAAACTCTACGTCAAAAGATGAAACAAGCAAAACCCAACAAAATGATCAAAACAAAAATAATTCAGAAGTTAAAGAGGCTGATGTGGGATATTCTGATAAAGAGGTTGCTGATATTATCAAAAGTGCTTCAACCTTGAAGAAAAAAGATGCAACGGAGAATAAAAAGTCACCAAAAATCCTCGGAGGACTTGGGTTTTTGGGGGTTGATTATTCTGACTCGGACAGTAACGATGACAGTGATTAATCCAAATAAATATGCATACAGTGTGTCTCTTAACCTAAAACAAGACAATATTGGTCATGGTCAATGTGTGTTAAGCATGGAGAACATGTATAGTGTATTTTATTGATAATTCAAAAGGACTTCCCCCCTTTCAATTTTTTGTAAAAGTTTTTCCGAAATAGAATCTGAACTAAATAGAAGAATTGAAAGAATTGTCACCATTTTACAACATTTTTTCTCTCGTCAGTCCAATTCACGCCTATTTTATGTCACCATCAGAAATTGTCTTCAACTTTTTTGTAGATGGTGTTTGGCACTTATGGCATCTGTTACAAATTCTTACAACTTCCACTAATGTTGACATTTTGTTATGTTGTATGCCTTGTCTAAAATTCCATCCTTTTTGAGTTTTAAGGTTTCTTATCTGGCAAAAATATGGAAATATCTCCTTTTCAATTCATTTCTGCACTTCATTTTTTCAGTAACCTCCATATTTGATCAGATATTCTACATCATTTTTCAGAAATAAAATAGGATTGTAAAGAAAACACTGGTATGATTTTTATGTCACCAACTCAAGTGGTGACATTTTGTTATAATCTCCAACTTTTTGTGGATGGTCTATGTTTCCTAAGTGACATCCATACATTCAAGTAGATTTCATGTTAAAGGATTGGGTGAAAGACATATTTAAGTGAAACCCACCAGAATGTACAGCCTCAGGAAATGGGTTGGGTGGGAGGGTAACTTATTTTTCAATCATTTCCCAATTTCATGATATTTCATCCAAATTTCATGATATGTAAACTATTATCCATTGCATTCGCTAATGACTACCTCCCTCGAATTCCCTATTTAGAATAAACATTCACTCTACTCAATAATATAGATGTCACTTAGGAAATCTATGTTTCCTAAGTGACATCCATACATTCAAGTAGATTTCATGTTAAAGGATTGGGTGAAATACACATTTAATTTTACCCTTTACGGTGTATTTACATTCTGAATAATGTGATTTGTTAATTTTTACTACTCCCAATCCTCAAATCTTTAATAAAAAATTAACAAAAAACTAACGTGGACATCGGATTTGAGAGCAATCTCTCCCAGTAGTTCTAGTAGATGGTTTTCCATGATGTAATTATGAAGCTAATAAAACCTAAAATTGACCTCATATCAATATTTCATTCATGAATTACTGGTGGGGAAAATCAGTCCCCTAACATGAGTAATTAACCTCAATTGCCAATTACCTCCTACTGTGGAGAGACAACTCTCACATCCGAAGTCCACGTGGTTAAAACCACTAAGAGATCAGTGCTCCCGGACCTTAGATGTAAAGAGAAGCCAATTGTTTATCAGACTTCACTAGTTTCAAATGTTACATACTCAAGTCATTTTCAAATTAGTTTACAAGAGGGTACATGGAATTAAACCATTACATAACCAATCACTTGCATAGGTTATCCAGTCATGTCAAAACAATTCAACCTACTTTCTATTGAGTAAACCCCAGTTTCATTCAATTGCCAATTACCAGATTATACCTGAGTGTCATTATTTTCGTCACACTGTACTATAACGTACTGTATAATGACCTCTAATTTTACTGTGTTATTAACACGTTGAATTTCCAGTGTTCATTATAAGGCCATAATATCAAGATTTTTCATGTCATCAATGTTCTATTTTTCTTTGTTTCTGTCAAATATTTGCCTTCTCTTATATTGTCTCATAGTTATATTTAATAGCCCCTTGCTCTGGCATAATATCTCTGTATCTCTAGGCTCTCAAGGCCTTTTATTCATTACCACTTATAGTTCATATTTTTTGCCCCCTGCTTTCAGGCCCTTGGAGCCTTTTATTTTAGCCCCTTGCTCGGGCGCCCCTTGCTCGGGCATTTATATCTAGGCCCTCAAAGCCTTTTATTTTAGCCCCTTGCTCGGGCATTTATATCTAGGCCCTCAAAGCCTTTTATTTTTAGCCCCTTGCTCGGGCATTTATATCTCTAGGCCCTCAAAGCCTTTTAATCTCTAGGCCCTCAAAGCCTTTTATTTTAGCCCCTTGCTCGGGCATTATATATCTAGGCCCTCAAAGCCTTTTATTTTAGCCCCTTGCTCGGGCGCCCCTTGCTCGGGCATGTAAATCAAAATATGCTTACCACTGCTGAATGTACGTCTGGCCACTTCGAATTCCCTATTTAGAATAAACATTCACTCTACTCAATAATATAGATGTCACTTAGGAAATTTTCTGCACTTAGTGTCTGGCAGTTGGCTTCTGTAACAAATGGCAGGTAGTGACATTTTGCATGTTAATGCCTTGTTTTAGAAATGCTTCAAACATTTGTATGCCTGTGAAATTTTAATGTGAATTCAAGTGGTGTAGCTGGGTTTATCTCACACAAACCAGGATTGAACTTGAAAAAGAGATCATGATTTTCATTGACAATGACCCACAGAATAATCAACAAAAGTCAGAATTAGAAGTCTTGAGCATTATTTATTACATACATGTACATGTAATTAAGTAAGTGACAAAACTTGAGCATACATGAAGTACAATATAATCATTGTATAATTGGAATATAATAATAAAATAATATCATACAACAAAATCTTCATTGGAAGATATTTTTACAGATTTAGAATTTATACATAATAGTTTGGTGCACTTATACAGCTGATCCATTAACAAACATGTATCAAAAATATCTAAAGCTTAGCCTTTTTAAGGAAAGTTTACAAAATATGACATACATGTATATTTTAAATGTGTAGAAAAAATATCAGATTGTAAGGTATTTGTGAAGGGCATAATATAGAATATGCATGCTAATGATATTGGGACCTTGGTATTTAAAGTCAGATCAGAAATACAGCTTGAACCTTTAAGTGCATACTTTGTGACCCTTTACTTCTTTCTATCCTGATTTTTTAATAATCGTAAGTCTCCTAAATCTAAATCTCCTAAAAGTAATGGATGCTTGTGATATTTTTCCTAATTATCTTTTCTGTGCTATAACTGGGACTTCAAGGGTTGATCATAAAGTTCTCATAATATCTCTCTGATTTCTTTACTTTTCAATATTTTTCTATGAAATTTTCACAGAATGTGTAGCATGGAATGTTTTATTAATCCAGCAAAAAATATTTAGGATAACTGAAACATTAAATAAGAAATGGTTGCCATAGTAACTTGAATTCAAGGCACCCGGGGCAAATAAAAAAAACTAGCTAGAATAGCCCCTATTAACCATGTTTAAATACATAATAAGTTGTCAAATAAGCTGTCAAACACATTAAATTGTCAAATAATATGTGATCTTGACTGTTGTGAACTATTATAATGGTCATGTGAATTGTGTGATCTCATAATGGATGATTGTTATGCTTCATTAGAAGTGACCGTTAGACCCCATGACTGTTTTGTCAAATATCCCGAGGAAAATTGATTTTGCCCCTTTAGTTCATTTTTAACATGTACAGACCACACACATAGTGTAATTTTGTTAATACCTTAGCAATTTGTTTTAGATCATGTTTAGTCTGACCAAAGGATCTTACAAACTTAACATAACATATTATCAATATGAATTTTATTTTTCTGAAGATCTCTGCATCTATTGCATTCTCTTACTCAGTCATTTCTGATCATCAGCTTTAGGGGGCAGACTCTGGTATCACATCTAATGAAGCATGAAAGCATCCCCTATGACACCACACAATCCACATGATTAATTTTTTTAATAGTAAAAGCACTTAACAACATATTCAAGTTAACATTTTAACGTGTTTGGTAATTTATGAGAGTTTATTATGTGTGTTAAAATGGTTAATTAGAGCCATTCTCTCAATTACTTTTATTTGCCCCGCGTGCCTTGATTTCCCGTTACTATGGCAACCATTTCTTATTTAATATTTCTGTTTAACTAAATATTGTTATCTGATTCAATTAGACATTCTATGCTGCACATTTCTTATTTAATATTTCTGTTTAACTAAATATTGTTATCTGATTCAATTAGACATTCTATGCTGCACATTCTGTGAAAAATTCATTAGAATATATTGAAAAATATAGAAATTAGAGGGATATTATGAGAACTTTATGATCAACCCTCGTATATCACTTGGTCATACTAGTTAAGTGTCCCCTGCAGGTATTGTGGGCCATCTTGACCTACTCTGCCCCCTCCTATGAGACCATTTGTTACAAATGGCGCCATTGGGAGTTCATTTATAACACTATATACTGGACATTGCTTGAATGCACATGGTGTCTCAAGCCAGGCGTAACGGAGCCCAACAATCCATGAGCCACTACATGTTTTCCACGACATCGTCACAGAATGTTGATCGTAGCCTATGAGAGGTGCTGGTGACCAGAATGCATTCCCTGAGCCACAGTAGGTCTGATTGTCCTTGGAACAACACACCTGGAAAAAAAAAATTAGTACCATGGGTACTGGGCTCACATGGTCACATTTTTTGCTGATTTTTTGTTACAAAATTATTTCAAGCCATCTGTCTCTCAGTCAATTAAAATGGCTGAAAAAAAAACGGATATAATTTTTTGCCAATAATTTGTAACAAAATTATTTCATACAACTACTCTTTACAGTGACATGGCTTTTTGCAATGCAAGACACCTAAAATTATTTGTAAAGCTAGGAAATGGGCCAAAATTGAATTTCGCGAGACAAAAATGGCGACCATTTTGAAATCAGGCAAGCTTTTGAACCAGGAGTCATAGGGGAGTTTTTTGTATTGATGTTGAACAAAAATAACTTGAAACTGGAATCCTATTGACAGAGGTTTTAAGCAAATGGTCCAAAAGAGGATTTCCCGAGACAGATGGACAAATCAATGTTAACTAAAATGGCTGAAAATAAAAAAACGGATATAATATTTTGCTGATTATTTGTAACAAAATTATTTCATACAACTACCTTTTACAGTGACATGGCTTTTTACAATGCAGGACAGCTGAAATTATTTGTAAAGCTAGGAAATGGGCAAAAAGTGAATTTTGCGAAACAAGAATGGCAACCATTTTGAAAATAGGCGAGCTTTTGAACCAAGAGTCATAGGAGAGTTTTTTGTATTGATGTTGAACAAAATTAACTTAAAATGGGAATCCTATCGACAGAGGGTTTAAAGTAAATGGTCCAAAAGTGGATTTTGCGAGACAGATGGACAAATCAATGTTAACTAAAATGGCTGAAAATAAATAAATGGATATAATTTTTCGCTGATTTTTCGTAACAAAATTATTTCATACATCTACTCTTTACATTGACATGGATTTTTACAATGTAGGACACTTGAAATTATTTGTAAAGCTAGGAAATGGGTCAAAAGTGAATTTAGCGAGACAAAAATGGCGGCCATTTTGAAAATAGGCGAGCTTTTAAACCAGGAGTCATAGGTTAGTTTTCTGAATTGATGTTGAACAGAAATAACTTAAAACAGGAATCCTATCGACAGAGGTTTTAAAACGTGCCACAGAAAGTGGATTTCGCGAGTCAGATAGACAAATCAATGTTAACTAAAATGGCTGAAAATAAAAAAATGGATACAATTTTTCACTGATTTTTTGTAACAAAATTATTTCATATATCTACCCTTTACATTGACATGGATTTTTACAATGTAGGACACCTGAAGTTATTTGTAAAGCTAGGAAATGGGTCAAAAGTGAATTTCGCGAGACAAAAGTGACGGCCAATTTAAAAATAGCCGAGCTTTTGAACCAAGAGTCATAGGAGAGTTTTTTGTATTGATGTTGAACAAAAATTACTGAAAATGGGATTCCTATCGACAGAGGGTTAAAGGTAAATGGTCCAAAAGTGAATTTTGCGAGACAGATGGACAAATCAATGTTAACTAAAATGGCTGAAAATAAATAAATGGATATAATTTTTCGCTGATTTTTCATAACAAAATTATTTCATACATCTACTCTTTACTTTGCAATGGACTTCTACAATGTAGGACACTTGAAATTATTTGTAAGGCTAGGAAATGGGTCAAAAGTGAATTTCGCGAGACAAAAATGGCGGCCATTTTGAAAATAGGCGAGCTTTTGAACCAGGAGTCATAGGGGAGTTTTCTGAATTCATGTTGAACAGAAATAACTTAAAACAGGAATCCTATCGACAGAGGTTTTAAAACGTGCCACTGTTATTGACAGAAAGTGGATTTCGCGAGTCAGATAGACAAATCAATGTTAACTAAAATGGCTGAAAATAAAAAAATGGATACAATTTTTCGCTGATTTTTTGTAACAAAATTATTTCATATATCTAATCTTTACATTGACATGGATTTTTACAATGTAGGACACCTGAAATTATTTGTTAAGCTAGGAAATGAGCCAAAAGTGAATTTCGCGAGACAAAAGTGACGGCCATTTTGAAAATAGGCGAGCTTTTGAACCAGGAGTCATAGGGGGGTTTTCTGTATTGATGTTGAACAGAAATAACTTAAAACAGGAATCCCATCGACAGAGGTTAGCTAGGAAATGGGCTAAAAGTGAATTTCGCGAGACAAAAGTGACGGCCATTTTGAAAATAGGCGAGCTTTTGAACCAGGAGTCATAGGGGGGTTTTCTGTATTGATGTTGAACAGAAATAACTTAAAACAGGAATCCTATCGACAGAGGTTTTAAAACGTGCCACTATTGTTGACGGACGGACGGACGGACGGACAGACGGACGGACGGACAGACAGACGGACAAGTGAGCGATTGCAATAGCTCACCATGTGAGCTAATAACAAGATGTTGCTATGGTGATGTTATCTTGGGAATCTAAATCTAGGAATAAATAAAATACCATATTTCTGAACTTAAAAGGAAGTGCCAAAGCCAAAAGACAAAACATTGATGGATACATTTTAATTTTCATATCACCCCCTATATCATTCAATGCATAAAAAAGTAAATAATCTACCTCAAATCCATCATTACTATGAGGCTTATCAATCTTCATACTCAGTCCAATCTTCAGGGTGTAGAAGCCAATATCTATGAAATATGCTGTTATTGTGGGCCCATGGTAGGTTGTGGGTTTACCATATGCTATATTTAACCCGGATAGAGCCAATCTTTGAGCAACATCTTGTTTATCCCTGGGGTGGATACTTTAATGGAAGAAAATAGGACTATGGATAAATAGATCAAACAATGCAAAAACTGAGTATTGTATACTGAATACCTATTTCCAGAATGATTTTTTTAATTATAATTTTAAAACTGATATAAAATGGCTATACCACCTTTTATGTAAATAAATTATATAAATTATTATTATGGCTATACCAACTTTAATGTAAATAAATTATAAATTAAGATACATGAAAATCCAGCATTCTACCTTATGTATAGAGGAATCTTAAAAAAGATATAAATTGAATAATAAGGAATGGAAACAAACTAGAACTGTTAATGCTACAGATATTGAAATGAGCATTTTAAAATGAGAATATATTGCATGTCAGCAATAACTATTAGGAAATATAAAAAATCATGTAATTGTTTGTGTGAACATTTTAGGGAAGGATAGAGGGATAGGATCAGTAGCAGTAGCTTCACAAAATCGATACAGAAAATACATTGTAGTGCTTGTCATTATATTTTCATCCTCCAATCACAGGGCTTCAAAATCCAGAATACTGGATACTTTCTTTTTACCCCCTGCGATAAGCAGTTAGCATTTCCCCAACTAAGAACTCAGAATTTGATTCGCTGTTGCAACATAGCGACAGCAATCATGTATATGTCATCAGCACATAATTAGATCACGTGATTCAGTTTTATCAGGCGCTTCCAAATTGGTTATAGCAGGGGGAAAGAAGGAGGTACAGATTCTGGACACCTGCTTAGGAGGATGCTATATTTTACGCTGCTTTTTTCTCTATTTTGGGGAGCTATGGCCACTGTGTATGGTTGCCGTAGATCAAATGTGATTGAGGCATTACTCACGCAGAGTAGGGAGATGTATCATCTGGTAAATCCATAGCTACAGCCATAAATACTTTCTTCATGCGATAGTTTGGAACGTAGCCTACATCTGCAGTTTGATGCCAGCGAATGTCTGGGAAACCATGAGTATAATTCTTGCCCTCCCTCCAAGCTGCAAGCTAGAAGCAGAGGGAGCTTTGAAATATTGTGTTTATTTATTCTGGGGTTTATCAGGGTTTTAGATTTCTTCGAAGGAGTGCCTTAAATGCAAAATCAAAAGCCAAGCATATTTTTATGGCACACCATCCTACACCATAGCACTGCATGTCAGCAAAGGGACGTGTGAAATGTGGAGCACAAGGTGACCCTAAATATGATCTCAATATTAACTCTCAATTATAATGTAATGTGCCTATTGTAATGAGTTTCTTGTTTAGATTAAGTTTTCACTAGTGTTTGCTGGAGCAGGTATGTATTTTTATTGCACATACGACTTCATCTATAGATATTTTTGAACTAACTGGCATGAGAGCATGTCTAAATGGAATACTGGAATTCTCTGAATTTAAAAGGTATAGATGCAATATAATAACATCTCTGTTTGCTTCATATTAAAGACTCTTTGCAATAGAAAATTCAAGAAGATCCCACCAAACTGACAGCTATTCCAAAATTTTCCATTTTTTGGGTCACCCTGTATTTATTATTGAACACAGGGAATTTGAAAGCATGGAATTTACTTACGCCCCATATGGGGACTTGTCATCTGGAAGATCCATAGCAACTGCCATGAATGTTTTTTCCATCCTCATATTGGGAACAAAGCCAACATCAGCTGTCTGGTGCCAGCGGATATCTGGGAATCCCTTTGTTATGTTTCCATGGCGATTACCAGCCAGCTATATATCATTCAATGAAATTAATTTGTTTGAAGTTGCTATTTATAGTAACATTGACCAGTTACATAGCCAAGGGTGTCACAACGAGCACCTCTGGTCAGCAAGAACCAATTATTGATATATGTTGTGTCATATGGTTATACACCCCCTTCCAAAAGTTTGGCAACCTTAGCTCCCTCATTGAACTATGTGTTAAAGCCTCTTTATGTTTGATTTTTTATTTGCATAACCTATAAAGAAAAAAATACTTTTAGGAATGGAAATATAAATTGACACTTACAGAGCTGGATATATAAATTGACATAATTTCCAATACCTCAATTTTTTCTATTTTTTTCAAAAATTACAATAGATCAGAAATGGATGACAAATCTGATGAATTTTTGAAAATCCTATGTAAACCAATGGGAAATGGAAGGTTTACGGCAAGTAATATGACAGAACATTCAAAAATACAAGTTAGGTAATCAATTGAATTTTCTAACTTTATTTAACAAACAAAAATCTTTTACTGGATAGATATCATAAAATCAGATTTGCACCAAACCCACCATTTCCTATTGGTTTACATGGGAATGGACGATTTTCAAAAATTCATCAAATTTATCATCAATTTTTGACATATTGATTTGGATTTGAGGAAAATATTGGGAAAATTTGGAGGCATTGAAATGAAGTAAATGAAGTCAAGTTACATTTCCATCAATATTATAAGTATTTTTCTCACAGGTTAAGTAAATAAAAATTCAAACATAAAGAGGCTTTAACTCAATGAGAGAGCTAAGGTTGCCAAATTTTTGGAGGGGAGTGTAAATCAGATTTATATTCATTCATACTGGTATTTACCTATACATAAAAATTGAGAAATTATTATGTACATTGATGAAGGATATACCTGTACAAATCCAAATGGGAAATATGGGTCTGTGGCACCATTTGTTGCCTCATGGAACTTCATTCTCCAGTCCTCTATCATAGTGGGGAATGTACAATTATATGTGTCAGGCGCTCCTGCATTGGCCTCACCTATAATACAATATAGTTGGTAATGTACAGTTATATGTGTCAGGGTCATTAGCCTCTCCTGTAACACAATAGAGTTGGGAACACATATTATGTACATTTCTCATTTAGAAGGGCAAATCTGATATGTCAGCGCATTGGGTCACATGAACTCAGCTCAATTAGTCTCGATATATTCTCATTGGTCTATGAGAGTATCACATGTTATACATGTTGTGGTGTCAATGATCATTTGGTAAGCAACGTGCAAACAAGAACATATTGTCTTACCTTGGTACCAGATGGCGCCATAGATGCTCATATTGAGGAAGGGGTGAATCATGGAGTTCCAGAGGTGAGAGGGAGTTCCTGGGGCATCTACAAACAGCCCATCCTGAATTACGTTGCTTGTTTTATCATTACTGAAACATATGGACACAATTTGGGAAATCGAAATATTCAACTAAATCCACACTACCTATTGTGCTACATACTTTATGGAAGTCGTTTTGGTTTTGGAATCTTCAATCACAGCCACTGATGGGGTTCTTTATTTCACATTTCACTATTTATTTATTCTTTATTTCACCTTTTCACTATTTTAAAAACCAAATATGCCAAGAAGTGAGATAACATAACCCAACTAAGTCAGTATTGGAATTATTATCTCAGGAGGTTTTACACAATTTAATCTATAAAATGGTCTCCATACACACCTATTTGCATGCTGGGATATATTGCAGGCAGCCAGAGAATCAGGGGAAGACCATGCCTCCACTGGGGTACCTCCCCAATCAGATGCTACTAGACCTATAGGTACTTTACGACCCAATCCATTGAAGATGTTCTTCCCATATAACCAGCACACTGCAGACATGTATTTCCAGTCAGGTCCACCAATAGTTGCTGGAACATGAACAGGATTATGATGTATTTATCAAACCAATAAATAAACAAGGCATTGACATGCAAAATGTGACCACCTACTATTTGTTACAGACCCCATTGCCAAACACCAACCACCAAATGCCGAAAAAAGTTGGACCCACTAACAAAATCACTATAATAAGGCATTATAATGAAAAAATTTCTAAGAAAATTGTATGACTGATTGTTATTTCTCAGTATGTTTGGGATTCCCATCCCTTTCTATATCTTCGGCATGCACCTTTTGGAACAAATGGCTTTACTCAATCCCTCCCAAACTGCATTCATTAACAATAATCAAAGTATTTATACATACACTACTAATTTAACAAGTAAAAAATTGAAGAAGAGGACAACACATAGGTGTAATAGACGGTGTTGTATTCAATTAAAAGAACACAACATGTACGTGTATATCATATCCCCACCATTGGGTGATCCTATACAGATTTTTCATTCTAAAAGCCAAATGGTTAGCCTTGCCCAAGTCGGTATTTTTTTACTTATCTGATCTTGAATTATCTGATTATAATAGAAATCAAGATAAGAAGTTTAGCATTCATCTTCAAAATGTCAGACAAGTTGGTATCATGATGAATGATTTTTGGCTTCTATGTATCTAAAATTCATCCCCAAAAATATGAAGGTGATTTCAGTACCAGTTTTACTGAAAACCTTCAGACACACAATAGAAAGACATATAGACATGTATAAGCTGACAATATGGCCCTACAAGATGTGTGGGGGACATAAAATGCACTCACATGTACTGTGTACACTCCATAGTTCCTCTACAGACCCACTCTTTAGACACACAAATAGAAAGACATTCAGACATGCCTAAGCTGACAATAAAAACAATATCGTCACCACAATACTCATGGGGAACATAAAATGCACTCACATGTACTGGGTACGCTCCATAGTTCCTCTATAGACCCACTGGCAAAGTCATAAAGTGGAGTTGCAGATTCAACTTGTTTTAAGGTAAACACTCTAATACGATTGTATTGCTCCAGATTCATCAGTTCTTCTTTGGAGTTGTTCACCTAAAATAGTACCTAGCATTTTTAGTAAAATATTGTATGAGGTATTTTATTCTATAACTGGAGAGGTTTTAGGTTACATAACAGCAGAATATAAAAAAATGATATCTTGGAAGAGCTTTATATCTATTCTTCCATGTTCCACAACATTGGCCATGAATTTTGAAAAGCTTGTTTCTTGCATTTAATAATCTATATCCCATCTAATTCAACTGCTCACCATTGACATTGAAAACTGCATGTTGCTTTGACCTGAGCAGATCCAGACATCTCCAAAGAGAACATCCTTGAGCATTATGACATCAGAGCCAGATTTTGCAGTTACTCTGAAAACAGCCTCTGAATCAGCCTTAGGGCCATCTATAGCAGCGCTCCACACAAATTGTCCCGCCACAGGGCCTTATACAGAAAATGTAATTGTTATTATTTCTTTAGGGATATTTCATTGCTGAAAATGATTCCTTGTATATAATACATAATCATGTTGTTGTGTTGTATCGGAGTATAAGCCTCCGAATTAGGGCCATCTATAGCTGCACTCCACACAAATTGTCCCAACACAGGGCCTTAATCAGAAAATGTAATTGTTATTATTTCTGTAGGATGTATTTCATTGCTGAAAATGATTCCTTGTATATAATACATAATCATGTAGTGTAGTATCGAATATAAGCCTTCGAATCAGCCTTAGGGCCATCTATAGCTGCACTCCACACAAATTGTCCCGCCACAGGGCCTTAATCAGAAAATGTAATTGTTATTATTTCTTCAGGGATATTTCATTGCTGAAAATGATTCCTTGTATATAATACATAATCATATCAGAGTATAAGCCTCCGAATTAGCCTAAGTGCCATCTATAGCTGCACTCCACACTAAGCGCTACAGGGCCTTAATCAGAAAAAGGAACTGTTTATATTTATTAGGGCTATTTCATTGCTGAATATGATTCCTTATATTTACCTAATCATGTATTATAGTATCAGAGTATGAAAGGGTTGATTTCTCAAATGTTACAAAATCAATATCTTAATTCATTTACTAAATAATGTTTTTATGTGCTATACCGATAGACCTCATCAATCAATGAAGAACATTTGAATTCTCCATAATATTTCAATATCAGAATTATGTGTACATGTAAAGTAATCACCTGGTCTAGACATCACTGACAGAGTTTGTATTATGGTCCCTGCATCATTTGCTATGAGGTTCACTGTCACCTTGGCACCATTCTCGGGGTGGTAGCCCCATATTGCAGACTTCTGGGCCTGCTGTAGAACCATGTGGTCACCATAGTAGCTAGCGAAGGAAAATGGAACAGCTGAAATAGTAAACAAACCATTAACATGACAAAATATGTCACCATCTGCAAAATTACTAAAGTGTAATAATGAAGATATTAAGCTGACTTCTTGGATCCAAACACCAATCCTCGAACACCAACCACTGACTGCCAAACACCAACCACCAAACACCATCCACAAAAAAGTTGGAGACTACATGTATAACAATATGTCACCACTTCTGACATCTGAAGACACCATAATGACAAAGACTGAAGATAATGCCCCTACATTCTGATACTCATAGCATCTTTCTGTTTCACCTGAAACATCTCCGGCCTGAGAAGATTTGAGATGTCACGGTTTATCATGATGATGCTGAATATCCTAGCGAATTGAACAAGTAAAATTAAAAGATAAAATATGTCAGATAAGACTCAATTTTGTCGATAACAAATAAAAACAATTTGAAATACCCAAATAACAAAACCATGCAAAAAGGTGTGTGTGGCATTTTACAGTAGAATAAAAATAACAATTAACAATAACAATACCGAATGTTATCTTTGTAATGCAGTGAACTGCCACTTGAGCACTTGAGACAAATGATAATGTGAAGAAAGCCCATTGAACTTGACACATACTGTTGACATATCAAATAAGATAAAAGTCTAATCTCAATGACACTGACGAGGCATAGGCTTTCTTTGAAGGGTGAAAGACTTTCTGTTTGAAATATTTCACCTAATATACTTCAGCAATCATGGATTATTTCCAATCACTTTTTATTTTTTTACATTTTTGCTTCTAATATTTTACCGAGCAACTGTGTAAACAAGCAATTACTATTTCAGAAAAATGAGCAACACAAATGCTGAATTTTGGACATGACAATTTTCTGATAATTACCTTGAATGAATTCTGTATTAGAAACTAAAAAATCTTTCGGAACAAATGCGAAAAGTGACTTATCAGACTGGGAGAAATCAAATAATATTATAAGAGCCTGGGATCATAGCATATAGCCTACTGGTAAAGAGATGGGTGGGCGCAACACCCACCTGAAATTTTGAAAAAAGGCTCGCACCCACCTGAAAATCCATTTGCACCCACTTGAAAATGAGAAAAATCATGAAAAATTGGCATATTTTGACCAATTTTTATCTGAATTGTGAAAATGAGAGTTTTGCACCCACCTGAGAAAAAATCAATATATTAAAATTTTAATATATTGAATATAAGATGGGGTGACTACCCATGTAAATTCATGACATACATGTCAGGGTTCTCACCAGGAAATTTTTAGACTCCAGATTTTTTGCGGTATTGTTTATTTATTGACAATTAATGTTTGGTAATAACTAGTAGGAGTGTCAGGGACCGCTGACAGATTATAATTTTGAACCAAAAAGTTCAATCAAATTTTTGGCGGTCTCAGTAAATCAATGGGATAATATGATCAGGTCGTCCTACCTCCTTTTTACAGACCCAAATATCAATGCTTGCTAGTCGCTAATAAATGTAGCAAAATCTTTTTTCCTTCGTGAAATATTTTTCTCACCATATAACCGAACGGGAAGTTTTTGAAGAGGACTACATGATCTGAATGCGAGTATTCGATGGACTGTGATTTGAGAAATTATAATTTGAACTTTGTCAATTTCATATGTATTTCAATGGGTGTAAAACTAAGTTTCTTTTTTCCCTAGGATGTATTTTCTTAGAAAAATTCTGCCATCTGTGGATATAGATTAATTTCTAGACCATGGTGATTTGAGACTTCATACTTTCCAATAATGTCTAGATACACATCCCTTAAGTTTTGTATATTTTACATTTTGTATACTCTCATCCACTGATGTATAGCCTCTTGAAAATTCTCTTCCTTTTAACACGGGACATCCTCACTTCAGCAAATCCAGGTGTCATTTATTTATATTGTGGGCACTGTATTCATAGTGAACACCATCCAAATTCCAATGATCTGTATTATTCTATTAGAATCCCTGAATGGATGTTGTTCACTGTGTCTATTCTATATACATTCTATTCGTATGATTGTTATGTTATATATTTGCTGTGCTGTGCCAATTTGCATAGTATAACTGTATAATGTCAATGTTTGATTTTGATCATGTGATATTGGAATTGAAAAATTGTCAAACTTTATACTTTTATTTCAAAGTTCCTCTCAATGCAAATGTTAAGATTTTCTTACCATTATGTGCCCTGAATCTTAGTGGATCCCCATGTACGATTATATTCACTGACAGCAGCACAAAACCTGAGAAAACACTCATAAAGTGAGGACCACTTCGTGCCATTATTTGTTTGGGTCAAGTTCAAAACGAGGCTAATCAAAACCCGGAAGTGGACCGATCAATTTGCATATAGTCTAATAAAGTAATAAGCTAATAAGGGAAGGTACTATTAAAGCTCTATCGCGCTTCTTGGGGATCCGGGGGTTTACTCCTCTGTGAATTTTTTCTCTAAGACGTTATTTGATGCAGTCTGAGCGTTTTATCAACTTGAAATAGTTTTATACCGATAAACTTAACGTAAAGGCTAGAGTACCGACAATTGTCGGTACTCTAGACTCTGATGTGGTGGCATGCTAGAGGACCGACAAATAAATTGTCGGTACGGGAGATATGCTGTGTTTACACGCTAGACACACTACTATACCTAACACCTAGAAATGCATAAGATACTTTGTTTGTCTAATTGTATTGTTTAATATATTTTTGAAAGTGCCTTACTAGCATCTAATTTTCAACCGATAAACCATTCATAAGGAACAGACAAATAAAAACAAATACATAATCATTACTAATAAGCCAAATGGGTTGCTCATGAGCACCAAATGCAAGGTATAGTAGTGTGCTAGAGGACCGACAAATATTGATTTTCGAATTTTCTGGCGCATGCGCAATGCGCGGGGGGATATTTCAGATATCATACGGATATTTTGGGAACAAGTGCAAAACCCGGGGAGGGCATTAGCCCCGGTTACCCGGGGATTACCAAACCCAGTCAAAAAATGGTAGCCCGGGAACAGGGAATGGTAGTAAACGTTGAAAGGCCCAATAAAACATGAACAAGTAAGACGTTAGAGAGCTATTAATGCAGAGTAAACGGCTATATATATTCTAAACAGACAGGATATTTCTCCTGAGCCGATCAGGCGTAGAAAGGGGCGTTTGCTACCCATTAGATAGAAGAAAATAGCTAGAATGTTTTTTATTTGAAGCTTATGGTATGAGGTTCCATATCCATCCGCCAAAAGGTATAACCCCTATATAGTCCATTTAAAAACCTGTGGTATCGTTCTAAATAACCCATAGTTGGCTTCTCTTTCATGGGTACCTAGTATGCCACTATTTGGTGTCAAAATAAAGAGGAGTTCAACTTTCATTTGAATTACGAAAATAGCGATGAAGGTCAAAATAGTTCCGAACGTGAGCGTGTTTACTACGCGTTTGCCCGTCATATCAGAATTGAGGAAGTGGTAGCAAACGCGAGTTACAATAAACGGACGCTGATATCTCAAAAAGTAACCTGACTCCCTATAATTTGATGTAGGTCAATCGAACCCCTATATGGACAGGTGCATTTTGATATATAACACTATGGGGGTAAGCGTTTCATAGTTGGTCACAAACGCCCAAAGTATTGTTATGAATTTTCGAATTTGGTGTTGGATTACGGTACTCATACCTTATAGCACAATTTTTGATGGAAGTTGCATTTGGCTCTCTTAGTTAATGGCCACGATTCCATCTCGCATGAGAGAGCTACCAAACGCAAAGTAAACAGTGATATATTCCAAATGAGATATTTCTCCTGTGCCATGGCGTACTAAGGGTAGAGAGCGACGGGGGCGAAAGCATCCCCTCCCCTAACTGTATATATCGACCAATTAGATAGAACAAGAAAAGAGTTTCAAAATGTTTTTTAATTGAAGCTTGTAGGACAATTTTGATGGAAGTTGAATCAATTTTTGTCGAAATAAATCATGGCTCACTACAAGTTAATGCCTCTACGATTCCATACTGCAAAAGAAGCACTATGCCCCCCCTCAAAAGAAAAAAAGTAAGTCTTGCCGGGATTCGAACTCGGGACCGAGTGTGTTCGAGTCGTGCTCGCTAACCACTAGCCTACCAGTGATGAGGTTATTTCTAAAAGTAAAAGTAGTGCATTTATTTATGAAATTGTCGGCTCTCTAGCAAAAATACGTAGCAGCCACTTGCGTACCGACAATTGTCGGTTCTCTATCTGGCACTACTAGTTGACGATAGAGTGCCGACAATTGTCGGTACCCCAGCAAATACCCCTGAACAGTCTCCAGTACCGACAATTGTCGGTCCTGGAGCCACTCCGTAAACTTAATGGTTTAATAATATAAGGACTTACTGTACCAATAGATCTACAGTTTTTGTTTACGTAAAGGCTAGAGTACCGACAATTGTCGGTACTCTAGACTCTGATGTGGTGGCACGCTAGAGGACCGACAAATAAATTGTCGGTACGGGAGATACGCTGTGTTTACACGCTAGAGGACCGACAAATATTGATTTTCGAATTTTCTGGCGCATGCGCAATGCGCGGGGGGATATTTCAGATATCATACGGATATTTTGGGAACAAGTGCAAAACCCGGGGAGGGCATTAGCACCGGTTACCCGGGGATTACCAAACCCAGTAAAAAAATGGTAGCCCAGGAACAGGGAATGGTAGTAAACGTTGAAAGGCCCAATAAAAAACATGAACAAGTAAGACGTTAGATAGCTATTAATGCAGAGTAAACGGCTATATATATTCTAAACAGACAGGATATTTCTCCTGAGCCGATCAGGCGTAGAAAGGGGCGTTTGCTACCCATTAGATAGAAGAAAATAGCTAGAATGTTTTTTTTATTTGAAGCTTATGGTATATGAGGTTCCATATCCATAGTTGGCTTCTAGGATACCTAGTATGCCACTATTTGGTATCAAAATAAAGAGGAGGAGTTCAACTTTCATTTGAATTACGAAAATAGCGATGTAGGTCAAAATAGTTCCGAACGTGAGCATGTTTACTACGCGTTTGCCCGTCATATCAGAATTGATGAAGTGGTAGCAAACGTGAGTTACAATAAACGGACGCTGATATCTCAAAAAGTAACCTGACTCCCTATAATTTGATGTAGGTCAATCGAACCCCTATATGGACAGGTGCATTTTGATATATAACACTATGGGGGTAAGCGTTTCATAGTTGGTCACGATCGCCATATGTGCAAAGTATTGTTATGAATTTTCGAATTTGCTGTTGGATTACGGTACTCATACCTTATAGCACAATTTTTGATGGAAGTTGCATTTGGCTCCCTTAGTTAATGGCCACGATTCCATCTCGCATGAGAGAGCTACCAAACGCAAAGTAAACAGTGATATATTCCAAATGAGATATTTCTCCTGTGCCATGGCGTAGTAAGGGTAGAGAGCGACGGGGGCGAAAGCAACCCCTCCCCTAACTGTATATATCGACCCATTGGATAGTCTAGAACAAGAAAGGAGCTTTAAAATGTTTTTTAATTGAAGCTTGTAGGACAATTTTGTTGGAAGTTGAATCAATTTTTGTCGAAATAAATTATGGCTCACTACAAGTTAATGCCTGTACGATTCCATACTGCAAAAGAAGCACTATGCCCCCCTCAAAAGAAAAAAAGTAGGTCTTGCTGGGATTCGAAATCGGGACCGAGTGTGTTCGAGTCGTGCTCGCTAACCACTAGACTACCAGTGATGAGGTTATTTCCAAAGTAAAAGTAGTGGATTTATTTATGAAATTGTCGGCTCTCTAGCAAAAACACGTAGCAGCCACTTGCGTACCGACAATTGTCGGTTCTCTATCTGGCACTACTAGTTGACGATAGAGTGCCGACAATTGTCGGTACCCCAGCAAATACCCCTGGACAGTCTCCAGTACCGACAATTGTCGGTCCTGGAGCCATTCCGTTTTGTTTAATTTTTTCAAGATCATTTTGTACGCACGGGCGTACTGTGCGTAACAGCTACATACACCCACTGAGCGCCGCAGTGAGGGGGTGTTGTATACCGCTTCATCTGCCCATGGGAACGGGAACCATCTGCAAAAGTGCATACAGTTCAAATAGTTTGCAATTTTTTTTGATAGTCTTGATCCATTTTAAATATATCTATAAATGAATCAGTATCTGGTGTTAAAAATGAATATAAAATGTTTCTCATCTTCAACTTTATTTAAATTGCAAACATGGCACAGTCTGTCTTGTATTGGTGTTTTTCTTGGTTGTGAGTATCTCCCCGTCTCTATTGCTAGTGGTAGGATTCCACTTCTAAGTTGCTATAAGTGAACGTTGTGACAATGTTAGTTGACACTTGACATACATTTCAGTTGTGGGTTCACTTTTGAATGTAATATATGTGCGCAATTTATCTTGTGAAGTAATATCCCTTTTCCATTTTTCTGTGTGGTTTGAAAAAAGCCTTGATTTAGCTGCAGCCAGTCGGATATAGTCCAGTGTTTCAAATTTACGATGGGATAAATCAAGTTCGAAACAAATATTTTTAATGTCTGTACACGTACACCAACCATTTCTACCATTGCGATAGTCGAGAAATATTTGTTTAGTATTTGTTTCTGATTTGTTTGTATATCAAGACTTGAGGATAAAATAACATTAAAACAAAAAACATTTAGCTTTTGCTTAAAATACATTTCCGTTCATTTGATGCCCCTTCCACCTAATGTATAATTTTGATCTACGTTTTACAACGTTTTGTTTGGCAACAACACATATTGTAATGATAATGTCATCAATTAGTATTTAAAACAGTTAACGTACGTGTGGACCATTGAGTATAGTAAAAACACATGGTGTGTACAAAATTAAGCGTGACAGTTGAACGCGCAGGGTAAGGTACAACACGAGGATGAAATATGAGCAATATGATGCTTTCATCGTTTCAGAAAGATCTGGTCTAGTTTCTATATATTTTTTCTATATATTTTTATTTGTTAAATAAATTGCCAAAACATCACAGGCAGTGAACTTGACAAAGAATTTCATTGTTATTATCACAACTTTAATGACGTTGCTCGCTTTTTAAAGTTAGTTTCCATGTGTTATACAAAAAATAATCGAAAAAAATAATATTGAACTAGGGGGGGGGGGGGGTGAACGGAGGGGAGGGGGAGTAATATGTCTTTTAGTTTAAGATGGAACAAATTCACAAGTACTCGTATTTGAAAAAAACTTAACTCAGAACCTCAGTAAGAAACAGGATATTACATCTCTGGAGAATGAAAAATGGGAAAATTTGGAGTTATATGAATAAATTCAAGTAACATGTCTTAAATGCACGTTACTCCCCCCTCCGTTAATTTTTTTCGATTATTTTTAAAACGTATGGAAACTTTAAATAGCCAATGATATCATTAGTGTGATAATAACGTACCCTTACATTGACTTTTGTACGTTGGTGACTATGCGCCTTTTTAGTAGATCTCATATCTTAGAAGCGTATCAATTCAAAAATATACTAGTAGATCTAACATATTTTGCCATGTAATGCGCCTATTCATTTGGCAATTCATTTGTAAACTTTCTCTTGAAAAAATAAATCTTTCTTGCAGAAATCGCCTACTCCCCCCTCCATAGGCGTTCATTTTGTACGATCACCGGGCCGTGAACATGTACTTTCAAAACAATTTTGCTTAAGGATGTTCCCTGGTCAGATAGGAAAATATTCAATAGTATTTAACTTTTTCTCAAAAATGGTTTTCTGGGATTCTCACGGGCAACAAAGAATATTAAAACTTTAAAAACCATATGTTAGTGTGCTTTTTTCTGAGCAAGAGGCCTCTAAAGTGTCAATATTTGACAAAAGTGGGCGTGGCACTTTCTCATTGAAACCCATGTTAAAAATCAGGTTTTCACCCCAAAACACACTTTTGAATATTTAACTTTTTCTTAAACTCACAGAAACACTTAGTTATGCTATGTACTTCACATTTTGAAAAGAAAAATTAGGGGTTGGTGTTCATCGTTTTCAACTTCGTCCAGGGAACATCCTTAAGAGTGTGCACGCACATCGATCCATAACTGGTTGACCGGTTGGTGGTCGGTGTTTTACATACACCCAGATTCCTAGGATGATGACATTGGGCATGTTGGGGTGTCATCTCCTATTGTCATTTTTGTAGAGAAAGGTCGAACATCCAGATCTGACTGTCTAATCACTTGCCATACTGCACATACATACCTGCCAAGGAGTGCCAACCTAAGACCAAAATTTTGCGGTAGATTTTTTTAAAATTGCTGTATTTTTTCGGTAGATTTTTTCAAAATACGGTAGTTTTTGCGGTATTTTTCAACAAAATTGCGGTAGTTTTTGCGGTAGATTTTAGAAAAAACGGTAGTTTTTGCGGTAGATTTTTAAAAAAAACGGTAGTTTTTGCGGTAGATTTAAAAAATACGGTAGTTTTTGCGGTAGATTTTAAAAAAATACTGTAGTTTCAGAGGGATTGGGTAGATTTTGAAAAAAGTGTAATTTTGCGGTAGAAATTTGAAAAAAGCGGTAGTTTTGCGGAAGATTTAGAAAAATGCGGTAGTTTTACGGTAGATTTTTAAAAATGCGGTAGTTTTTACGGTAGTTTTTTGAAAAACCGGTAGTTTAATGCGGTAGTTTTACGGTAGATTTTGAAAAAATGCGGTAGTTTTTACGGAAGTTTTTTGAAAAACCGGTAGTTTTGCTGAAAATTTTGAAAAAATGCGGTAGTTTTACGGTAGATTGTGAAAATTGCGGTAGTTTTTACGGTAATTTTTTGAAATACCGGTACTTTTGCGGAAGATTTTGAAAAAATGCGGTAGTTTTACGGTAGATTTTGAAAATTGCAGTAGTTTTTACGGTAATTTTTTGAAAAACTGGTACTTTTGATGAAGATTTGCCAAAATGCGGTATTTTTCGGTAGATTTTGAAAAATGCGGTAGTTTAACCTTTATACAATGCGGTTTTCTATATTAATACAATGTTTACGTGGTCATATTGTTGTTGTTATTGTGAATACATATTTTACTGCAAGAGTGATTTTGATAATTACAGTTTGTAAAGCAGAACTACCACCTGGGAATTATACGAAACTATTATTTTCAAGAAAAAATAGATATACTATTTTCAAGAATAAATAGAGACTAAACACTTTTTATTCTTCATTTACCATGCCTACAATGGACTGACAGCAACTTTGGATTTTAATGTTTCAGCAAAATGTACATATACAACTTTTTTACAATAAATCTAGATTGATTCAAAATACGAACACAATATTCATATCTCCACTTTTACTCACCTTCTAACCAGTTTTTTTAGATATCAGGATGTTTGGAAATTCCATGAATGAAACATTTACTGAAATACAAAATATGGATTTTACACGTTTTTACTCACCATCTTAGATGATCTATCATTTCAACGAATTGAAATGACAGACATAATGTTCATATAACATTGGAATCATATGGTATTAAATATTGATTTGTTCACTCGCAAGTCTCTAATGATATCAATGTGTTTGTCTGGCACAAATAGAAAATAAGTACAGATCAATTGTCTTTCAAAAATAATTTGTTATGAGCATTTGCCGAAACCTTTCCCCTGAGACATAGTTCAGATTCGGATATCACAATACTTTTATAATAAACCAGAACTCAATGCTTTATTTTTTAATTAAGCATTTGTTACTGATAATGTGTTCTGATGAAAAATACAACATTTTATCGTTCTGTAAACAAATTGATTAAACTATGTATAATGTATATGTGTCGTTCATTACTGATCATAACAAATCAAACTACGCATATTTCATACGCTAAATATGCATACGCATTTCCACTCATTTATTTAGATGAAGCGCAACTAAAATCATATTTTTGTTGCATTCGGAATAAAGATCCGTGTACAAAAGGGTTTGGTTAACTACAAAAATCATGGCAGAAAGAATTCTTTCTAGCTAGTGGTAGTTGGTGTTTGGACTGATTACACGCAAGCTTACTTAGATAAATGCGCAATAACCTGATAACCACAGACCTGCCGATACCGGGTTGGTGAAGGAATATTACAGGGACAGTACAGGAAGACTTCAATTTTTCAGCATTTCCCAATAACAATAACGGGAAATTTTACGGTAGTTTGAACAAAAATACTGTTGATTTTAGCAGAAATACGGTAGATTTTCGAAAATTTACGGTAGATTTTACCGCCGTTCTCATGGAATAAACGAGTTTTTTTACAAAGAAAATTTACGGTAGATTACGAAAAAAATACGGTAGATTTTTTACGGGCGTTTTTACGGGAAAAAATGGTATTTTTTTACGGTAGTTTGTCATTTTTTTACGGAAAAACGAAAAATTTACGGTAGATTCCCGTAAAAATACGGTAGGTTGGCAGGTATGACATAGACCTTTGCAAAATCAAAAAGCAACAAAATAACACAATTTGGTTGAACAATCTAACAGAAATCTTATATTTGAGTAAACATTAATAATTCTTGAAATCATTGCAAGCAACGCTCTGACACTACTCAGCATGTCTTCAGCATATTATTATCATTAGGCCTATAGCAAATGCCATATCACTGATTCCACAATCCATATGTGATTGGTAAATGTCGCAGCAGATTCCAATTTGCAGATTATATGTATGCATAAGTTATGTAACATTTAAAATATGTACATTACATTGTTATTGTAAAGTTACATAATCTATACAATACTAGTAAACTGACTATTGTTAAGTCAAATGATGAATTCGAGCATAGAGCAATATCATACTGTACTCCCACTAATATTTGAGCTATAATATTTCGCGTTTTTGGCAGTTTGAAATTTTGCAGCTATTATATTTCACTAATTTTCAGTTTTTTGAAATTTCCCAGCTATTAATCTCAGCGGATTTGTCATACAGGATCACTCTTTCCTTTCGACTTTGATATCAGCCATGGTTGTTCCTTCATCCAATAATTTTGGCTTCTTATTAAGCCCATTAGAACTGGAGGAATTTCGCAGCTATTATATTTCGCGAATTTAAAAAAAACTCAGTGTCCTCCCCAGCATTTTTTCTCAAGTGAATGCAAAATTCTCATTTTCACAATTCAGACCAAAACTGGTAAAAATATGCCCATTTTTTATGACCTTTCTCATTTTCAAGTGGGTGCAAATGGATTTTCAGGTGGGTGCAAGCCTGTTTTAAAATCTCAGGTAGGTGCTGCGCCTACTTGCTATAATGCTGGGGAGATCACTGGAACGTATTGTTGTTTGGGGATGATGTCCAAATGTCAACAGAGCTCAACAGCTATGGAATAATGGGGTGAATTTTGTTAAGGTAAAGGAGCCTAAAATGACATTTTAAAATTTCACTCTATGGAGAGAAGGGGGATATGAATTATTTTAGTTCTATCGCAACCTCTGACAATGAGACATCATCTCTTGTACAGATAATCCAATCTGTGTTTAAGATTATTTGAGATAAAGTTATTCTATCTAACCTCTCCCATTAAGACGCGCTCAGTCAGTTTTGATCAATTCACTGTATATTACGTGACTACCTCTTTCTCTTTATCTGAGATATTGAACGATTAGAGGCAGTGATCCACACATGCTTATTTGATCTTTCTTGGTATCGTATGGTTCCCACTGGACAGTATAGCTTAAGTAAAACCCAATCGCTGTCTCTTAGGGCCCAATATACCACCAAAAACAGTCTCTAATCTTGCCTTTAACGTTTTTCCAATGCTGAAACAAACAAAGAATAAAGTAAGTTAAATAGTAGGCCTAATGACAAATTCTTGCACATATTTGGCCAGGCCTGTCAGACACTTCTCAAGGGAGATAGGGTGTAATTTTTTCCAATCCTTTCAATTGACAAAATTTTGGCTGTGGAAAAAATCAATGGACATGGATACTAGAAACTACATATCCCCCTATAAACTTTATTGTTAAGGTGACTTATAACTTATTTTTTCAGGAAGCCACTCAGGAAAATTACGATTTCTCTGCACCATGATGTTCAAACTTTAATAGAACCTTTTCAATATGGCAATTTCTTCTGTGTTCTTCATACACCTCTACCTGCTTAAAGGGTGACGCATATCGTTTAGCAAATCGAACGCTCGTTTCTGGTGTTGCTCACCGTTTAGTATAAAAATCCCGATCCCGGAATAATACTCAAGGGTTTACAGGTTGGAGGTCGCTGTGTCAACACCTCTAACTGTTATATAGCATAAGTATATTATAGATCGTCACACATTTATAAAAGGGTGATTTTTATTTTGACAAATCAATTCCACATTTATGGGTGAAGTTTCAGGATCTTCTATTTGTGTATAATAAGGAAAAATTGGAATCTAAATTTCCCCATAACGTAATAGCACACAGCTTGGCATATGAAATATCCTACAAATGAAACAAAGCAAGACCATGGACCTGGCAAGACAAACCGGTTTCTAATACAAGGATTTATATTGGCTGTTGTACATGTATTCTTTGAACGCAATCACTCTTTGGATAACGTTTTCAAATCATTATAAACGGATTACTTTATCTCAAAGACAATTTCAATAAACTGGATTTTGCAGAACTCCCCTTATTTCTTAAAAATGGACTGATCCAGTTGATTTGCCTGGAGCCGCCATATTGTTTTTATACGGGATGCTAATCGGAACCCTTTAATAAGGTAATGTACTTCAAATAAAACTTTAGCCTAGATTTGAGTCTCTGGAACACTTTTTTAAATAATTTTTTACTAGCAATTTTGTTTGTGTATCTCAAATTTTGTCTTCCTGATTTCAGTCACAATCACTTTACGTAATTTTACTGAGTGACTTCACGAAAAAATAAATATTGTTATAAAAACCCACCTTAAATGTAAGAATTTTTATGTTAGGAAGTTAATGTGTACATGATTACTTTAAGTTTCTCTATATCTTGTACAATTTACATGCAGAAGAACAAAAATCGTATTAAAACATACACGTCCCAATTCTTTATACTGTATGCCTCCGTCATAGCAGTTTGTACTGCTGCATAAAGAAGTGGAGCAGTCTCCATCAATTTTTCCATTTTACTTTCTGATGATGAAAATGTCAGATCTTTCAATTTTCCAATCGCCTTAACTTCACCTCTAATTTTAGATTTTACGATGGTCCTAAAGTGTTTCTTTGTAGTTTTTGTTGCATTTATGAAAGCTCTCAAGCCTGCTTTATAATTACGGCTATCAATTTTTGATTTAATGGGGTTCCATATTCTATGATAATTAGCTTTTTGTTTCTTGGCTTTTATATTTCGTACTAGTGACATTATGTTCAATCTCTTCTGACTCTGAAAATGTAAACAAACATGCATACATTACAAGTATCGTTATTAATTTTTAAATAAAAAAGACATGGCTGCCATATATTGGCATATCTTATTCAGGCATCCTAGACTTCCGCCAACGTGAACATCAGTTCAGAAGCGAGGAAATGGAGGTGCAGGACTTAAGATTTCTCATTTGCAATATGAGAATTCTGGTTCGAGTGTAATGAACGTAGTTCACGAGGTCAGAACTGATGTTTGCGTTAATGGAAGTCTAGGAGGCCCGTAATTCAATGCAACATGAAAAACAATTTAAGATCCTTTATCATGGTCATTGTTCTCTTGTTGAACTTTTCACAACAGGATGCTGTACTGTTTAGTCCAAATATACAGGTTGACCATAAAGTCTCTTTACACTTTACATTGAGTTCATATTGTAAGTGTAAAGAAACTTTATGGACACTGTGTACTATATTTCACAATTTTGGTGAAGGTGCAGGTAGAATTGAGGGCATATGTATAATATTCATATTGTCAATAAGATACATTATTCTTTTGCTCTTTAATGATGGGGAGATCACTAACACTTACTCAACAGTTACATGTTGAACACCTATTTATTCATGATGAAGATATCTTTAAAGAAGCAAAACTGCAAAATCACTCTATTGAAATTTTTATCTTGTCCATTTGAGTGGCATGGTTACAAATTACAACCATCAACCAACAATCTATTTGAAATCTGTACTGACACACTCACCTTATCTGGTAATGTTTGAGTACTTGTTTGTGGGACTGCATCATTATTAGCTGATCTTTTCCCGAGATTAATTGTTGGTTTAGTGAAAACTGAATTTACCCCGACATAACTTGTGGGGCTAGTGAGAGCTTTAAATTTATCAACTGTTTTTTTGTACTTCGATGCTGCAACAACACTGCTCCAGCACTGTGCACAAAAAAATCTAGAACGAGGCTTTGTGGAAGTTAACGGCTTGCCTATAATATAGCGCAAGGCTTCACCTCCAGAAATGTCTAATCCAGGAATTTTGGCTGATAATGAGAAACGCTTGTATCCACCGTTCCTTCTTTCAAATTCCTTCTTGCAGTTTGCGCACTTATCATCACAGGACTTCTGGGGTTTTGGCAAACCATTTGTGCTTGGTACCACCAATCCAAGGTCAATATCCAATTGTTCTGTGAATGAAGTCATTATGTACCTGAATCTGAAAATATAAACATTATGTATTGTGCATTGTAACAGTCAAACCTATAAATCTGAACACTTACAAGTAGAATAATCTTTAGAGTCTCAAGATCAACTGAAGTGGGTCTTGTTTTAAAAAGTGACCTCGAAGAAGGTCTATTTTTGAAGGGAAAAAAGCATTTTTAGACAAAAAAATTAGTACCATGGGTACTGGGCTCACATGGTGACAGAAAAAAACGGATATAATTTTTTGCTGATTTTTTGTTACAAAATTATTTCAAGCCATCTGTCTCTCAGTCAATTAAAATGGCTGAAAAAAAAAACGGATATAATTTTTTGCCAATAATTTGCAACAAAATTATTTCATTCAACTACTCTTTACAGTGACATGGCTTTTTGCAATGCAAGACACCTGAAATTATTTGTAAAGCTAGGAAATGGGCCAAAATTGAATTTCGCGAGACAAAAATGGCGACCATTTTGAAATCAGGCAAGCTTTTGAACCAGGAGTCATAAGGGAGTTTTTTGTTGAACAAAAATAACTTGAAACTGGAATCCTATCGACAGAGGTTTTGAGCAAATGGTCCAAAAGAGGATTTCGCGAGACAGATGGACAAATCAATGTTAACTAAAATGGCTGAAAATAAAAAAACGGATATAATATTTTGCTGATTTTTTGTAACAAAATTATTTCATAGAACTACCTTTAACAGTGACATGGCTTTTTACAATGCAGGACAGCTGAAATTAAAGCTAAAATGTAAAGCTAGGAAATGGGCAAAAAGTGAATTTCGCGGAACAAGAATGGCAACCATTTTGAAAATAGGCGAGCTTTTGAACCAAGGGTCATAGGAGAGTTTTTTGTATTGATGTTGAACAAAATTAACTTAAAATGGGAATCCTATCGACAGAGGGTTTAAGGTAAATGGTCCAAAAGTGGATTTTGCGAGACAGATGGACAAATCAAATGTTAACTAAAATGGCTGAAAATAAATAAATGGATATAATTTTTCGCTGATTTTTCGTAACAAAATTATTTCATACATCTACTCTTTACATTGACATGGATTTTTACAATGTAGGACACTTGAAATTATTTGTAAAGCTAGGAAATGGGTCAAAAGTGAATTTCGCGAGACAAAAATGGCGGCCATATTGAAAATAGGCTACCCTTTGCATTCGTTTGACTTCACTTCTTAAAAGAGAGCTTCGTCTTCACTCTTTCAAACTAAAATAAACCTGTGAACTCACCGCGCCAATCAGTTTTCTTCGGCCAAATTTGACCGACGTTCTTTATATGGTCATTCCTTCTGACGTCATCATTGAGCCCGGAATTGACCAATGCCATGCGAATATTTAATTAGAACGCATTTGGCGTATGTTTCTTGAAGCTCGCTGATTGGTGGAAGGGCAGCGCGTAGGTCAAAAGTGTTTTACCCAAACTGTCACCGGTACCCGTCGAGGGGGTGGGGCTATTAAACTGTAATATGGTCTCTACTAGGCAGAGTGTAGTTTAACTAGACTCTGCACGCAGGGTAAAAATAGACGAGCTTTTGAACCAGGAGTCATAGGGGAGTTTTCTGAATTGATGTTGAACAGAAATAACTTAAAACAGCAATCCTATCGACAGAGGTTTTAAAACGTGCCACAGAAAGTGGATTTCGCGAGTCCGATAGACAAATCAATGTTAACTAAAATGGCTTAAAAGAAAAAAAATGGATACAATTTTTCGCTGATTTTTTGTAACAAAATTATTTCATATATCTACCCTTTACATTGACATGGATTTTTACAATGTAGGACACCTGAAATTATTTGTAAAGCTAGGAAATGGGTCAAAAGTGAATTTCGCGAGACAAAAGTGACGGCCATTTTGAAAATAGCCGAGCTTTTGAACCAAGAGTCATAGGAGAGTTTTTTGTATTGATGTTGAACAAAAATAACTTAAAATGGGAATCCTATCGACAGAGGTTTTAAGGTAAATGGTCCAAAAGTGAATTTTGCGAGACAGATGGACAAATCAATGTTAACTAAAATGGCTGAAAATAAATAAATGGATATAATTTTTCGCTGATTTTTCGTAACAAAATTATTTCATACATCTACTCTTTACTTTGCAATGGATTTCTACAATGTAGGACACTTGAAATTATTTGTAAAGCTAGGAAATGGGTCAAAAGTGAATTTCGCGAGACAAAAATGGCGGCCATTTTGAAAATAGGCGAGCTTTTGAACCAGGAGTCATAGGGGAGTTTTCTGAATTCATGTTGAACAGAAATAACTTAAAATAGGAATCCTATCGACAGAGGTTTTAAAACGTGCCACTGTTATTGACAGAAAGTGGATTTCGCGAGTCAGATAGACAAATCAATGTTAACTAAAATGGCTGAAAATAAAAAAATGGATACAATTTTTCGCTGATTTTTTGTAAAAAAATTATTTCATATATCTAATCTTTACATTGACATGGATTTTTACAATGTAGGACACCTGAAATTATTTGTAAAGCTAGGAAATGGGCCAAAAGTGAATTTCGCGAGACAAAAGTGACGGCCATTTTGAAAATAGGCGAGCTTTTGAACCAGGAGTCATAGGGAGGTTTTCTGTATTGATGTTGAACAGAAATAACTTAAAACAGGAATCCTATCGACAGAGGTTAGCTAGGAAATGGGCTAAAAGTGAATTTCGCGAGACAAAAGTGACGGCCATTTTGAAAATAGGCGAGCTTTTGAACCAGGAGTCATAGGGGGGTTTTCTGTATTGATGTTGATCAGAAATAACTTAAAACAGGAATCCTATCGACAGAGGTTTTAAAACGTGCCACTATTGTTGAAGGACAGACGGACGGACGTACAGACGGACGGACGTACAGACGGACGGACAGACAGACGGACAAGTGAGTGATTGCAAAAGCTCACCATGTGAGCTAATAAAAACCCTAGGTGTGGGTGGATATTTTGAATCTCAGTGGCACCCCCTGTACAAAAAGTTGACCAGTCCTGTGACCAATACCCACTCCTCGGTCCTACACCCATAGGTGTAAGCCTATAAACTTTGAATCAAATCTGACAACTGGTATTTGAGTGATTGCCTGGAGAGACAGGTGAACCAACGACCAATCAGATAACAGGAGGACTTTCCCGGTATATTAAAACTTCAGATTGAATTAATTTCTGCGAAAATAATTAGATCGGCCAGCACAATCGCAAAATTAACACTGAAAGAGGGGGATTTGGGACTTCTTCTTTGGTAAGAAGATGGGTGAATATGTGATGAAACTCAATATGCCAAAAAGTCCACCGGGGTATTGATTGTGCTATCCTATGGCATATTGTGATGGTTGTGCCAGGCATAAGTCTTGCAATAGATAGCATGTAAGAATTTCCTTGAGTTCCCATAGACCTCTAATCTTACCAGATCTACTAAAAGAAGACAATGATACTTTCCTGAAAAAAGCAAGGAAATTAACACATACTTTATTCACCTTTCCCCAAAGTCCAAAGTGTACTCATTTGACCGCTGCGCTGATTGGTCGATGAAAATCAAAGACGTCAAAGCAGGGCAGATTTCGCGCCAAAACTTCAATTACTATTAGATCGCCCAATGAGTGAAATAGATCTCATTATAAAGTGATAACAAGGCATTAACATGACAAAATGTCACCACCTAAAACAATTTGTTCAATTTAAAGCAAGTTGGAAAATACCTTTTGACCTTGAGAAGGTCATTGAAGGTCAAAGGTCAAATCTAAAGTCAGATTTGAACTTCTGAGAACTTGTAAAGTCAAATTTGAACTTTTGAAAAGATGAAGATGATTTTGAAAAAAAATTTGGTTAATTTGAAGCAAGTTGAAAACAGACCTTTTTGACCTTTTTTGACCTTGAGAAGGTCATTAAAGGTCAAATGTCAAATCTTAAGTCAGATTTGAATTTCTGAGAACACGTAGATGATTTTGAAAAAAAAATTTAGTCAATTTGAAGCAAGTTGAAAACAGACCTTTTTGACCTTTTTTGACCTTGAGAAGGTCATTGAAGGTCAAATGTCAAATCTAAAGTCAGATTTGAAGGTCAAATGTCAAATCTAAAGTCAGATTTGAATTTCTGAGAACATGTAGATGATTTTGAAAAAAAATTTAGTCAATGTGAAGCAAGTTGAAAAAAGACCTTTTTGACCTTGAGAAGGTCATTGAAGGTCAAATGTCAAATCTAAAGTCAGATTTGAATTTCTGAGAACATGTAGATGATTTAGAAAAAAATTGAAGTCAGTCTAGACAGTATTTGTTAAGTTATAGGAAGTTGTAAGAAATTGTTACAGACGCCGGACGCCAACCTCCAACAATATGTCACCACTTTTGGTGGTGACATAACAAAACTAAGTGAAACATATTTTTCTGACTATTTTGCCTTTTAAAAGCTGTGTCTTAAATACACCATCCGGTAAATCAAACCATAGAAATAATTTTGATACGAGTGCTAGTCTTTTAACAAAGTGAATCCAATTACGCAAACCAAAGATTGACAATCATTCAAACAATAAGACTGTATGGATTAGGAATATACATTTATCATGATTATTCAATTAAATAGTTCATTATGTATCAAATAAAAAATATATGAAGAACAGTTTTAAATGTCAAAGTCCACTTGCATTTTTCTTATCGGGTTGCCCAAATAATTTGGGATTGGTCATGTATTTTTGCAATTTATATATTGAAGTAACTAATATACATCAGGCTGTAGTAGTTTGCATTTAAATTGCAATTCTAAGCTTACAGGCCCGTAGCCATGGGGGGTGGGGGGGGGGGGTGAGCGGAAGGAGCGGGCCCCCTGGTCAGATATTTTTTAGCCAAAATTGTGAAAAAGCCCCCCCCCCTCTGGAAAAAAGCTCCCCCTCCTGGTAAAAGCTGGCTACGGGCAAGTAACCATTGTCAAATTCTCTGGCAGACATAAAAGTAACATTGCCATGTGGAATAATAAGTGGCTGAACGTAAGTGAAAGTACGCTTTGGCCCAGATTTGAGAGTCGAATACTTTTTCTTCAAGGTTAAGCCGTACCCCCTTCTTCACCCCATGAGAAAGTATTACACAAACTTAAGATAACCATGGGATGTTGACATTTTGACAGTCAAGAACTAAACATGGGGTTATGTACAGTCAGCGTAATTTGAAAATGTACAGGAAACATTGGACTCTTCACATCAATATTTCTCTATTCATTTGATTCCCCAGAACAATATAAAGAAGGGGGAATATATACGGGAGTATAATTAATTGAATTCCATTACATTTACAGGCCTGTCAACTTGGGAACACCTAACATGAGTGACTTGGAAATGTTGAACACCTCCCCTCAAAATGTGGACACCTTGGTCCAAATCTGAACACCTTGATCCAAATTTTGAACACCTTGGTTTAAATTTTATTACATCTTGCCCAATTTTGAACACCTCAAATTTTCCGCGCTCGCTACGCTCGCGTTTCAAACATGCATCAACGGGGGGGGGGGAATGCATGACATATACGTAATTCGTGTGAAGAGTTCGAACGAAATGCGTACATTTTTTTCCGGCGTTCGTATTTTTGCTGTGTAGACGATCTTTTTTAGAAATTTTTCTACAGAAACATTTTTGCTTGACAATTACCAGGTAAAATGCGTATTTGCGTGACATTTTCTGTCACGCAAAAATAACTGGCGTGACTTCAAATTCTTCAGCAAATGCGTGACAAATACGCAAATTGCGGGACAGTTGACAGGCCTGCATTTATCATAAATATTATTACTACTCAACATAATTTGACAATATAATTAACCCGTTTCCGTCACGATTCCCATTGACTTCTAATGTGTTAGGATTTTCCCGCGAAAATGTGCCCTACTCTGACGTCAGAGATTTCAGATTTGCTAATTATAATATTCATGAGCTGACTTTGGGGAAAGGTGAATAGTGTACCAGAAAATAACACGTGCAGGTATAGCAATTATTTACCAAAATGTTATTTTCCAGCTGTACCTATTGCTAATAGCTTACAAGCGCTTGTCGAAAATGCGCCATCATAATTTTCTGCGTACTTGGCGGAATAGGCAAGGAAGTTACTTGTTGAACTAGACAAAATATGAAAACTATCATTGCCAAACTACTCCCTAATCATTTCTACAGGTCAGGATGGTGATGTATTGATAGAAACTCACCAGAATTACTCTAAATCAAGTAGATTGAGTCCAATTTTTGATTCCACGCTAAATCAATTGAATTTCCGGTACCCGCTGTTCGTGGTTGTCTACCACCAATCACGAAATTTAATCACGATGTAATTTTAAATGGAAAATGAAAAGGTTGATTGTAATTTACATTTTCTTTAACAAATCGTACAACCCACCTGTATGCATACAAATACTCCAACACTCATACTATGAAAAAGATGAAGACAGTGAAAGATGCGTTTGAATATAAAATAGACTGTTGGCAATCACGAAATCGACCCTGTAAGCCCAGTTTTCAATCCATCACAATCAAACCGTTTGGCCAGTACACATTTGTAAACATTTATTTTTAGCATTTCATGAAACAGACGCATGTTATATGTCTCTGATTGATAGTATTTTTGTTTTACTCAATGTTGTGTGGACTCCAAAATGTTCTGGAATGTCTATCTATGCATGGGCTTTCACTAAGAGAGCCCATTGGTCCAGGTGTAAAAGGGAAGCCTAGGTGGTCCTATCAAATTTTGGTCCTACCATGAGCTTTCAAGATCTCTTGAAAGCCCATGGTCCTACTCTCTATTGATTTATAAAGTGACCTAATTACAATTATTTTCCTTATTATTTATACACAGTCGGGGCCAGCAAGGGCCGTAAGGAAATGGGACCATAATCCCCAGGGGACCCGTGATACTTTCTTTTACACCGGTGTAAAAGGGTAGGAGGCCCTATCAAATTATTGTCCTACTCTCCATTGATTTATATGGTGACCTACAGGTAAATACAATTCTTTCCCTTATTATCTTATACACAATCAGGGCCAGTAAGGGCCTTTAAGAAAGGGGACCATAACCCCTGGGGACCATAATTTCTTTCACACCGGGATTTAAATATTATACTAGTAATAAGCTTATTCCCGAGTGCCCCATGATGCAAAACGGTTACAAAACCGGGGACCTAACATGTAATATGAGTGAATACGAACTTAATTCCAATGGTCATCTCTTGAAGAAACGTAAAAATGATAGAGTAAATTGAAAATCAAGGAGCTGTTGTAAATTACGGCAATTATAAAAATCTTTATTCAAAATTATTTCCTCTCCCTTTAGCCCGTATGGTCTACTAAAATACTGTCAGTGCTTGTTCCTATTGTTCAGACTTAATATGAATTCTAATTTCTGCAACCAAAGTTTAAGAAATATTCAATTTACATCTTAGCATGCGAGATGAGAATGCATACAATACGCACTTAAAGAGTGGGACCAGGAATGAAGCATTCCTTATTGTTCATCGTAACACAGCGTTCTTTATAATATACGTACCAAATACGATATAAAATGGATTAAGAAAATAATGCTTATGATAAATATAGCCTGAATAATCCAAACCACTTTGGAGTATAGTGATTGCTTATGAGAGACTTACGAACACGCAAATTATGTCGAAGCTAAAAGTACTGTTTGCAATGTCATCAATAATGCTTATTTTATTGGTATATGGTATCTATCATTTGACAGAGAGTGACATCATGCCTAAGTTGTCAATATACAAGGATAAATTCCGCCATATCTTGGACAATGATGGGGTCAATCGGGAACGAACGACAACTCCCTTAAAGGAAGTAGCTAAGACATTACTACCATCAGACAGTGCACGGAAAAATCGCAAGCATTTGTTGTTCAGTCATTTTCCCAAAGCAGGTGGATCGGAAATTAAGTATATACTAGGTATGGTAGTTGGAGGAAGAAAAAATATATATGGAGGGAATGGAGGGAATAAAGATTATTATGTTAGGCGATTTAAAGCTAACAGTAGTATATTTTTTAGAACTAATTACTTTTATCAAAATGAAGGACAATCAATGGACCCGGATCTGAAATCTGCCTTTTTCGTCATAGGGCATGTACGTTCCCCGTGTAATTATCTACTTTCATGCTGGACATACGGCTCGAGCGGGAAAGGTGATGTTTACAAAATGACAAAGGACAAAAGTGTTTATGGGAAGATACCCCCATTCAATAATACGGATGACCTAGAGAGACTTACCATGTGGTTACAAGACAATAAAAAGATATATACAAATAGGCTTATTTATAAGTATTTCAAAACGACCCATTGGAAAACAGACCTAAGTTTGAAAAATGTAGATTGTTGGGTTCACACCGAAATGTTAATTTACGACTTGGTGAACTGTTTGAAACGGTATGAAAAACAAGGGGGAAATGTAAAATGGGAAAACTTTCATAAGATAAAGAAGTTGAAAGCGAATCCTAGTAATCATTCACAGTGTAAGAATTACTTTGACGATGAGAGAACGGCGCTGGTGATGGATTCCAATAAAGATATGGCAAAGATTTTCGGATATGAGAACTGTTGTACGGAAAGTAATACAACGTTGCCTGCAGATATCGAAGAGCTCTGGAACGAATCATAATTTGGCTACATTCAGAAGATTAGTATACATAGTTGAACAGAGCTTTCATTTATATTAGGCTAAGTTCAGAAGATAATCATATTATATTGTGGAAAGGAGGTTTCAGGCCACCACCCCTCCCAATAGTGTGATTCTAAAATGGCACCTTAAACCTAATATACTAGTAACAGAATTCACCTCATTATTCCACAGCTGTTGAACTCTGTGAACTGTGGTACATGAAGGGAACTTTGCATACCATAAGCTAAAATCGATGAAACAATGAAATAAACATCACATATATTTTCGTTAGTCTTCAATAGATGGAAATATGTATTTGGCTAATTGTTTCACACCACATATTGCTCTATGCCCGCATTCATCGTTTAACTCTACAATAGTCAGTTTATTGTACAGATTTAATGTAACTTTACAATAACAATGTAATGTACATATTTTTAATATTACATAACTTATGCATACATATATTCTGCAAATTGGAATCTGCTTATTCTAATGTGACATTCACTAATGACATATCGATTGTGGAATCAGTGATATGGCATACTGTGCTATAATAATACGCTGAAGACAAGGAGGATTGGAAGCCAGGGTTCCAACTCGATATTCTTTAATCTCCACGCATGCGTCATTTGCTATTCGTGTCTGTATAATTTGTACGACTGCATGGAGAATGACCCGATACTCTCCAACAAAGCTATCGCTAGGTGATTGTTTTGCAGAATATCGGTGTTGCATTCTGGGAGCCAATCCTCCTTGCGCTGAAGACATGCTAGATAGTGTTGCAATGATCTCAAAAATAATGAATATTACTCAAATATAAGACTTGTGTTTGATTATTCAACTGAAAATTGTGTTATTTTGCTGCATTTTGATTTGCAAAATTGCCATAGTTATGATTCTCACAGCTCTTTAATTGACCATATCAAAAATAGTAGTATACTTTTCTTTCACACCAAACCTCCATTTCCTTTGGACTGTCATTCTTCAGCCTTGTACAATAGTAAATGAGCTCCTTCATCCAAAACAAATTCAGAATTCCCAATATAAAGTAAAACCTGTGTACAGGTAACACCAATGGTACTGACCAGGCTGTTCCATTCCCATGTAGACAGGTGTTCTTTACAGAGAGGGTCTGTATTTTGCACCAATCCAAAACCAGTATATTCTTCAGAGGTGTTCCCTTCAGAAAGGTGTTCCTTGAACAGGTTTTACTATATCAAGTTTTGAATTTTGTCAAATCAACAGAGGCACCAAAATAACCGATTTTACAGAAACCAAAGAATAAATTCATTGAAATAATGTTATTTAGAAACATCGCAAGTTAATGCAGACATGCAACTTTTTGTATCCTAGTCAAGTGTATGCATTGCCAGCTGGATATAACATGACCAAGAATGACCATTGGAAGTCAAAACATTCTAATACGTGAACTTAGTTTAGTAAGAATCTCAATAGCAATAACCAAGATTTTATTTAGCAAGTAATTATATTGCATGCAAATACAAACAGTATTACATTGCAAGTACAAGCAGTATTATATTGCAGGTACATACGTATTATATTGCAAATATATCACACAGTATCATATTGCAAGTACATACAGTATTATATTGCAAGTACATATAGAATTATATTGCAAGTACATATTATATTGCAAATACATACAGTACTATATTGCAAGTACACATACATACAGTACTAAATTTGCATGAGAGCATACAGTATTCTATTGTACAAACACAAATCTGCACTGTTTTAAAAACACTTCATTACTGTTACTATAGCAACGCTCAACATCAACATGTTGCTTTAACTACATAAACAAATATATAACAATTATGACCATAAAATAATAACAATAAAACTGCATGTACAAAATATGATTTCAGGAAGTGCTGAATAGACTACTTTATAATGAATACATGCATTCAATTCAAGACTGAATGCTTAAAGTTTTGAATTTCCTATCTATAAGGCATCAGTCTTTAAGGCCTTGGCTTTAAGTGTACAATGAATATAGCATTAGTCTAAATGTTTGAGGTTTAAGGGTAGGGTAGCCAGAGTTTTTAAGACCTTGTCTGTAAACAAGGCATTACATGCAAAATGTCACCACCTGCCATTTGTTACAGATACTGAATGCTGTTACAAAAAATGGAGACCATAACAATATGTCACCACTTTTAGCGGTCACATTATATTACAGTGCGTGTTGAATATCAATATAACAGTTTATACTGTATAAATATGCAGTCTACTGGTATCATGTTACTGCGATGCCCTCACAGGCAGGTAAGGGGGGGGGGGGGTTGAGGGGTGAGGGGATGTCAAAAGATTACATGCCAAACTAATATGGTTTTCAAGCATTCTGACTTTGAAGGATTATACCCAGAGACTAGTATTAAAAATTGAGGACAAAAGCTCCCACAAGACTGATGTATAATCAAATTGCTATCCATGAGAATCAAACATCAAATTGGTTATAATTGGAATTATTAATATATTGGATGTTCAGTAAAACCTGTGCATAATGAACATTTTTTGCCGAGATAAAACGTACAGTGTTGGTGGTGCATGTCCAGACAGGTGTTCGCTAGAATGAGGTGTTCACCAGGACAGGTTTTATTGTATATTGATGTATTGGAAACAAGACCAAACAATAGCCATAAAACACGTGGTTTTACACTGGACACATTCTAATACATTAGCAAATGAACCTTTAAATACGTGTATGACCATTTACCAATTTGATATTCGCTAGCTTGGATATTCATAGACTGCGTAGTAATGAATTTTGTTCAAAAAACATGTAAAGATCAAATTTCTATATAACACTGCACATATATTGTATGGAAACACTATATAGTATTGTATGTACAAAGTTACCAAGTATTTGTACAATTTAAGTACACATAGTTACATTATTTATACAATATTGGGTAGCATCTCATAATCATATAGAAGTTTCAATATTTATTTCAAGAAAAGACATCTTTTGAAACTGGTCTGGTAGTAGAAATATTGGATACCAAATGGAATTCATTTTGATACCAAAACAAAGTTATAACAAAGACTCAACATTGTTGTCATAGAAACATAACTTGACTAGTAACATGACTCATAGTCATTGACTGCATGGAGTCATATTATTGTAAGGGCATCTTAACTTGGTATATAAAATATTACAAATGCATCATTCTTTTCGATTCAGTTAAATTACATTCTAGATAAGATACACCAAAATAACAAATATCACAAAATGGGTGAATGTTTGAGTACTTTTTTTAATTGCGTACATACATCTGCGAGTTAGATTTCAATTTACTTATATTGAGAAACCAGCTAATTTTAGCACTGTACAGTGTACAAACATAGTAAAACTTCACAAAAGACAGCTTGGGAATCATAATTTTTCCCTTTGATGTTAATTTTTTCAGGTGTGGCCCATACTTGATAACACCATATAGTTTGTAAAAGTGCAACATAGAAATGGTTATACAATGACATGCCATAAAATATCAAGATACCATGCTCGATTTGTAGAATAAATATAAGAAATAGAAGAGAATAAATGCAACGAATGTAAGAACTTATTCTATGTGCTGGTCAAGTAAAGCATGTGGCATTCATAAGTCAGAACAGATGACCCATGTATAAAATTTCAGTGGCCAGGCTTTAAAGGTGAACCCAATCAAGTGAGGAATCCATAAAATTCAGGAACGATGTATGACAGTATGACAACAATATATAGTTTTGCCAGTTTGCGGATTAAGCCTAGTCAGAGTAAAATTCTCTACATGGGCGCAAATTATGTATTTACACATATTTATACATTTATATATCTCTTCTTTACAGCATACTTGGAACTGTATTCTATATTCATAGTATATAACGTCCGACAGCTTTATATATTAAATCTACATTTCGTTCTATTCACATATTTACAATTATTGTAATACTTTAAAGGTATTACTACTTGAACACACTCTACATCACACAAATCCTTCAACTTATCTCACGATCAACAATTATTTTAACATCTAACATTGCCAAATATGGAGGCGATCATGAAGACAGTCTCGTTCAAAAATCATTAATATTTGAAGACTAAAGATATTGTCAAAAATTGTCACAATGATATTGAAACGAAAATATCCAATATTTCACTTTACCTAATGCAGACAGATACCAAGGCCCATAATGCATTTGTGTCAGAAGCAGACGGACATTTATAAGCCTCAATCAGATGGCAGAAAGGCCCACAGTGCCACAAAAGAAGTATGAATGACCATAATGCAACGTAAGAAGCAAAATTTAACTAATGGCCACAATGCACCACACTAACAACAACTGAATCTTAGACCCATAATGCATGGATAAAACCATGACCCATAATGCATTTTTGCCAGGTGAAAGAGAAAAAGTCCCATAATGCAACATGCTGTTATCATGGTTGACAACTGAGAGGAATAACCCAGTAATCAAAGATGAACCCTTCTGGGAGAATGAACCTTGTCAATACATTGTTACAGAAGCAGACAAGTACTCTGACCCATAATGCATTGCAACAAATACAGACAACCACTTGACCTTGACACAGCAGACACTTGGAATATATGGACATACAAATGGTATCAAGAAAGCAAACATAAAAGAGACAATGATGAAACTGAAATGTTCTAAAAATACAGAATCCATAAATAGGTAAACTGTCAAATCAATTTCAATTTTGAATTTTTGCAATTTTATATTGAACATTCTAAGCCTCTCAACCCTGTTTTGTAGTCCTATTATATATACACTTATCATTTGGTTCACATATAGTTTGTAGCTATATCATACATGTAAAATTACAATATTTTAAGAATATTGATACGTTACAGAATGTTCACTTGTATTTCAAATCAACAATACAGTCAGCTTGATGCGACTCAATAAAAGCAATTCTAAGATACAATTAATTAACTCATACAAGTCTCAGAATGTGTCATAGAATTATTTGGAAATGTAAAACAAGCAATGTGTAATATCATTCTTCCACAGTAGCTCCCTTTGTACAACATGAACCTAAAAATAGTATCACACTCTCATTTGGCAAATCCTTGCATTGGAATTCTTGCAATTTGGAATGCATTATTTTCTATTCTGCTCTCCAATATATTCTGCTTGGCTAGTTCACCTTTTGGCCACTATGTGGCAGCATGTGTCCTTAGCAACATTCAAAATGGCCACTGGTTGCCTAGGTGGAACTGCAAAGGGTGACACCTATAATATCTTGTGCAAGACAGATGAAATAAGAACCTCTGTGCTTGTGTTCAGTCTCAAAGCTGGTACCACTTCTTGTTCTTGTATTTCAGCATAACGTCATGTGACATTGACTGGAAGCTTTGGGCCTGTTCCCGCATACGCTCGGACACATCAGACAGCTCACCTAACCTTTGACCTCTTTCGTCAAGAGCCTGAAAAACAATCATCCAATGAAATGTCAGTCTATATTCTGATCAAAGGAATTATGAAGGATAGAGAGGGTAAAATGTTGGAAACAATCTTCAAAAATCATGCCAATATTTTCTGAAAAGAGAATTTAGATATCAACTCATTTCTATCCCAATTCAGAATTACTTCTTTTAAAGCTACTTAACACATCTCACTTATAATATGTATTTTAACAGGAAAAAATATCATTCAACATTATCATTTCTAAAGATATTAAAACATTATCACTTTTGAAAAGTTTTGCCATAATTCAACTCCAATACTGCAGTTATAAATTAATATGTCAGTATGTTCACATATATTCTTTTCAACATGTGTATAGCTCTCCAAGCGCACTGGTGGGATTGTTACATTACCTGTCTGGCGTATGACACAGCCCCCATGGCAGAGTCTGAAGATGCCTGTAGGCCAGCAGTTCCAGCTATGTACTTGGTAACATTGGGTGCAGCTTTACCACTATCAGGTCCAACTGCAACATACATGTACATACATAATCAAATGAGTTAAACATACATACACATATAATTGAATTTTTACCAACATAAACCTTCCAAGTTCCTTTGTAAAATAAACTACTTTATGGGATTCTTCTTTACAAAAAACAAAAAATGTTTAAAAGAATTCTTAGGGAAAATATGATCTCAAGAGAATGCCGGGTAATGTTTTAAACTGAAAATTAACATGAATGATTTCTGTATTATTATTAAGTGATTAAAACATAGTGTCCTACATAACATTTCTCTGTCTAAAGGTGAGGGCCCCGCGTTGAAGAGATTCTTGAAGAAGCCTTGCTTAGGGGCCTCAGGGGTCTCACACGGTAGGAACAGGTCCCCAAGCATCTCATTCAGGCTCACACTGAAACATAAAACATTCCATTTATTACAATTAATTTGTTAAACTTTCACAAAAATATTTTATGCAAAAAGCACTGTTAGATATTGTGAAAAAATGCAAACAATATAGTGTTTTTATATTTTTATGCTTTTCAGTCTCATATAAAATGTTGCATAATTTCTTAGCTGATCTTGTCATTACACACTATTTTCAAACAACAACAACGAAAGAATTATAGGGATGATGTACTAAAGTCATCACTTCATTATGATTTATGCCCCTGCCCCCATATCACAAAAAATTACCAGTTTTTACCAATGAAAGCATTATTAACCCACTCCCTTAACTATGGGGTTGTAAGAGAAAGCCTAGGCCCTAACTAAATTAACTTAGTTATTTCACGAGTATTGACATTTTAGACCATGTTCCTTAATCAAAAGTATGAGCTTAAAATAACTCACCATACATCAGCTGCTAGCGTGACTTTCTGTAGTTCAGATGGCGTAGTGAAGTAAAGTGCATGCCCATTATTACTAAATGTGAATGTCCTTGCAATCCTGAAAACAAACACAAATACTCATCTACACTTTGAATAAAGTATATCACTTTAACAAGAAAAGCAATTTGTTAGTTTCCAGTAACATCCTACCAAGTCTGTTGCTTGTATGTGAATTTATAAGAGTAATAGAAGGGACCAAGTGTCACTGAATGTACTCAGTGATCATCCTGTATTTCTCTCAAAGATACCAGATTCTGCACTTAACATCAGTAACACAAATACTCTTCTACGCTTTAAATTAAGATTCTGCAATGTTTATTCCTTAACTCAACATCAGTAACACTAATAGACTTCTACACTTTAAGTGCATGACCATTTCTACCTAGAACCTGAATGTCAAAAATGCCTTGCAATTCTAAAAAAAACAAACACTTATATTCTTCTACACTTTAAATGAAGATTCTGCCATGTTAATTCCCTTACCTAATATCAGTGACAGGTATGCACTCACAGTCCATGAGGGGACGTAGGCTGGGGAGACTGAATGTCATGATGTGCCCATTCGCCAGGAAACAAGCAAGGAAAACTGCATCTAGAATAATACAAAGTAGGAGATTCAGTTATAGTCTTGCTCCATGTCTCTGTAACCCCTCCTCCTCTACAACCACTATAGGGTGTGTGTGTGTGTGTTTTTTTGGGGGGGTCACAAGGGCTTGTAGCTAGCTAATTCAACTAATGATTCTGCAAATAGGGTTACGAACAAATATTTTCTGATATATTTAAAGAGGCCATGTTAAAGTTCAAACTATTTTGGTGACTAGGTTTTCAAAATATGATACAAATCTAAAAAAAAAAAATCCATTAAGTTGTTTATGAAGGACACTTTTTTGAAAATCATAAATTCATTTAAAATACAAATACTGAAGAGAAGTTCATAGAGAAACACATATTATGTACAATTTTTAGTTTTTATTGAATTCATTTGGATGTTAGCCTGTTGGCAATCAACATTGCTTCATTTTGGAAGTTTTATGTCACTAATAACATACCTTTCAATGTGACAACATCAGCTTTGGTTACAAATGACACATCAGTTATCTTGACTTTATATGTACATGTCTGAGATGGTAGGGACATCACCTAAAGAGAAAGAGAGAAAGAATTGTACAACTGAGCATTCTGAATTATACCCCAGGACCATAGCCAGGGAGGGGGAGGGAGGTTGAAGGGGGCGAGTGAACCCCCCTAGCCAAAATTAGCTTTTCATCATTCTGAGCACTTTTCAAGTGATTTTGGGCCAAAATTGGTCAAATGTGAAGATCCCCTGGAACTTCTAAAAAAGTGAAGCCCTCTTGCCAAAAGTTGGCTATGGACCACCTCAGGCTTGAAGTAAATTCCACCCTAATAGGACAAATAAATACAGTTTTCATAATGACAAGATCTTAATGGCCCCAAATGTAATAAACACCTGTCGTTCTAAATGTGTAAGGTTTCGAGGACTTTATTCTGTTCGAAGTGTGTAGATAAAGCTCTCCTTTATTTATGCAAAATCAAACTATTTATGAGGATAGCTGCTCTATTGATTCCAATACTCCTTTGGTCTTCTGTTTATTGTGTGCAGTATCCTAGGACTTACAAAAAGATGGAGAGTAAATGAAAAATTTAGAAGACCACTATTTGTAATGTTGACATTTTATTATTGTGACATCACAATGGTCCTTAACAGACAAACAAACAAATAACAGATCCAAACAACCTACCCTTGCTTGTTTTTCTGAACATATGACAGCAAACTGGCGATCACTTGATTCTGTGGAAGAAGTTGGACTGAGACGTGGTTGTCGAGCTAGTTGGGACTCCGCCCCTGTAACCATAGCAACACCATATTAGGTAAAATTACATTAAGGAAATCATCCACTATATCGATAGTTATACTAATAGTTATACACAAATATTTCTTGAGTTTATATGGTATGTATATTCATCTGACACATTATAATGTAAAAATGTTGATATCCCACATTCATACCTAAAGCCATATAGCCCCAAGCTCTCAAAAATCTCACCCAGACAGCCATTTTCATTGCTACATTAATTATGTTAGTCAAGCTAAGCAATGCCATTTTCAACAACAAAAGACGGTGATTTGCTAGAAAAGCATAATTCCATATTTTTCCAACTTACTCATTCCTCATATAAAAAGAAGGAAATTTTCAAGCTTTTTTGTCAAAGAGCCATTCAGTATACCCACCCATATTAAATTAGCAGACCATACAAATCTATGTACATGTACATTATCATGACTACAATACCCTATTATAATGCAAACCCTCATTATATACAGCACCATTTATTATATAGCACCCTTATTAAGATAAAGCACCTTATTTAATAGAATGTAGTAGCACCCTTATCATAATATAGCACCCTTATTAAAGTAAAGTACCCTAATTATACTGTAAAATCCTTATTACAGCATTAATATTATTATAATGTAGCCCCTTATTTACAATAGAATATAAAGTTTACAATAAGATTTTAGAGTCTGGAAATTCCACATTATCTAGTATGCCATGGTGGTCAATGTTTGGTGGTATCACTGTGGGGGAGGGGGGAGGGGAGTAGAGGGAGAGGGGGAAGGAATAGTGTACACACAACCTTCTGGGGTAGGGGTACATAGGGAGAGAAAACTCATCTGGGCAAAAATGCATTACTTTTATGCATTTTAGAGGAAAGGGGAGGGGGGTATGTTTCAACAAGGCAAAAAGAATTTACATTATCTTAAAAATGAAATGTCTACTAACTTTTTTTTAAAGTTGGAAAAAAATCTTGGAAATATCACCATAGGCTTTAAATATTTGAAAATGAGGAAAATATTAAACCAATATTTTATATGAATTGACCACCTTAACATAAGGGAGTTCCCGTTACCCAAACTGAAATAAAGAGAAGTGCAAAGGGTTAGTAATGCATGCTGGGAAGAGTGCGATCCATTACCATATATGGTATGACGTACCTTTACTAGCACGGCATCCACCAATTATTATACCACAAAACAAGAAATATGATTTAGTTGGTGAAATACAATGTCAATAAGCTTAGATGGTGAAACAATATAAAACTCTCAACAGAACAAATAGTAAGTAGATTTCAATGTTTTAAAGCTGATAGTGAACTTTAAGAGACAGAGAGATACAAGTTTTAGAGATAGTTCATTTATATGAAGTTTTTAAATGTAAAGGCACTGGTAGTTAAAGAGAATGAGAAGTTAAGATGATATATTGGGACAAAGATAAATTAATACATTATTTTTTCTAACAGTTATTTTTAAGTTGCGACTTTAAGATAAAGAGAGTATAAAGAAGTGGGTGTTTTTTAGAAAATGAACAAGTGTTAAAAGTGTGCAATGAAAATAAAATAAAATGAGTGACCACATGCTCATATAACGCATTTGCGATCAGAAGGTGAAACGAGGCATCAACATGACAAAATGTCACCACCTAGTTGCTCACAATATTATGAGTTCAATCTGAAGTCAGATCTGAACTTTTGAAAACTCGTTGATGACTTTGAAAAAATAAATTGGTCAATTTGAAGCAAGTTGATTAAAGACCTTTTTGACCTAGAGAAGGTCATTGAAGGCCAAATCTAAAGTGATGATTTGAACGTCTGATAACTTGTAGACGATTTTGAAAAAATTGGTCAATTTGAAGCATACCTTTTTGACCTTGAGAAGGTCATTGAAGGTCAAATCTATAGCCAGATAAGATTTAAACTTTTGAGAATTTGTAGATGATTTTGAAAAATAATTGGTCAATTTGATCTCTTTTTTTGACCTTGAGAAGGTCAAATCTCAAATCTAAGTCAGATTTGAATGTCTAATAACTAATAGAAAAAAATAGGACCCACGGTCCTGTGCTCACACAGTTTGGAACCTTCAGAGGAATGTATATCCTGACTTTCAAACAAAAATGTTGATTTGGATTTGTAGTCTCGAACTTTAAGAAACTAAGACAGCACAGTTGTGTGACCTAGTTTGATGACCTTTGACCTTGAAAATTTTAATTATTTAGAGCTCAGTAAGGTCTTTTGTGATTAAGCTGAACAAAATTTACATCCAAAAATCAATTTGAAAAATCAACCTTTTGGACCTTTCAAAGGTCACTGGAGGTCAAGTAAAGGTCACTGGAGGTCAAGTAAAGGTCAAATCCTAAAACTAATGTCAGATTTGAACTCCTGGTAACTTGTAGATGATTTTCAAAAAAAATTTGGTCAAATTGAAGCAAGTTGAAAAATAACTTATTTTTACTGTGTTTTTTTTTACGTCAAATATCTCAAAAACGGTAAAAATTTGATGCTGACATATATTGAGCAATATGTAGGGAATGCTTAAATCTAGTTATGATGTAATTCATTGCAAGAAATGATCAAGTATAAGGCAAACTTTGAGAAACTTGTCAATCACAAAACCTGCCATTGACTTTATACATAAGAAAGTTTCCTGAAAATGACTAAGTCCTACTTTTTGTCAAATTTTATAGAGTAAGCACCAAAAACTGTAATTCCTAGAGCTTTGAAATCTTCAGAGGACATAAGTTGCATATACAGCAACTACTACAAGTTATTTGAAAGTTCTACTTCAACAAAGTGTCTAGAATTTACAGAAAATTTGACTTTTTGACGTCAAAATCAGCAATTTCTCGGAAACCGGGCGAACTTGGGAAATGGCGATGATAGGTAAAATAGGCATTATGGATATGCATAAAATGAATGTGGTAATGACTCAATCCGAATAGCAGTTTTAATTTGTGCGGCCAATGTTGGCGGGACGGACGGACGGACCAACGGACGGACGGACCAACGGACGGACGGACGCCTGGTCGATCCCATAGGCTCACTGTGTGAGCCCAAAAATATCCTTTTAACCTTTTTTGAAAAAGTCATTGAGGGTCAAATCTTAAATATGAAGTCAGATTTGAACTTCTGAAAACTTGTAGATGATTTTGAAAAAAATTGAAGTCAGTATTTATTTGTTAAGTTATTAGAAGTTGTAAGAATTTGCTACATATGCCGATCGCCAACCGCCGATCGCCAACCACCGTCAAAAATAAACAGAGACCATAACAATATGTCATCACTTTTTGGTGGTGACATAATTATACTAACAAAATCAGTTGATTTTCATTGTATGTAAATTAACGCCATATGCATGTGTCTAATAAAGTAACGCAACTGGAGTAAATGTATGAATCATTTTTTCCGACATCAACATTGATAGTGTATATTTCTGTTAGTTTCCATGGTGACATGGAATGTATGATATATGAAATTTTGGTACATCCATCCTCAGATGATAGGATAACATCATGGCACGGTTCATTCCCCAATTGAGAAAATACTTATTCTGTTTTCAGATCTTGAATGGAACATCCACCTTAATAAAACCATCTGATTATCTTCGCAATGGCAATTTCACCTACTCTGCATACATAAATACTATTCTGTGCTATGAAGCATATTTTATTCAACAATCCAATATGTGTGGTCTATATATACTATGTGTCATATATACATACTATGTGTCATATTTACATACTATGTGTCCATGCAACAACACTGGATTGCTACAAGATGAAAGCTAACATAACTTGAGTCACAATTTTGGAAATAATCTAGCCATATTTCACAGCGGGCGAATTGCTGTTCTGACGCGTCAAATTGGTTCATGCTTTTCATTCCTGAGCTCGCCGATAGATGTCTTGCGCTATAAATATATATTATATGACATCAAATATATATTATGTGACGTCAAATATATATTATATGATGTCATATATTATATATGACGGGAATGATGTCATACTATATTTTCGTCCAGTGTATAATGAAATAGCGCACCTAGGGGATGGCGCGTAGTTTAATATTCTTGCTCACTGTGTTTCGATCAAGATTTTTTCTGCAAGTTTGATTGAATCGTGATTTGATACAGTGTGTTACAGAAACTTGAAATTTTCATTCAACTCAATAACACTGTGAGACTAAAAGCATAGATTATTTTCCAAAAGTGTAGCCTAGTATATAATACACTACAAACCTTTAGAATTTTCTAATTTTGATAATATTAAGAGCTTTCAAGAGATCAAATGTGGTGACTCATGGTTTAGTGACTCAGGGAGGGTTCTACATGTGGTGGTTCATGATAAAATACACAAGAAAAGAAGATGAACAACAGTTCACAGTTGAGCTCATAATGTCCATTTCAGCGCACCTTTATTTCCAAAAATTAATTATCTGTATATCTCATTTTGATTTGATATACATCTTTCTGTATTTTGATGCGAAATGGTGACGAAAAACTAAAATGTTATCATTTAAGCAGTTATATAAAACACAATTTTCCTTTTTACTAAACCACAAGATTCGTAAATAATATTTGACCAATCAGCAATGATGACATGAAGTCTTTAAGAAGTCATAATAGACAAATCAAACAGTGGTTCTTTTTTATGTAAGAGCAAAGGCATTCATAGCTCTCTTGAAAGCTCATAATTAGAACCAAGGAACGATAGAAGGCTCCCCTCTTGGGTAGCACAGTACATTTCATTCTTGGAAAATTCTAAAGAGAATTGTATCATTAGCAGGACAGACAGCCAGGCTAAGGAGATAGGCCTACAAACCTGTAGCAACACTTAATGATTTGTTTTTGATCCAATGCACTATGTAATGAAAAATGCATTTAAACAACAAGTTTTTATCGTTCATTTCACAACACAAAAGACACATCTAAAATCCCATAAAATCTAGGAAGTTGAACGCAAGTCTCGTAATAAATAATTTCATATTTCCATAAAATATATCTGCTTAGTTTTAATTGTTTGAGCTCTAATTAATCCATTGTTATGTGTTGGTTCTTAAGTCCCAGTGTACAATACATGAAACATTACACCGAACTACATGAATTAGTTATGAAAATAAAATGCGTAATAAAAAAGCATGAATTTGACAATTAACCCTTGACATTTTACCACACTCTAGACTTGTTTATTGTTCAAATGGTAACTATAGTAACTTTGGTAGCTATAGTAACAGGCAACAAAATATTAAAACAGCAATGTTAGTAATTGACACTGATGCAATAGCAGGACAACATATTAATTAGTAATAATCAAATAATTAGTTTTATGCAAATTAGGACATGGCTCATAGAAGGCTTAGCCATTCTGATATAGCAAAATACAACAATCATGAAATGCATTATGATATAAAAAGTGAATCCAAATCTGATGTACAAAAATGAAAATTGATTGATTTTCCACTCGATGTCCAACATGGTAGAACATTGGTTTAAGGAAGGCAGAACATGAGTAAAATAGAAAATAAATTTGGACTTTATCATGTAGGCTTACATCATGACATTTCCCACCAATCCCACCTTGATTAGAAATTTTTAACATGGAGAGCAATGGGAAGATTATCTGGATTTTGTAATATATTCAAACCCAGATTACAAGCTAACCCATGGAAAGAAAAGTATATTCCATCTATAGGGATTACACTCCTAAATAGATACAGATTAGATATCCCATAACATACAGCTCAAATTGTAAAATATGACCACACCAAATACATTCTAATAAACTTACTTCTTGATTTAGTTTTGACTTCATCGCGACTTTCTTTCGTGTTGTCTTTCCATGTATCTGACAAAGTAGGAATGAGGCCCCCATTGCAGTCGAGGAATGACATTGCTAGGATTGTGCCCTTAAGCCGAAATATTGTACCTACATAGGATTAAGAAATATTTTTATTATGCACTATCCTGAACTAAACCTTGTACAGAAAATTATATAAATAATAGTATAGAATATCCTCTTTATGTAAAGTCAGTCCTGGATATAGGATAAAATATTAACCAAAACCTGTCATTACATAACCGTTATGGATGAACTTGGTCAATGAAAGAACAAACAGAATTAAATTATTACCAAGTAAAAAATATTTTCACATGACATATAAACGATAACAATAAAAAAACATGAAATATTAATGAGAAATTTGAAGTCAATTGAACAAAGGGGGCCAACTAGCAGCTGATCACATTTTAAGGTTTCCTCTTCTTTCTTCTATGCGAGTCAATAGGAGATAACAAGTTTAAGACCAAGAAAAAGTGTTTGTATTGAGAGGTGTTCGGATATGTAGGTTTCACTGTATGTAATTTGAGAATATCTGTGTATCTTACCACTGGGGGAGACCATAACTGGCTGGGTGAGTCTCTGTTCCCCTGAGGGGGGAAGATTGAGGGCAATGACCAGCACTGACCCAAGACTTGTCCCCACCCACAGGCTCGGTGATGTGTAGCTATCTAAAACAGGAAAAATAACATTTTGAGCAAATGAATATCATAAATGGTAATAAGACAAATGTGTCAATGTATTATTGTTTACTTTTATCTGCTGATATTCATTGTATTTCTATCTGACACAATATTTCAATAATTCAATAATAAATAATGTAGATCCAAATAACCAAGGAATAGTGATTCTAGACTGGGGGCTAAAGAACAATGGGGAGGGTGTCAAGTTGCATATTCTACTAACATACACAGGATGGAAAACTATGTTACTATAGTGCTAGTAAAATTTGTCAAAAGTATGGTACAGTTCTGTCAAAATGAAACCTAATTGGTGCCAAAATGTGGCCTTCCTGTTGTAAAAATGCAGCCTCAGTAGTGTAAAATGTGACACAATTGGTGTCAAAATGTGGCTTTATTAGTGTCAAAATATGGCCTCATTGTCTAAAATGTGACCTCATTGATCTAAAAATATCCAATTATGGTGTAAAATATGACCTCATTGGATTAAAAATAAATAAAATATTGTTGGTCCAGAATGTGATCTCAATGGTCTAAAAATGTGGCATCATTAGCTTAAAATGTGACCTCATCGGTCTAAAAATGTGGCATTATTAGTCTAAAATGTGACCTCATTGGTCAAAAAATGTGACATTATTGGTCTAAACTGTGACCTCACTGGTCTAAAAATGTGGCATCATTGGTCTACAAATGTGGCATCATTGGTCTAAAAATGTGGCATCATCAGTCTAAGATTTGACCTCATTGGTCAAAAAATGTGACATCATTGGTCTAAAATTTGACCTCACTGGTCTAAAAATGTGGCATCACTGGTCTAAACTGTGACCTCATTGGTCTACAAATGTGGCATCATTGGTCTAAAATGTGATCACCTTGGTCTAAAAATGTGGCATCATTGGTTTAAATTGTGACCTCATTGGTCTAAAATGTGATCGCATTGGTCTAAAAATGTGACATCATTGGTCTAAAATGGGATCTCAGTGGTCTAAATCTGTGGCATTACTGAGATCAAATTGATGAAGGATTTTTTACAACATCTAGAAAGCCTACAAAAAGCACCTGAGCAAACCAGAGGAGACATATCAAAACAATCGGGGTCTAAGGGAAAACTGGCACCTAGTTCATAATTTCAAACCACTACATGCTTATCAAACACCATTGGAAAATACTTCATATTTTCACTATTTAAGATAGTTATTGAGATATGTATTACATTGTAGAAGTATTTCACAATGAAACACCAGGATACCATGGAAACTGTGACTGCAGAATCTGTCGTTAACAATAGCGAATGTGATGATTGACTGAGTTCTCCTCACTTATATACAATACCCATGTTGACCAATTATTGCTATTAATCACAGAATAGTCCTTCATCTTTTATCATCAAAGACTGTCAGAATAGTCTCTTTATTATGGTCATTTCGAAAAAAGAAAATTCGACACTGCAAAAAATATCCGAAATCACTCTTGTTCCTCCAATTACCATGCAAAACACATGTTCAATGCTCATTTTTAAATAGTCGAAATATCGTCTGTTTCAGATATGAGGCACTATTTAATATTAACCATTATGATAAAGCTTTCAGTATCAGACCTTTGGTGCACGCGCTAAGATGAGCCTATAGTGAAAAATATGTCTGCATTTTTTGTTGACAACAGTTTCTGCAGTAGCTATTTCCAGGGTATCCTAGTGTGATGTCACAATACAATATAAATTACCAGTTTTATTGGTGAAAGAATCTGTGAATAAGAGAGCAGAGATAGCTTCTTTAGTGACATTATTCTCAGAACTTGATGTACTGGGGCTCCGGGATCGTGACGGGTGATTGCCGTCAACTTTGTCTAGAAAAGTACACATATAAAGATAGATTCAGATAAAATGGGAAACAAAGGATGGGAACTTTGGGTTGGCTTTGCTTGGGAGTGGTACTGTGCTTCCATCTTTAAATTCTTATTTTCACTTCTTGGGATTTCTCAGATTTGTACCGTTTGAATGAAAAAGTGTAATTTATAAAATTAAAGATGGACTGTAGTACCTAAAGCTTGCCAAATACAAAAGCCTGCATTATTCCTGTATTGGTGAAAATACAAGGAAATGCATTGAATAAGATGCCAGCTCTGTAAGAAAACCAGCAACATGGAATCAGCTGCTAGCTTTACCTGTTTTTCTTGTAAAGGAGTCAGCAAACACTATACACTGAATGGCTTCCTTTGTGATATTCTCTAGGCTGGACATGCTGGAACTGCGGGACCGCGAGAATGAAGAACTGTCCGTTTTATCTGCCAGAATCAAACATTAGCATTTACACATCTACATATATACAGTAACACATGGCTAGGGGAATTCTAGAACAAGTCTAGGGAGTCTATCACTTTAGTGGTTAAAAATCCACGTACTGATGTCAAAAAATCCCTAAAATGTTTTTAACTCATAGTTTATTGACCGACTATGATTATAAGGCCCCAAAGTCATGTTGTAAAAACATTAGTAGTATAATGTAAATTAAATGTTGCAAATATTTCAATGGTGTTTTTGGAATGAGAGAATGATATGAGACACACAATTAGACATTTATATGATTTTTTTATTTGTTTATTGGAAGGTTATAATTTGATAAAAAATATAACATCGAAAACAAAAAAGTACAACTGACAAACATTCATTAATGAGTGTGTATGAGTGCCGACAGTCATATACAGCAAGCTTTTAGCTTAATATATCATTTTGGAATATAATCTCTAAAATTGAATTTTAAGGTTTTCAAAGATTTATTATGAAATGTGTAGTTTTTAAAGGTTCAGAAAGATGAAAATAACAATTATCATGTTAGCATGAATGAAAGACACACAGAATAAAGAGACATTTAAAGATAAACAGAGATGATGCATTCAAAGATTACTTTACATCAAATACACCTAAAATTAAAACACATTCAATTTATCCATTTTTTATCATATAATATGATTGCTTTTCATGAATTATGAATCTCAAACGCAAATATTGAATTGCAAATACTGAATGGGTTAGTAAAGCTCAATTTTTTGATAACTGTTTTCTATAGTCATTATGTCATCATAAGCTATGAAGAAAATGTGAATAATTTCAATCACTATTGAGTGGGCTAGTAAAGCTCAATTTTTAGATGATGTCATCATAGTCTATTAAGAAGAAATATGTCAATTTTCAATCACTTGAATGGGTTAGTAAAGCTCAATTTTTAGATAATGTCATCATAGTCTATTAAGAAGAAATATACCAATTTTCAATCACTTGAATGGGTTAGTAAAGCTCAATTTTTAGATAATGTCATCATAGCCTATTAAGGAGAAATATAACAATTTTGAAAAGCTTTAAAATGGTAGCTGATTTATGTTTTTTTTTGAAAGTTTGTATGTTTCAAAGGATACTTTATTTACAAATGTTAAAATTTATTCTTGCATTTTAGTCTCATTAGTAATCAATATTTATGTTATGCTTAAGCATTACAATGTTTAGAACGAACAATGAAGTAGTACAAGTATAGTGTCAAATTAGCATACAATATGAATGCTAAAATCAAGAAATGCACATTGAAAAATTTAGAGATTTTAATTTACTTACAACATAAAAAGTGATAAAAATCTTAAAATTGACTTGAAATCAACTGTCAATCAAAACAGTAAACACATTCATCTCAATAAGAGCACAGTACATTCCTCGAAAAATATAGAAATGAAACGCAAAATGAAACCATGGAAATATGTACGCTTATTGGTATGAATGTGATATCGTAATCATGCATTCCTGCATATATAAAATGTCAGTACGCTTGACGTGTCTATTTCGCTATAAACAATCACCAATGAAATGATTTTTATTTCACAAATTGATGTCACCATAGTGACACTCCATATATGCAGGTTGCTATAGAACTATATAGATGGCAGTGATGAAGCATATTCAAAGAGTGCGCTGCTGTTGAACAACGTGTAAAAATCAGGTAGAGAAACCAGGTAGCTGGAATATCTGCGTGAATGCTCACCACTTGTGTGTGACCCACATGAGTCCACACTGAGAGTAGCCCCATAACTACTACCAGACGTCGCTAGAATAGAACGCAAAATTCACTCACTACTCAGTAGTTAGCACTGTGGGCTACAGTTCAATCCAACACACAATGTCGAGATTTTTCAAGAATGTAACTTTTCAATATAGAAAGACAATTACTGAAGAATATAGACATTTGCTCTGTCCTGTTTGAAGCTTCACTTAGCTAGTTTGAAATTATGAATCAATTTTTTTTAACTTTGTGGGTTGCTTCACTTAGCTAATTTGAAATTATTAACTTTGCGGGTTGGACTACTATGCTAACAATACATTCAAAAATGTCATCTCGGAATTCTTTGTGTTTTAAACATTTTATATAGTACTCAAGTTTAACTCTTGAATTCTTTTGTTAGCATATATATGAACTGTATTGCTGTGATTAGGCTGTGTATTTATATTATGAATCTCATGTAAATTAATATATTTGTATGAGATAAATAATATAATTATAATGCATTGTGCAAAATGAGTCTCTTAAATATACAACCCACTTATGAGTTATGTTCAAATTCAATGTTATAATTAAGAGAGTCCCATTGTGATTATAATCCTAAAATGGTTCTAATGTTATAGCATGTATGCAAATAATAAAGAATTATATAATTGCAGTGTGATCAATTGAGGTCATGTGACTGGAAGCGAGGAATTTTGATAATGTGATAGGTGAAAAGGTGAAAAAAGTGGAAATGTGCAATTTTGCAAGCCTATTTTGCTGCTCTATAACGGCTTTTTCTTTCCCTATAGCAGTCCTGTCATCAACAGCAAAGCTTTTGCATGAGACTCAAGTGATCTTTGCAATTTATTGATTGTATCAAAACTGAAATATCCCACGCTTGTTCTGTTAAATAAATATAGGTGGCACTGCATCACATATTTCAGTTTTCAGTTTTGATACAAAATGAACATATATTATTAATAGTATAGAATTGTATGAGACTAAACTATCTTTCAAATTAGAATCTTAAAAGAAATAGATAACACAGCTACTCAAATATTATTTTATACTTGTGATTTTTAGTTAGCTAGCAAATTGTTCTACTACTCAAAATATTCTGTTATAAAAACATCAGAAAATAATAATGAATATATTATTCTTAATGTCTATTCTAATATAAAACATAAAATATATATAAATCACTCCACAACCAAATGAGAAAATCAGAAAATAAAAGCATGCAAACAAGTAAACAAATATCTTATTTATCCATATATGGAGAATTGGAGATATATCTTTATTTATCCATATATGGAGATCCAGAACCAACTGTGAAATTTTTGGCTTTATTTACTGAGTAACACGTCCAACAAGTATACACCCCTATAATCCGCATTCTAAAATCATAATATCATATGACATCGTTTGAGTATGGCACCATACTCCATTCACAGTACCGTATTAATCTACGGTACTATATTTCATAGTACCATACAGTACCGTAGCCAAAAGGGTACCATACGGTATTGTTGCAGACTGACTGTGTAAGTATGGAAATCTCTTGTGAATGGTAAAATTTTTATGTTTCAATATTTTTTTTATATAACTAGGAATCAAACCGTTACCCAGTAAAGCTGGTAAATCTTACAAAACCCTTACCACAAAATATCGAAACAACAATAAATAAAGCCAAAAGTCTCATTGTTTAGTTTTTCAAAACACAAATAGAGGGAGCTGACCTCATTTAGATTCACATCCCAATTACAGTTTCAGTCACTAGGATTTCTCAGTAAAATATTGAAAAGTGCTCTAGTAAATAAGAAAATTTTGAAAACAACTAATTTACTATATTTCTAATATGAAATTATCTAGAACTGAATTTATCTAAGTACCCAAAACTAACTTTTCAAGCGAAGTGGAACATGCATTTTAAATCTGATCTTTTCGAAAATATGAAATAAAAATAGAAAATTCATGAACTTTTGTTCAGATTAAGTTCTTTCTGACAATATTTCAAATAAGATATCTTTGGGAAATTGTTTCTATTGACACTTTCAAATATACTTTGTTGTTCAACACAGAACGTGTAGGAATAAGATTTTTTCAAAAGAAATCAGAAAATGCATTTTTTAATTTCCCTCAGAGTTCACACTTTAGGAATAAACCGGTTCTTGCTAACCTTATTAACTTTAACCAAGACACAACAATTAAAGAAATTTAGAAACCCTCTCCAAAATACACAGAATTGAAGTAAAGGTGAATTTAGCTAATTATAAAACCCTAATCTTAGAACAGAACAATGAAAACGTGAATTTTGTTGAGATAAAATTTGCATGTGCCGAAACGCGTCCTAAGTTCCACATACCTGCACTTTGGTGATGGTTGAACTGTCACGTGAAGAAGTGAAGAAAAATATTTTTAAAATCGAGAATTTCTTTCTAAAAATTTGATGACTGGTTTATCCAATATGAGCGCTCCTATTGGTGCAGGGAAGTCACATGATTGGGTGTCAGGGATATGCTACATGTAATTTACGACCTGTCAGGCAAAATATCAATTCCTTGACTTTAATGTTGATAATATTTTTATATTTCTTTCTCAGTACATGTAGTCTAAGATAAGAGTAAACAAGGCATCTACATGCAAAATGTCACCACCTGCCATTTGTTTCATTTGTTCAGCCGCTGACCACAGATAATCATCCAAAAAAAGTTGGAGACTAACAATATGTCACTACTTCTGGTGTAAAAAGTAAATGAATAATAATGAATCCATTTTTGTCAAAAAATTGTTATTTTGCCCAGATTAAGCCAGAGACAGAGGTAATAGGGTACATTGAAAGGTTTGGACCAAAGTTGATAGGAATCAATTGTTATTATTATGCCAAGGCAAAAAATTAGTTGTATAAAATACTGAATACTGTTAAGACAATAAAATCAGACAATGTCTCACAAAAACACATAAATCGTTTGCATAGGCAAAGCTTGTTGAAAAATTGTGAAAAACATGATCAGAGGAGACTCTGTCTGGAATTCAATTCAATTCAATTCAATTCAATTCACTTTATTTCAAATGTTTCAAATACAGTATTTTACATTGACATGAAAAGACCCCCGAGGGAACCATAAACAGAGCACTGGAGTATGATGGGAAACATGAGCCTCCTCTGCAAGAATTCAGTATGATAGATAGAGAGACCAGACTATACACCATGCGGGACCCCACTGTCTCTGGCACACAGAACATAAAATACGATGCAGTATTTTGAGATGTGACAGTGTCACCATGATAACAGAGGTGTCACCATGACAACAAATTGTCACCATGACAAAAGAAATATCATCATGACAACAAATGTGTCACCATGACAACAAAGGTGACATTGCTGCCATGACAACAGGTAGTTAAGCACCTCCACCATTGGTTTCCTCCATTGAAGCGCTGGAGCCGGCTTTTTGAAGTTTACGGATACCTTGGGACTTTGTGCGTCGTAGCTCTGGGGGGTGAGGCCAGGGGCGTTTCTGTTTAGCCACAGTTGGGCTTATACAGACACCGTTAATCTAGAGTAGAAGCACTGATATGTAGATGTTAGTTACTAAGAGCATGTGTATGCTAGTGAGTGTCATATGTAAGATAGTGTCATTATTAATGGGGCTTGAGCAGGTTAAAAAATTAAAAGATCAGATCAAAAATGGGAAATGAGAACACATTGGTTGGAATTATTAAAGATAATTACAGGCTTGCCGATTAGGCGCTCCTATTGTAGATGTGACTCATACAAATCTGATCTGACCCTTTAACTCATTATGACATCCACTTAAAGGGACATGTTATGGATAAATCCGCCACCTTCTGTGATTAGTAAACATGCAACATGCAAGGCAACCTAGAGTTAGATAAATATTAAGATTAATATTATCAGTTTCTGAGATCCTGAAATAATCATACATCCATGCTGGACATTACAAAAACATTTTCATATTTTTACATATGGAAATATTTATAGCACGTGTCCCTCAGAAGCAAAGTAGGTCTGCACCATCACCATTAGATTGCACAAAGGCACTGTGTATTCCTAAGTGTTGAAATTATTATGACATAAAGAATTTGTTCAAATCTACAATCAAATAAATAGTATGTTAGCACGGACTGAAATGTTAAGGCAATCGTGTATGCTTAATGTAGGGGTGGGTTGGGGTTATACATGTATTCAGAAAAGCAATTTGCCACGATTAGGATAAAGTAGAGGTTAACCAATAAAAGCACATATTAAATAAAAATAAGAAGAAAAATGCTACAAGGTCACAGCTATTAATATGCACATACACAAACTAAATGAGTACTGCAAAATATCAACTTTTTCAAACTGTACCTTTTATCAACATTTTCCATATTCAAGGAAACCCAAAGATCTTAGGAAATAAAGGACATTTGAAAAAGATAATATTTAGCATTGGGAGTGTAATGGTGTAAGCAATTATCAATTTTTCTTAAATCTCATGCTTGCGTACACATACCAGAATCTAGTTCCAAATAGGTGGCGTAGCTAATCTTACGCATTCTAGGTTTAGCTTTGACATCTTCTGATCGTAGGTCTAACATACTCATCATGATGTCATCAGCTTGTCTAGAAACTTTCCGTTTCCTCTCAGGATCCTTCGGTCGCATCCGATCTCGTTCCTCTTTCAAGAACATTTCCTTATCCTCATCTGTTAACAATTTAAGATCGTTCGTTGAAAATGGTCTTTGACGAGACTGCCTAGGGGGTGCTTCTATGTGTAAAGCGTCTCGCATTTTCACGCTCATCCTGCGTAGGAATCCTTTTCCTTTCCCTTTCCCCTCAGAGTCATCCAGCTCGGGGGATTCAAATCTCACACTATGTTTATTAGTGTCATTATTTTCATTTGATTTGGTCTCATTTTCATTATCTGATGCCTCGTGGTCACTTAGATCACCTGCAGACTTTGAGGGTACCTTAAGTGTATTTGGCCTCATACTGGCATCCTGTTGCATTGCATGTGTGTCAGATAATGCTTTTGTTAAAGGAAGTTTTTGTGGAGGAAGATCTTCAGTGGAGATTTTCCGTAGTTCATGTCTTAATTCGTCATCACTTTCAAGTCTGTGATACACTGGTTTTTTCCTCATGCGAGGTTTGGCTATGGGCACAGTTTCTTGCTCTTCCTTATTTGCATTCACATCAACAGTTATATCATCAACAACGACATCAACAGCCTCATCTGCTTCATCTACTGTGATGTCACTATCATTATTGAGTACGTTATCTGGGGACTTAGAGCCTGATTTAGGAGGCGGTGGTCGAGGCGGAGGTGGGCGAGCTGGGGCAACGTGATTAAATTTTTCCTTATTGACTGGTGACCTTGACCCTGGCTTTGATCTACGGTCCCCCGATGGGTGCTTTGAGCGCATCTTTGGGGAGCCTGATTCATTAATACTATCCAGGTCAGGGCAGAGCGAGACTCGGTTACTGGTGCCATTAGGACTGGTGACGCCACCTTCAGGACTCTGTGAAAACAATAACAGTATAGCTAACAACTATACAACATCTACTACCACGAATACAACAGCAAATAACAATTTAAGCAAAACAAATGTTTACCCTTATAAAATGCTGATCATGACCATTTGAAAATCATTTTATCAAATTCAGCCTTCAATGCAATAAAAAAAGTAAATGAGCCAGTCATCACAAAATCCTTTCTCAACATGTCATTTCTTCTTTTTAAACATGTTAATGGACAGAAGAATTATTTGATGCTATAATGAAAATCATCTACTGATATTGAAGATATAGTAATGTTGATATGATTTGTACATGGTTGTTAAACATTTTCTGAATTCTGATGATCAATTGATACTTTGGAAACCTCTTGATCAAATACGGAAAAATATTCTGTATGTATGCCTTATAAGGAGATAGCACATCAGCATTTTATGAGGGTAACACAGAGCCACACATTCATACCATACTTTATAACCAGTCTCATTCAATAAAATTCATGGCTGACAAACTGAATCTATGAAGCTTTGAAAGAGGCAATTGAGACTCCTTAAGGAGAAAATGGGAGATGTCAGATGTAACTCCTTAAATGCTGCATTTTAAACAATCAAGTTTTGTTTTCTAAAACACAAGGAATGAGAACATGGGAGATGTCAGATGTCATTCCATTTTGGTTTTCTAGAACATATGCAATGAGAAGACCTATAGACTTTATGAAGTATTGTATGAATAGCCACATTATAAATTTACTATACTAGGTAGGATGAAAAATAAATAAAAAACATGAGAAATGTTGAATAGAACTACCAATTAAATATCAATATTTAAAGTAATAAAATAAGCAAAACAACTTGAAATATTCTCAAAAATATATACTAGCAATGAATAAATGATCAAAAAGAGCCATATATCTACAAAAAATATACATTGGAAATAGGTTTCTTAATTAACTAAAAAAGGAACTACATGTAGTAATACTAACAACAATAAAAGTGGTCTAAGTTAATACCATCTTGTAGAGAAAACTAGGTATTTATTACATACATATATAACTATACATTAATACATAGTACACTGTCAATACAAAGAAGTTTCATAAAGAAAACAACAGAGCTAGGATAGATCTGTCCACAAACTAAATTTAGAAGATTTAGCAAACATGGGACAAGAAATAAGATTTACAGTAAAACATGTGTAAATGGAACACCTTTAGTACCTAAAAACAGTGTGCCGCTAAAGAGGTTCATTTAAGAATAATGGGGGTTTGAAGATAACCTTTTATGGAGGTGTTCCACTTACAAAGGTGTTCCATTTTACAGGTATTATTGTATTTCTGTTAATATGAAAGATATGCTTCTGTCTTGTCGAGGCAATTAACAGAAGACAGACTTAGTCACATAGACATCTGCATGCATTATGGTTGAAGTATGTTGAAGGTCTAGCTTCATTTTGACACATAATATACAGTGAAACCTGTGGACATTGAACAACTTGTGAAACCATTAAGTGTTCAGTATTTACTATGATCAGTTGAGAGGCTTTCACTGTGGTCTTAGCAGGGTGTTACATTCGACTAAAAGTGTTCAATTTTCACTTTGATCAGTTAGAGACTTTCACTTAAAAATATTTCACTGTGGTATTATTAGCAGAGTGTGACATTGAATTAAAAAAGTGCTCAGTTTTCACTTTGATCAGTTGAGAGACTTTCACTTAAAAGGATTTCACTGTGGTATTAGCGAGGTGTGACATTAGAACATGGTCAGCATTCACATATTTAGCAAGGAAATAATTTGTCAACTGGCCCTGAATAAGCGAAACATCAAATGTATAGGTTGTTAAATGTTAAAAATTAAAAACAGGTAAACTACTCTGAATAAACACCTTGGTTGGTTTCCACATAGCCTGGTCTATTCTTGAGTTTTAAAATTAAAGATATTTCATAACTGAACCAAAACTGTTCAATCGTCACAGGTTTCACTGTAGATACATACATAAACTTATTATTTGTAGATAGAGCACAATAAATGTGCGGGTTACTGGGCACAATTTACCTGGGGAGATCTATCAAGTTTAAATGCTCTATTTGCTGCAATCAACACTTTGATTTTTCTCTTGAAACTCACACTTGGCTATAAACACATTGAAAGCTTATTGGACGGTTTTAGGTAGCATGATATAATGGGGGGGGGGGGGGGGATGTGGCATCCTGGTACTTTCTGCATCTATTATCAAAAGTTTATATGACCGTGGGATCTGATTTTCCTATATAGTGACAGGTCCCATGTATATTGTAATACAGATTGAAATATATGGAGTTCAGATGGTTTTTTGGAAAATGATATCTTACAGCAAAAGAAGACATGAGAAACCGGGGTGCTGAAATAACCTAAAAAAATATCATTAATAATTCTCAAGCATTTTCTTCAACATATATATGAGGGTAGCAGTCTTGGTATAATCTGCATTTGAAGACAGTCATAAAATAACAAGTTGAGAAATTGAGTTGTAATTTGTATCAAATACAGATTAGGAAAATTTCCAAAATTCAAAATTGAACCATCCAAGTCAGATTCATACTTTAATTTTCACTTAAACTTCTTGTTGTTAAATATCAAGGAAACATTTATATGACTGTCTTCTTAGCAAATCTGGATCTGAAAATGACAAAATATTATTAGCAATAAGGTTAAATGCATAGTGCTTTTGCTAAATGGTGCTATAGCTCTCTAACTAAACGCCTATGTGCATATGAATACTATATAATATTATTATAGGTTTATGAAAGCTTATAAGATAGTTTCACATTCTGTTATATTATTGGCAATCTTCATTCTGTTATCGTAAATTCAGATTTAGCTAAAGTAAAGTACTCTTTGGAAAAAATACTTGACATCCATAGTTTGACAGCAAACAGATTTTAAATAGATATTTTTTAACTCAAGGTTATTTTATTTCCATAATCATAGGTCATGTACAATCCTTCATACAAGTAACATGGAAAAACAAGCCTAAGTTTACACATTATTGGCTTGTGGAGATACAATTTCATAACTTTGGGGGTATTTATTGTATTCATAATGGATAAAATCAATATCCAAAATCTTCATACACAAATATTTTCTCCTTGACTGATAAGAAACTAACAAGGCAGACAAATGGATTTTGACAGCTCAGTGGTCATGTGACTTTTGATTCATGTGATTTTTTGACAGAAAAATAATTATGAATTTAGTTTACATACTGTTCATATAAAGCCATGAAAATATTAAAGTTCACTCAAACTTTTAAGCCAAAATGACAAAAACATAACTTTCCAAAAGTTCATTCAAATCTTTAAGCCAAAATGACAAAAACATAACCATTTGCAAAAGTTCATTCAATTTTTTTTAATCCAAATTGACAAAAACATTACAACTTCCAAAAGTTCATTCAATTCTTTTCGCCAAAATTACAAAAATTCTTTGGGCTGTCTGCCAGATCAAATGTAAGCAAACTCCATGCAGGTTAGAAAACATACCTGGTCACTGCTTGGAGATTTACACTCATCGTTGTTCAGACTTTGGGAGAAACTATCTCCTGGTTTTCGCACTTTAGGGGATCTTGGTGCTCTTTGGTAAGGGTCCATAGAACCTAAAATAATAAAAAGTAATGTATCTATGTCTACTATGCAATAAACTAACATGAGAATTAATTTACTAACAAAAAAGATTGACTTCCTTGATTTGATAAATTGAGTTTTTTATTCTTCTTTATTCAATTTTAGTACATACAAAATACACATGTAGTGACTGCCAAAGTTGAAAAACTTTAGTGGCAGTTTAAATTGAGTCTAAATTGATTCTACAGTTTTGACTAACTGACTGCAATTTTTAATGGGAAATACAACCAATACAAAAAACTTGAAGTGAGTACAAATCGTTGTTGAAAATGGTTACCATAGAGATCTGGGGTTCCCATATTCCAGAGACAGATTTTTTGTACAATATCTACCACTGCTAACCCGCATTCATTACCGAAGGCCAGACTGAAATAATAAGAATAAACACCAGCATTAAGTTCATTCATGTCGAACAAATTGAATCAAGTTTAAAATTCTTAACAGGTACTTTATACTGATGAAGTATTCATTGAACACCTTGGGCACAGAGCACTAGCACAAGAGCACTGCCCTCTGACTACAAGCATAATAGAGAGAATGTTGATTCATTTTTTTGCACTCCATGTAACATCTTTGTTCACTTGGCTCCTGTGGGTGTGAATACGTGGGGAGATGTCCATGTCACGCATATTATGACTTTGTTTTGTGAATTCCTGATGAAACTTGGCATCAAATACGGTGAACTCCTTACATTTTTCATTTTATTTTCTTGAAAGGCTACAGTGTCAGAAAACATCTGTATTTCAAGAGGAGCCTAATCAGTAATCAGACAAGGTCTGTTATGTTATGATCTGTGGTTTGGTTTCAGCTCATTTTAAAATTGGGAGGAACCAGTTTCTAGAGAAAACTGAAAGTGGATATTATGGACAAATGTTCCATGTATCACCCATTGGTTGAGATAACATATACTCACAGGCCATATGAAGAGTTGATACACATGCTAGTAATAGGAGCAGGTGCTTCCCCATCTACATAAGTCAGTAGACAGACTAGATCAGGTTGGTACCCCGTGCTCTGCTTACGTGGTCCACCTTTCACTTTGACACATGTTTGGTTATCTGAACCCTACAATAAGATATAGACAAGCTGAACACATAAAATATAGCGTCCTCAGTAAGGTGCTTAATTCTTAGTTTAAATATTTTGGTGCTAACAGTTTTTAACGTATATACGCATATAATAATATAATAATGTAATGAGAATATTTCTTTAGATGAATCAAAAACAGGACCAATCAACTTATAAGCAAAGCATATAGTAGTTGAGGCCAATTGTGGTACACCGTGATAACCGCAAGAGCTCCAATTTCCTAATCTCATTACAAGCATTTTCACAATCACTTACCTTATAGTTTGAGTCAGATGCCGTACTGGAATACGAGCCCACACTTCCACTGCCACTCTGGGAGACCTGACTAAGGGGAGGCCTGGGGGGTGGAAACTCTATCTCTGGCGAGTCAATCTCGTCATATATTTCATATTGTATTGCAATGTCTATTACCTGTAAATAAATTTTTTTTTTTATTAAGTTGACTGTATAGGTTTTTATCATTTTACGGTTTCTTTAACCAACTGCAAGCTGAACATGTACAGGGTGTCCTAAAAATGTTAACACCTTTATGTTTAAATCCTTTTCTAGTAATTCCAATATTGCTTACATATGATATATCATTTGACAGATAATTCAATTTTTAATATATTCTCAATATTTCCATAAATACATGACATAATTATTTGAGGAAGCCTATGCATCATATACACTGTATATTTTATTGTTTATTTTACCATTATTCTACCATTTTGTACAGTTAAAAATCTGATTGCATCATCCTGATGATGATAATATAATAACATAAAACAAGGCATTAACATACAAATATGTCACCACCTGCCATTTTTTACAGACACCGACTAGCGAACACCAGCCACTAAATGCCAAACATTGACCACTGAACACCATCAACAAAAAAGTTGGAGAATATAACAATATGTTACCATTTCTGGTGGTAACATAAAAATTAGGAACTAAGTGCAACATTCACTTACTGGGAATTCTATAGAAGCGTCCTGCTTGCTGTATCTAAACAACATAAGGTGACTGTATCCTGCCACACAAAGTATGCGACTCTCTAAGTCCAGACTGATGTGTTGAATCGCAAATGGATCCTCATCTACAGGAGAATCGGTCGATCCTTCAGGGGTCTTTTTATGCTTGTGCTTCTCGAATAATTTGGCAGTTTTTAGTTTGTACAATACTTGTAGTGTAACTGATGATGCATCCCAGAACTTCAATGAGCCATCTGCGTGCCTGGAATATGAACATAATATAATACATTTGTAATTTTTTTCATACATCATATTGGGAAATAGTTTGATAATTATAATTCCATATTCTTATATGAAATGTTTTACACAATATACCTCCCCTCAAATTTGTGTATATCAAATAAAATGTTGTATACAAGAAATATTTAGGTGGTATACCAGCCCTCCAAAAATAAACATTTTTTGACTCTGACCTTTTATATTTACACTTTAACAAAAAACTATATACTGCAGGATTTTTTCAAAAACAATTGTTGGATCACTAACTTATCACAATAACTGATCGAGGTTGCAAGACTTAACTGACAAGCTTGTATTATGACTACCCATCATGTTGTCATGACTACTTACCCTGTTATGACTATTTCAGGGTAGCTACATGTAGTAGACCCCCACTCTCCCCCCTGTATCGGCCAATCCTTCTCGCTAAAACCTGATTTCTTCTGCTTATGCCCAACTGAGTAAAATGCTGGCACTAGATTGCTTGGGCAGTCCGCATAGTATTGGCAGGCAGTGACTGGAGATTCGTGTATGTCCATGGGGTATGGGTTCTCGTAGCAGGGATAACTGAAAGTTAATAAGGAACATCCTAAAATATTGATGAATTTTGTCGAATTTGTTGATTAATATGATTATGATTTGTGAATGTTACAAGTGATTTTAACAGAAGTTTATCAAACACAATGTCACTTTATCATGGTTTAATGCGATTAAACAGCTAAATTAATGGTTCAAATTAGAGCATAAAAATGTTGAATCAAATATGAAACAATTTTAAATTTCATTTCCAAATCACTTTTAATGTCCAATAAATACAACCAATGAACAGAATCTATTTATTTATAAATTTAATTAGTTTTTCATCCTGTTATCTTACCCTGGTGAGGTGAGGTCCACAACTACCAGATCATTCTGTAACAGCACTACTATAGCCTGGGGGTCTTGAGTGTCTGAAAAACATTAATGTAAGACTGGTGTAACAACAGTACAATAACATCATTTCGAAGGGCAATATAGTGAAATATTGGACCTTGGGTCGAAGGGGAATAATTGCAATATGGCCCGCCACTATGACGTCTCATACTGCTCAAGTCGATATAGTTAAATAAATGCCTTCTAAACTAGCACTAATACCCCTAGAACAGGCCTGGTAAGGTGGTAATAATATGAAATATCCAAAGGTCATACAAATCAAGATTTTTTCAGGAAAATTATTGCACTATTTCTAGTCATTTCACTTAACTACATTCCAATACTGGATTTTTCAAAATAATACTTTAAGTACATGTAATGTATGGTATGGTATAGTCAATAAGAATGTTTCTCACCATTATTACAATGAGAGTTAATAAAGTTAGAAAATGCAAGTAAAATTATGGTGTTTATACTGCATTCCAAAACTGGATTTTTTATAATTACCCAAGTACCTGTATGGTATAGCATATAGTCAATTAGTAAGTTGCTTCTTATTATTACGAGCACATGTATAGAATAGTCATTTAGTCAGGCCCGTAGCCAGGTGGGTTCGCAGGGTTCAGGCAAACCCCCCCCCCCTGGCCAAAAATTCTTTCAAAATCATGCAGTTTTTCACCATTTTGAGCACTTCTCAAGTGATTTTGGCCATATTTGGGCCAAAATTGCCAAATGTGAACCCCCCTGGAAATTTTTGAAAACTGAACCCACCCTTGGCAAATCCTGGCTACGGGCCTATTTAGTATATCACTTACCATTATTATAAGGAGAGTCACAAAGTAAGAAGAATTCTACAACTTGATGCTCCATTTCTAGAACTGTTGTACTTTTCCCATGCATCACGGTTATACTTGGCATTTTCCCTGCTTTATCATACGACATCCCACCGCTAAACACGATGATTTGTTCACTGCAAGGAAATAAGATTTATGTAACAAGGCATAAACATGCAAAATGTCACCATCTACCATTTGTTACAAATGTTGGATGCCAACTGGTTTTATAAAAATAGAGACCATAACAATATGTCACAACTTATATACCATATATGGTATATGGTATATGTCACCACAAAATCTCTTTAACACTTAGAATCTCTGACCTACCCAGTTTTATTTGTCTTCCACTCTAATTTACTAATAGGTCTACATGGCTCTGGTTTGTTGTCTTTGCTTAATTTGGCTGAAATGACAAAATATTACATGTTACTGAGATCAACTGCAAATTAGTGATATCCTTAACGGAAACTTAGTGGTAAAGTTAACATGAATGAACACAATCTTGTTTATTATTAGAATGAATTACATTGGTCACAATATATATAGGGAGAATCGCCACTTACATGTATTAAGAATGGACATATTCTATTTGAAAACCCCTTGACTTATTTTAATACATACTACCAATGTACATCTTTCCAACATATATGGGGAAAATCCTTCAACCAGTATTCAAGTTATATTCCCATGGATACACGAATGGGCAGATGGATTGACTGACTAACTGACGGATGGAGGGCTTCACTATATCCCTACTGAACTCCATCCGTTGGGATAATAAGGTAGATGTTGATAAAAATAGTTGACCTCAAGGTCTACAAACAGTAACACCAATGACTATGTTTATCAAAAGTCATTTGAGTGTATTTGTAATAATCTACCTCAAAATAATCAGAAATAGGTCTATTTAGGCCTATGTAATTTATATCAGTTGTATCACCTTGTACATGGGTGCAAAGGGCAAAAGGGGACATGAGGCAAAGCGACACTGATATTTCCTCAAAGTTTTAAAAATTCAGTGGCATTCTTATATCTTAAAAATCAGATTTTTCTTTTTCATATTAATTTGCAATATACATGTAACTATGAAACAGGCACTGATGGTCAACCTGTTTTGTTCTTTTAACCACAGTTCATATTGCAAATCAAAAAAATAGCGCCTTTTTTGCTCTGGAAATGCATAGGCAAATATGGAGGATGGATTGAAATTTGAAAGCCTGCAGATGAGAAACAAAATATTTTTTCATGGCCTAATGAACTCTTTAGGACAACCATTTTGGACAACCACTATCAATGGATGTTTGCAATCGATCCACTTCTATTCAGGTCATTCATAGTATACATGTATTTTATCAAAAGTAGATAGCGCAAATTCCCAAAATTTTATGTAATTTTGGTTTTTATAAGTTAATTATACTTACCTATTATGTCATTACAATATGCTAAAAGCTACCATAGTCACCTTTTATTGGAACAATTATTTTCTACTTTCACTTTCACTTTCGGTTTCCCGGAAGCCCCGTCCACTTTACGTCATAGTTGCGCATGCGCACCATTCATTTTTCACTAGGTGAAACGCTTATTTTAAAGCTGATAAGCGGGGTGGCAAGGGAGGGCTTTTGATGTAATGACATAATAGGTAAGTATAATTAACTTATAAAAACCAAAATTACATAAAATTTTGGAATTTTACTACGTAAATTAATATCACTTACCAATTATGTCATTACAATATGCTGAATCCCACCAGAGCAGGTGGAGGGATATTAGCTTAGAAAATAAAATACTCCAAAAACAGCATTAACTGATTAGAATTCGTACTTGAATCACTATCCTTACCATAGGATATTAAGTTAAATAATTTTGCAACGCAAAACTAAAAGTAACAAGTGAAAATAATTTATCCAAGCACACTCCTTTGTTATTCATATCTTAATTATTGATAACAAATAAATGGATATGAATAACAAAAAACTTTCCACCTTTTATTGGTAGGATAATGAACTATAAGACTTTTAAACTTACTTAAACAGTTTTGTTCGCAGCAATGAAGTGGTTGCCTTCGAAGTCTTTCAAGGACACTTCCTTTAAGTAAAATGAAGCGAACGTGTTAAAGTTAGTCCATCTTCCAGCTTGAATAATCTCGTCTAGAGTGCAATTCTTCGCAAAAGCAATGGAAGTTGATAAGGCTCTGAGTTGGTGAGTTTTAACCTTATAAACCTGCTCAGCATGCTTGGGAAAAGACTGTAATGCCTTTGCTACACAATTCTTCACCCATGAAGTTATTGTGTTAGCATGTATCTCTTCTTTATAGCCTTTCTTGTATGATATAAACAATCTTTGTTGTTTATCTCTCATGGGCTTTGATCTTCTCATATAAACTTTTAATGCTCTAACAGGGCATAAAAGCTTATCATCTTGAAGATCTGGTGTCAAAAAACCTGTTAAGGCTTTTATCTCAATGTCCTTCAGGACAGTACCTCCAGCCTTTAGTAAGGTCTTGGATACAAAGTCAGATTTGAATCCTAGAAAAATGGATTGCCAGTCAATACTATGTGACACCTTCTTAAGCACCAAGGCATGTATCTCACTGCGTCTTGCTGCAGATGCTAACAGAGTGAGAAAAACTGTTTTCCACGTGACAAATTTTAAATCAACTATCTCGATAGGTTCAAAAGGAGGTCTCATAAGACCTTGTAGGACCACATTTAAATCCCAGTTTGGAATTTTATTAGAGATATTCCTCGGTCTTTCTTGTTTGAAATTAGATAACAAACAAGAAATCAAAGGATCTGAACCAATATCTAAATTCGAAGTTTCTTTCAGAGTATTACCTAAGGCTGTTCTGTATCCTGCTATAGTAACTGGTTGAAGTTTTCTATCTTCAAATAACCAATTCAGAAAATCGGCTACTACAGTAACAGAAGTTCTGAATGGATCTCTATTCCGTTCAGAACACCAACTAGCCCAGACTCTCCATTTCGAGTCATATACCTTGATCGAGGAGTTTCTTTGAGGTTTTGCAATTCTTTCTGCAACCTTGTTTGAAAAGCCTTTGTTTTTAAAGGATTGTTTGACAGCCTCCAAGCGTGAAGCTTGAATATTTGGGGATTTTGATGAAATACCCATTGTCTTGTCTGTTTCAACATTTTTGGAACTACTGGAATGTGTAGAGGTTTCTCTACAAGAGACTCTAACAGTCTGGGATACCATGCTTGTTTCTCCCATAATGGGGCAATGAGAATCATTTCTACATTTGTCGTTTGCAACATCTTGTTCAGAACTAGAGAGATTAATGGTGTCGGGGGAAAGGCATAAGCCCACAGACCTTTCCAATCCATACTTAGAGCATCTACCTCCCATGCTAGCATATCCGGGACTGGTGACACAAATAGAGGTAATTTCGTGTTGTGTCGTGTCGCAAAAAGGTCTACTAGAGGTTTTCCCCATTTCCTGCAAATTGCATGGAAAATTTGATCTTTCAGACTCCACTCTGTCGACAGAATCTGAGACTTCCTGGACAGAGCATCTGCCAGAATGTTCAATCTCCCTGGAATATGACGTATTGTCATTTCTATATTGTTGACTTGATTCCATAGCAGAATTCTTCTTGTTACCTTGAATAACTGGTAAGAATGTGTGCCGCCTTGATTTTTCAAATAGGCCACAGTGGATGCATTGTCTGAGGATACTTGTATCCTTTTCCCCTGTACTTGAGGTTGAAAATGTTTGAGACTTAACTCTACTGCCATCAACTCCTTCATGTTGATGTGCAGGTTCAGATCTTGTTTGGACCACATCTTTGAAACTTCTAGATTTTCTAAATGTGCTCCCCAAGCTGTCATTGAACTGTCTGTGAACAGTTTTAGATCTATTGAATTCTGCATTTGAATTGGAACACCTTTCACAAGATTGTCCTTGTTTAGCCACCAGACTAAGTCTTGTCTTGTCATTTTGGACCATGGAATCAAAATGTTCATGTCCTTTGAGGCATTCCAATTTCTCTGGAGATCGTATTGCATCTCCCTCATGAACAATCTCCCTAGGCCTAGTGGCACAATTTTCTCTGTTGCCGCTAGGAGACCCAAAATTCTTTTCCAGAATTTTGCTGTTTGTAAAGGTTTCGCTAGGAAACGCTGTATCTCTGTTTCGAGTAACTCTACTCTGTATTGAGTTGGTAAAATTAGACCTTTCTTTAGGTCGTAAAGTGAGCCCAGGTAAGTAAGTTGCTGAGTTGGATTTAACTCTGACTTCTCCAGATTTAGGAGAAAGCCTAACTTTTTCGTTAAGTTGCACACAGTCTTTGTGTTCTCTGAACTTACTTGGTGTGATGATGCTATTATCATCCAATCGTCGAGATACTGGAACATCTTTATATTTATTGAATGAAGGAATTTTTTGATCTGAGAAACTATCTCTGTGAAAATTAAAGGAGCTGTTGCTAGACCAAATGGAAGACATTTCCATTGGAAGACTCCCCGATTTTTCACGGCAAATCTCAGATATTTCTGGTGAGACCTGGCGATAGGGACATGCAAATAGGCCTGTCGAAGGTCTATAGAAGTCATGTACATTCCCTTCTCCAGATTTCTTTTGATGATTTCTGGAGTGTCCATCTTGAATGATGGGACATTCAGAAATAGATTTAGAGTTGACAGGTCTGTCACGGGTCTCCATTTGTCGGATGACTTTTTTGGAACCAGAAATATTCGACTGTAAAACCCTGGGGAAGAAATGTCTTCTACTTGTTCTATAGCATTCTCCTCTAGGAGAGTGTTGATTAGGTCGAAAACTGCCGCTCTTTTTAGAGGATTGTGGAATTCTGACCAAAGGGGAGTCTTTTGTAACTTTGGCTTTTCTTTGAATGGAAGATAATAGCCTTCTTTTAAAAGGTTTATCACTTTAGCCAAAGCATTTATTTGACTCCATTCCTGCCAGAATTCCATCAACCTCCCACCCACTTTGTCGTTTGACGATGTATGGAGGTAATTTTCGACCTGGAATAAGTCACTGTTTATCAGTGGACTTTCCTCTACCGACAGATTTACCTCTGCCTCTTCCTCGAGGAAAACTCTTTGAACCCCGTCCTTTTCCACGAAAAGAACTGTCTTTGTTCTGGAACTTATTGGAAGTTTTGGGTTTGTTTTTGTCCTCCTTTTTAGAGGTGTAGTCTAGAATTTGATTCTGCGCTATATCATTTTTAGCTTTCCTCAAATTTTCTTTCACTTTGGCCAAGTTGTCTTGAAACAACTTCCCAGTTTGGGGCTCAAGAGTCATAAGTTCTTTGAGATCTGCAAAGGGGATATCTTTATCCGCCTTCATGGAAAGGTAAGAATGTCTCCTGCATGCTACTATTTGATTGAGCAAAAAAGCATTAAGACGATACCCATCCTCAATGCAGTGACCAGCTGCTTTGATTAATGTCAAAGCCTGTTCTATTTTCTGACATAAAGAAGGATCCATTCCTTCTTCTTTTAACAGATCCTCAAACAGTGGTTTAACAGAACCAATGAACCATTCAGTGTGAGAGGAAGTAACTAGATTTTCTCTAGACACACCCTCCCAATCTGTCAATGTCTTCAATGACAGATTCGCAAAATGAGGGTCTAATTTGGCCTTTTGCGAATCATTCTTCTTGAATGTTTTGGCAATGGACGAAAAATCTTCGTCTATTTTGCAGGGTTCAAACTTATCCTCATCTGGTACGATTTGGTATAAGGCTTTAGGAAGTTTGTATCTTTTCTTACAAAGATTTGGTAAATCTTTGGAAAAGGCATCCTGGGGTAAGTCGTTAAAGATTTTGACTCCTTCAATCAAGTTATTCTTCACACCTGGGCAAAGTGGCAGTTGTAAAGAATTAGTCAATACTGAAGGTTTATCTTTCACTAGAGACCAAGATTTGACCTTATTCTTAGGTGTTGACATCTCTGCTATCTCAGGGAAAGATTTTTTAACGACTTCAGTGGCTGCCAAAAATTCTAATTTGGCTCTTGCCACCTCATTTGATGGCTTAGTATCAGGATCTTCCTGTTCACCATCATTCTCCAACTCTATAGTAACTGAATCATCATCTCTATTAAGAGAAATGGTTCTTGTAAGAGTAGGAGGTGATTTAAATTGTTGATCATCATTTATTTGAATGTGATCATCCTTCACAGACCATGGCCTTGACTGTGTTCTCTTGGAAATATTTTGAGGTATGTATGCAGATGATCCTGCATACATCGCTCTCAGAACTTGCTGGTCTTGCAAGAAATTCTGAAACATTTCCTGTCTTTGATCAATTCTCGGATTGATAAATTGATCTCTCTCCCATTGATACTTATCGTACCTGGGTGAATCTTTATCATTTCTGTAACGTCTCCTTTTAGGACTTATAGAAGGAGATTGTTTACGATAGTACCTCTTCTTTGGACTTAAAGAAGGAGATCTATGAGACCTATAAGCAGATCTATGATGTGAAGATTTGTGTCTTTTCCTCGGACTTGAGGACAAAGACTTTGATCTAGACCTGGACTTTGATCTATGTTTGTACTTGTATCTAGACCTGGACTTAGATCTAGACCTTTTACGATTGTGAAGTCTATCTTTAGATCTGTATCTCACCCTCGGACTTGAGGAATGAGAACGTGATCTCCTTGATCTAGACCTGGATCTAGACCTGGATCTCGATCTGTATCTACCCCTCGGACTTGAGGAAATAGATTTAGTTCTGTGACGTCGCCGTTTAGGAGAAGCCGAATCTCGGTGACGATGTTTTTTACGTCTTTTAAACGAAGTGTCAGAGTCTGACCCACTTGAAGTTGAATTACTTCGACTTTCTCTACGGCCACGCCGAACTTTTTCTAGAACTTTAGACTTCACAACCGGTGATTTACCTTTGTTTGAGCGCGCTGGGCTAACTCGCTGATCACCCTGGGTATTAACCCCTTCTGTTGTATCGAACTGCGTTGTATTTGTCGACATAGTAGACTTGTAACGCTCGTTTTTGGACCAATTTATCGCACTTTTGAAAAATTTGTGTGACTTTCAAAATGGTAGAAAAATGAATGGTGCGCATGCGCAACTATGACGTAAAGTGGGCGGGGCTTCCGGGAAACCGAAAGTGAAAGTGAAAGTAGAAAATAATTGTTCCAATAAAAGGTGACTATGGTAGCTTTTAGCATATTGTAATGACATAATTGGTAAGTGATATTAATTTACGTAGTAAAAACATGTGGCATTGGTCATTATGGTCAATCTTCAAGATAACCAAGTGTTCATCGTTCATCACATGTATGTCGTCATTCTCATTGCAAGGCACATACTGAAGCACATGAATTATGGCTTTCATCAAATTTCTCCTTCTGATGACACTTTGTTTGGAGTTTTCTAACAGCAGTAATATACTTCTTGCACCATTTGATACAGGCTATAATAGTAGAATTAGAAATGTTCTAAGAATTGGGCGAATGTTACTACAAGCTGGTCATGACGTGACCGTAATCGTGTCAGATAGGATAGAGAATGAATCTCTGTTTAAGCAAGCAGAGGGCTCCAACTTGGAATCTGAATTTAAAGTTTTAAAATACAAGACACCCGCCTTTGATCCGGATACAGCTCAATCCTCGGTAAATCAGGAATGGCTCGACTCTATGATATACAAACCATATGCCACTCTTTTACACATCATGAGGCAACCTTTTGAAGATAGCTTAACATTTGCATTAGAAGACCAGGATGTATGGAATGAAATAGCAGCATCAAAATTTGATTTAATTTTTGCAGACGAAGGTGTATTTTTCCCGAGAATGGTTTCTGCATATTTTGACATACCTCTAATTGTGTACTGTAACTGGGGTCCAATGTCACTTGATGCCAATTTTTCACCAAAATTTAATTTGGCATTTGTTCATGCTTTTTTCCCTGCAATGTTCACTGATGAAATGACATTTACAGAACGGATTATGAATGTTGTAGAGTATTTGCGAGTAAAGTGGATATGGTACAATATGTACAATAGATTTATCTCTATCTGCAGAAAACATGGCTACGGTGATGCATGTTACAATATACGAGATGCATACAAGACTATATCACTATTCATGATGAATAGAAATGACGCTATCCATTACCCTGCCCCATATATGCCACATGTCATATCTATTGAAGGATTTTTCTTAATGTCTGAAATTGAACCTTTGAATACAGAGTACAGTAATATCATGAATAAAGCGGGAGAACATGGCATAATCGTTGCTAGTTTTGGATCAATGCAACGACGATTAGATCCTAAAACAAGTAAAAAGTTCGCAATTGCCTTCGCTGCAATGCCTCAGACTGTTATATGGAGCTATGAGGGTCCACTACCAAAAGGACTTGGAAATAATACCATCGTGAAAAAATGGTACCCTCAAGAGAGTCTGTTGGCACATCCCTCGACAAAGTTATTTGTGACACACTGTGGAGCCTCTGCATTATTCCAAGCATTGCATTATGCTACACCGATTGTTGGAGTGCCATTCTTTTGGGACCAGCCTTTTAACTGCCACAAACTAACTCACAAAGTTAAGTCTGGGAAAACAGTTTTGTTGACAGAAATGACGAGTGAAAAGCTTAAGAACACCATGCAGGAGGTGATCAGTGATAAACGCTATAAAGATAATGCAAATAAAGCTGCTGATATCTACCATAGCCAACCTATTGATCCGAAGAAAAAGCTTATGTATTGGATAGAGTATGTCATCAAACACAAAGGGGCACATCATTTGAGGTCCGATGCAGAAAACAACCTAAATTTTTTCCAGTACTATCTTCTTGATATAATTACACTGGCCGTGTGCTCTTTGGTTATGTTTGGTGGTATTGTCACTGTTGTTATCAAGTATTTGATACAATACATAGTATGCAGATTAAACAACAAAATCAAAAAGGATTAGACAATATAACAGTGAAATAGAAGTTAAAGTGGCCTTCAACCATTCATAGAGATGATTAGCTTTCAATGTACTAGACTAGAAATCGGCAACTCTAGGCAGTAGCCCCAATGAACACTATATTCATGAATCTATATATGTCACAATGAAATGTTTACCATCTAATCTACCCTTGATTAAATTGCCAGATATTAAAAGACATAAACAAGAGATAGAGTCTATATCAGAATTTCCACTGTTTTAACTGCCATTTAGGAGTTTCAAGTGCAAAAATCATAATAAAAACAAAACAATATTTGAGATCTAATACAGTATATTGTAATAACAATACTTTGAAGAGATCTCCAATAATTGTGATCCATAACTGTGACCCTACTCAAAAATTCCTTCAATTTGAGTATAATATAGCCATACTTTGGAGAAGTTGATTTATGTCCAAATACTTTACCCCTATGTTAATAGTAACCGCCAGTTACAGACAGGGCTCGAGTTAAGGGCATGTCCACTTGTCATTTGCCAGGTCACTTTCGAATGCAGACCAGGTTATTTTTTAGTATGTATGGAAAAGTAAAATGGCAACTGGTCCATAATGCCATTTTCACCAGCTGCTCTCAGAACCTTAACTCAACCCCTTGATCTTACAAAAAAGCTAGTCCAGGCCCGTAGCCAGGGGGGTTCGCAGGGTTTGGGCGAACCCCCCCTGGCCAAAAATTCTTTCAAAACCATGCAGTTTTTCACCATTTTGAGCACTTCTCAAGTGATTTTAGCCATATTTTGGCCAAAATTTTCAAATGTGAACCCCCCTGGAAATTTTTGAAAACTGACCCCCCCCCCTTGGCAAATCCTGGCTACGGGCCTGTGGTCAGTAGCTTCATTCTGTGGGATAACTACCCAGAAATCTTGTAATATTTTCACATCATCCTTACTTACCATGTGGTCGCATGATGCTGGCCTTTTGAGGTATTCTTATGTTCCAAGTTGTTAAACTGCCGTCTGTGTGACTGCACATAAACTGTTTACCTTCATGGTGCCACGCTACTGACTTTAATGGCTGGAATAGATAGAAAATTGACTGGAAAAAGTTTACATAGGACACTATATTTCATGATGTCTTCCCCATTTAGATATTTTTTTTCATTTTTGTCATTTTCAAAAGTAATATCAGAGGAAAATATCCCAGAATATAATACGACACATGTTCAAGCAATCACAAAAAGAGAAACACAAGTCATTAACATGCAAAATGTCACCACCTGCCATATGTTGCAGACATGGAACACCAAACTCCTAACACCCAACACCATCAACAAAAAAATGTTTGGTATATTTTATGGATATTAAAGATAAAGAGTTAATAGCATTTCACATCCCAGATTTATTTATCTGTATTATAAAATTCATTTGATACCATTATATAAATAAATAAATTACTGCTCATTATTATCTGGTTTTTGCACTAAAAGCTGGCAAGGCTGGTATACAGGGAATTTACCAATAGTTGTAAATCAATTCTGACAACTCAATATTTGAACCAGTTACCCTTAGTTGTAAATCAGCACTGATACCTCACCACATTTGAACCATTTACCCATAGTTGTAAATCAGTACTGATAACTCACCACATTTGAACCATTTACCCATAGTTCTAAATCAGTACTGACAACTCACCATATTTGAACAATTAACCCATAGATGTAAATCAGTATTGATAACTCACCACATTTGAACCATTTACCCGTAGTTGTAAATCAGTACTGATAACTCAAAACATTTGAACCATTTACCCATAGTTGAAAATCAGTATTGATAACTTACCACATTTGAACCATTTACTCATAGTTCTAAATCAGTACTGACAACTCACCATATTTGAACAATTAACCCATACATGTAAATCAGTATTGATAACTCACCACATTTGAACCATTTACCCTTAGTTGTAAATCAGTACTGATAACTCAAAACATTTGAACCATTTACCCATAGTTGTAAATCAGTATTGATAACTCAAAACATTTGAACCATTTACCCATAGTTGTTAATCAGTACTGATAACACACCACATTTGAACCATTTACCCAAGTTGTATATCAGTACTGATAACACACCACATTTGAACCATTTACCCATAGATGTAAATCAGTATTGATAACTCACCACATTTGAACCATTTACCCTTAGTTGTAAATCAGTACTGATAACTCACCATATTTGAACAATTAACCCATAGATGTAAATCAGTATTGATAACTCACCACATTTGAACCATTTACCCTTAGTTGTAAATCAGTATAGATAACTCACCACATTTGAACCATTTTTCCATAGTTGTAAATCAGTATTGATAACTCAACACATTTGAACCATTTACCCGTAGTTGTAAATCAGTACTGATAACTCAACACATTTGAACCATTTACCCATAGTTGTAAATCAGTATAGATAACTCAACACATTTGAACCATTTACCCATAGTTGTAAATCAGTATAGATAACTCGCCACATTTGAACCATTTACGCATAGTTATGAATCAGTATAGATAACTCGCCACATTTGAACCATTTACCCATAGATGTAAATCAGTATAGATAACTCAACACATTTGAAGCATTTACCCATAGATGTAAATCAGTATAGATAGCTCAACACATTTGTACCATTTACCCATAGTTGTAGATCAGTATTGATAACTCACCACATTTAACCCATTTACCCATACTTTAAAATAAGTATAGATAACTCAACACATTTGTACCATTTACCCATAGTTGTAAATCAGTTCTGATAACTCAACACATTTGTACCATATACCCATAGTTGTAAATCAGTATTGATAACTCACCACATTTGAACCATTTACCGGTAATTGTAAATCAGTACTGACAACTCACCACATTTGAACCATTTACCCATAGTTGTATTGATAACTCACCACATTTGAACCATCACCATAGTGTTGCTCTGCAGTCTTAGTCTTGAGGTCCCATAATGATATTGCACCGCTCTCAAATCCTATCAACAGCTGCAAAAACAACAACAAAAAATAATCAATCAATCAACCAATCAATTAATCGGTCAATCACTCTACTAATCTATCACTCAACCAATATTTTCCAATTTCTTTTTTATAGGAGATTCACATATTTCATTAACAAGGACCTGCCTGTTTGATAACACTTTAATTCTGGTAAAATTCTTGGAACTAGAAGAATTTGGATTCACAAAGTTATTTTCTTGTATGGACAGATGGATGGACTGACGGGTGAGAGAGATAAGTACATGATTCCACAAGCTCACCATGAGTCTAATTACTGAGCGCACAGTTTAAATGAGCAAGCACACATGCAACTTTTATGATGAATTTGGTCTCAAGATTAGTTTCCATCATTTACAATAGATATCGATTGATGATTATATTTAATGCAGAAAAAGAAAAACAGGAGATGTATAGATGTAGAGTGTGTAAACCTTAGTGATAACAACTTAAAAAGATTATCAGCAATATTTTTTCTAATTTTTTTGTATATGCGCTTATTGGAGTGTCTTTTAAGTTTCAATCTGGAAAGTGCACAGTGTGCTCATTAGAGAGAATACCATACATTACAAAAATGAACAAAAAAACATTGAACCCCAGCTATGTCAAGGATTCCATCTGGGGGTCTGGCTGAATTAATTATAACAAAAATAGAAGTATCTATTGTTTTGAAAAATATCACCTTAATTACAGCTAACACAACAATCATTAGCTTAGCAACAAGCTTTAGAGTCTGCTACATAATTGAAAATAAATGACACAAATTGTTCCAAGGTTCAAAGGAGTAATTTGATGAATACCAATTTTTTCAAAACATTTTTTTCTGAAGAACGAGAACAAGTGATTTCAGATATTGTTTCAAGATATTCCAGTATAAGACAAGGCATTAACATGACAAAATGTCACCACCTAGTTCAGTTGCTCACAATATTGTTGGTTCAATATTAAAGGACAACTGAAATAGGTTTTCTCAACTTGCAGCTACAAAAATGTGGTTTTCTTCGTTGTAAACCCAATGTAGAGTTTTTGCGATGGCCATTATAAAAGAAATGTTAGATAACTGTTATAGGTCATAGATAATGTAATAAAACAGGCTTGCAACCATCTGAAAATCCATTTGCACCAACTTGAAAATGAGAAAAATCATGTAAAATTAGCATATTTTGGACTGAATTGTGAAAATGAGAATTTTGCACCCACTAAAGAAAAAATCCTGGGGAAAACACTGGAATGTGATGCTAAGAGATGCTGAGTAGAAAAATAGGTGTGGCACTTCAAGTTACAGATTACATTTTCAGGGTTTTGTCGTTAATTAACCTTGTAATTACTATCTGATATTTAACTCTCTGTTTTATGCTATATTCTACATTCCTGATGCTAGAACAATAAAATACGATGCAAAGATTCTGGGTGAAAAATAGGCACAATGATATCCAATAGTACATCTGACATTCATGAGTATGGAATCAATATGTGATCAAACAGCTAAACCTAGCTATACCTTCTTTAAAATATCAACATGTACTTTCAAATCAAAACCATTTTGAAGCAAATAACCTCACCCCTGTTTAGCTACAAGTTGAGAGAGCATATATGTGAGGACTAATGAATAAAAAACTCTCTGATAGACAAAATAAGTATCATATGCATGGAATTTATTGATAAAAACTGAATCACCGCTGAACTGGAAGAACATAACATTACATGGAACATGTCTAGTACGTTAATAGGCCAGCCAATCAAACTCATTTGGGATTTACGACATGAGAACTCAATTTCAATAAAATAATTCAAAGATTCGGAGCAGCGAGCGTGAAACATAACACGCTGCATGGGGATTGGGTTTATGACACTTTCTGATTCTCCAGTTATCTCTTAAAATAATTCATTAAATAACCAAAGACTTTTACTTCCATTCTGAATTCTGATTGGTTAATGTAGTCACATGATTAACACAAGGGCTGCTGGGATTGATCTTCCTGTTTATTTCGGATTAAATTGGAATATAATAGCTTGAAGGATTGAGAAAATGTAAAATATCATGGATTTTATGTGAAATCTTTAAGCCTCACTTGTACAAGTGATAACTATGGACTTCCATATTTGATGATCTAATTAGGTCCAATGACTGGGGATTACATTAGAACAACAAATGCGAAATTCCTCAAAACAATGGAACAATTTGATATAAACAACTACAGAAAACCACCTGTTGCTAAGGAAACCATTGCAAAAACATTAAAGCTTTAATTCTTTAATTTGTAATATTATGTAGTAGTACCCAAGGATACAGTACACGGGGGCATTTAAAAATACACAAAGTTGTCGAGATTAAGTGTTACTATATCGTTGGTTACCACTGGTCAAATTTGCTGTGTATCCATTTTAGTCATCATTTTAGAGGCAAATAATTCTATTCAATGGTAGGCAAACCACAATTTTAAGGAAGTACTACATGTATACTTGAATGCTAGTTCGTACATTTAACCAAGTGACTGACGTTATTACCATATTAAGATCTACAAAATTAGCACATTACATTTACCTTATTTGGATCTATTGGACAGTCACTCAGATGAACAATAGGTCCTGGATGTGTCTTTCTTGATCTGTAAACAAACATGATATAATATAAAATCATCTTTGGCAAAAAGTTGAACATCAATTTCAAATAAATAACAAACTGCTCATCTATGGAGAATAAATGAAAATATCCTCTTGGAAATTTTAAAATGAGGAGTATAACAGATATACAATCATAACATGTACTTCAGGGAGTATAACATTCTTTCAATTCATCAAATTGAAGGGAACGAGGATTCATTTTATTCAAGTGCCAAGATTCTGTAAAAATTCTCAGTAATCCATTGGGAATACAAATGGGTGAGGAGAAAATCTTTATTTTACTCAAGAATACTGAAAAATATACAGAGTCACTTAAATGCTTGGTTTATATAGCCTGGCCTTAATATAATATATTCAGTTTCAAAATTCCTTATTGGATGTGACTTTGCTATGTAATTGATCCTAAGCTGATCCCAAGCTAGGTGATCCATTAAATGAAGAAACAATTTCATTTAACTTACAACTCTATCGCTTTGTTCCAGTTGATGACATATCCCGACAGCTCAAACTTTTCAATATTAACGATGTGAACATTTCCTCGCTCTGTGCCGATATACAACCATTTACTCTGGAATGGCAGGTGGCAGAATGTGATCCTGGAACATACAGAATAAGACCGACTTTAAACCAAAGTAACACATGTACATATCTGAACACCTCTCTAATCCGAACACCTCTCAATGTGAACACTTTTTCTTGGTCCCTCATTTTTAACCTTCCATTGACTCACATGTTAGAAAAAGCTTAAAAGTGAACACCTGCTAATCTGAACACTATTCTGCCAGTGTCAAGGGTGTTCAGATTTGACAGGTTTTTACTGTATTATGGTGAGAATTAATGTGCTAATTTTGCTATAATGAAGAATATTTAGTGTTTTAATACAGTTTGCCCGATGTGCCATATTAATCCATAGTCCTTTGATTAGCTTCCTAAAATTGCATTTACATTTTTTATAGTTCTCTACAAAATTTTGAGACAGTGAATTGTGTCTTTCAATTATATTTTTAAATGATATCTTAATGATAGAAGTCAAAATAACCAAGAAGTAGCTTCAATAATTGTTTGGTTGGTTGTGAGGAGGAATTTGCACAGGAAACCAAAACCAAAATACTAATAATAATGTATCGAATGAAATCAATCCTTTGGTCTCGTATATATATGAAACACATAACAACTGGAGGGCAACCTAACATAAATAGATATGGGAATAATTACATAAGATATAAATAGTATAAAATACATGAATAAACAAATATGGGGGTAATTATATTACATATAAATAAACCATAAAAATATATATATTTCAATAAAATATGCACCCCTTTGGTCCAAATTCAATTAGCAACACTTTCTTTAGTAGAATAAGACTTTTACTTTTTTCACTTTATATAGGGGTGATAATAACTGATACTTCAATATTATGTGCCGTCCTATAAATAAACTTTTTTTTCACGTGACTACAGTAAAATGTTAAAAGTTAGTAACTACTTTGAATTTAAAAAATAAGCAATCAAAGGACCATATTGAAGCAGTATATGTAAAAATAGAAACATTTATACATGTCCTAACTTTTGTATATTTTAGTTTGTTTTGTAGTTTAGCTATCATATCTGTGCCCTCTTATATTTTGATGCTTCTCCGACATGTTATTTTCGGAAAAAATTAACATGGGTGAAACTCCCTAATTTACAAAAGGCCACAGCTTTGCTGCACATTATACATAAATATCTGAAATATACAAAAGTTAGGACAAGTACATATGTTTCTATTTTTTATATACTGTTGCAATATAGTCATTTGATTGCTTATTTTTTAAATTCAAAGTAGTTCCTAACATTTAAAATTTTACTGTAACTCAGATTGAGCCATCTTTACACCATAATACACAAGTAAAATAGACAAAAAACATGGAGAGAGTGGAGAATATACAATTTTTGCCATTTTTTGAGAAAATTTACAGTAACACTTGTCTAAGTAGAATACCTTTGGTACTGTAAAAAGTGTACCACTTGGGAGGTGTTCTACTTAAAGAGATTCATTAAACATTAAATCTGTTGTTTTTGGGACTCTTAAACATGTTCTACTAACAGAGGTATTCCACTTCTAGAGGTTTTCTACTTTACAGGTTTCACTGTATATCGCAAAAAAAATATTGCATTAGTACCTATGCAAAATTGTCTGTTCTAGATTTGCTTTGATAATTTTTCTTTCTCTTGTCAACTTTTTTCCTTTCATCCCAGGAATTTTAGGTTAAGCAGGGGTCTATTTTTGGAACTGTCGTAACTTGATTTGATTTGGTAGCAAGTCATTGTTCATCGAGACAAAAGAGAGACAATGGTTTTCCCAGAATCGTAAGTTACAACCATTAAAAAAACCGCCCAAATTTAGTAAAACTGGGAAATTCACTATGAAACTGTATGCAAGATTTTATCACATAAAAAATTATAATTGATATCGTAAAAGCTGTTTGCAATTTTGTCAGTCTAAATGCATCTGATTCTCACTTAACAAGAACAAGAAGGCCAAGAGCCAAGAGGAAAATCATAACAAAAGAGATCCTATTTGAAATAGACTGAATCTGAACAACAGCAAAACATAGAAATTACTTAATTTTTTTAATTTTATTCCCTGGATCTCTAATAAATACACATAGGTGATGTCTATTGACAAAATGAACAGCAAAAAATTATATAATGATCTGCTGTTATAATTTAAACTGAGCAATTAACTGGGTTAAGTAATACAAATGCTGTGAGGGTAAACACATTTTGTGCCCTGGACAGTCAATGGTTATGATGACGCTGTTCTTTAACTAATTCTTTTGTTTTTGTTTTTAAAAAATGTACCAGCATATAAATGATACAATGTATCAAGCCCCATCAAACACTTAATATTTAATTTTTGTAGTTAAATTAGATGTTTCAAAAAACTGTAGAAGCATATATTTTGTTATAAAAACAAGTTCAAGCTTAATCTGTTTTGGAAAGAATAAACTAGCATGCTCCCATCCTAAATAAATCAAAGTTCAATCATTATTAAATCATTTCTAATTTAAAAAGGGATCTTATATTGTATCACTACTATACCGAACACCTAGAAATGCACGTGATCTCTGTTTGTCTAATTGTATTGTTTAGTATATTTTTGAAAGTACCTTATTTACATCTAACAGTCATCTGATTAACCATTAATAAGGAACAGACAAATAAAAACAAATGCATAATCATTACTAATAAGCCAAATGGGTTGCTCATGAACACCAAATGCAAGGTATAGTAGAGTGTGTATCTTATAATCTAATGGTAAAACAGAATGATGCATAATCAGTGAAAGTATCATATAGTTTTTGATATTCTTAAAATATCAACTGGGTGCATATTTTAACTGGGTGTTGCAGCATCCTCTTTGAACTGGAGATCACTGGGTAATGGTATTTACCAAAAGCATTCAGAAACAGGAAAATGAAATCCATACAAAAACAACAAACAACACATTCGAATAAAATATTTCCTAGCATTCAGAAACAGGAAAATGGTATAAATACAAAAACAACAAAAAACACATTTGAATAAAATATTTCCTAAACACGTTTTTAGATATCACTTGAGAACTAAGAATAGAATCATATGAAGTGCAATAATCTTGGGCCAGCATCATAATGCCTGTGTGGTGTAGGTATGCTACGATGCTTGTTTTATTTTCCCCATATGTTGTTTGTGTGGGTTAGGTTATACTACGGTGCTTGTTTTATTTTCCCCATATGTTGTTTGTGTGGGGTAGATATGCTACGATGCTTGTTTTATTTTCCCCATATGTTGTTTGTGTGGGGTACACAGGGAGATATGCTGAGTACTAAAAAAGTACTCATGGCATTTTAGCGCTAATTGAGTACTCATTTCAGTAAATATTAGTACTAAATGAGCACTTGTGACATGAGTACTGATTTATTGCATGTTTTAGTACTAAATGAGTACTCGTATGATGAGTGATAAAATAGCGCTTATTTCATTGATTTTTCATTACTCAATGAGCACTCATACTATGAGCACTAATTAATTGCATGTTTTAGTACTAAATGAGTACTCATATGATGAGTGATAAAATAGCGCTAATTTCATTGATTTTACTCAATGAGCGCTCATATTAAGAGTACTAATTTGTTGCACATGTTTCACGAGTGATAGATTAGTACTCACAAATTAAAATGTTGATAATTTTTTTTAATTGATGAAGTAAAATATAGAATACGCAATAAATTACATTTTAACTAAACGAAAACATGGGTAAATATATCATGAAGTTTTTCTGAAAATTCCCATTCCTGTAGCTATTTCATGTAATGGGTTGAAGCTAGGAAACAAAATGACAGACACCATATTGTTCTATTCTTGAGAAAAGTGCATATATATATACACTGCTTTGTTAACTAGAATAAGTGAAAGATTAGGTAAGTTGTATTAAATAATAATTACATGGTAAGTGAGTTCTATATGTGATACAATTATAAGCTGATATGGGTGTAAATCTAAAAGACAAAATTGAAGGTTGCATGTGAATTGTATCCCAGCTAGAATGATACCTACCGAGTGCTTATTATTTAGTAAATGAACAATATTTTAGTGCTAAATGAGCAATTTTTTAGTACTAAAAGAGCGCTCAAGTAGCACTAGATCATCGGTTAAAATATTGTTACTAAAATGGTACTAAAATAAACACAAAATTGTCACAAAATTAGTACTAAAATAGCACTCAAGTAGTAATAAATTAGCACTCTGGCAAAAGTGCACTCATGAGTACTCATGTCACGAGTGCTAATTTAGTACTAATTTTGTACTAATTTAGTATTCGGCATATCTACCTGTATACATTAAGAAGAATATAGAATTGGAATGTTTGATATTTTGCGTAATGCAAAAAGGCTTTAACTCAAATAACAGCATGGGCATAGGGTGACAATTTATTCATAGTTCTATCACACTAGCAGGATTCAATGCTTTAATGGTGTGAGATTTTGAATTATAACGCCAGCTAAATGCTACAATTGCTTTTTATGCTCTTAGGTTTACATTAAGCCCATTACCCACTCCATTCTTAACACATTGTTGAGTGAATGCATTATGGGGAGGGTAGGAAATAAAACAAGCATCGTAGCATACCTACCCCATACAAGCAACATATGGGGAAAATAAAACAAGCATCGTAGCATACCTAACCCACACAAACAACATATGGGAAAAATAAAACAAGCATCGTAGCATACCTACACAGGTAGATATGCCGAATACTAAATTACTTGAGCGCTCTTTTAGTACTAAAAAATTGCTCATTTAGCACTAAAATATTGTTCATTTACTAAATAATAAGCACTCGGTAGGTATCATTCTAGCTGGGATACAATTCACATGCAACCTTCAATTTTGTCTTTTAGATTTACACCCATATCAGCTTATAATTGTATCACATATAGAACTCACTTACCATGTAATTATTATTTAATACAACTTACCTAATCCATAAAGGTAAAAGCTATCTCTGAATAATTGCTCCAACAGAGGAGGTTTCATAGAGCTACCCATCGTCTTACTTGATGGTGATGACATAATGATGCCAATGATGTATTATAGTAAACAACAATAGTAAACATCAATTTTAAGCAGAATGTGTCATCGTAAACAAAAGTAAATGTCAAGGCAGAATGTATCATAATGTATACTATAGTAAACATCAAGCAGAATAAGTCACGGATAGTAAACAGCAAAAGTAAACATCAAGGCAGAATAGTGAACAACAATGGTAAACATCAATTTTAAGCAGAATGTGTCATAGTAAACAAAAGTAAATGTCAAGGCAGAGTGTATCATAATATACACTTTGGAAAACATCAAGCAGAAACAATAGTATACATCAACTTTAAGCAGAATGTGTCATAGTAAACAAAAGTAAATGTCAAGGCAGAATGTATCATAATATACACTTTGGAAAACATCAAGCAGAAAGTGTTACAGATAGTAGACACCAAATGTAAGCATCAAGGGAAAATAGTAAACAACAATAGTAAACATCAATTTTAAGCAGAATGTGTCATAGTAAACAAAAGTAAATCTCAAAGCAGAGTGTATCATAATATACACTTTGGAAAACATCAAGCAGAAAGTGTTACAGATAGTAGACACCAAAAGTAAGCATCAAGGGAGAATAGTAAACAACAATAGTAAACATCATTTTTAAGCAAAATATGTCATAGTAAACAAAAGTAAATGTCAAGGCAGAAGGTATCATAATGTATACTATAGTAAACATCAAGCAGAATAAGTCAATGATAGTAAACAGCAAAAATAAACATCAAGGCAGAATAGTGAACAACAATAGTAAACATCAACTTTAAGCAGAATGTGTCATTGTAAACAAAAGTATATGTCAAGGCAGAAGGTATCATAATATACACTTTGGAAAACATCAAGCAGAAAGTGTTACAGATAGTAGACACCAAAAGTAAGCATCAAGGGAGAATAGTAAACAACAATAGTAAACATCATTTTTAAGCAAAATATGTCATAGTAAACAAAAGTAAATGTCAAAGCAGAATGTATCATAATGTATACTATAGTAAACATCAAGCAGAATAAGTCAATGATAGTATACAGCAAAAGTAAACATCAAGGCAGAATAGTGAACAACAATAGTAAACATCAACTTAAGGCAGAATGCACAATGGTAAACAACTAAAGGAAGAATCAAGGCAAAATATGTCATAGTAACAATAAACAAAACATCAAGGCAGAATGTGCAATAGTGAACAACAATAAATATCGATGCCAAAATACAAGCACATCTACCTTGACTTGACATCATTTGCCTCAGTATCTAGATTATCAGTCCTGCTACTGGCATTACTTTGACGGAACATTGATATGCTGCAAAGTAGAAAGAATAACACCATGTATAAGCTTGCATTTAGCCAGTATCAGCCAGTATCAGCCATCCATGAATATACCCAGTATGAAGAGATGAAATAGCCAATAAAAGCCATGGCTATAGCCAGTATAAGCCAAGATTTTCCCATTATAAGCAATGAATTATGAAATATACTCAGCTCTGTATTATATATAGCCATTAGAATAAGCCATCTAATTTGTCACTATATTAGCTAATATTAGCCTTGAATATATTGCCAGTATAAGCCCTGAACATGAACCATACATACAGTCAGTATATGGTTAGTCATAAATATAGCCAATTTAAGCCATAAATGCAGCCAATATAAGCCACAAATATAAATGCCAGTTTCAATACAGCATCAATAAGCTATGAAAATAGCCAATATTTGCTAGGAATATAGCCAATATAAGCTATGAATACACCCAGTATAAGCCATAAATATAGCTAGTATAAGCTATTACTAACACCAGGTATACATATATAAGCCAACAATATCTGACCACATATTTTTCAAACATACACCTAGTAACAATTACACCATTCAATGCTTGTTTTATTCAACTGTTGTATCAACCATTAAAAGTCATATTAACAATTATGGTTAGATTCTCCCAGGGTCTTCAGGTATCATTAATAATTGTATGGGCATATATACTAAACGTATAAATTAATAATATTCAAAAAATGCTCTAATGAGTCAATTTCTTGGCAGGAAATACCAGAACGTGTAACTTTGGCACATGCACAAAGATATATTTTTTCAAAACAAAATTTAAAATGTTATTTAACAATTTGCTTTTTAAGATAGATAAGTATGGTAGATGATCAGTATTTGCACTTCTCCCCAGAGCTAATACAATGGGCGTCTCATCAAAATTCCATAAGAAAATAAGGGTTTGCAAAAATGTTTGCACAAGTTTAATATTTGTAGTTATTTTACTTTGCTTTGAGAGGTCAGGGTAAAAATGTTTTTGGGGATATTCGGCAGACTCCTTATATCTATAAACAACAATTCAAAATGTACCATAAGTAAGAAGAAGCAAATCTAAGTGTTGTTTATTTCAGGATTGATAAACATTATCTCTTTATTTTTCTCAAATTAAAGGCAGAATCAGATCGATAAGGGTGACAAAGTTACAAGCAATATGTACAATTGACCTACCAATACATTCCCTACAATCACAAATACAATATCTCCCAAAAGATTCACGATATGTTATAAATTGGTGAAGTTATTATGGATTCAAAGTGCAAAAAGGGGTGAAAAATGTTTAAAGTCTATCAAATAATAAGAATGGTTTACCATTCTTAAAAATTGTAAAAAAAGAATACATTATTGTAAAAATCTAGTTTTCATGAAATAAAGTGTGCACTTTGGGGATTTTTAGAAAGTAGACATGACAATAAATGACATGAGCCGGAAAAATTCTAAAATTGAAACAATTTTTTGCCTTCCTGCTAGATCTGATCCTGACTCTTTAAACAGAGTTACGTCACAAAATGAGTTGAGAGTTAGATTAGACAAAGGATAAGCGAGGAGAAGTTAAATTGAAAGCTAGTAGGGTTTTTGTGCTATTATCTAACATTGGTTATAATGCAAAATCTCACCTCTCCCGCTGGAACCGCAGTGAATGAACTATGTCAGGTCGTTTTTGACGTAAATTCCAGAGATGTAAAGTGTCATCGGAGCATACTGTAATCATAGCCCCCTGGAATAGAAACAAATACTTTTAGACTTTATAGGTAAAAAGTTAATTTATGAACACTATTTTTGGGAAGATTTGCTTGACATGATTTTGGATTGGGAGGCCTTCTAGCAATAACAATTGATTCTTTGGGGTATATACATTTTGCTAAATATTTTATTTCTTAAATGTATCTAAAATGTTTTATTCATGAAGTCAGTTCACGAGTATTTATATAAATGTAAAACCGTCTGTTGTACTTACCTCATTGATTTAAGAATATTTGTAAGATGTACCTCATTGAATAAAGTGTTTTACCTCATTAATTAAAGAGTTTTTATGAGAGAATACCTCATTCTGGTTCATTGATTAAAAACAGTATGTGTATGACTGCAACCTCAAGATTACCTCATTGACTAAAAATAGTATTTTACCTCATTGATTAATTTTTTTTCTCATTGATTAAAAAGAGTATTTGTATGACAGCAACCTCATCTGGGAGACTTACCTCATTGATTAAAAAGAGTCTTTGTATGACAGCAACCTCATTTGGGGACTTACCTCATTGATTAAAAAGAGTCTTTGTATGACAGCAACCTCATCTGGGGACTTACCTCATTGATTAAAAAGAGTATTTGTATGACAGCAACCTCATCTGGATGTCCAGTATGACAATCTACCCCAGGTCTTCCAAATCTGAGTCGAATGTTAAGGATGCAAACATATTTAATTTTATTAATTGAATAATAAATATAAAAAGTTTATATAAACAGGTTTTAACGTATAAACCGTTAGACTACAGCTGACTTGAGGTGAATCTAAACTGACCCAAATCTGCTGTACATGTATTCAAACATGATCTGAATCTGGTGAGATAATTCTTCTTCTCTTAAATTAAAATGAATTGTCTGATTTATTTCTTTGTTGAATTTAGATTTCAAAAATTGTACACAGAGACAAAATCCCCATGGTATGTTTTCATAATGACATTTTAAGATTCTCTGGTGTCAATGGCCCAATCTCATGTCCTTAATACTAACCAAGTCACAAACACTCCAGGGGCACTTTTCAACATCTACTGAAATAATCAAAACAATAACAAGATTTGTTGTATAATCAGGTAAGATTTTCAAAATAATTTAATGAATACCCTCTGGGGTGCATTTATTGTTATATAAATATGTGATTTTAAATGAAGTTCAGTTAGTGGGATATCAAAGTGTCTCCAGATCCAGACTCGCAATAAGACCTACACCACACCTGATGTAATTAATTAGAGTTAGTATGAGGTCCCTTGATGGAACCTAAATGTCATCCTGTATTCAATAAGTCTTAATGTCTCAGGTGATGTCCTTAGAATGCACTTATAGACAGGGAAATACTTGGGTTTGCCACGTATATTGAGGTAACATCAAAATACTGTATTATCAACTATTGAGGGAGCACATCCTCTTGAGGTTTTCCACGTATATTGAGGTGACATCAAAATACTGTATTTTCACCTAAGGAGCACATCCTCTAGAGATCAAACATTCCAATAATGCGATATGTCAAGGAGTGCCAAGTGACTTGTCTTTTTAGCCATATAATTCTTCCAATTGTGGTTGAGCTCTTCAATCAGGAGGGATGAACCACAATTTAGCTCTTCAGTAAGGAGGAACTTAACCCACTTGGGGCAATCTGCAAAAGGTTTGTTTTTAGGTTCGTTTCTATCTGATTTTTCACGACCCTGACAATTATCTTCAACAAGATGGTGTCGAAGAACAAAGTATTTGACACTGTTACAACTTGTTTTTTTATGAATTCTATATAAGTACTTGGACATCATTATTATCCTATCCAAATGGCATTCTCATCAAACGACATCTATATGTGCAAGTACATCTACATGTATAGGTGGTACATGTATAGGTGATAATCATAGTTTCTATTTGTCTCTGAGTATCATATGCGTTTACCTCTAGTAAATCTAAATATGACATGGGCACTCTTAAAACACAAGACATTACCATATAAGACAATTGCAGAGGTATTAGCAATTCTACAATCTGGAAGACAAATGTATAAAGATAATCAATATTCCAAGTTTATTCTCCAGACTGCGGTCATTACACCGAGACACTGGACAATGTTTACAATAAAACTCTGCTTTGACGTGCAACTTGTTTTCTCTCGTTAAGTGTTTTTGTAATTAAAGCAAATCAGAGTAATTATCAGGTTTTGTTCTAACTTCAGGATCTTATGATAACAAAAGTTGCCCAGATTCTATAAGTGATGAAAATGTTACTTAGAATCTGTAAATGACAACATGAGTTGGTGAGGTACTGTATATGATAATTTGCTCAGACTCCTTATATGATAAAAAGGTTTTCTAGAATCTAGCTGTAAACAATAACATGAGTTGCTCAGAATGTGTATAATGATAACGATCTGTATATGATAATATAGATTGCTCAGGATCTGTACATGATAAGATAGATTACTCAGGTTCTGTATATGATAACAAAAGTTGCTCATAATCTAAATATGATAACAAAAATTGCTCAGAATCTGTATATGATTACACAGATTGCTGAGGATCTGTATATGATAACATAGAATGCTCTGGATCTGTATATGATAACATAGAATGCTCTGGATTTGTATATGATAACATAGAATGCTCAGGATCTGAATATGATAACATAGAATGCTCTGGATCTGTATATGATAACATAGAATGCTCTGGATCTGTATATGTTAACATAGAATGCTCAGAATCTGAATATGATAACATAGAATGCTCTGGGTATGTATATGATAAAGCGGAATGTTCTGAAAGCAACTAACCCGTATATACAATATTATTGAGTGTTTCTAAGGCCAGATTAGAGTATTTCATAGAAAATCAATACTGAGTTCTCATACAAGTGTGAATGCTATCAATTGTTCCAAGCAAGATCTATGTTAATAAAACGCTAGACAAATTATCACTAGACTGGATAGGATCACACTTTAGCATGTAATAACAGCATGTCAGGATTCTGTACTTATTTACACCAAGAAATATGCCATGATTTAACCATTATGGCAACATTGAATGCAGCATACATGTATACTCTAGCTGAAAAATATATAACAATGAAAAAAATATATTACCAATGTTAAGCTTGAGTATTAATCCAAATTGAGTTCTATATTTTTGATTGTGATAACCACATTCTTTTGAGCCTTGGAAATAATTTAATCAGTCTCACAGAAAGGATCAACATCATTTATTGGTTGTAATATGACCCAGTTTTCCCACTGATATATGCATCACTGCACCTAATACAGATCATAAACCTTGCAGACCTTTTCCATTAGTCAATCAATTTACTCTAAGATATTTCCAAACAATCTACTGGTCGATAATCAATAAGAAATGCTTTTTAACATTGTTGATGGCATTTCTATGCAAGATGGAAAAATAAGATGAGGGAAACAATTTTGTGAGTTTTCTGAGGGTAGGCAAAGATATAATATGTAAAAAGTTCTGTAATTGAATAATTTGCTTTCATGAGATTGAATCAATTACCCAAGGCAAGTAATTCTGCCTGTTTCTAGCAATAATATTCCTTTCTCAGAGTTGAAGAATGGGGAACATGGGATTTTTTTTCCATTTCTCATTTATTCCATATATAATATATAAAAATATAATACAATATTATTGCCTATGTTTTTCAACATTGTTGGCAATATACAAAACATGTCAAACTGGAGATAATTGAAATACAATAGAACATGGGATAAGAAGCTTTCTGCAGATGTGCAGATTTACCAATTCCATGATAATAACAAATGATATCAAAGGAATAATGTTTCACCCTGTCAATATTGTGTCACCTTTATAGACAAACTATATATCATTTCTGTCTAGGTAACAATATATCATATCTGATAGGGATAAGAATATAACATATCTGATTATCTGGTGGGAGATTCTGTCAACAGCATTTTCTTGGTTTACAGTTTTAGTAAACAATTTTACCAGTTGACCTCTGGAGAAGTCAATAATTGTATTGTATATCATGGTCAGAGTAATATCAGATTTGTAAAAGCAAGTGATAAATCACATATTTGGGATATGGGTGATATCAAGGATGATATTAGGATTAGAGGGATGATATCAGGGATGATATGGTATCAACCCCAGTATATGTTCAAAAATTCTATATTTTCATATTTTCATTTCTACAAATTAGGTAGAAGTTGCTCTTGACTATGGTAAAGGTTGTTATTCACCTGTGGGGATGATATGAGGAATATCCCTAGTATGATGTCAATATTTCCCTCGGTCACTGTATTCCCTCAGGAAATATTTGACACCATCCTTGTGACATTCCCTATATAAAATCCCTCCTTTATATCTGTCTAGGTAACAATATACCATATCTGTCTAGGCAACAATATATCATATCTGCTGGAGGTAAGCCGGGGAGGGGGGATGATATATCACATCAGTTGGGTATAATAATAGATTATGATTGTATTGTAACGATATACCCCATCTCCTGAGGATAACTACACATTATATCTGTTGAGGTAACAATATATCATATTTGAAAGCTGGGGGGGGGGGAAGAACGATATATCACATCTGTTGGGTATAATAATAGATAATGATTGTATTGTAACAATATACCACATCTCCTGAGGGTAACTACATATCATATCTGTTTAGGTAACAATATATCATATTTGTCTTGGTAACAATATATCATATCTGTCTTGGTAACAATATATCATATCTGTCTAAGTGACATCATATTTGTCTTGTTAACAATATATCATATCTGTTTAAGTGACAGTATGTAACTACATGTACAGTAATATCAAATCTGTGTTGGTAGCAACATATCAAATGTGTCTAGATAGCAATGTAGTGTTAAATATGCAGGGGGAGGGAGCGGGTGACAAAATATCACATCTGCCAATGGGGAAAGATCTAAAAACATCAATACCTGAACGTTCAAGGAATCGCTGTATTATTTTATAGTTGAATTTCAGTACTGTCGAAAATGTCCATGGAACCACTGTACTATTTTGTAACTGAATTTCAGTACTGTCGAAAATGTCCAAGGAACCACTGTACTATTTTATAACTGAATTTCAGTACTGCTGCAAATGTCCAAGGAATCACTGTATTATTTTATAGCTGAATTTAGTATTGTTGCCAATTTCAATTCAAAGAAAGAACCAAGACCAATATTTCCAATTATCTCCAAAGCTCTGGAAGTGACACCAATATTTCAAGACATCCTCCTGATACATCTTTGCATAGTTCAATTGTGAGCCCTTACATCCAGAATGATTAACATACATTCATTTCACATGTACTCAGTCTATGAAAAGCTTTCGGTGAAATTGCTATAACAATGAACTCAAAGCAAATTTTGAATTACACAAACCAACAGAATAATTCTGATTTATGAGCACATTTTTAAAATCAAGTAACTTGTGTGATATATATTGAAAGGGTTTACACATTAGACATGAAGGGTTGTCAGTGTACTTGGCACAACAGATTGTCTGTGTCTCAAGGGTACTGATGCTTACGATTGTTACATCTCTCTCTAAGTCCTACAGATAGATAAAGTCAAGTTATATTATTAGACATTCCACTCACTTTTACATCAGTCAGTATAAAAACAGATAATGGTATATACAGTAAAAAA